CAGCCTCCTCCATCAGTCTCCATGTCACAGTAGACCTGCAAGCCCTCATCAGCCATGCCAGAAGGATAGATGGTGTAGATACCATTGCCATGATTACCATCTTCTAACAACATCTGACAGTTTATGTGCTTCTTAGCATAGGGTGCCGAAAAGAAAGAAGTTTCGTAGTTATTGTCAAAGTAGGTACTTCCTTGCTTCTCAACAAAGGCCTGTTGACTTTCACTCCTTGTTTGATTGTTGAGTTCACAAATTTTGCTTGTTGCATGATAGTTGAATGATGCACACCGTGGGTCCATAGAGCAGTCCCTCCCACAGATCACAGCAGAAGATGCAGTCTTCATCTGAAACGCATGACTCTGAAGGGCTCGGTTGTTTGCCAAGTAAAAACTGGGAGTCAACCAATTTCCACACTGACAGAGGCAGTGTTTTGCCACTAAAGAGATCAACAGTGCTTTTAAATCAATCATTATGAGTTCCACTCAGTAATCATGTCAATCTTGATTAGCTCACAATGACAAATGAGCTGAAGGCAGACAAACAAAATAAAATGAACTAAAATAACATCACTGATACCGCAGTTGCAATGCTGTGCAAAAATCTGTGATCAGTCTACCCATCAGATAGGCCAACACGCCATACCAACTAGTGGAACAATGCGTCAGTTGTTTATTAGGCTTGGTCTCGTTGCCAACCATGCCAACGTCACAAGCTTTATTGAAGTTTCATTTCTCACAAAATTAAAATTAAGTGAAAGAAGGCCACTCATATAAGGTTTTAGCTTCTAAATGCTTGGCAGTATATAATGGGTAGAACGTATTTCAGTTTTATTGAAATAGTGCTTTGCAATCAATATTCTAGGTATCGATGTTTGTTGGTTTCCTTGGCAATCTACCAACATCAAGAAAACTAGGCTAAGGCATTTAGCCTAGTTTCAAAGCTTTCGGTGTTGCTTTGGTGCTTGCTATTGAATTTCATCGACAAAAAACACTGAGGCACTTTGTTAACTTTGTACTTAGTTAACAAAGGGTGAACTAGGAAAAACACCTGCTTTTGCATTTTTTGTCGTCATATTTATTAAAAAGGTGTCCAGTGAAATCCATCCATTGGTAAATTTGTTTTGTTAAAATTTGGAAATAAAAATCCTTTTTCCCAGAATATTTAAGGTTCTAAAGAGTAAGATGAAAAAATATTTCTTGAAAAAAAAAAATCATTTTCATTAAAATTAAAAAAAAAATTACGAAAATAGTTTTAAAAGTGGAATGATCATTTCTGTGTGGATGGTGGTTTCCATGGCAATCTACCAGTGTCAAAAGAAAAAGCAAATGGTTTCAATGCATTCAGGGTTGCATTTGTGATGAAGGTGCCTGGCAATTTAATTAATCGACAGAAGCACATTTGTTCATAACCGTGACTGAGAGTGAAACAGAGGATGATGGAACAACATTCAGAAAGTTAAGATGGATTGAACGCATGCGTCACAGCTTTCTCGGCAACACATTCCTTAAGTTAACGTACAGTGTATCTGAAGTTGACGAATTTAATATTATGGGCTTGTTTCTCAGTGATTATTATGTACAGGCTCTGAAAAGACCTCAGGATGACCTTAATTAAGGGAATGGTACACGTACATGTTGTATTTTACCCTGAAAAGTCAAGTTGTTTAACAGACTTTATGATGCGGCTTATTTTCCTGTTAAGTCAAGATTATTGTCTGCTGTTTTTGGTTTGTGATTTTGTGGCTTTTGAGGGGAAACGTTTTACTACATGTTTACTTTTCGCAGAGTGTGAGTGAGATGTAAACTAGATGTGCAGCGGCAGTTTGGTTGTTATTTTTGTTTTTTTTGCAATGAAAGCCACGTACATCATTTATGTTAATGTTGTCTAATCATAGCATTATCATGCCCTGGTGTAACATTTCAAAGAAATCAGGATATTCAAAGAAATCAGCCATGGGAGGATGACTGTTGTCATTCAGCACAAGACTTAACAATTGTATCAATGTCGATAGGACTGCATCACACTGCTGTTGTAGATTTTATGGTTCAACAAGTATTTGTGTAGGGTTGGTTGTTATATAACATCTCATGTGTAGATTTTATGGTTCAACAAGTATTTGTGTAGGGTTGGTTGTTATTTTTTCCTCAGACTTAAATTGAAACACTAATAAGGCCCCTGTATTGCATTATCTCAGTAAACCATGTCTGAAGGATATCCTTTATTGACAAGGTGATCTTTAGTCTTGCTCGTAGATCACACCAGAAGGTACTCTCATTTGATACACATATAACACTGAATGATTAAATTCCAAGAACAAAATCTTGATATTAAATGTAAAAATACGTACTGCGGACCATAACATGTTTGTGCCAGTGCCAGGGAACACGCTTCAATTTAAGATGGTATTTGCTATCCAGGTACGTGTATATCAACATGCAATTAAAAAACAATTCTGTTTAACTTGCTACTTGATATTTCCTAGGCTGATTAAACGTCCCTTATTTTCATATTGCAGTATTTTTGGGAATGGTAACGGTGTCGTTTCCACTGGTTCCATTGTAAACCTCCATATGTGTCTATTCTATCAGCATACTGAAGATATTGACCATTCAGACTAGATGTTGCACATCCATGAAACCACCATGCACCTTGATATTGGCGTGCACAGTTGTATATCGAGTTACTGTCATTGTCCTGATCCATTGTTGAGAATTGACGTGTACTGTGTTGTGTCAGTGAGTCACCTGCTGTACTCGAGGGATTATATGAGCCAACATTGAGTGTGTATTTCTGACCTGTGACACTAAACTCACCGTACTCTGCCCAAGCCTTGTTGCCCTCCCAATCCTCCAGGTCTACACGCAGTTGCCATTTGCCTGTCTTGGTAAGGATGCGTAGAGCTTCATTCCCCAGCCAGAACTCACCGGATGAATTGCCAAAGCCAGACTGGTAGTCAGTCCAGTTGCGGTAGAAGTCAACAGAGCCATCTTGACGTCGCTGAAAGACAATCCAGCCTCCTCCATCAGTCTCCATGTCACAGTAGACCTGCAAGCCCTCATCAGCCATGCCAGAAGGATAGATGGTGTAGATGCCACTGTCCAAGTAACAGGCTCTCAGCAACATCAGACAGCTTTTGTACGTGTAGGTCTTACCATAGGGTACCGAAAGCAAAGGGGTTTCATGGCTGTCATCAAAGTAGATGCTTCCTTGCTTTTCAACTAAAGCACATGGACTGCTGATTCTTGTTTGAGTGTTCAGTTCACAGAAATGGCTTTTTGAATTGTAGTTAAATGATGCACAGTTTGGATTCGCAGAGCAGTCCCTCCCACAGATCACAGCAGAAGATACCGTCTTCGTCTGAAACACATGACCCCGAAGGGCTTGGTTGTTTGCAAAGTAAAAAGTGGGAGTGTATCGGCGGAAACTCTGACTGTGACAGCTTTTTGCCATGAAAGCCAGAAACAGCGTTGCTACAACAAGTTTCATCTTGTACCTCGATATTGATGTCTAAATGCAATTAAGTAAAGAACCGGAGGTATAGAATAGACAGTTTGCATCTGTGATCATTCCAGATGTAGTACATGTAGTTCATGCCTTGAATTCTGGCATACTGCTGCAGATCTAACCCAACTTTTTCTGACCGACTACTGCAAGAGTAAAGGTGTGAGTTTGGTATAAGGTGTGGCATCAGGCAGTCTTTAGGGATCCCTCATCAGCCAAAGTCGAGCAACCAATTAACCCCTGGCAATCCTGTTCCTTGCGTAGATTCCAGACTTATTCTGTAGATTACACTCACAGAACTATGCCTTTATACTTAAACCAAATCAGTGTGTACTGGCATCTGTTGCCTCATGACTGATGCTCACTGAATAGACGCAAACTGCAGTTTTGTTTCTTTCCATCTTCAGCACCAGTTATTTAACGACTGAGAGAAAACACATCGGTTAGTTGTCATGGTTATTACGTGTGCCACGTTTCATTGTTACAATGTAATTCAGGTACCAGTTAGGAGTCGGCAGAACAGTTTTTTTGTTGTTTGGGGGAAAATCAATGATAACCTGATTAAGCGAACAATGGCCGGTTCACGTGCCACCATCCACTTTGTTCTAGCTAAATTGAAGCGGTGCCCTACTGATGAAGTGACCAAGAAAATCAATCAAAACATGATTGGGCTTGCAGTGGTTCCCATGGTAATCTGTATATTATTGGAAAAAAGTCTTTGTGTGCAAAATGAAAACTGACCGTGAATGAGATGAGAACTGGACGTGCAGAGATATATTTTTTTTTTTCCAATTACCCTCGCCAGAAGAGACGATCACATATCCCCAAAAAGTTCCTTACAACACACGAGTGGCACAGTCAGTTAGAAATTAAGTGACAAACTCTGCAATCTGCATGATTAAATCATTAAGCATAAGATGCTAGCTGAGGAATCATGTCATGTTATAAGGCCAAAACAAAAATAGTTGGTCTCTGGTCAGACTAAAGTTCTGGAATTACAATGCGGCGACGCATTTTTTTTTTTTTCAAGGTTGGATTGTACAGACAAGGTGGATCCTACATGTATTTTGCTTTTTTTTCCTCATATACATTGCTGTCGTCCATCATTTGTCTTTGTGCAATTTCCCCATTCCTCTTGGTGCTCCTTGGCACAAAAATTTGAGGTGGTGCGGCAATAGAGATCGCTGTTGCAGCTACCACAGAAAATTTGAGAGAAAAAAAAGATTGATTAAAATTCGACGCGCACTGACCAGAGACCGACTATTTTTGAGGCAGGGGATGATCTCAAAGAGTTACAAGTTATATGCAGGTGATAAAATCTCTGCCTAGTTTTGAGAAAAACAAGAGTGAAAAGAAAGTGTTACGTTTTAAATGTATATATGTGCATTGTATACTGGTTAGAGGCAGCACACTTGCACAAAAAATGTTTCATTTCTTGGCCCCTTTGGGTAACATGAAAGACCTCAGTAATGAGCAAATGTTTGCAATCCACTTTTAATCAGGCTGGCACGGTCTGACACCTCTGCACAAAGCAGCACTTCGCGGGGATCCCAAGATCACACGCCTGCTGCTGGCTCATGGAGCCAGCGTCAACGAGCCCAACGACTACGGGGAGACAGCGCTCCATTATGCCTGCAAACGAGGGGCCCTCGTGAATATTCATGCCCTGCTGGAAGAGGCAGAGGTCAAAGGTGATGTGTGGCACAGAGACTTTGCCGGGAGGAACTGTATTCACCATGCTGCAGCAGGTGGCAGTGTGTAAGTATGAGATGTTTTAAAAATATGAACAGTCGGTTGAGAATCTGAATTATTTGCATTAGGCCAAAAAGTGATCTCATAGCCATCACTCCAAAATCTGGAAAATTGGTTTTTGATTTGGAAGGATTGTTTGATATATTTCATGCTGATTTGTTTCCTTTGTTGCAGGTTAACCCTCCACTACTTGTCGGAGGTACATGGGATGGCATTCCATGACAGAGACGCCAAGTAAGTTACCACAAATAATGCCAAAATCTTCTCATAGAATACAAGTCTAATCTGTAGGACTTATTGCAAAAGACAATTCCATGAAATACACCGTCCGAAGTGTACAATTTTCGTACTTTCCTTTTAAATTGTGAATTCAAACCAGTTAAATTGAGAATTTATTCATTTTTTAGTGGTCAAACACCCCTGCATGTTGTTTGCCTACAAGGTTTCCAGGATGCCATCAAATACCTGCTGAAGAATGACGTAAGTTTGGTTTTCTAAAAATATATATTTTCTGACTGACTGACTGTTCTATACTTAAAAGGTAAAACATATGAGAAAAGAATGAAAAAGGGATGTCCTAAGGGATAAGCAAAATTGAGGAATGAAACTACTTGCTTAAAATGCCTTTTGCAGAGTATTGTTTGTTAACCTATTAATTTGTTTACTCTCAGAGCTTACCTTGACGGATAACAACGGGAACACATCATAATGGATGAGCAAAAATGAAAAGAAAGCAAGATATTTAAATTAAAAGCCTTTCACAGAGTTTTATATTTGAAGTCTGCAAATATTTTTAATTTACAGAGATCAGAGCTTACCTGGACGGATAACAATGGCAACATACCGCTGCACATAGCATGCATCAATGCCCTGAGTGAGGCTTGCTGGATCCTGCTGCAGCATGGTAACTGCAGCATGCTGCGGGTCACCAACAACCTGGGTCAGACGCCGCTGCAAGTACTCGTAGAGGGGCGGTCCGCAAAGTAAATGCTTTCTTCTTTTTTGCTCAAGAATCAATACAGATGTTCAAGTTGATTATTGTAATGCTAAACATCACATAGTTCACATGTACATGTATGTAGCCTATTATTCACATATTAAGCTAAGCTAAGTATTGGACCATTACTGTTGTTTTACACATAATTAAAATTTAAATTAGACTAGCACTACCTTACAACATACTAAAAAAATGATATAGTTAATAAGACAGTTTTTAATAATGAAAATAGTTCAACTATTGTGATAGGGAGATTCCCGTTACAGACTTTTACTCGAGGTAGAGTGAAGGTTGAGGTTGTGCAGATATATTGCAAAAATGAGCAGCATTCCGCTTTGGGGAGTGTTCTGAAAGCAGCTTTGTAAAAAATAAGGTACATCATGATGGAGGGCAATTTTGCACAATGTCTAGTTGGTGAAGTGATTGTTCGATTAACCACTTGGATAAAAAAAAAAACAAATTGAAATATTTTCTTATTTGCAGCCACCACTATTTGTTCAAGGAGATGAGTTACTGGGCGGACTCCAAGACCCCCAAACTGCCACCCAAGGGCCCTCTCTTCACCTGGTACTTCATGCTGACCCTCCCGGCCCACTTCTTTGCTCTCATTCTCATCGTTCATCTGGTCATTCCTCGCTATGGAGCTGTCTTCGTCACAGCAGCCACTGCTTGTTTGATATTTTACATCGGTAACCAGGGTCACCGGCTCACTCACATTTCCAGGTAATGTAGACAGATGAAGTTTTATGTCCAATGCTGTTTTGGGACAGTCTGTTCTGTGAAATTTTGTTCAGTGGATCAGTCGTCTGTACACACTTTATGATATGATTGTGGTGTTGGAGATGGCAGGAAACATTTAAAGTTCAAGGGGAGTCAGGTTGGCGTAGTGGTACTTTCCTCGTCTTCCACCGCGGTGACCCGGGTTCGAATCCCGCCCGGGCCAATATGTGGATTGGGTTTTCAGTCCCTACCTGATTCCATGGGTTTTCTTCAGAATATTCCTCTGGGCTTTTCCTCCCACCTCTAAAACTGAAATTTCTTCTCAGTGTCTTCTCTCTACAGGTTTCTTCAGGCTTCCAATCTACAGTGCTTATAATTAGGGTACTTTTGAGGAATCCTTGGTTTCATTACCAGAAAGAAATGAAATAAAGTTGGCACAGTGACAAATACATCATTCTGTTAACTTTTGGGAAGCCATGCATTCCATAGTTAGGTTGACCATTACACACTGATTTTACTTTGTGAACATGTTTTGTAATTGAGATTATTTTAACTTGTGAATTTTGTTTTGCTTTTTTCCCATGATACAGATGGTCAAATCCTGTGTACTGTGGTGCCTTTGCTGCAGGCCTCTTTCACACGATACTCTGTTTTTGCTGCAAGTTGCTCCCAGATATCCTTTGAAACATTCATGTTTGCTTATAATTGATGCCTTCAACTGACATTAATATTATTTTTTTTAAGGTACATCACTTTGAAGTTCCTTAATCAGGACTGCGTATTTGCAATTTTCTTAAAGGAAAAAGACAACTTCCTCCTGCAAATGACACACTGCATTAGAAAAGTGAAAAGAAACCAACATGAAAAACCAACTTCAGGGCATTGTTATCTTTATTGGTCATCGGGTTTCAGGTAAAACATGTGCAAGTATTTACAACTACACTCTCTGGCACCAAATACATGCCACAACTGTCACCTACAAATGTAGTGCCGGAATGCTGTCACTAAGACTGCATCTGACTCTACGTTGCAGCCACACACTACATCTACGACTTTGTTTCAACCCTGGGAATTGTCCCAACTGAAAAAATAACTGTGGTTTTTTGTGGTTAAGAATACAGCACCCGATTTCATCAAACTCTTCATAACTTACGATGCATCGCAGCGCTGCGACGCGTAGTATCTCTACGATGCGTTGCACTTACGACGCGTCCTGCGAACCACTTCACTAAACACGTAAGTGCGACGCGTTGAAGGTGTATTTATGGCACAACTCGGTGACTGTTTTATGTATTTAGTCAGTGAACAGTAAAAAGTCGTCTGATATTCAACAAAGAGCATCTCCGCCCAAAATTTGTTAAAACGACAAATAAAATGGCTGCTGTGTGATGCGACGTGTTACACGTCGTAACTCGAGTTGCGACGCGTCGCAACGCTTTGTGAAATCGGGTGCAGTAAAGATTTCATGTATGTGCTGATAAACCTTGACCTATCTGTGTACTGCTATGGCCAGTCAACACCTACATCCATCTGCTGATTGATCTACCAGTGCTCATCAGCATCATGTACTTGTACGTGGTGCTTCTGCTCCGTGATCCCGGCAAGTGTACATTCTCAAAGGCTGGTCCGTCCACGGAGGAACCTTTTCTCGGCATCAGACATGTAGCAACGGGAGAGGTCAATTATGAGGGCTTCTGCGGACCTTGCGAGGTATTCTGTTAATTTTCAATATTATGGGGTTGCCTAATCATGCCAACTATTTTTTTCAGTTGTGCAGTATTCTTACAAGTGAACTGCAAACTGACTTGGATAAATTAGACACAGTCTTAAAATTCTTGTGTTAAAACTGTCTGTGAAGATTTTATTATCTCGAAATATTAGTATGGATGTAGAAAATGAGTGGTGTCCAGAAACTAAGCAGAAATCAGGCAGAATGTTTTCTGTTTTATATAAAATTCATATATTTAATTATTTTAAATAATAAATGCAAAACATTTAACTCATTCTTCAGGACGAAAAAGCCACTAAAGCTTTTTAAGGCATAAACATGAGGGAAGTAAGGGGCTTTTTGGGGTTTTTTTTGTGCCTTCATTATATTTTAAACTTGCCCTGTATTATTCTTCCTTTTTTCTCCAACCACAAGATCGTCATCCCCGAGCGAGCCAGACACTGTAAGCTCTGCGAGCAATGCATGCTGAACATGGACCACCACTGTCTCTTCCTGCTTCGCTGCATCGCTAAAGACAACCACCGACACTTTGTCCTGCTCATCCTCCTGACGCTGTTGTCTCAGATTCTCTTCCTGGTCTACTCCTTTCAGTATCTGGGTCTCCTGTACCCAGGCCACGCGCTGTGGGACATTGGGGTAGCCATTGTCCACCGGCATGGTTGGATGTGGGGGTTATGGCTGCTTAACGTCCCTTCCATCCTGTGGGGTGTGTCGCTGCTTCGCATGCAGCTACAGCTAGTAGCAAAGGGTCTCACTATGGTCTGGCACCCGAAGTCCAACAAGATGAAGAACATCAGTGGGGCCAGGCTGTCCCGGTCAGACAAGCTCAGGAACTTGAGGAATTTTGTCGCTGGGCGGAGGACTTTCACAGCAATGGAGTTGAGCGAGTTGCAGAAAGTCTGATACTTACAAGCTGTGACATTTTTAGCTTGGATTTCAAAAGTTTCTAATTTTCTTTTTATTGACTGCAGTGATTGTGATGTGATATAGTACTGAAATTACAATATTAAAAGACGTGACTTCCCACTACGAGCCACCATGAATCAGCTGTATTTGTTGTCATTGATTTCATCAATACCACAATGTAACAACAAACACTTTTTTGTAAGGGAAAGTTTTTATGACCTTGTATTTATAAGTTGAAATAGGCATGACATTTAAAGGAATCCTGTTTGCTGTAATATTAAATGCTTGTATATATGTAATGTAAGTGTTAGCTGTGCTATTGTTCAACTAGAGTCCAATTGTAGAAAATCCTCACACTTGTCAGTACTAAATATTTCGGAACTGCTGGACCAAGCACTATTATCCAAAGTCTGGTCTAGTTGTTCTTATGTACACATTCAGAGATTATTTTTAACCTAAGGTGGAGGTTGGAAATTTTGCCAAATCCACCACACCAAAACTAGTACCTCTATCTTTTACACTTTATCATATTTTAGGTCGTAAAGTTGGAGAGCAGTAAGAAAAAATTTCCCCAAGAGCTTTTTAGAGTGAAGTTATTTTTAAAATAATTAGCATTTTACTGTAATTCATGAATAAATGGCATTGTTTTAAAATTATGTTTTGTATAAATTGGTTTGGTTAAAAAGCTAAGGTTCCTTTCTTTTTTATTGATTGTGGTGGAATAGACTTCACCGTTGCACTCGGCCTTGTTATACATATATAGCACTATTGTCTAAGAATAACATTGTGTACTGTACAAAAATTACTGTTGAATCATAAGCATCAATAATTTTCCCACTGCAATAACATGTTAATTGTCCGCCGTGGAAACAATTTTGACTCCATTAGGCCTAATCCTAACCACTGATCTCTATATAAAGACTGGATAGCTAATAAAGAGCCGCACAATGTACGAATTTGACGCCATATTGGTGAGACCGGCTGGTGATCTACAAAGGACAAGTTGCCGTCTTTATGGACAGCTTGATTTCTTTTGTAACGTCGCGGCTCACTTGACTTATATTTTGGCCACCACCACTGACCAACTGACCAAGGTTTACTACAATTTTTCTAATGTCGTGGTTACTTTTATAATGCCGCAAATCACTTTTTCGGCGTTTTTGAAATAATAATCACTACGGAAATGTGTTCCTTTTAGAACATCATAATATGTGTACGTGACCAAAATGCGCGTCAACTGTTGATACAACGCGCGCGTTTTTACGCGTAGAACGTTCGTATTATACGCGGCCATCTTTGTGAGACCGGGGGCGAATTGGTCAATATGCAAAGTCTACTGTGTGAATGTTGTATGCATATCCGCTATCCAGTCTTTATATAGAGATCAGTGATCCTAACTCGTGATACTGAAAATATGCAGTACCATCTGGAAGTAGCAGTGGCGAAACTAGACGGCTGTTAAAGGGAATATACAACATTTGCAAACAACGAAAAATAAAACTATCAAGTTTTTGCGAAATACCTTAACAGGATGTTGGTAAATGACAGTCTAAAGCATCCTGTAAAATTATGGCACCTGGTATACTGTCATTTTCAAGAAAAGTGGTATTTTTGTATCAATTTCCAACGCTGATCGGCCGATCAGCGTTGGAAACAACTGGCTTTTTATCAAATACTGGCCCCAATTGACCATTGCACTTGTTTGCAATCGATTACAAACCTATAAACGGGTACGAGCCAGCTAGACTGGTTCCCTGACCTTACAATTCCCCCAATGTATGTAAACTGCTCTGTTTCTTCTTATATGGAGTCAGGGAACCAGACTACAGGAAAATGATCGTTTTTCTTGGTTTTTATAGCATTTTCGAACCCAAAACCTCCAAAAAGTTAGTGTAACTATATTTGCTTTATATTTCCGACCCCCCAATTCCACCCATTTCTGAAAATTACAGCAAAAGCAAATGATGTATATTCCCTTTAAGGTCCTTCAACTTTAATTTTAAGTCCTTCCAATTTTTGGTTGAGTCTCGATAGTCCGAAGTACCATTGGTCCGAAGTCCCATTGGTCCGAAGTACCATTGGTCCGAAGTCCCATTGGTCCGATGAAACATGATACTAAGTAGTTCCACTGGTTCAGGTTGACTGACCCTAACCCTAACCCTATAACCCTAATCCTATGGAGCGTCGGACCAATGGGATGTCGGACCAATGGGACTTCGGACTAATGGGATTCGGCCAATGGGACGCTTTTACCAATGGAAGGTATAGAGCAATGGGCCGTCGGACCAATGGGAGTTCGGACCAATGGGACTTCGGACCAATGGGATGTCGGACCAATGGGACTTCGCACCAATGGGACTTCGCACCAATGGTACTTCGGACTACAGAGACTTCCCCCAATATTTTGTGTAGCATGCGGGCCTGATTGCCTCTTCGTTTGCCTGATACATTTTAGATGCAAATAAAGAAAATTGTATACTTAGGGCTGCACAGTTTATATTGGTAAACAATTTATCTTGCCGTCAAATCTGAGTTCAGATGTTGAGTTCCTGTGTGATGATTCAAAATAAATTCTCAGTGAGAGTAACTGTAACGTAGTGACTCGGCCAAAGTCATGCTGTTGGCACGAAACATTTGAAATTTTGGACTTGTAGTGAAATATCTTTCATCTGTAATTTGAATGTTTGTTATATTTTTCACTCGACACAACTTGCACAGTACTTTGTTTTATTTTTAGTTGATGCAAAAGCCATTACTTCTATTACTACATTTTCAGTTTTAACATTAGATTTTGTATTTTAAATTCTGTTATTCAGTCAAAACCAAAGTTATTATTTGTTCTGTATAATAAACCAAAATGTATGTAAGAATGACTAAAAGTGATTTTTTTTATTTGCTATCTCAATCGCTGTTGCCCCCCCCCAAAAAAATGTATATCCCTGCTCCGAAAATTTGTAATATGGCGACAGCATCTGACAATGTCTGAACTGCAACACAGGGCTGTAAGGCAAAAATGGGATGTTAGGGTGTGAATGCTTACAAGTTAAAGTATATTGCACGTTTTTAACGACAATTAGAACTCCACCTCAAATACATGTAGACCCCTTTTCACTAAGGACAGGATCTAGTATTATGTGAATTGAGTGACAATTTAAGTACAATTGTCTATGTATGTACAATATGTTTCTAGTCATGCATATCAGCGAGGAACAATGACCTATACCCTTGATGTGATGTCAAATAGAAGGAGTAATATTATTGACCTATTTTGTCCTTTTAAGCAAAATGCACCTAACACAATATTTGGACTGCACTGCTCAATTTTGCTTAGGTTATTCTAGTTTATTTATCCTCCTCCAAAAAGGGTACGGTCAGTGTATATAGAAGGGCCAACAAATGTTGATGTAGCCTAAATTGATGTATGAAGTACACAGTCATTTCAGCGTGTCACAATGTGGGTAATGTTAGGAAGATCTCTGCCTCCCCCATGCATGACCCCCTCCCCAATATCTGGCTTTTGCCCATCTCCGCCCCCTCCCGCGCGCGCGGCACCAAAGTAAGACTAAGACTGCTTTTCATTGTTTGAATTTAATCTCCCCCCCCCCCTTCAGAAAATAATCTTAGAAAATTTGGGGCAAAAGTGAATTTGTTCTTACTAGGCTATCTAACGTTAGGCCTATTACTACTAGATTACACACCGTCCATATACCGGAAGGCCTATGCCATACGTGATTCATACATTGATTCAGTTGCAGACCATTTTTTTTACAGCGGGTCTACGCGTGTACAAATCGCAAACAAAACGAGCGCAAAATAACGCAAGTTGCTCACCCTTCCCGGAAGACCCCTGCTTACAAAACCGCACCTCGGATATTAGTATTAATAAGTTCAAACCTTCTGATAAATGAATTGGAATTTTGTACTACGGTTAAGAATGCTAAAAATTGAATAAAATTTGACCCTTCTTACCGGGGATGGTTCCCGACCGCCAAACTTGCACAAAATGGCCGACGATGTCGAATCACTCGACTTAACTATCCATGCGCCCTGTGTATAGGCCTACTTCTTGTGCAGAAATCCTGCTTTGTATTCGTCTTTCCTCTCTATTTTTTCACTTTGCTAAATTTTCTTTCACACCTCTTTATTTTCTGTACTCAATACGAAATAATTTCATACAGTGAAATCTGTTTAAATAACAAAATATTAAACTATATTCGCTTAGCGCATGGATACCATAATGAGTAGCAGTGCGCAGTCTAGTCCTGCGCAAAAACAACATTAAAGAGGTATCCGTCTTCCCGCTTAAAAAAACATTGAAGGCATGCGGAAGGGAACCACTTGTGCCTATTGCCTGGCTTAGGAGATTTCTAAGCCAATTTTACCTTGAATTTTTGGAGGTGGTCAAGACCGTATATATTTTTTTTTCTTCAGATGCCATGATCAATAATCGATAATAATCATCCGTAACGCCAGCGTGCCGTTTGCTTTATTACGCTCGCTACATTTTGCCAAGTCGTAGGCCACTGTACTGTTGGGAGTCCATAAAAAAGGAGAAACTACAGTAAATTGAAATAATCGAAAATAATTACGCGCAAGTTGAAACCAAATTTACCGCGTTGGGGTCATAATTTTTATTTAGCCTCTGCAATGTACATGAATATTTTGAATGGTAATGAAAACCGTCATGTTGAAAATAAAATGTCTTAATTCTTGCCGAACACAATTTTGTGTTTGACAAAGAGCGTTATGCCCATTTAACATTTTATTGTTGAAGTTAATACCAGTGGCGGATGCAGGATTTTCTTGTGGGTGGGTGCGGGTGGTTGAGGTCGCTGGGTTATTGAAGGTAAGTTATCAGGGCTATACTTAAGTACATCAAAAGGCAAGCCCTAAGGCAAAGAATCAAGATTTGCGATATTAAGCGATAAAGTTATCAAGAAAGTTAAGGAAATTTGAATTTTTTTCTTCCATTTTGTAAATGACAACCCAACTACCACCTCGGACCCCCCCCCCCTCCTGGAAACGTACAACTTATCAATTTTGTCTTTTAATTAAGTGATGCTGACCATGTTTTTCTTTTACTTTTTGCTCTTTCTAACATCGAACATTAAAAATGCTATTAGGCTCATTGATGGATCCAGGCAGAGCAGCATCACATCTGTTATATTTTTTCTATACCTTTTTATCCCCTCAAAAAGTCATTTTTCAAAGTATAGGTCTATTTTTGTTGAATAATTTTGAAATTTTGTTTTTAATTCTCAAAGACAATGTTCTCTAAAGTGTATAACAGGAAAGATATAGCTTACACATGCTGTATCCATCATTGATTTCGAAGGAACTATAAAATACCTTTTTTTTTTACATTTTTGATTTCCAAATATTTTTTCTTTCAGACTTTAATCCAAGAACATTACTTATTAACATCACCGAGTCAAAACTCATCGAAATTTCACGTTTTCAGCAATCGATACACACATTGAAAATTTAAAAAGGAGGTTACAAATTTTCATAGTTCTCTACACAGAAATACATTACTTTATACGCATGCAGGTGCAGAGTTCAGTAAAATGGTTACTTTGTACGCAGGTGCATGAGTTCAGTAAAATCTATTGCTATAATGGAGATATATACACCTTTTCACAATGATTACGACACAGAGATAAACAATATATTATAAACAATGTTGTGCGGATAATTTAGACCAACTTATAGGCGCAACCTTTTTTTTTGCAAGGCTCCATCATTTCACAATTATTACGACGCAGAGATAAATTATACATTATGTGCGGATAAGTTAGACCGACTATAATATGCCAATTTACAATCATCACAATACAGAAAAAAAACCACATTTATTAACAACTATGTTACAATACACAGATGATTACCAATAATTATTTACAATGACCACAACAAAGGAAATTTACAGTCATCAATTTCTACTAAAAGAAAAAAAATAATAGACCTGGTACTTTGCATGTATCTCAAAAGGTATATACCATTTCACAATGATTACGACACAGAGATAAATTATACATAATATGTGCGGACAATTTAGACCAACTAAAAGGCCAATTTACAATCATCACAATGCAGAGGAAATAAAAAGATTATTTATTAACAATTATGTTACCATACATAGATGAATATACCAATCATTATTTACAATGACCTCAACAGAGGAAATTTACAATCATCAATTCCTACTGAAAAAACCCTCATAGACCTTAAGCCTTGCAGATATTATAGAGGGTATTCTTTGTTGGTTTAATTTTTAACAATGAATACACAAAGGTTTATAGCTCATGCCTATCCAAGTGATGCAAAACCATTGCCCTCTCTATATACGCCGCCTTTAACGCAACAGGTCTAAACCAATTTACATTGAACACTTTTCCGAGACTTTATTTTATCTATACCACCAACCATCCGAATGTTTTTTAATTTGGTCGAAATAATCATCAAATTTATGTTTTTCAATGTGTCATTAATCAATCATATAAAGGCCTCTATATTCGTACCGTACGCGTACCGAAGGATTGACACAAACAATTTTGTATGCTCTACTTGGATTTAAGTTGTCACTTTTGGGTGAACTTTTGTGTATCGTACGGAAATGGAAAGGTAATTGGTAAAATGCAGTTCTTTGTTAACTATAGATCGTTCTCCTAAAGTGACAGCGTGTCATCAACACTAATATTGGGGTAGTCCGGCATCGGGGTTGCCATTTGCAACAGCCGTTTTGTATTCGATTGAATTGGTGTAGGCCGTAACAATAGGTTGACTTAAGAAACCAATCCATCCTTTAAAAAAAAAAGGCTAATAAATGGAAAACTGTATTGCTTTGAATTATCAGCCGACGTCAGTTGGTGTGATTGGTCTTTGCTTCTCGTACTTAATTCTACCGGTTTGGATGGCTGGCTACGGATTTTAGCATCTACACACTTAAAACATTAACACTGTCAAAATACATACCGATTTTGTTGTTGTTCTGGAGAACTGACCAGAAATTCTTTATAATAAGGCTTATATACATGTAGTATAAATATGAAATCTCTCGGTTTATGTTGAATTTGGAAATTTATTTTCAGGTTATTGCTGATGTACATGTAGTTTTGACAAGAAACAGTTAAACGGGGGTGGTTATGGGGTGAAAATGCAAAATTGGCACTCAATTGCCTTTAACTTATGAGACTTCTCGCATTCGCATGTCACTTTGCTTTAAGGGAATCTTAAAATGTCCACTCCAGGCGTACCATTGCAAACCCATGTCAGTTGAGTCGCAGGGAGGTTGGCAGTATATATATTTCCCATTGAGATGGGCACCGTAATTAGTAAAACACTTCCCAAACCACCATGCCCCTTCATGCCGATTTGCACAGTTCAGTGTCCCGTGAATATCATTATCCTGATCCTTTGTTGTAAATGGATATGTATTAAGATATTGAAGTGCATCACCTGCTGTACTCATTCCATTATAAGAGCCAACATGGAGTGCGTAATTTTGCCCAGATACACCAAACTCACTGTACTCTGCCCAAGCCGTGTTGCCCTCCCAGTCCTCCAGGTCAACACGAAGTTGCCATTGTCCAGTCTCGGTCAGGATGCGTAGAGCTTCATTGCCCAGCCAGAACTCACCAGATAGATCGCCAAAGCCAGATTGGTAGTCAACCCAGTTGCGGTAGAAGTCAACGGAGCCATCTTGACGTCGCTGAAAGACAGTCCAGCCTCCTCCATCGGTCTCCATGTCACAGTAGACCTGCAAGCCCTCAGCCATGCCAGATGGATAGATGGTGTAGACATCACTCTCACACATGATACCAGCTCTCAACAGCATTTTGCAGCTCGGGTACTTCCCAGCATAAGGTACCGAAAAGAAGGAGGTTTCATAGTTATCGTCAAAGAAGATGCTGCCTTGCCTCGAAACAAGGGCACATGGGCTCTGGATTCTCGTTTGATTGTTGAGTTCACAAATATGGCTGTTTGCATGATAGTTGAACGATGCACACTGCGGGTCCATAGAGCAGTCTCTCCCACAGATCACAGCTGAAGATACAGTGTTCTTTTGAAATACATAACCCTGCAGGACTCGGTTGTTCGCGAAGTAAAACTCACGAGGAGACACGAAACTGATATTCGGACACTGACAGAGGCAGGTTTTTGCCACAAGAGCCAAAAACAACGCCTCTATAACAAAAGCCATCTTGCTTGTAGCGACACGTATACGTATGTGATAGATCAAATAGGATTCTTTATCAAACGTTCTTCAAGCCCGAATCGTGAAATTTGAAATCTTCTCCTTTGCAATTCGCACACGGATGCACTCCTTGCTCGTCCAATTGGGGCCTAAACTGCGTCAAAGGCGAAGTCAAAAAACCAAATGTATAAAATGAATTTCACCGTGTTGGGCCTTTGCACGTCTCTCACGCTCGTGCAATCAGTATCACGCACTTATAATGAGCAGCAATCAATAAGGCCAACAGCAGACAGGTACGGTAAACAATGCCTCATCCTTGAAAGGCGCATATGTATACGCCCTACTTGCACTGTGAAAAGTATGCAGAGGACTCTCAAAGTTCCCGTAATCATCATCTACATTGCACGATGCATACATCAGATATAACTAACCTGCCAAGTTTTATTAATATTTATCAGGGTTAGCTAGTTGTCAGGGTAACTATATACTAACTTATTGATAGGACCGAATCGAACATTTCATGGTTAGGCCTATATAGGCACTGCAAGTCGTGCGTATCTCGGTTAGTCTAGAAAATCTTCATGCGTGACACAGGGGGATCGGAGCTCACATAAAATTACTATTGTATGAAAAAGAAGGCTTGGATACATTGGAAGAGTCTTTAAGAGTGGTACAGACGAGTATTTGTTTTCTCCTATAATGATGCCAACAGGTAAGGCACTTAATTGCAGTGCCTTTTGTATTGTTTTGATGATGTGGGTAGCTCTTTATTACAGTCTCCTGACGACGGGCAGAGCATACTGTCTGAAACGTTGAGTTTTCCCTGGTTCATTAACCTCACAAACTCACAAAATAGACAGTCACACGGTGCTACCGTAAATTGATCTTCAACACACAAACCTTCAAATCTTTTATCTTTATTATTCACTCCTCATCATGGGCGTCGCCAGGATTTTTTCTAGAGGGGGGCAAAAAAATGTTTTTGCCAAAAAATGCTTGTATTTCTCAACACATTCTCGATGTATCAGTTTTAGAGGGGGGCAGGGACATTTTGCCCCCCCCCCCCCAAATCATTAAATTTACACCACTTTGTCTTTGCGCCTCTTTTTCTTGTCTTTTTTTTCTTCCTTTTTTTCTTCCTTTTTTTCTTTTTTCTTTTTTTTGCTTTTCCAGGGGGGGGGGGGCAAGTGCCCCCCCTTGCCCCCCCCCCCCCTCGCGACGCCCATGCTCCTCATTTGCTTCGCCCACCAACCGGTTGAACAACCAAAAAAAGGCGTCATTTGCTGGGTTTGTCCAGTTGTCATAGTTACGTCCCACTAATTACGCTATAACTGATAATGAAAATGAGTAAATTAGGCCTGAGGGAACAGCTATCATATAGGCCTAGCTGAGACGAAATAATAAAAACAATATATAGCTGATGTTGAAGGTCGTTCGTACTCGTAGGCCTATAGCTAAATTGCTTTCCGATGATTGTTTTTGTGGTTGTTATTTAGGCTCCTGCTTCTGCCGTTAAGGCTAATTCACTATATTTTATACGATTTACGTAGGCGCGGCGGCAACCTACCAACCATAGAGGGCATAATATTTTTGTAAATAGGCCTGATAGTACGTGATGGACATTAGGCCTATGGAGTACCGTAAGTGAATACGTCACGCGCACAAAATGTGCGTGAAAGACATTAGCGCGTGCTTCAGCCCGTGAACCATAGATATAGAATAAAAAGACGAAGTTCTGCAAGTAGCACACTGAAAGCCCAATTAATAAGCTTTCAAATCACCCATGCACTTTCCAAGTTACGGAATTTTGAACACAAACACCGTTTTAAAGTTCTGCAGAATTAATAATGTTTATGCCCGACGAAAATGATGTCGACCTATAGTTGTCCAATCCCCGAGCCGCCACTGAAGCAGCTCCGCGACCGTGCCGCACTGACCATAAAAGAGCAAGGAACGAAACAATGTTTTGTATCCAACCAGATCATGCTGCCATTTAACAATGGACCGATCCAGTAAGCACCGCCCCATGGTATTCTGACCAATCACAGCCGTGATTTATGTCCGACATGCGTGCACAAAAGTCCGACATGCGTGCACGCGCGCGTATGCGCGCGGAAGGAAAATGCAGTGTGGCATTGGAGAGGAGCACGTGTTAATTTTCCCACGTGCGCACTGGGCGGGGCTTACTGGATCGGTCCATTGACCCACCCATCGCCGTTTGCAAGTTAGCCACGCCCCTAATTAGACAACCCTATGGAATTAAGTACGGATCAGTTTTGTTTGTCTCAGATTTTGCGCGTTCCGCGTTCATTTGTATATCATAATAATTGGCCAATATTTCACAAGCTGCGTCGACGCGCGATTCTACCGTGATAGGTCAATAAGTCGACTGTTGTGATGTAGGATATCATGTTTTGAACACAAGGGGCGCATGTAGCACCGGAGGCGAAGACGAGGGTCTTTACATCCCGAGGGTGTTCAACACGTCATATCCCAAATCACAGTAGCCAACAATTGTTTTGTTATACCTCTGTCTTGGATTCTTTGGATTTCGATGTAAAAATCACGAAAACAAACAGCAGTAAACACAGTAAACACAACAATCATGACAACCGAACGTCAACTCACATGCGCATGTCGCGTGCTCCAGGCGCGGTTCTAGAACCAATATTTTTGGGGGGCTAGCACGGTGGATCCAGAATTTTTTCAGGGAGGCGTGCTGAAATGTTGACCGGTTATTTTTTCCAGACACTTAGGCCTCCGGAAATCAATAGGGAGGGGGGGGGGGGGGGGGGGGGGGGGGGGGGGGGGGGGGGGGGGAGGGAGGGGGGGGGGGGGAGGGGGGGGGGGGGGCTCATGCCATATTTTCAATGGGGAGCTCCAATAAAATCCTAAAATCATTCACACTATATTAACTAATGCACCCTTGTCACGGCTATTTCTACTTTAGGGGGAGACCGTTCGCATGTACATCACAATCCTTCTTTTTGATAATGCAATTTGTTTTTTACGGAATTTATTTGGGGGGGGGGGGGGGGGGGGCTAGACAAAATTTTGGGGGGCTACAGCCCCCCTCCCCCCCCCCCCCCCCTAGAACCGCGCCTGGCGTGCTCGAAACAGATGATCGTCTGCTACTTCGCTGCTCCCACGTAATTGTGAAAACATGGTAAAAATAGATTGGGTACCAGTACCAACAATACAAGCGTTTCCCACCAAAAATTCACGCTACAAATATCTAAAAAAAAAAAAAAGAAAAAAAAAAAAAAAAGAGAAATAACAGGAACCGTGAATATAGACTATTGTTGAAGTTGCTTTTATTTATCAGAATATTTTGTGTGCCTCCATCCTGCTGGGTTATAATTTTAGGCTTTCTTTTAAGGAATTGGCTGATTGTTTGTGGTTGGACCTCCCGAACGGTAAAAAAACAAGCATTTCGAGAAAAACGGAATGCATATTTTGATTATGGTAAATATACAGTCATGTATGGCAAGCATTAATGATTTTACCTTTTTATAAACAAGTCCTTCAAACAATATTTAGTCATGCTACCAAGTGAAAGGCATCTTGAACTTAAGTACATGAATTTACAAGTAAGATGCTTAGTGAGTTTTAGATTAAAAAAAATGGATTGAAAATGCAAGTTGAAGTGATACATGTACATCTGCAGGATCTCCTTTTATGAAAGTGTAACGTGATATTTCATATCACCAAAACAAAAACATAAAAACACATTAAAAACAAATTAACGAACAATTTTCTTTCCCTCGTCACAATAGAGACCTTTAAAACAAATTATACAACCGATTTTTCAAAATAAAAATCGTCTAAACTTAGGCGTCATTTGAATTTGTTCAAAAAGGCTCAAAACTGCACAATGCAGTTTGAAACTTCTGCAGTTCTCGTACTCGGAGGTCCAATAAATCGTACTTGTACTCGAAGGTCTAAGTACTTGGACTCGGATACATAAATGCACTCGTTCCCAAAATGTAATGTCAAAGTACTCGGATCTTAGTGGTACTCGATACCTTGGTACTCGGTAGTGCTTGATACTCGGACACACGTACTCGACTACATGTAGAACACTGCTTTGAAATCAATTGACCTATCGCCGTTTGCGAGTTAGCCACGCCCCTTAGACAACCATAATTATGGAGTTTTTTTACACTAATTAGTTTTGTTTGTCTCAGATGTTGCGCGTTCCGCGTCTATATATTTGTATATCATGTAATTGGACAATATTTCACTAGCTGCGTTGACGCGATTCTAACGCGATTCTAATAACGCGATTCTACCGCGATAGGTCAATTATTGGGACCATTCTTTTAAACTTATTATGGGCAATTTCCCCGTAAATTTGGACATGCATGTACATTGAAAAGTGAATGTGATACTTCACTAATGTTAAGGTGACATATAATGAGTGGAAAACAATTACAGACTAAGGTACCATCGCCTTAACGACCTTGTACATCAAGTAGTTTCACGTACGCAGAGAATTGAATTTTACGGAATGGGTATGGTATAAGTACAAGTAGGCATCTATAATTCTAGCCCCATTAGTGTGGCCTCGCAGCGCAGCAATACCAAGGCCACACTAGTGGGGCTTCTAATAATTCATGACACCATTAAACGAAAGCTGCTGTTTTTTGTGTGTTTTTTTTGTCCTCGGGAGCATTCACTCGTAAAATGTGGAAAACCTTTTGTATTTTTGACTTAAGCCAGGTGCCGCAAATTAAGAGGCAGTAATTAAAATATAAGCCGTGTCCTGAGAAATCTAATATGCCAATATTGAGTTATACATTTTTAATTTTCTGTAAAAATAAACAACAAACCCAAGTGCAGGTCATTATATTGCAGCAACACTGAACACATATCAAATAAAATGACATGTATGTAAACATTTAAAAACACAGTGGCACACATCTGCATCTTCTACGTAGACTCCTGCAGTCAAAATCAAACAATTTGGTGTAATTTTTATTCGATAAATTAAATCTAGTCGGAATGCTTGTCTAGAAATAGAAGTTACTCTTCGGTTAAATCAAGACAACCTGTTAAACTGATGATTTGCTACAAAAAAATGCAAAAAAGAATTCCACATTTTGACATGAGGCTATTGGCTCCCTCTGGGGTGGCAAAGCCAATAGGATACCAGTATTTCCCCCTTGATAATTCGGCTCAAACTCAAAATTAACCAGCCACATGTATCTCAAATTCCTTTCAATTTCGAACATTCATTGAACACTATCTTGAAACAAAGCCAACTTTATTCCATGAATTTACTTTGTACGAAAATACGACTGCTCCAACTGTTTACCCTCCCTGCTTTAAAAGCTTTTAAACGCATGTTTTCCAAAGCCAAAGTTTTGGCTTTCATGGTCATGCATTCTGGAACGTCTCTAAAAAGCAAGCAGTTGAGAACTTCAAAGCTTACTTACAGTCTAGTCGTGGATGGAAAAATATCAGACAGATTCAAAACGAAAATTCATGTGAAGCCATATTTTATACCGTGAGTTTTTTCTTCTTCTGTTTCTTCATGCAAGCCACATATTTTAAACTTTTTTATGGTTGCTTGGCAACAAAGCTTCTTATTCATGCAATACTTTTTAACTCTGTTTTGTGTCTTGTGCCACGAATTTGTGCGAATAAAGATGTTATTATAATAGGAAAATGTTGCACACATAAGTAATTACAGGGGAAATTTACAATTAGTTAGTAATAAGTAAGTACATTGATGAAAGTATTTTCTTTGGAATAGTTTTAGTCCGTGTCTTTGGTTGCTTCGCAGACGACAATGATCTTACCGTTTTGTAACAGCTTAAGATGTACCTCTTTTTTTTCTACAAGATGTTGCAAATTGAGTAACTAATGTTTAAGAAGGTTACCGCCTTGAAAAAAGACTAACAAAACTCTGTTTACCACGCAGCATTCTAAGTAACACGACCAAGTGCCTTTAGCGCAATGTGTTAACAGGAACATTTTAAGTGCACGTAACACTGTTTAAATGCTGTGGATTATAGACAATGTTGAATTTTGTTTAGTTCTTTTATCTGTTAAGGAATAGCACCTACAAGTTCTCGTCAGAAAACATCATAAGACCTTCTGTGTTGTCATATCTCCAAGGGAGTTGTAATTTTTAAATTTTTACAAACAATGAGTGCATTTAAGATGTACTCGTGCCTATTCATGGGATACAAAACCAGTGCCTTCAGACTCCACCTTTACGAAAAAGGTCTATTTGATTTGGTCTTTCTTTTAACCTCATGAGCTCATAGTCTCTGCATAATCAAGTGTATCGCTTGAAACTTCGTAATTATACCGCAATGTTATCAATATACAATATTTCTACATGTGAACATTGCCAGATGGAAAACTGTGGTGCTAAACAAATTACTATACATGTATTTGACATCGACAGTGTATGGTATTGTTTTAGATACTGCTATCTAGCTCTGGCATGTTTTTGTTCATCTACATTGCAGATTTTTAATTTTTCAAGAAGCTCATCCTGGGTTGTATTCACCAATTTGGAAATGCAAATGTTTACCATTCTATATTCTTACAAGTGTCAATCCCAGGTAATGCACACAAGTGAGCCATTTTGTTAATAAGAGTAGTTACATTTTATCACAATTTCTAAACAGCTTCATTCACAATATGTATTGATGGTTTCAAAGAAACTAACCAAGTATTCTGGTGAAATCAGCTGTAACAAACAATTAACTGTTTGATTTGTTATAACTTCCATGGCAAGACTTTAAGACTTTTAAAGACTTTACTCAACTCTAAAGACCACTCAATTCCGTTAAATTTTGAATAACACACACCCAATGGGTAGAACACTGATTGCCATTATTTCTTTTTTTAAATTGATTTATAGAAAGCACTTACTTTCAGGTACAGCAACTTCCATGTCTAATCCAAGCTTATCCCAGTGCATACTGTATTATTTCACGTCCTCAGTCTTTGCATTCATTTTATGCGGACACTCCAGTTAAAATAAGCATGATGAGATTTGGACATGCTGCCTAGATTCTAACCCATTCATGATTGCACACTACAGCCCTTCATGTACACACAGTATTAAACCAAAGTGTTGAGCTTCTGCAGCTCATGAGCATTCACTGAAGCTCTTGCCTCCACAAGACCCTTCCGCAATCAAGCAGACCTTGAAGTGACATCTTATTCACTTTGAAATCTCCATTCCTATTTCAAACCGCGATTGTTCCTTCAGACAGATACAGTTTTCAACGTTGTGACATGAACGAGTTTCTTTTCTGCCAAAAAGGGATCCGCATGCTGCAGCCCTACAGTTTCCTCTAAGAGCTATAAACATGTCGCACTTATAACTCCAGTCAAAGCATACATCCTTGCAGATGACTGAATATTTTTCTTTTGGAATGTCTTAGTATATCACAAGATTAAATATTTCCGACTCAAAGCCTTGTTTAATTTACCAACAACAGCCATAACCTCAGTGCTCCAAAATTAAAAATTGGCTAGTTGTTTGTTCCACAATAAATGGCGTACCGGTACCTGTACATCCCATACATCACTTTGTATGTGAAGTGCATGCAGTGGCAAAGAAAATCTCTGGACTGTTTGCTGTACCTTGTGACATTAGCAGTATCAGCTTTGCTGCCAATTTGGCATGACTAGTAGCGCAAATGGTTACAATACATTCTCAAGCCAGCCAGCGATTGTTAGAGAAGCAGTGAAGCCTATATCCTCAGTGTGCATGCTGTGAGACACAAACTAGACGCTGTGGAAGGCTGTTTTCTGTGCTTCAAACTGTAGCTGCAACTTTGGCACACGCGCTCCAATTCGGCAAGCTCGTAATCTCATCACAGCTCTAGCGCCCCCTCTTGTTCATGTAAAATGCTCCCGTACGTTTGCTGCCTTCCTCCGTACAGCCTCAACGTTGCTCGACGCCAGAGTGTCAATGGCTCCCATCAAGTTATCATGCATCATCGCTTCTTTTAGAACATCTAGTCACAAGAATAGAACAGTTCTCAAGGTCACGACATGTTTTTTGAACAATCTTGGTACTTCCTTAAGGCCAAAAAAAAAAGTCTCCGGTTTCTGGTATGGAGCTTGCCCAAAAAGTGGTGCAGCGACGCGGCTTTTTTTTTTTTTTACCTGATTTTTTGCGCTTCAAATGTCGGCTGATGACTGCAAATGGTGCCTGACTAAACTTAGTGCAAATATATGGGAGTCCAGAGAGGCCACATAAAGCTTATTCTCGACCATAACCCAATCTAAAAACACGTTAAAATTGTGCAGCAGCAGGATTCCAGTCAAACCAGTGAGTTTGGCGGTTTTGAGACATCATCTTTCATTGAAGAAAAAACTTTTTCATTTTGCCGACGCGCATGGCTACGGCGACGCGCGCGCATACCAGAAACCGGAGACTTTTTTTGGGGGGCCTAAGAACCAGTAATTTAATTACGCAGTACCTTGGTCTTTCATACGTGAAAACACCCACCATGGTTTATTCGATGAGAATAACTACATCCCTTGCCCCGGTAAACATTATAATTCCCCTTTCTGTGAAATGGTACGGCCAAAGTCCTCACCTGATTGTGTTAGAAAGCCCACAAGGGAGAGAACATTGCACTGTATTTCGGGGGCAGTCGTGTTTGCCCTCAGGACCCTGCTGACCATTCCCAATAGATTGGAATCCATGAATGCTTGCACAGCTGACGGATCTAAAAGAAATCAAGAATTGAAGGCATTTGAATGACATTTTTTTGAAGAATTAAAGTCTCTCTTAAGAATTTGCATCCTTGCTCCTTGCATGACTTATAGTAAATGGTATCGCTGGGACGTCCTCCTCTTCACAGAAACATGCCTGGGACGTCCTCCTCTTCACAGAAACATGCACCACACTTTGTCCAAAACTGCCATTTTGAAATTGCTTCACTCGTCATTACAATTTTAGCTGTCTGGCTAATTTTTCCCACACAAGAAACAGGTTACCCTTAAAAGACCAAAAGTCAGTGAAAACGGGAATAACAAATCTAGGCTTGCCTCGATAAGCTTAAACAAAGCGTCTCAGTGACTCAGTCAGTCAGTTGGTCCGTCAGTCAATGACTCAGTCAGTCCGAGACTCAGAGAACATTATTGACCCTTCGAGTCCAGCAAAAAAAAATTAAAAATTAAAAAAATCTGGAGCAATATAATAGATTTTTTTTTTTTAATACTAGTCTCACCGAGTTGTGTCGAAGAGAGAAGCGTGAGTGCTATCAATGCCTCATTCTGCATCAGCGTGTGCTCGCTCATCGCCATGGCAACCAGGCGAGGCATTCCACTGTGCTCAATGATGCAGTGCATGACCTGGGTGTTGGCCGAGTGTTTAATGAGTGCTGCCAGTAACCTTCAGATTTTAAAAGGGGGTAAAAAGGGGGTAAAATTGTTTATAGAGTTGTTGAGACTTTTGAATGTCCCCACAAACCAACCACACAACTGGTTTGTGGTCCAACAACTACTTCATAAAAACATTTGTGATCTGTCTCTTGTGAACTAAAAAGAAAACGTGAAATTGGACTGTCATCAAAAGTTTATCAAATTTTTCGAATAGCATGGAATCTTCAAAAGTAATATTTGCTTCAGTAAATCGTACATCACAGCAAGACATACGCAGTTTTATGTAAAACAGCATTACGAACAGTGCAAATGTAAAATGTAATTATGTATAAAATTAAAAGGTAAACAACAGAATTGGGAACTACCTATTGGCTTCTCCTGCCACGCCTGCATGTATCTGACAGTCACAGAGATCGGTGACTCTCTCTATAAACTCAACGTTACGGCCCAAAGACACTGCTGTTTCTCCTACACAAAGTGGGATAAACACAAGAAATCAAACCAATTAAAGCGGCTAACATTTCGGATCCTGGCAGGACCTTTTTCAAAGGCAACAGGTCTTACCAGGATCTAAAATGTTAGGCTGTCTAGTTTTTTTGATTTGTATATTTCAGGTCAATCCAGTCAGTAAGCAGTTTGCAGGACTTTTGTTCATTTTCATGAACTTAAGAAGACAAACTTTGTCGCTTCTGGTAAACTGTCAATCTCACAAACAAATTTCAGTCTAAAAAAGAACAATTTTGGTGTTACATTTGAACATGTCTCCCATACAAAAAAAATCTGTCTTACCTTGGCCATCTATGAGCATTCTGCATGTTCCTAGTAGCTTGAAGACAACTGGGTGCATTTCTAACTTTAGGAAGGGTAGAATAACGTCTAGGATACCAGCTTCCAATAACAAAGGCTTGTTGACCTCTGTAAGGATAAGGTCAAAGGTCACAAAGGTGAAAGACACTGAATGGCTTAAAGCAAGGCTGTATAAAGTTCAAGCCGATATATCTTCATAGGGGCTATTTTTACACAAAAGGTTTGCCTAATTTTCAGTTTTGGGTCAAGATGACTTCAAGTAAATATTTCGCTAGTACTGCCTAAACCTCAGATATGGACTTGAGTACAAGACTAATAGTCAACCTACTTGGTATAGCTAGATTCTTCAGTGCACTGAGTACAGCATGCCCTAGTCTCATATCCAGCTCCTCTCCCTCTGGTCTCTTCAAGAGTTGTAGCAAGGGTCCCAACACGCCGAGCTCTACGAGTCTTATACAGTGCTCGTCTGTTCCGAGGAAAAAGAGAAATACAGAGAAATGACATTAACACACATGACACATAGTTTTATTGATTTATCAGGGAATTAATACAATGTACAAAAATGAAGAACAGGGGTAGTGGGTGACAATGGAGGCGAATTGACTTTGCTAATAAACGGATTTGTAACTCACCATTTCTTGCAAAGTTGCCGATGGCCAGCGCCCCGGATATTTGGTAGAGGTCAGTCGGGGACTTGATCCAATCAGACATGACGATCTTAAACAAGGACCCTTGACCGTCATTGAAGAGGTACTTCATACTGTCATCTGCAAAGAAGACAATAGTAGTTATATAGGGCTACATGAAATAATGGCATATGAAAAAGCAAGATCCCATGCACTGTCCGAATCTATTGTTTAGAGCTATTGTCTAGGTTCTTGTCCTTGCAACTACGTGGGGAAAAGCTGACAATAGACATAGCTGGCATGGGTGGCTAGTGCGGCTAGTGCATAGAGCACTCCCTTCTCACCAATGTGGCCCCGGATTTGAATCCCGGCTCGGACCATACGTGATTAGAGTTGTTCATTGATTCTCTCCTGTGCTACAAGGTTTTTCTCCAGGCTCTCCAGTTTTCCTCCCTCCACAAAAATCAACACTTTCGATCTCTGGCTGTGCTCTGTGGTTAGACATGACGGCAGCCTAAGGACCTTTACATGCCTTTTGCTTGACCACATTGTAGCTGCATCCTTTGCAAAGCAGCTTCTCAGCTGCGAGTAAGGAGGACAGACCCTCTATTTCATTATTACTATAAGATGTAGCTCTGGAGGTCTGTTTCAGACACTGCCTAACTTCAGCATACCCTGGGACAATAAGCTGTCCAGAAACTCTTGAGGGGGCTGTTGGGCCTCCTTATGGTGCATGTGAACTGGATTGAGTGTGTCAATGTCAAGCCCTGCACACCACTTGAATATTAACAAAAGGGCCCGAATGCCATTTTTGTCCAAATTGAGTAACCTCTGAAACAAAGGGGGCTTCTTTCTGCATGACAGATGTGCCCAAATCTACAATCACAAAACTATTTTGAAAACAATCAATTTCTTACCTCCGGTAAGTAGCAAGATGATGATGTCACTGGCGACCCTCTCGATGTCAAAGTCTTCGTCTGATTGGCTGCCTCCGGCCAACTCCTGCTCCATGAACTTCCCCACAACCTCCTGCACGGTCGGCACAAGGTCCGCCTTGGCAAACTCCACCTTCATGGCATCTGTGATTTGAGAGAAACAAATGGAATCCTTGAAACATCACTTGAGTATATGTTTTTTCATTTTGATGGGTTAATTGAGACTATAGACTATTTCAGTGATCACCATTTTCTGTGGTGGCGCCAGGTTCGCGCGAGTTACGCTAAGGTACATGTACTACGCATTCACTCCAGGCTCCTTCAACCAATAGATAAGGCTACCAAAATGCACGCGCGCCTCGTCTTGAAGATCGCGTGCGGCACGCGCAGGCGTGGCCTCTCGCAAAAAAAGGCTTCTAATTCTGTTCGGCAAATTACACTATACCAAGGTAAACGAGATACTTTTTTTAGAAATGTGATTCACCAAAAACACTCATTTTCCCCTCTCCTCTTTTTGAAGAGGGAGATACTTATAAACCATTTTAATTTATACTGCACAAGCATCACTGTTCAATGGTGACAACCAGTCCTGAATAGCTATAAAAGTCAGAGGTCTTCCTCAATTTTTGTGAAAAGGGAAAATGAAGTGAAAAAAAAAACACAGTGAAAGGTCTAATCAAAATCAAGTTGGCCATGTGATAAATATCACCAAATTCCAGGCCTGTCATTTCAGAAAAGCATGTAAAATCTGGCAGGACAACAAGTTCATTGATGACAGAAAGATTTTAACTGACCATTTTCGGCTAAGGTGGCGATAACTTCAAAGATGGTCTCCAGTTGGTCATCGTCGCCGACCATCTTGACTGCCTTGATCAGAAGCTCTGTGATTCCACTGTTGACAAAGGACACCTTGTTCTCATCTGGTAAAAAAAATGCACAGAGTTGGTAAAAATGCGTAAAAGTGGAATGTGTGAGTACAGAATGCCTGTGAAATACTTTCATGAGTTAGGGAATAAATAAGGATGGATGTGAATCACAACAGAGCAGTCCCACAGTGTCGGACATACATTTTGGACGATTCGATAGTGTGCATAATAAAAGTTATAATCATATAGTGGATTTTGATTCTGATAAAACGTAACAGTAAATCACTAAAATGATATTCAAAAGAAATTATTCATCCAAATTGTTTGCTGTAGTAGAAATCAGCTTGAAACACCATGGTGTCGAACGTACACAGACAAATTGAAGTTATTTTTGTACTTTTGGATTTGATTTGGATTTCTTAAAATTTTGGCATTGGGGTCTAGAATTCCATGGAATTGCCTAATATTTACTGAATGCTCATTACCACTCTTGATCAGTGAATAAACAAGTAGATAATGGGTTAAAGCTAAGGTTGAACAAACAATTCTTGGCATTAAAAAGTTTTGTTTGTTTAACTATGTATTAGTCATTCAGTGCATTCAACGCAGACTACTGACCGAGTTCAGCAATGTTGCCGATGCACATGATGATCTTGCCACACAGGCTGATGTCGTCGGGAAAGTTCCTCATCAGTGACACAAGGAGTTCAACGCCTCCTTGCATCCGGACTTTAGTCTGGAGTATGCCTACAGGGGAATAAAGATTGTTTCAGAACGAGTTTGAGGGCAAGTCCAAGAATTTGCACACTATGTCCCATAAATAACGAAAGTTTAACCCTCTAAGATATTCATGGATTTCAGTATTTTTATTCTACTGTTGGGCATCTGCAAGGAGAATACCCAAAAAAATTGTTTTAGTCTTTTCAATGATTATTACAGAAAACATGGCGTTGCAATTAGGACAAAAAGGGGACCTTTTCTTGGACTTACCCTTGAGGTAACTCTAACGTCCTAAGCATTTCTGATAGAAGTGCTCCCAAATCCACTTTTCTGTACAAAATTTGCTGTGTGTTCTACCTTTTTTTGGATTGTTTTCTCTTGTCTACTTATGTATTGTATCCAATGCCAGGTCACACGTGGTATATGCCTCCTTGCAAACTCACCATTGGCGTAAGTAAGATTCATCAGGTAACCACTAGCAACCACTCGCACCTTCTGATTGGCTGAGACTTCGTCAGGTGTTGAGGATCTTGATTTCAGCAATTCCATTAATCGTTCTACCCCCTCTGAATCGTGGATAGCTTGCCGAGCTTTGTCTGTGGCGAAACGTCGAAAAACAACTTGCTAGATTGAAAACAACTTGCTAGATTATTAAATTCTTTTATAGTATTCTATTGTTTAGACAATCTCGTTTGCAATTTTTGGAGTGATGGGCTTTTCTTGGGGGGGGGGGGAGGGGGCAAGGAGGATATTTTGACTTACCATGGTCACAGCAGATGTTCCCCAGGGCTCGACATGCCTGTATCACTACGTCTGTGTCCTTATGTGACAGCAAGTCGTTCAGGGTGGGGATGATACCAGCGTCTACAAACGGGTCGCGGATACTCTCTGCAAAAGGCAAGTTAAGTTTGATTAATTTTTAATATGCTTGGAAGACCAGACGCTGGTTAATGTGCTCAAATCATATTCACGTGCAGGATTTACCTATGTGGTAACGTATGCTATTTAAAATGAAATCAGCCATTTTCGTAGTGCAAATGACTTACTTGCATTTCAGTTCAGTTACAGTGTGGTCACGACTATGTTACTGAAGTTAGGAAAAGTCGCACATGGTCACACAGTTGTGAAGGTATTGTGAAATTTGCTTCAGAATTATAATGACAATAGGTCTCGTTCAAATGACATCATTTCCTACAGACCATCCACGTGCATCGGCATTTTGAGCGTGAACTTGCATAACGCGCATCGGCTGCGTCGTATTTCAAACACATTTCGAGTGACAAGCGCGCGTGTTTGGAACATTTTCAACACTGCGTAATGCGTTCTTGATTGCGTAAAACACGCACTTGCGGGTCTCCTACAGAGATGGCCGTCATTGAACGAGCCCTATAAAAATGCACACATGAACCGCGTGATTTTGATGAAACAGAAAGTGGAAAGATGTACTTGCCATTTTTGGCCATCTCGGCAATCACGTTACAGGTTCTTCCTAGAGAGTCGGCTTTGTCTGTACTCTTGAGCTGATCAGTCAGAACCGCCACCGTCCCTAGGCTCAGAAGACGAGCACTGGATTCCTCAACTGAAAACAATATAAGAACAAGTGAACAAAAATCCTTTGTTAACATGAGTCATAGAGAACAGTTCATCGACTCTTATAGTGTACATGTAATGTACACATACAGATACAGTAAATATCTCCCCGTACTGTCCCAAAGTGTTACTCCTTGTTGTCTCGAAACTGCCAAAAACTGCATGATTTTACTGATTAATAGGGACTCAATATAACGTAGTACAATGTATTACAAGTGCTAATGTGGTAAATTGGTGGCAATTTGTAATTAATTAGAATGGCCAACTTTTGGCATGACAAATTACAAGAGTTAGAGTTACATTTTATGATGCTCTGACTTAAAACCTTAGTTCCATGATGCTTTTTTTCATGGAGGTTCTTGTCTTTGGGAACTTCGCCTTAATATTGGTCCCTTTTTGACAGGAACGTCAGTTTTTGAAATTTGCTATCTCTATTTGTTTTAAACATTGACGACCAATGTTTCTCAGAGTCCAACTCGAAGCTGGAGGTGACGACATGGTTTGAAAAATGGCCCTACAGGTAACCTGAAGTTGGAGGTGATGACGAGGTTTGAAAAATGGCCCTAGGACACGTGTCTGTCTACAAATCACACATGAAATTTGTTGCCCCACGTCATTCATAACTCAAATAATTAATGTGGGTGTACCATCTTGTTCCAATGCTTGCAGCATACAGTCAAGACATGACACCGGATCACCCTCGTCGGAATTCAGCTGCAACTTCTCAACAGCCGTTCCTAAGTCATCTAAGGCAGGGGAAATTAAAAAGACAAAGAATTGTTGTTAGAAAAATAGAGTGAAAGTTCTTACATCCATTTTTAGAATGGCATTTAAGAGTTGTTCCAAACAATTTTTGGGTTTTTTTTTTAAATTAATTTTTTTGTTTTACATTTTTGAGAAAAACACATATGCATACATGTTTTTTTAAAGGCACCCTCAGGGCCATATGTTCTGAATCTTACTGTCAGATCCTGTCTAAAATGTTCCACAGGTTAAGTCCCATGAAATTCTATGGATACACGATGTATACAATTTACCTAGATATTCTTCAAATATTCAAGCATTGTATGTGTACTACTGCACCAATGCGCCCCTTTAAACAGATCCACTGTGAAAGGACATCAGTCTTGCTTAAGTCTAGATCTTCCGATGTCGCCTGCAGACAACAACGTAGCCCCCAGTTGCCCCCACCGGAAATTTGACAGTCCTATAAGTAACCAGGTTAACGGGTTTAACAGAAATTGGGCGCCTCCCCCAGTTCCCCCCCCCCCCCCCCCCCATGGTAATAACCCTGGCTACTCCAATGCCTGTCAGTGCCTAGTGTTACTGCGTGGCCAATTATTAACCTTAAATGCCACTGTGTGATCGAGACACAAAACCTGGAAGCTCTCCCCTGTGCTTAAACAGAATGCTACAAGTAAACTATTCATAAGATGGATTTTTACACGTTGTTTAAGTGTAACTTATACGTTGGTGAATGGCAAAATCTAATGTGGATTTACAAAAAAAAAACAAAGAAAATAAAGTCTTCCAAAAACTCTGTGATTCACCCTGGAACAAAATCTGGTTATAATCTTGATTCTTTGTTTATGAGAAGTAGTACTAGTATGCAAACAAGTAACAACACACAACTCAGTTTCAATGCTGAACTGTACATGCAACAATCAGACTGAACCAAATAATGTTCCCCCAATAGTCACGGCACTCAAACCAGACTCATCATATTATTATTCCGAGAACGTTGCCAGACACTCTTTGTCTGCCCACATGTCGCAGACATGGCCTGCTTGTCAGACGGCAAGAAGGGTGTGTAGGGCATGCAAGATGATACATATCATCAAAGACGGATTATAATGTATCTGTGTGAGAAGATGCACAAATGGCTTCTGCGGGGGCAGAGAATCCCTTGTCATGTCATCTGCCCTTCCCCCTCCCCCGGGGAAAATAACACTGATGAACATATTCAGACGTTTAGGCTAAAAACTGACCATCTAAGCAGATCGTGTCTTGCTTAAATGATAATGATGTACCTTTGTATGCAGAAGCAGGTTCTGTTTACAAAATCATTTATCGGTCTAGACAGTTGTCATTTTGTGATCTAAGGCTGGATATAGCAGAACAGCAGCTTGCACCGGTACATATGTATGAAGGGTTCTATACAAGAAGTACGTGTAAATGTATGGTATTTATGTACAGGCAGTGGGGTAGGGGAGGGGGGAGGGGAGATTGGAGCCTCTTGATGTACATACTGAATCTCCAAAGCAAGGGATCTGACAGAGGAAGTAAAAAAGAGCAATTTTCAAGATGTACTCACCCATGGTCTCAGTGTAATTTGCTCAATGTAGCAGAAATGCAATGTGCTCCACCTCCTCAAGAAAATTCCGCTTAGAATTCTGTGTGAGCAAAGATAAGCACGAAAAAGAAAAAATTAATTATAAATCAAACTGCTTGTAAAGAGAGGACATATTTTAAACAGTCATCAGTTCGTTCAGATACATTGACATTTCAGTTTTATCAATGTTGCCTGAAGGTGGTGTAATTTGCCTTAGGGAGATGTTCCGTACATTTAAATAGTGGGTTTTGCCCTTCAAGTACATGTATTATTTCTGTGCATGAATGACTGAATATTTCATAAGGTAATGAGAAACTACAGCTCCATTAGGCCTAAAAAAAAAGTCTCCGGTTTCTGGTCTGCGCGTGCTTCGCCGTAGCCATGTGCGTCGGCAAATTGAAAAAGTTTTTTTGTCAATGAAAGATGATGTCTCAAAATCGCCAAACTCACTGGTTTGACTGGAATCCTGCTGCTGCACAATTTTAACGTGCTTTTAGATTGGGTTATGGTCGAGAATAAGCTTTATGTGGCCTCTCTGGACTCCCATATATTTGCACTAAGTTTAGTCGGGCACCATTTGCAGTCATCAGCCGACATTTGAAGCAAAAAAATCAGGTAAAAAAAAAAAAAGCCGCGTCGCCGCACCACTTTTTGGGCAAGCTCCATACCAGAAACCGGAGACTTTTTTTTTTTTGGCCTTAGTGTTTTGAAGAAATCGTATACATTTCATTAATATTCTGCAGATATATACACTTGTGTAATTCTCGATTCAAGTATCAATTCAAGACAATGTTAATTGACAAAATAACTCCATCAGAGCTATTTAGAATATTACAGAATGCTGTGTAATTTTGAAAGTGTCAAACAAGATTTGTGAACATGCCATTTCACGGTCTGTTGAGCAGCTGAGACAGTGACACCAGGGTGTGATATAAACTGTTGCTCGGTTGCCAGGGGCAACCTAAAATCCACTCGGGCAAAATTATGAGCTAATATTGGTTGCCACAGCGGGATCTTATTGACGTGTAAAACAATCCAATGAATGTTAATCAACGACAATAAACAACGAGTGAGATGGTTGTGACACAAAGTATCTCAAGAATAGGCGGCGCTGACCGTCTGCTGGATTAAAAGATTATTTACATGTAATTGGTTTGGCTGTCTTGCAGAGAAAAGGAAGGGAAATAGATCATTTACGTCAGCGGTCATTTTTGTTACAATGAATGGGCAAGAGGTTGAATCTCAAAGATGGCTGGGATGCAAAAGGTCTATCTCTTATTCATCCCCTTCCAACATTAAGTTGAAAATTCTGAAATTGCACATTTATAAGATTAGAGCGTGGCGCCATTCAGCAACGAAGATCAATAAACACTACCAGTTTTAATCAATGCCGTCACGAGTTTGGTTACCAGGCAAAAACGGAATGCGCCAGTAACAATAACAGATGAAATTAATTACATTCCTGACCACTTAAGCTGAGCAAACACAGGGATTGAATACCCATGGGATTAGGCAACCATTAGCCAAAATTAGGAGATGAGAGGAAACGAAATTACAAATGTTGACTCAGCTTTGCTCAGGGTTAATGGGAAATTACATAGTGTGCATAAGTATGATCTTTGTGATTAATTAAAGAGGCATTGATTTTTTTTGTTTATGCAAAAATGGAATTTAGCTTTGGAAGCAGTCCCTTCATTTCATGCAATCAAGCAATACATGTAAAAAAAAAAATGAAAAAAAAATGTTAATATTTAAATCATTCCGTTAGTAACAGTGTGCAATTTTGTAATGCTAATAAAAGTTTTTAAGGCTTCCCTTTTATTCATAGTGCATATACTTCAAAAAAGGTCAATTGAGTCTATAGATGTAATTTCCTGTATGGCCAGCACCTAAGAATTTCTCACAAGGGCACAGAGTCCAATTCATACAGGTCAGAAATACGCAGCACCTTCAATAACGTAAATAAAATGAGAAAAAAAAGAAGAAGAAAAATAAAAAGCTCAATTTAATTAAACTGGCCGCTTCTCATTGATTGCAAAGAAATGGCCACAGCCTTGAGGGCTAGCACCTGGCAAATCACACAGGAATTTTCTTTCTTTTCGTCCTTTCCCTTCCCCCTTACAGATTGATAAATAATGAGCACGGCTGCTTTTCTTTCAATTTTATTCCCCTCCATTTTCAAGTCATTTCCTGCAAAATGCAATTTACGTTGTATGTGTGCATACGTGTATCGCACAAGAGTCTTGGAGAGATATAAAATGAAGTAGATGATCGTGGCCAAACGTGCTTTATCTCGCTAGAAAATCTCTACTGTCAAACCAGAAAACGGAAGATAAATTGTCAGGATGCAATCCTAGGTTTCTGTTCGATAACGAAAATGCCATGACCTACAAAACTGCCTCCTCTTTCCAGCAAATATACATAATTGCTGGCTGGTGAGCTATAATTGCTGGCTGGCTGGTGTATACAGTTCCCACTGTACATCTCTGGCAAATATTCATACTAGAAGGAAGATACATGTATACGTACATGTTGGACATCGACATGTAGAGGCTAACCCGGTACATGTACAAAAAAATACAAACTTAAAATGTTACAAACTTAAAATGTTACAAACTTAAAATGTTACAAACTTAAATGAGCCAAAATCCAGATTATGCCTAAAAACTTCTCAAATGGGATATTCCAGCATCATGATAGGAAGTGTACTGACGATGATAGAGCAAATTAATCATGATATCCAATTGTTAGATTCCGAGAAAAATGATCCAAAAGTCCTAGTCTGTAATCTCCTTGACCAGTACTAGATGATGGATGAATAAGATTTGAAAAATACATTTTCAGGTCTATTAAATGAGCTCTTAAAATCTCCGTCACAGAAAATATAGCACCAGAATTTCCCAAACGTAAAATGAGAAGACAAACACAACCCATACTTATTGTACAGCTTATTGAATACTGTGGAAATGAGCTAAAAACCTACCTGTCCTGGGCCCAGCTACATACATCCTCACATTGTCAAACTTACAGTCAAAAAAATGCTACGTAATTATCGTCTGGCTGTCTGCCTACAAACGACTCAACATGAATGTTTCAAACATCCTTTGCGGTCTCATGTCAGTACAAGCTGCGCAGCTGCATGTGATTTCCTGGGCAGACACGAGAGGCCCACGCCGTATGTTCCCTGTTCATGTCTCGCTATGTGTCATGCTCAGATTATCGTCGCTGCTGAGGGACAACAGGTACCTGCGAGCAAAGTCTGTGTCTAAGTCATACATTCACGGTGAGTGACATATTGAACTGCACATTATGGGACCCCCCTTTTTTTTTGGGCTGTATCACACTAAATCCTGGCAGGCAACTAAATTCAAACCCGTGAACTCGATGAATCACCCAAAAAATGAGCATTTGACAACTAATGTCTTGGCCAAAAAACGAGGGCACATGATCCCAGTGGGACGGGAGATGGGAGTGGGGAGGAGTGACTGTAATATGTTTAAGGTGAAATCACATGTTCTCTGTGATTCAAGATTCATCAACTTGTCTGTTGTGCTTCACTTGTTGTCCAAACTAATGACTAAGCCCAGCTCATGTACAGATATATGCACAATGTTCATGCACAAGTAATCTGTTGTACAGCAAAAAAAATGATAGAAACAAGATTTCCAAATGCAATGCTCTTGACACTGGAATTACCAATCACCAGAATTTGAATCATAAATTGATGAACATAAAAAACCAAATCAATCTAATAGGGGTCTATACAACAGCAAGCACAATATGGATAACACTTCATTTAAGTTCATTAATATTTTACTAGGCCGATAGCCAGGCTTTCATTATAAATAAGTATACATCCGTCAGAGGTTATGTAGCTCAGCACACAAATCTACGGTAGTGAAGAATAACAGCGACAGCTGTGAGTACATGATTTGAAGTTTCAACTCATGAGTTTCCTGGGGGATGAGTAAACATACAATAGGCACAGTTGGGGTTTTTCAGACATTACTCCCTTTCCCCCCCCCCCCCCCCCCCCCCCCCCGCCAAAAAAACCCAAACCTTAAAACAAAAACCACAAGGCAACCTAGTCAAGATGGTCCCTGAGTGCACAATGCTATTCAATTGACTCAGGATGTATTCACTAGAGTTCTCTTCGTGCATCTGATCTACATGTATCCAATGGCCGGATGTACCGGTAGACCATTCATTGGCATTACAGGGTAATCCTATATGATAGCACTGCCCAGCAGACTCAGCTGTGATCATGTGAAATATAGGCCTAAAATTGCTAATAAACAAAATGAGCAACAGCCTATAGATGTACAATGATACCTCTTCAAAGTCTTAACCCAGAATCACGAAATTAAAATGATGAACAACCTGCTCATTTAAACATGTTATGTCACAAACTTATCAGAGATTATTATTATTATTCATTTCTGGTCATGAAATCAAGGATTCCTCATTAGTGCCCTAGGCACTGTAAATCGCAAGCCTGACGAAACCTGTAGAGAGAAGACAATGAGAGATACGATATTTCTTCAAAGTCTTAACCCAAAATATATGATACACCGGTACCTGCTTATAGTTATACAACGTACATGACATTTTATGCCACAAATTTATCAGTGAATACAAAACTACCGAGCATCACACAGCAAGATGCAATTACATGTACCTGTTCACTGCGTTGTTCCGACATCAAGTCCTCAACGCCAGAGTCAATCTAATCTCACAGCAGTCTACACTGCTCTCCTTTCACTGTATCAAATGAAGCGGCAGAAGATTCTAACACAGCGCTTCGGGTGAGGGGGGTGTGTAAGCCGAGCCAGTCGACCACGTATTTAAAGTTTCACGCCCCTTCAAGGGGCGAATATTGATTTGGATGGCCACGGTGCAGTATAACGGAGGCGGGGCCCCACAGGTCAAAATATTGAAATTCATGACATGCACAGTCGCAAATTACTATTGGCATCATCGGCTTCTGGTGTTACACGATCTCATTTTAATTTTGTTGACGGGTATTTCGATACTTTCTGGAGGTTTAATTAAAATATGGTACGGTTGTTATTTCAGTGGAGGTTTTCGGCTCAAGGCAGATTTGTCTACAGATTTCCTTACTTCCATGAATATGTGTACACGTTAATTTTAAAATTGATACTTTTGCAGCATTAAGATTTTTGGACCGAAATGGGATTAACGTCTTGTCTTTATTTTATTTTTTTTTTATTCTGCATTCTGAGTTGATTTTGGAAGACTCAGGAAGATACAATGTACCGTACATACAAATTATGTGAATGCAATCTAAATGTATAGGGCCTACAAGGTAACATGCAAAGTGCACCAAGGCATATCACAGAACAGTTTGGGAAGAATCTTTGTCATTATTTAACAGTGTATTAACATACAGTACTTTAACAGTGTATTAACATACAGTACAATGTGTACAAAAAGTAAAGGGGCTCAGTACAACGCAGAGGTGTACTACTTTACACAATTTTTTTGAGTTACAGTACATGTAATTAAAATTATACACCTTGTAAATATTCTTCACAAAAGTGTAATATCGAAATGAGTTTTACTGCACATCAAAATACATCGTGTACATTGTAATTTGTAACTGTAAGTCTGTAGAGTTATTTTTTTTTCAGAGGAAAATATAGCCACTCTGTAATCCTGCATTGGAAATGTCAAAGAGCACAAACAGGTGTGAGCAAGCTCCTGTGAGCAATAAATTCACCTCGCAATAATTACTGGGCCTGTGTTGAATGCATGCTTTTGCATGGCGTCAGTGTGAATTTTCTCTGCCAGGGTTTAAGCCCTTGTGGGAATTTTGGTTATTAAATTTAGACTTACGAGTAGATCTATACAGAGGAAAGAAAAAAATACTCCACTGGGATTTATGGACAGGATAACACACAATGAATGCAGGAATGAGGATATATTATCTGTGTAGGCCTACTTACTAGCTTTGGAAATGGATGAATAATATTTGAACTACCAAAACATCCATTTGCTTATGATTTTCAATCTAAAAATTAAAACAAAAACTTGAATGTTGTGCGTACTTAATAATTCTTGACAGCATATTTTTGGGAGTAACAAAATCACCTGCAGTAGTTTTGACTGAGCTGTCCTAATCACTTACATTGAAATTACAGTACACAATTTGTTCAGACAAATGTACAGTTACGGTAATGTCTCCCTAATTTCATCTTAGGGCAGAGTACATGTAACTCAGATTGCTCTCACCCTGGGGGCAGATCAGCCCTCCTCAGGAAGGGGATTGCGTATCTTAGACTTTAGTCATGAATTAGAGGTTTTTTTTAACAATAAACCTTGCTGCTATATTTAGTTGGAGTACTAATATACTATCATATAGGATTACCCTGTAATGCCACTTGTAACACAAAACAACTGTATTTGTAACAATTGATATTACGTCATTTCCTACAGACCAGCCACGTGCATCAGCATTTTGAGCGTCAACTTGCATTTGTAATGCGCATCGGCTGCGTCGTATTTCGAAAATATTTCGAGCAACAAGTGTGCACGTTTGGAACATTTTCAACACTGCGCAATGCGTGCTTGATTGTGTAAAAAACACAGTTGCAGTTCTCCTAAAGAGATGGCCATCATTGAGCGAGCCCTATTGCTGATACTGTTACGCCCTAACTTGGTTGTCAGCCAAACATATGTTTGGCCTGTCCCAGTCAAGGCGATCAAGTTGGGTAGGCCCAACATGGGCAGCACCCAACCCAAGTTGGGCCTGCCTAACTTGAACGATCTACTTTGGCCCAAGCTGGGACTGGCCCAAGTTGGGGTGTAACAATACCACTTGGCATGGTTGGGTGATATCATGGTGATATCGTTAGGTGATATTATCATGGTGATATTGAATGACCAATCAAGCATGCAAATAAAGGTTATCATCATCATCATATCGCCGAGAGCCTTGAGGCAATGCGAATTTGGGTTCTCCGCAGTGCAGTGGCTTTTAGTTCATTAACTGAGAGACCACTCCACGTCATCAAGTTGTCCACCCATATTTAGCATGAGGTCGGCCGCATCCTCTCCATGTGTGCCGGCCTGCCAGGAGCCCCGCGATCACTCATCACTGCGAGACCGCTGCACCGCACCGCATGACTGCACCAGCTTGCCTTGCGCTCAAAATAAAAGTGCAAATGATTAAACGATCCAAGCATAATCAACTGATCCTGTATCATCACTCTTATTGTGCACGTTCAGCCCTACACAATTGGTTGATGCACGGTGCAATCTAACGTTAGTCGTTACATTGAGAACATAATTGGCGAATGTTTGTCAAATGATAGACACTGAGTTGACAGACCGCATTGAGCTGCGCAATTGTTCAATCAGTATCACGCAGACTCATGCCGAACAATAAAACTACTTTGCACAGCATGGCTACCATAGACTTAGTAGAAAAAGGCCATATGAATATAGGCCTATTATTATAGCAAGATGTTACTTATGTTGATGTTACTGTGTTAGACATCCACGGCAACATGATGAGAACAGGGCTACGACTAAGTAACAGTTAGTGTTTTATTTCTCCATGGTTAGACTAGCTGTGGGCTGAAATTATATTATTATGCTTGGTTGGACTGGTACTGAGGTAGACCCACTAACTGGGGCACTAGAACTCCTTTTTTGACATTTGGGATGTGGTCTGTAAATGTCAAAAAAGGAGTTCTACTAGCGCCCCAGTTAGATCTCCTTTTTTGACATTTGTGATGTGGTCTGTCATACGACAGACCACATCCCAAATGTCAAAAAAGGAGTTTGTCTAGCGCCCCAGTTACATGAGTTAGTGGGTCTAGTGCTGAGGTAGTGACACTTGGCCTAAAAAGAAAGAAACAATAAGTCATCAAACGTGAACTGGTTAAATTCAATAACATTAACAATGCTGCAAAGGCAAGTCCAAGAATTTAGAATATCAAATCAAACAGTTATACTTACATTGGATTACAACTTGACGTGCCCAGCCAAAATGTTTGTCCTCTCACTCAGGTAGGCTCTACCACCACTACCAGAAGAAAAAGTCAACTCTCATAGGCTTAGCAGTAGCACAGTACAGTCACGGACATGTATCGATACTGCATGCGATCGGGCTAACTTACGTGTTCATTTTGCGATCACACGTACGATCGCATGTTTTTACATAAATCGTCTGGTCAAAACAGTTCCATTTATTGCTTCCTAAAACATGTAAAATAGAAAACCTCACCGTCACTTGTACTCTCTGAGCTCCTTTCCTAGCCCTTTTGACATTAAATTCGTGTCTACGGTGACATGGAATAGCTCCCTCTTGCGGTCAATATTGGAGAGACTCTTGAAAGTCGATGAAATGGCTTTAATTATTAAAAACATGGTCAGATAAATCTCCTATTCCTAAAACAGTTTATTTTCCCCCTTGTTATGAGTGCTTCGAAGTTTGTAACAAATAAAACTCTCAACCCTGAGAAATTCATGACAAAATAAATTGTTTAATTTAAAGTGTCTTCCGGGATTAAGCACCAACTACACGTTTAAACCAGTCTATTAATGCTGATCTGTTTCCAGAGGGCGTGTGATCAAGGTCTTCATAATTATTTTGTCAATTAACCGGAACTGGTCGTTCGCGGTCGCACGTACGTACGTACGTACGGATATGCACGGCAAATGTTGTGACACTTGATGAGAAGAACTTAATTTAGACGTGGAAATGTGAAGTTCAGCTTGTGCTATTTTACGTAACTTAACTCACAGTGTGTCCTGTAGACTGTCGAGTAGTTGTTTAGGACGAATCGACAGCCAGTGTCAGTACCGTTGCGTTGGCAAAATCAACGGTCAGCCACAGCAGCCTCTGGGGCGAGTCGTTATGATTCGAAGTCGTTGACAGAAAAGACCCGTGAGATACTGAACGACGCAGGACAACATGGGGATGAGTATTCCGAAACCGAGTTGCGGCCACAGGTTCCTGCGGGTTGCCCTGTTCTTCTACATGTTCTTTTATTGGGTAAGCTGTTAAGACAAGCATGACAAGGCTTCGAGTTCGATTGGATTTCCATTAAAAGGAAAAGTTGATTTTGATGGCTTAATATTTTACAAATTTTTAGGTTTTGTGCAATTGTGGTTTAGTTTTTGTTTACTTTTGAAAAAACATATGGGTGGGGGGGGGGAGGGCGGGGCATGGGGGGGAGGGCGGGGCATGGGGGGGGGGCGGGGCATGGGGGGGGCGGGGCATGGGGGGGGGCGGGGCATGGGGAATTACGTCCTGAATTTTTTGAAAATTTTATAATTTGGATTGTTTACTTATCCTATTTCAAAGGTCTGGTTGTAATGAAAAGAAACTTAAGTTAACCTAATGTTTTACCGTTCCCGAGGAAAGACGAAAAAACCTGGTTGTTTACATCGGATGTGGCGGACGTTTTGTGGCATACGCATATGCCATTCGTAATTCCAGCTGTAACCAATCAATGTACGCTACACGTTGTGTGTGTCCTTATGTGTCCTGCACGTCCGCAGAATGCGATGCACTGTGCGGCAGGATTCACAAAGCACACAACACAACAGCTCGACTGTTGATAGTCAAAATTTTGACCCCCAAAATTCGTTCTCGCATGGTTCTCACAAAAATGCCCGTTTTTACAGGATGGTTGTGTGGACGTTTATATCCTACTTTCAAATGCTCTTTTCAATTAATATTATTTCGTTTAAAACGAAATTGGGTGCATTCCAGGACGTAATGTCTCTTTAATTAGTCTACATCATAGCAAAAATTTGACAACTTAAAACTTAGATTCATCTGCATGTTTTCATCAAGTGTTTAGTTAATCTTTGTTATTTGTTGAATTTTCGATGATTGGGAGATATTCCATTCAGAACTTTAGAAGGCACATTTTGTAATGCTTCATTAATAGTCTATAGACTACATGTAGGCCTAGCCTATATTATTGTTTTGGAATCACAAGATTGTTATCACAATAGACCTCAGCTATAATGACGTCATGCTTTGTTTACGCTTTCCTATGGGTGCCAGGTGGGGACACCAGCCAGTCGTCCCCACCTGGCTCCAATAGAAAAGCACACATGTAAACAAAGTGTGACATCATTATGTCTAAGACTCTAAGGTCTATTGTGGACATCTGATACCTACCTGTAAGTAGTTCTGTACTTTCGAAAACTCATTGATGAGTATCACAATACAGATTTTCGTTTCGCTGTACTGTATCATCGCAGTATTGTGTGTTGTTTTTACTTCTCATGAATGTTACAAATTGAACATTGCGTGGTTTAAAATTTTCTTTTTATTCCTATTAAACTCCCAGCTGTATGCCTGTGTATCGTGGTTATTTATCAGTACACCCTTTTTTTTGTCATCTATAACTTAACTTCCCCTTCAGTTCATCAAAAATAGGCCTAAAGTCTATAGTCAAGGGCTTACATAACTTTTGATAACTATTTTCAATGTTCAAAGTAATAAAAATTGTCTGCAAATTGTAGACATATATATTTTCGTTTTTAAGTTAAATAGTAATTGGGACACAAATGCGCCAAAGAGTCACAACCTCCCTTGGGTTAGCAAATTACATGTAACACAAATTTGTAACGTGGTTTGCGATGTTTTAAACCGTCACTTCCTGGCTATTGCTCGATGCAGTTTTATGTAAACAGAGCTCAATGTCACCCACTAAAAATATTGTTCCTTCCTTTATGATGTACATGTAGGTGTGAATATTGTTAAATTCAAAAGCATTGTACAGTGTGTGCTTTACATACAGTACAAAACAGACTGTACCAATGACTGCAAAGAGAGTCTACATATGCACATGTACAGTTCCCAAGGTACTGTAATCATACGTGTACATGAAAAAGACCAGATGGCCACAACTATTACCTGGAACTCTGTTTAATGGATCTTGAATCAATGACAACGACACACCATGTTTACAACATCATAAATACCCATTATTGTTTATTGATTAATGTTGCAGTGACTTGCAGACCGATTGCTGAACTAAATTGAAATTGTTGAGCTACATACTGTCGACAATTTTACAATACCAAACTTCCATGCAGGATATGAAACAGCACTTGTAACCACTTGATATGTGTGTGCATATCATAATGTGCACTGTACTTAGTGTCTGAAAGCCACGCCACAACACTGACTCATATCCTTTATGAGACCTTGGCAGTTAGCAAACATCTACGTGCACATATATCCAGACAAGAAATTTGTCAAACCAATCAATTTAATTCAGATTCTGATCGTGTGAAGAAATACTTCAAAACCTATATATAATTCGCTTGTTTTGTGTTGATGAATGATACATGTTTATGTAGGCCTAATATTTGTGACGTCCATACAGGATCAATCTTTTCTCACTGGCAGATAAAATTAAAGCACAGCATGAGAGCAGTCAGACAAACTTGCGATGACCTCCAGACTAGAATTTGATGCATTGAGACGTACATGTACATTGTACATTGACTGCTAATGTAATTTGCATTGATACCTGTACATCATATCTGGATGTATTACATTACATTAGTACAATGTATTGTAACAATGTAGGTGTACATGTACGTATGTGCACAGATACATAAGTGTACATGTACATTGCTGTTTGTTTACATGTGTACAATTATTTTGAAATCCAAAATAAATTTGAATTGAATAATGCCAGTATGGGACAATGAAAAGATAATTAGATTATGCAGACAACTAAATTATTTGTTAAGCTTTAAGGCTAACATCATTATTAAGTTACATAATGCATCAAACATGTCAAAATCTTTTGACATGTTTGACATCAACATATTTTGTAATTCAGCCCCTCCCTTCACATTTTGTACATGTTTGCACGCAGTAAGCATACAAGTGATACATTTGTTATTGTTAGAATGGAACGTGGGGTAACAGGGTTATTTTTTTTAAGGGGAAAAAGATTTATTTTTTGCAGTAATATTTAATTATTATTTTATTTCTGGTTATCAAACTTAGGATTCCTCAAAAGCGCCTAGGCACTGTAGCTCGCAAGCCTGAAAAAACCTGTAGAGAGAAGACAATGACAAGCAATTACAGTTTTAGAGGTGGGAGGAAAACCCCAGGTGAATTTTCTGGGGGAAAACCCACGGAATTAGGCAGGGACTGAAAACCAAATCCACAAATTGGCCCAGGCGGGATTTGAACCTGGGTCACAGCAGTGGAAGGCGAGGAAAGTACCGCAACGCCAACCTGACTTGGAGTGAATTACAAACTCCCAAATAAATAAATAAATAAAGTATTTAACCTAAACATAATACATTTGTACTGTATGTCCACAATGGATATTGCTGAAGATATTTCAGAAGTCTCAGGGTAAAATCCTGCATAAAGTGATTTTTTTTCTCAACCAAAATTCAAATGATTGAATAGAAAGGCAAATGTTCAGCTAAGGTACAAACATTTTCTTGTTCTTTTCTAGCTGATTGGGGTTGTCATTCTCAGCGTCGGCATCTATGCAGAGATCGCAAAATGGAACTATCAATCTATGGTGGATGTCTTTGTAACTCCCTCCAGTATCATGGTGGTAGTGGGCGTCTTCATGTTCATCTTAGGTTCCTTAGGATGTATCGGAGCCCTCCGAGAGAACATAATTCTGCTTAAGATTGTAAGTCATGTTGGTGTAAACCCAAACTACACCTAATTGCAAAGAAGTTTACTAAGCAGACAAAGTACTTGCTGAACAAAAAAATAACAAGCTGAAATTATACCAAAGAGAAACTGTAATAGTACAATTCCAGTATTATGCAATTTCACTTGAAGAGCTTTTAGAGCTCTATGAGTTACATGTAACTTGAAAATGTAATGTTCAAATCTTAGACATCCATCATCTAGTAATGGTCAAGGAGATTGCTGACTAGGAGTTTTGAATCATTTCTTTGAATCATTAATTAGAGATCAATGTTAATTGTCTCTGTCGTCGACATTACATTTAATTCCTTTCATAGTGCTGAAATAGCCCCCGTATGCGATTTTACTAACTCTTAATTTTATCTTATTTTTTCATCATCTCCTAGTTTGGCTGGACCCACGCCATTATCTTCATCTTGTTGCTAGTGTGTGGCATCATTGCTCTAATCTTCAGGGGACAGGTAGGAAATGGTCATTGCCAGTGCCCTTCAGGTCAAGTCAATTATTAAAAAAAAGTGCAAGTTGACCAAAATCAGCGGATATTCTTGCCAGAATGTGGGATTTCTGGTGAATTATATGTGATGCGATCAAGCTAAATGAGTCGTTTGTCAACCCTGGTCAGTTTTTTTTTCCAGATTTGAAAAGAGCACAATCTCAGCATTACTGCTGTGAAAACTGCAAGCTGATACCATATTTAGTTCAAAAATTATGGAAGTCGGAACACCAAGAGATGTGATGAAGAGATGTGATAAAGTGGCCCTATTTTGGCCTGAATCTCCAAATGAAAGTTCCCGACAAACAACTCATTTAACTTGATCGCATCGCATATGTTTAAAAATGTACGTATGTGTGTATGCAAACCATCCATTTTGTAAGGGGAAGGGAGGTATTTTATTTCTGATTTGTTTTAGCCGCTAAATTTTCAACTTGATGTAGGTGGTTAAAGACAAGCAAAAGCAGGCATGCAACTTTTCCTTGGATCCACTGATTTCCTCATTTTTTACTTCTCATGAATGCCATGACAAATTGAAAAATACTGTACAAAGTCTTGTGTGTTTTGGAGTTTCCTTGTTTTTCCTAAATTCCCAGTTGCGTGCCTGCAAAAGATGTCATGTGCATGTAGGCTTAGTATTTAGTACACGTACCAAGACCTTTTCATGACTTCTTGTACAAGATGTTCTTCGCTGTGGCAAAAATTGGCAAGATTTTGGTTTTACCCAGAGTGATTGTACTTTTCGAACTGATTGCTTGCAGGTGAAGGATTTAGTGAGCCAATCCTTCAAGAACACCATTGAGGACTATTACAATGATCCGGACATCCAGTTCACCATAGACTCCATCCAGCTGAACGTGAGTTTGAATTTCAAGATTTCTTTCTTTTTAACTGTAACCAAGCCTTTCAAACTTGCCAAAATCCAATGTTTGATTTGGAATAATTTGGAGGATTAAGTCTTGAATGTTCAGCTTACATGTGTTGTAATTGGTGTCTCAGAAGATGTATTTTCATGACTCTGTGAAGTTGTCCAGTGGGGCAAACATTTTAAGTAGGATGGCAGATAACAGAAGTAATTATGCCAGACTTGTAATAATTTATGTCAGTTATGTCTGCAATGCTACAATGTACATATGCTCAAAATCTGATCCTGAATTTTGATACACATACAGATAATCATGATAAAGATCTTGCTGGATGCTGATGTGAAGCGCAATTATCGTGAACTTTTCCCTTTTACAGTTTGACTGCTGCGGTGGTTTCGGTTTCGAAGACTGGGAGAATAACATTTACTTCATGTGTAGCAGCCCCGGCGTGACAGCGTGCGGAGTTCCTTACTCGTGCTGCAAATCAGCAGAGGTAATTTCCAGTAATTTGAGTGGGATTCCCTGCAGCCATTATGAATCCAGGGGAGGATAACAACGACTCCCCTCGATTTAAACTGCAACCTGCATTGATTGTGCAATGTATTTTGGGCTGAAAGGCGGACATTGTGGTAAACGCCCAGTGTGTTTTCAGTAATCTAAACTTGATTCCCTGCAGCCATTATGAATCGGGGGGGGGGGGGGGGGGTAATTCAACCAACCCTTGTTTTAAAGGTAGAGTAGATCATTTGCAACTATCCAAAGAGTAACTGACAAAATTATTGTTGAAAATCTTACTTGGTTTAAAGGTAGTAATGGCACTAAACTCCCTGGGAAATTGTTCCTTTTGGCATGCTGTCATTTTGAAGAAAACAGTAAAAAGAGAAGGCCATTTCCAAAGATGTGTCAAGTGACGCATCTTTGGAAATTTCCTTTAGTAGTTGGTTTGTCCTGGGCACTGTTTCGGGTGCAATTCAAAACAGGACTCAGCAACTTTTGAATTGAAACATAGATCCTGGAAAAATTTTTTCTCAGAATAATCAGCATTCACAGAGCTAAAACTTCACCCGTTAGTTGTTCATCACCCATCTTTAGATTTTGAGCACTTTTGTTGCATCAAATGAAAAATATGCACAAGTGACAAATGAACTACCCTACCTTTAAAGTACCTAAACAGTTCTAAACTAATATCTCGTTTGTACTTTGGCCGGACAGACCGACATTGTCGTGAACACCCAGTGTGGTAACGGAGTGCGGGAGGGTGTTCAGCATCGCTACGAAGTTTCCGACATCATCCATGTCAGTGGGTGCACGGACGCTGTGCTGACGTGGGCCGAGGACAATCTAGGCCTGATGGGTGGAATAGCTCTGGCCTTCGCCTTTACCCAGGTGAGTTGTCATAGCAACTAAGAAAAGTTCAAAGGTCAAATCAAATGTATTCCATTAGAAACTAAGTCAAGCAGGTGGTCCTCAAATGTTAGAACATATAATAAAATTTCACTTGTTTGCCTCATGTTTTATTTCAATTTCCAACATATGTTTATTTTTTCCCTAACCACACATGTGCATTTACACTATTTTTTGTCCAATTTATTGACAATTCTTAATGCCACATCCGTAGTCGTCAATCTAAGTTGTTTTCCTTTTTTTCCCTATATTCTTTCCATATTTCTTATCCCCGGCAGATTTTCGGTATTGGTTTGATCTTTCTGTTCGTAGACAGAATCAGGGATAAGATGGTCATGTATACAGTTGCTTGACCTTTGACCTGAGTAAGTTTGACCAATCACAGTTGGTTGCTGCAGTATGGATTGTTGGTGTTGCAGTTGGTGCATTGTTGAATTGAATGGTAACAACCAACACGTCTTGTTAACTTGAAAAAAAAATTGACTGAAAACATCTCCCTTCCTGAACTAATCAAATTGACTTTCTCACAATAAATCTAGCCATAGGTTTAATGTCTAATCTTTAACAAAAACCTTCAAACAGTAGAATACCTATATATTAATTACATGTGATATGTCTGGAATTATTGTGTTTGCAGGTCTGGTGATTTTGGATGTTGCATTGTCGTTGTTGACAACCCCACTTTGATAATTTCTCCTTACGTATTTAAACCCATCTTCAAACACAGCAGTGGTTCAGTAATTCCAGTGTTGTGGCTTGTAGTTTAACTAACAAAGCTCTGTTTATAATACAGCTGATGAAGCAGCAGTGACTTTCAGGATGACTGGCTAATAGTCATCAAAGTTCAAGAATTTGTTTTTGCTGTACATGTAGCTGTCCATTAATACTATCATAATTTGTTGATTAATACTACAAAGGTCTTAAGACTCCTGCTTAATTCAAGGCCAGTACAAATTCCCCATTGAGCAATGATTTACATTTCCTGTACTGAGGAGGAACTTTTGTTTGTAGTCCATACAGTTTGATATGATTTTTTTTCTGTAATATTTACATGTATGCAATCTGTTTTGTATTATTGATAATTACAAATTAAGTAGATTATGTGTTTAATAATAAAATAATAATAGATACCTATAACTCTTTTAACTAAGATCATAGCGCTTTCTATTATTATTATCCCTTATAATCCAGCCAGTGAAACATTCCAAAGACAATCTCAGCTTTCAGGGTAGTATACAGCTAGGTGCTGCCATTTCGGTGAAAAGCAACTAAAATCAATCACATTGCGGTAACAATCTCTGCCCTCACAGGTACTAATTTACTCCTGAATGGAGACAAGCAATGAGTGACTTAGTGTCTTGCCCAAGGGCACACGCACCACAACCCCAGGCTGGACTCGAACCCACAACCTGCAGGCCACAAATTCAATGCTCCAGAACACAAGGCCACTTTTGAATCAGATTAACAACATTGACTTGTTCTCTCTATGTTTCTACAGATCTTTGGAATTTTCATGTCCTTCTTGTTCATCACCCAAGTTGAGAAGGAGAGAGATGAGTATGATGGGGGTGCACCCAAAGGCGAGGCAGCGGAGCCACTGAAAGCTTAAAATGACCTCCATAGCTTCATTGCAGTATGTAGACTCTAGTGGTGGGATTAAAGGGAATATACATCATTTGCTTTTGCTGTAATTTTCAGAAATGGATGGAATTGGGGGGTTGGAAATATATAGCAAATATAGTTACACTGAATTTTTTTAGGTTTTGGGTTCGAAAATGCTATAAAAACCAAGAAAAACAATCATTTTCCTGTGTGGTTCCCTGACTCCATATAAGAAGAAACAGAGCAGTTTACATACATTGGGGAATTGCAAGGTCAGGGAACCAGTCTAGCTGGCTTGTACCCGTTCATAGGTGTGTAATCGATTGCAAACAAGTGCGATGGTGAATTGGGGCCAGTATTTGAAAAAAAGCCAGTTTTTTTCCAACGCTGGTCGGCCGACCAGCGTTGGAAATTGATACAAAAATACCACTTTTCTTGAAAATGACAGTATACCAGGTGCCATGATTTTACAGGATGCTTTACACTGTCATTCACTAACAGTCCAGCAAGGTATTTCAAAATGATTTGGTAGTTTTATTTTTTGATGTTTGCAAATGTTTTATTTTCCCTTTAAAATTTAGGATTTTTCAAAACTCGGTTTGAATTCCAATATACCATTGAAGAAAAGTTCCATAGTGTACTTTCTGCTTGCCTATAGAGAAAAATGCTATTGTAACAGATAAAAACGCAAAACACATTGACGGCTCTGTGAATTTACAGACATCCAGAACATTCTATGTTGATTGTTATAAAATCGAAATGAAAGTTTATATCTTCTTTGTTGATATGGCATAGCCACTTTTTTGAACTGTATTCAAAACTGAGTATAAACTATAGAGAGAATATCTATTGGAATATTTAATGCACTTATTGTGATATGCACCTATGGGCTTGGTGCGCCAACAAAAGAGGGCGTGTTTTTGCCGCTTTGGAGAGCCCTGTGGACCGTGAACGGGACACTCAGCGTGTGTATGCTATACTGGTTCGCCCCTGAAGTACGCACAACTTCCTGAATGTGCCAAAGCTCTTATCACAGTGTCTTCGCGTGAGCGTCAGGCATACGTTCGAATGTGACTTGCGATGGTCTTCCAGACTTTACGGCCCCAATAACTTTGGATACATTCGAAATACGCAGTGGATGGGCCAGGAACCAGTCTAGGTCTCCCCCAACTATCCTTTTCTGGCCGTTGAAGGGGTACAGCACGGAGCTCATTAACATTAAAATTCAAATACCAATTAATTCTTACTTGCCACGAATACAGAAAAGCACTTCAGAAAGTAAGGCAATACATGTACATTGATCTTTCTTGTTAGGATGAGATGAGGTACAGGCTAATTTCCAAAGCACTTTCATTGGATTATTCAGATACCTTCTGATTGGTTGTTTGTGCATGAGTGTAACTTGTTCATATATTAGGCCTATCAGATTCACCCATAATCCTTTGCATTCATGCAAGATTCTGTGATGGCAAAGCAGTCTGTACCGGTTGCTTTATTCACAAGACTGATTGGAAGGAGCAGAGATTTTGTTGTTAGTATAAACAGTGCATGTGTGATACCATAAGTCATTATCTGTAATCGTGTAAAACAATTACAAATAAACTTTTGATACTTAGGTCACAAAGATTTCGGTACGTATGTAAGAATTTATGAGAGTGCCTATTTTTGTTTCTTTGTAGAAATTTATGAATTTAATTATATAGCATGCTTTTTGAATTAGAATGTTAAATAAAGAAAAATTGTTAACATAATTGAAACAGACGTGTTATGAGGTTAAACAGGGTTGGAGCACTGTTGCTGAATGGTATCGTGCGATGATGAATTCAAACAGAATTTTCGAAATTTTCAGCAGCAACTGTAATCGGTTTGTTTAAAAATAAATTTAAAAAAACCAAGGGAATTTCTTTGATTCTGTCAGAATAACTGGAAGTTAAAAATCCATTCCCAAATGAATCAAGTTCCCAAATGCATGTTACTTTGAATAATTTATAAACAGCTGCCATGATATCAAAAATAATTTTGCAGACGTACGTCTTTCACAAGAACATACTGCACACGTATGTCTATCCAAAAAAATGCTCATATCTTTTCTCTAAAAACTTCTTGCAGTGTTTTAAGTTTGATACAAAGTGGTGCTTGAAAAAGGCCAAAGAAATAATGTTAAGGCAAGCAATATTGTTTGATACAGTCTGTTTTGCAGTTCTAAAAAAGAGTCATTGGATAAACTTGATATTTTAAAGTTTTCTACCCAGCTTTCTTCTTAATAGAAACAACATTAGCATGTGGCAAGGAGTTGTGAATCAAAATACAGTTCAGTATTGTACAACGCTCCCAAAAAAATTTGGCATAAAAATTTCATTTTTAAAGACAACTTTTGTATATTTGTGCATGTTGTATGTATACTTCTACTGCCTAATAGTAGGTGTGGTGTTATTATTAGGATGTTAGGCTTAAGATTATCTCCTTTGCATGTTCACAATAAGGTAATCAATTATTCAAATTTTGCTCTTCAAATTGTTTGAAAGTGTGTGATGCTGTGTGAATTCCCACTCACATGGATGTGTGGTGAAGTGGTCAACTCATGATATATAGACCTTGTGTGTGGCAGCCATCTTGGAGGGCAAATGCATGAGTGAACCTTTTGTGCATTAATTGTTACTGTATTATGATAACAAACGATGCCCTCTAAAATGGCCGCTACACATAAGGTTTATTGAAATGAGCGTGCCCTCACTTTAGCCCTGATAGTGGGCAGGCCATACCGCCCTCAAAGTTTGTGCGCACTGCCAAAAAACTGGTCCACATATTGAAGGCGTTTGAATTTGAAATCAGGCAGAGTCTATTCCATTGCCTGGTTAGGGGTGGTACATGTACATATGGCTTGTGAGGGGCACAGGATTTGTGAGTGGCACTTTATTACAAAATGTTTTTCAAATTTTGCACGAATATGTTTCACAGCTTTGTCAATTTTCTTTAAATTTGGGAAGTTGCATGTATACATTTTGTTTCCAACATTTATATATTTTGGATAGGCCAGAGTTTTTGAAAAAATGTTTTGATAAAAGTACATGTATGATTTACTTAGCGAAGATATTTAAAATTGTGGGATTCAAAATTATCCTTTTATTGATATGCTTTTTTTTAGGATAACTCTAGGTTTGCTTTGTGTTATTTGAGGAGAAAGATTTTTTTCTTTTCCTTTTTTTACCAAACATGCATGTTAAATAATCTAGAGTTTGTATGAAATAAAACAAGGTTTTCATTAAAAATGTGTTTTGCGAGAATTCTGAATTTCTTTTTCTGGCTCATGATTGTTCCATGTTGTTCAGATTTTTGTAGTGTTTTTTTTGGGGGGGGGGGGGAGATGGTTAGAGTTGTAAAGGGTGAGGCTAGAAAATAGTTTAGACTTCTGATGGGGGATGGGGTTCACATCACTGTAATGATTTGGTCATAATATTCTTAAAATGCGGTTTTTTTAATTCAATTTGACCAACACTGTGATCTTATGTTGAAATTGAGACCTTTTTTGGAATAAGTTTTTTAACATAAATTTTAAAAATCTGGGATGTCAATTTTTTTTCTGGGATGTCAATTTTTTTTTTGAAATGGAGATAGTTCCTTTAAGGTTACCAGTTAATGTTTCACTGCAGCAGTGAAGAAGGGACTACGGCAAGTCTAATTGACCTTATCATTCCCAGTCGGACTTTGTCCTAACGGCGTAACTCAATGGAGTAATTTGTTGGGAACAAGGTGGTTGCTGCCATTTTCTTCTCCATTTGTTTGCACGCGAGTGACCCACATGTCTCTTGTAACGTGTCAGCGATTCATTCGAGTTCTTCGAACTTTTTCAGCCCCTAGTTTAAACCCTTTCTTTTCGGCAGTTAATCCAAAAATTCAACCTTTCTGTCACCGGTCTGTGAGCTTTACAGTTGCGAGGTCCTGCAGCAAAATGGCTTCATACACAATCGAGGAAAGAGGGCCCCAAAACTCCATGGATTATCGCGTGTTTTTCAGTGAGTGTTATATTGAATGTGTATTTAACCCATTTCGTGAAAAAAGTATGTTGCTATTTTTTTGTCTGTTTTAATTGTAAATTGAATTAAAAGGCATATATGCCTATGTCAGTACTGGATGACTATAGTACTATCATCTACGGGTCCAGAATAAAGACTTAAGTCATAAGTGAAGAAATATCCACCTTTTCTTTTGCGCAGTGGCTATTGTTACGGCAGCCGTAACGCATTTCCCATTTTCTATCGTTACGGTAGACTGCAACCTGGCAACTTTTATAAAAAAAACATGACAAGAAAATATAAAATTAGAAGGAAAAAAGTGAATTTGAACTTTATGAAATTCGGACTTTATTTCCCTTTTAAAAAAAATCCTCCAAAGCCTCAGGTTAGAAAAGGAAAAAAATTCGAGTGCAAAACTGAAATTCGAACCCGCAACCTCGCGGTGCAAAATCCTACCCTCTATCGGCTGAGCTGGCGCACTGCTCGATAAAACGTGGGGAAACAAATAATTATATACCTGCGTGCGTATCAAAAAAAAATCGTAGAGGGCGCTAAACAACGAGTGCCGTAACGATAGCCACTTCGTTTCTTTTGCCATGTTTGTCCACACACTGGACTAGTGGACAGGTTGCAACATTCTTTCCTGAAAATACTCTGCAATTAAATGTAGGATTTGATTGAAAACAATTAAAGAGGACAATTCTAATTTTTTTTCAACAAAAAGTTAAAAAAACACCGGTCTCGCTGGGACTCGAACTCGAGCGGCATTACTTTGACATGTTTGAGGTGGGCTCGCTAGGCCATGTAGGCCACGCATTCCCTTGACGAGAAATGGTAATTTAATATCTTACAATGGTGTAGGCCAACTTGTACACCCGTGCATGAGGGCCCTATATTTATAAGATCTGACGGCTTAAGAATGCAAAAAATGCAAGACTGACTGGTTCAAGGCTAGGTCTAAATACACTTTTTAAAAAAAATTATTCAGATATCACCAGACCACTTTGTCAATCAAATTTAAGGCTACTAAATTAATCACAGATAATAATATTGTGTCTCATTGTTATTGCAGAGAATGCAAGTGGAACTTATGTATCTCCATTCCATGACATCCCATTGACTCCACCAGGCAGCACTGATGTAAGCAAGTTTATCCCTAACCCCTTGGGCTCTTTTAGTACTAGAAAGTATCCTGAATCTGCCAAAATCCATCAATTTTGCCATGCAAAAAAATGTTGGTGGCCAGTGAGTCCATCAGAATTAATCCACCAGTTAGGCGGGAGTAAATCTGTTGAGATCCTGCCAAAGTCCCCCAGCAGCTCAATATAGAGGTATCCTGAATCCATCAAATCCTGCAGTTCCGCTAGGCTTACAATCCTGAATCCATCAAATTCCTTCAGTTTGTGCAATATGGAGGTATCCTGAATCTGCCGAAATCCCCCAAAACAGGGGGGTGGATTTTGATGGATTCAGGTACGTTAGGATTAATGAACTTCTTTTCCTTTGATTTCAACCATTAGAAAGGAAAAATGATTGAATAACTAATTTTAAAGTTTATATTTAGTTTTGCCCTCAAATTTAACCAGTTTCAATTTCTAATCCTAGTCCTAATACTCCTATCAAAGGTTAAACAATTTTTTTAAATAAAACTTAACTTCCATGCTGTGTGAGTATTGCTTTGGAATCTAATTTGCATAAATTTTAAAGGATTGTTATTTCTTTAATTTCTTCCAGCCGGCTGTATTCAACATGGTGGTTGAAGTTCCTCGATGGACCAATGCTAAGATGGAGGTAAATTCCTTCCCCCATCCCCCCCCCCCCCCCATCTTGATCCCTTTGCATTAGTTCTCATCTGTAGAGAAATGCATCAGAAAGTCTCCATAGTTCGGAAAGAATGTTGCATCCGATGCCATTTTTTTTCATCATACATTATCTCAATAAGGGCAGTTATTGCAAAATGTTGCAAAGACATGAATCTGGGACTGAGAAACATTTCCAATTTTGTTAAAAAAATCTTTGAAAATGCACTAGACTCACCATAGACTTTGTACACAACCAAAGAAGTAGCGTCTGGATACTACATTCTGTCCCATAGGTCATCAATGAAAGTATCCTTGTATCGGTATTTTGTAACACCACGAAACCTTGTTTTCTTCTTTTTCTTCTTTTTTTTTGGTAGATCAAAACAACAGAAAAGCTGAACCCAATAAGGCAGGACGTGAAGAAGGAGAAATTGCGCTTTGTCAAGAACTGCTTCCCCCACCACGGGTACATCTGGAACTATGGTGCATTACCGCAAGTGAGATGATCACCTTTTTTTTTTGTAGTGCCATATTCGTGTGTAAGTTTACTCGCTGGTCGACCTCAGATCCCACAAACAAGCATTTCAAGATTTCAAGTGCAAAGTCTGGGGCTGAAAAAAAGTTTTCAAGCTGTTAGCATTTTTGAAATACGGTGGACTGATAGATGGGTGCTTTTTGGTTTGGGTAAGCTCTTTAATGTGTCATTTATGCCAACCAAATACTAGCGCCTTCTTAATATTCTTGGGGTCTGTGTCCTAGTTGTCTTCTTGAAATGATATGGGAAATTTCAAAAAATAGCATAAGAAGGTTTCTTCATATTTGTCTACTCTGTACTACACATCTGAGCAGATTTGTTCCATTTGCTTGCACAGACCTGGGAGGACCCAAGCCACACGGACGAACACACCAATTGCAAGGGTGACAACGATCCCTTGGATGTGTGTGAGATCGGCTCCCGGGTGGCCAAGAGAGGAGACGTGATACAAGTCAAGGTTCTAGGAGTGCTAGCCATGATTGACGAAGGTAGGTTTCGAACTGGTCAGCCGTTCTGAATGTTACGGGTTCACTTCCCATTCCAGTCAACATCTTTCTTTGACACTATATTTATTCAAAATCAATTATAATGTAGGTTAAGCCGCATTTGGTTTCAAGATTTTAGTATCATAGTTGATGTCTCTTTACTTGGTGGTTTATCCAACAGGTGAAACTGATTGGAAGATTGTGGCCATTGACGTCAGGGACAAACTAGCAAACGTCCTTAATGGTAAGTTCTGTTCACACCATTTCAGTTAAAAGTGTGAACTAGTTAATGATGAAGTCTCTTTAACTTTCCTTTTATTTTAGCATGTTAAGTTTCAGAAATGCACAAAGATAATCCTGTCAGTTTCTTTTTGTTTGTATCTGTAGATATAGAGGACTTAAGGAAACACATGCCCGGTTTTCTTGAGGTAAAGTCAGTCTTCTATCATCCTTGTTATATTCATGTCGTTTACATCTTACCGATTCCTACAACATCCAGTAAGAACTTTAAAGCTAATAAATCCAACAAATCAGAAATAAGAATTCTTTCGAATCAAACACAATCTAACAATCCTCTCCAAGAATTTAAGTCAGATTTTTCCTATATTGCTATTTTTTTCTCTCACATAGACAAGTTTAAACTCATTTGTCTTTCTTGTTTCACATTCAGGCCACTTTTGAATGGTTCAAGATCTACAAGGTGCCGGACGGGAAACCTTTCAACACATTCGCTTTCAATTCCGAACCTAAAAACAAGGTTTGTACATTTAATTGCATTGCAAATCATGGGTTGCTTAAACCATTACTGTTACGGCAGAAATTATTTTGTGGGAGAGAATGCCGTAAATTTAATCGTGATTTTCCCCCATTTTTCAGGACTTTGCTCTGTCCATCATCAAGCAAACTCATGGTCAGTGGCAGCAACTAATGCAGGGCAAGACAGATCCAGCAGGCATTGTCTGGTAAGCTCAAGTGAAAGAAAAGTTCCATATTTGCATTTAAATTGTGAACATTTCTGACTTCCACATATTGAGTTTATTTATTTTTTGAAATCTTTCTGTTGGATTTCTACCCCCCCCCCAAAAAAAAATCAAAGAAATTCAAACTATGTGTAACATGAATGAAATTGCCAGGAAACGTATATAAAAATTAATTGTTGTATTAGATTCAGGCAAATTCAAATTTAACATTTTGTTTTCATTCTTTGCACAGTCTGAATCTCCAAGTCTTGAATAAATTGTTTCTCATCTTTTGCTCCATTGTTTTCTCGTTTCTATTGCAGCGAAAATGTGACGGTAGCTGGCAGTGCCCACATGGTAGCAGCTGACACGGCTAAACAATTCTTTGAAGCTGTAAGTCGGTAATGGTTTTCTAAATGTTTGCAACTTACAACAATGGATTGTACCTTACAGGCCAATCAGCATCATTTCACTTATAATTTCTTTCTTATCCTTTTTTGTAGGCACCGGAAACTGGACAAGTTGAACCTGTTAACCCTGAGAGTAAGTCAAGTTGTTAATTGTTTTTGCTGGTATCCTGTTGGTTAATGGGCCTTATGCACGAGTTGGCCATTTTTGTCGAGTTCCCTGAATGTATTTAATAAACTGTTAACTGTTGAATGGGATGGCGCCAGACATTTTTTGCAGGCTTATTTAGGCCAAAAAAAAAAATATTCGGTCTCTGGTCAGACCAAAGTTCCGGAATTGACGCGGGGACGCGGCTTTTTTTCCTTCTTTTTTTGGCTTTTTTTTTTTTTCTTCAAGCTTGGATTGTACAGACAAGGTGGGGTACTATTTTGCTACTTGGTTTCCTCATGTACATTGGTGTCCTCCATAATTTGCCTTGGTGCTCTCGATCATTTGCCTGGGTGCAATTTCCCATTCCTTGGTGCTCTTTGGTAAAAAAAAATTGAGGAGGTGCAGCAATAGAGGGCGCTGTTGGAGCTAACGCGGAACATTTTTGAAAAAAAAAGATTGACGCGCATGATTAAAATCGACGTGCGCACTGACCAGAGACCGACTTTTTTTTTTTTTTGGCCTTACTGTCATTTTTTTTTTTTAAACTGGGCTAAAGCATTTGGGAATGCTCATTTACAAATTTTTAATTATTCATTGCAGCAGACTTGAATTAATTAATAATGTACTTGCTTTCATTTCTCTTTGCAAGTTCCAAAAATGAAGATTTTACCTCACTTTCAATTCAATATGGCCGACTCGTGCATAAGGAAAAATAGTCTGGTTCCTTTTTGCACAAAAATATTATCATTCAGTACTGTTATTGGATACAGGGAACATGACTGAAATGGTGGCAGCATGATAAAGGTCTATAAGGCGCATCAAATCACATGTACATTTTAACCTTTATTTGTACCGTTTTGTTTGTATTCACAGTTGACGCATGGCACTATATACCCCAACAATAGCAGTCAGTAATGCCACTCTCCCAGGATGGTAGTAAGCTTTGACACGATGCACCTGATGCCTTCACATGTCTCATAGATCCAACCAAGAAATCATGTCTAGATATTCCTCTTTTTTTGTGTGTCATAGTGATATAGAGTTAATCTACGATAGCGTTTTTGTGCCTTATGAAGCGTTGATATTTTAAATATCTCTGTAATTTGTTATTTATGTTGTGATTCACATCGTTTCTTAACAGCTGATATTTTTTATTAGTCAAATCTTATTACACCTCAATATTTTTTCTCTGAATTTGTGAAAGCCTTTTTGCAAATTAAACGCGCGTGCGCACATCATGATTCGAGAGAGAAACAGTTAACCACACATGTGCAAAATCAATAGCGGTGACCAGGCAAATCAAACAAAATTTCTTGTTTTGAAGTAAATGCAAAGTTTTGATTTTGTTTTACGGCACCGTGGTATAAGATGTTGTGTATGCTCCAACTTTTGTGTGAACTAAAGTTTCTTTGTTCTTTTTGATTAGATGAAAAATTGCAGAATGCAGATTCGGTTACCAAGTCTCCCATAGACCTGTGTGCATTCAGCTGCTTTGTTTATCTCCCGAACCAAATCGTTGAATCTGATGTGCGCACGTGCATTTGAATTTGCAAAAGAGGCTTATCTATTAGGTATACGTATAGGTACATATCTTCTGATGATGTTTCAGGGATGACAAATGCCATTTGTTTTTCTACTTTAAGATTCACTGTTAAGTAGGATAAAATATATGTTGAGAGATTCACTGGTGTTGTAGCTAAACTAGGAGTGGGTATGTGTCTCTGGAATGATCCCGAGGATAATATCCACAACACACATTGCCCTATTAGAGTGAAATGATATATTAATTGTTACTAAATTAAGAATGATATAGTAGTTTATATTACCCCTAAATGTTTTCCATGTTGTTTGTAAAACAACTTATATAGTGCTTAGAACAGGGTTTAAAATGCTGCTTTATTGGTGATTTTTCTTCGTCGTCAATTTCATCTTGTGATAGAGATAATGGTCGGGCAGTAGAGGTGGCAGCTTGATCAGCTTATAAAAATACATTTTTTTTTAATACAGGAATGTCTTTGTGAATAATGGGGAATTGTAGCCTTTCTGTCGTTAAGTTGGTGTGATATAAGGATTTTTGTCACCTTGCGTTTAAAAACCAAATCTGCGTATTGTATTCTTTTATGTTTAATTGAGTTGACACAATAGACACTTAGAGGTGTTCAAACATGCAATAAGTTTTGTATCAAATAAAACAAATATTGCACACTCTGTCTTTCTGTCTCTTGATGCGGTGAAGAGAAGTGGAGAAAATCTTCTGCTTCATGCAATACATGTGCCTACTGACTTGAAAGAGATTCTCAAGTATGCGTTTGTTGAAAAAAAACCATAACTTTGAAAGACCTCTGAAGAGTTTATTTGTCAAGTAAGTGGAAATGTAAAAAAAGTGGAACTTTAATTCCATGGAATTTGGCAGCACTTGACTTAACTGTTAAGCATTTGGGAGCTAATCATGTCGCGAGAGGGATAAACAATTGTAATTGAATAATTTTACTATTTTCCAGGAAGATTATTTTTTTATTTTTTTTTCGTGGAATCATTGTTGCCACATAGTTATATTAACTATGGTAATAAACTGTTGAAAAAATGGAATTGTTTTGTCGGTAAAACTCCCTTTTGTTTGAAAATTTTGTCAAATACTAAGCATCCACATACCCTCAATATTTGCCAGTTAGTTTTGTGTGGAAAAAAAATCACACGCCATTGTAAATTAAAGTACATGTAAATGTTCCCTTTAAATTCGTAAAATTTGTCTTTTCACTCAGAAAATTATTGACCTATTTTTTATCTGTTTCCCAAAACCATGGTTTTTGCATACCAGAGCTTAATGCTGTTCATGATAGAGAATAACTCAACTGCACCTTTAAGTTAAACTTAAGGTCAGAGGCGTGTTTATCATTGAAATTACCACATGTCTTTCATGCGTGCACTGTTGTGAATTGACTGGTATTGCTGTTGGTGTGTATAAAGGTTTTTAGATAACACAATAGGAACAAAAGTGAACTTGTGATATAAACTCTACGTGGCATGTAGATGCACTTTGAGTCCTGAATTTGTTAGTCCTGGTACTGTGCAATATTGTACAATTTGCAAATCAGTGGTCCGAAGTAGGGCCTACAATAACTTTTGGTGTTTTGCCTATAGATAGGGTACCGTACGTGAAAGTCCCTTACAAAATTTCATGTGTAGGAGTGTAAGTTTTGTGTCTTGGCTAGAAAAAAACGCATTTATTTAGTCTGGGTAAGTAGTTGTCGTTGCTCTGTGTTGCCCTGGTTTTTCAGTTTTTTTCTTAAGTTAGGTTTTGCCTGATTTTCGCAAAGCACTGCTGTACGGTTTAATGGTGACAACTTCTTTGCATTTCTCCTTACAGTTTTCTTATTTGTCTCTTTCAGGACAGAAAAGCTTTTACAACTGTAATGAAGTCTTGCATAGGCCTAGGTCTTATTCTGGTGGCAGTTTTTTGTGTTACCACAGCGGATGAATATGAAGATACTCCAGTATGCACTGGTGAGACGAAACGTCTGATGGAGCAAAGAGTGAGTGTAATTTTTTTCTCTAATCGATGTCTGGGAGAAGATGTAAAGATGCATGGAAAGTCTTAATATATAAGTGTCACTTGGTCTTAAATGTATCAGGAAGTTAATTTAATTACTTAATTTAGCAATCATGCTGGCAAATGTTTTGCAATTCAGTTTATCAGTCCAGATTGGTAACATCATTAGGTAAATCCTTAGTTATATATATATGGTGCATATATTATTGATTTTCCTAAATCTGGACAGGATCAAGGCACCGATGAAGACCTTTGTCAGCACATTTTCATTCATTCTGTAAAGTTTCTGATACTTTTGGCCAGTGTTGTAGTCGCGAGTCCATCACAAGTCCCTGCAAGTCCATCACAAGTCCATCACAAGTCCCTCACAAGTCCCTCACAAGTCCCCACAAGTCCCTGAAAGTCCATCACAAGTCCATCACAAGTCCATCACAAGTCCATCACAAGTCCATCACAAGTCTATCACAAGTCCATCACAAGTCCCCACAAGTCCCTGCAAGTCCATCACAAGTCCATCACAAGTCCATCACAAGTCTATCACAAGTCCATCACAAGTCCCCACAAGTCCCTGCAAGTCCATCACAAGTCCATCACAAGTCCATCACAAGTCTGTCACAAGTCCATCACAAGTCCATCACAAGTCCATCACAAGTCCATCACAAGTCCACCACAAGTCCATCACAAGTCCATCACAAGTCCTTCAGTCTCAAGTCAAGTCTCTAGGTATTGAAATAAACTGTAACAAAAACATTCCCTTGTCATTGTTCATCCCATTACTTGGGACTGGACTTGTGAAAGGACTTGTGACTAGACTTGTGAAGGAGTCAAAGGAATTATGAAAAGTCATTTCGATGGCGTGGGTTCGAATCCCACCGCTGCCACCATGTAGTGATAGCATGACAAAGGTTGTTCAGGTTCCCAGGCACTTGGACGTAGTGCGTTTATTCCGCCATGATGCAACAAGAGTATAGCCACATTACACACACTGTGTTCATGCGTTGTGCGCACAATATGAATATGTAGTTCCACATTAATATTACAACAGACTCGACTTCAACACTGCTTTGCTTTGAGCCATAAAAACAAATCTAACCAAGTCTATCTGTAGGTCTATGGTAAGCTTATACGTGTAAATTTGCTCTAATTATCTGAATCTTTCTTAACAGTTCAGACCATCACACCTGAGCTACCAGGAGCCAGATGTCCCCACCCTCAAGGCCACATTCAGCATGGGGTGTTTCTGGGGTGTTGAGTCGGTGTTTGGCGCCCTACCTGGGGTCATCAGGGTGAAGGTTGGTTACACTGGAGGAATTAAAGAGAACCCCACCTACGAAAGCTTGTAAGTCCGAGAGAACACTGTGTTAGTTTTCAGTAGGACAGAAATGCTGTATAAAATTTGTGACAAGAATGCCTTAGCGTTTTTTTAAAGGAAAAAAGAATTATAGTGGTTGGAGATTTGAGTGCTCAACATTTAGTACTGTACAAGAGCTGTTCAACTGAGTTAAACAGGCCTATGTTGATTAACGTCCAAGTTTGCTCATATTGGATGTCAAAAGCCAATATCACTTGGATAAGACACGGTGGATGGTTTTCTTAAATACATTGAACAAACTAACAGGAGAAAAAAAACTAGGTTCATTTTTTAACACAATTTTTTAAAAATATAATTGAAAATTACATTTTAATTTATGTGATTATTGATTGTTGAAATAATTTCTCTTGACAGAGATGACCACACAGAATCTGTGGAGATTGAATTTGACCCAGAGAGGATAACATATGCCAGTCTTCTGGAAACATTCTGGGCCAACCATAATCCGTCTGACCTAAAGCCAGTCCAGTACATGTCGGCCATCTTCTACCACGACTACATCCAGATGAAATCAGCAGAGGATTCAAAGTTGAATCAAAGAAGAGTTTTGGGAGAAGACACCCTGACAAAAATTAAACGTGCCAAAGTTTTCTACGATGCTGAAGAGTATGTGTTGTGCCAGAGATGAACTTTTGTCTTTATAATAAGCTTTCAAGACATACGACATAGGTCCCAACCCTAAAGCACTTTTACTTTTCTTGTCTTATTGAGCCTCCTATCTGTCTGCTTTGTACTATTGTAAGTGAGTCAGGGGTCCTCTTCTGTAAAAAATAAGCAGACAGGACCGGAGAGCCTGATAAGTTTAAATCTGGGGGGAAAAGCCTCAGGCTCCAACCCAGACACAGTTAAACATTCATTTAATTTTTCTGGATAATGCATCATGGTAAACCTTTTGACATTAAAAAGTTTTTTAAGTCGGCATTCAAGTCCAGTCCATACTCTTTTTGTGTGTTTTGGGCTGAACTCGTGTCTGGGCTTGACTGTGCAACACTGAAAACGGACTGTCTTTAATCATTCAAACTGTTTTCTCTCTCAGCTACCACCAGAAGTACTTTCTCCGTCAGCACGCCAACTTTGTCCAGAGTCTCGGCCTGACTGACCAAGACTTTCTCAGCTCCTGGAGAGCCACAAAACTTCTTGGATACATCACTGGAAATGGAGACGAGCAAAACTTGAAGCAGGAGAAGGATGCCTTGGGCCTGACGGACGATCACATGAGTTACCTCGCTGCTGCACGTAAGAGTGGCAAGGAGGGGAGGTGCTCAGCAGCCAAAAAGGATGAGCTATGATTGGAATATCCGCTAATTAGAGGCTTAGAGATTTAGGTGGAGGGTCATGGGTGTCGCCATTATTTTTTCTAGAGGGGGGCAAAGCACATTTTTTTTCCCGAAAATCCCTATATTTTCCAGCATTTTCCCGATTGCTCTTTTTTCGAGGATGGGCAGGGACATTTGCCACCCTCCAACCCATTACATTAACAACAATATGATTTTGCGCCTCTTTTTCTTCTTCTTTTTTGTTTGTTTGTTTGTTTGTTTGTTTACAGAACTGCTAATATAAACAATGTTCTTCCACAATTTTGTGCATTTTACAAAGACAAAGTATTCATACCCCAATTTGAAAAAGCAGATGGAGGTTATTAACTTATAATTTTTGCAAACTGAACATTTCTGAAGAGACGAAGACTTATCTGTACCTATGGTTCTTAATAAGTTCATATTTTGTAATTTGTCAAACTCTTCTTACTATAGTGGCTATGAAATGTTTGGATACATCTTCTGAAATAATGTTTGTCCTTTAAACTGTTTTGTTGGAGTAATTGTTATGTTTATTTTTGCTTTAATTGTGTGTATTGTTTGACTATATGCTTTATTGTTTTCTGTGTTGTCACATTTTATTTCTGTGAATACTGTTGGGTGGTGTTGGATTAAAATGTATGTTTTGAATGCAAAAGAAATTGTTAAAAACTGAGGTATTCACAGGTGACATTTTTGTTGAAAGAGTATTTTCACAGACTTAGAGTTGTCGTTCAAGGAAATTGGTCGGTAGATTTGCCAGTAAAATTTAGCTTGAGAATGGTGAACAGCCAGTTTTGTTTGCATGAATTGAAACAAAAAGTTTAGATTTATATGAAGTTTTCAAAACTCTACAACACACAACACAAACTATCCCCAAACTTCCCCAAAGCAGGAACATGTGCCCCGCCCATTTTCGTATGAACTACACGTTTTGAATCAAAGTTGTAACTTGTTGCAATGTTCACCCCGGAAATAGAATAGCCAAGTAAACCGTTTCTGTACTGCGCATGTGTTGTGTACAGAAACATGGCGTCGGAAGAGGAGGTAAGAAATCGGAAATTGTGCATTTTTGTAGGGCGAATAATATGCCTTGGAAGGAAAGAAGCTCTTGACTTCATAATCTTTACACATTATGCATTTGTTTGTCACCACTCTGTGTCTATTTTATTGTGCTCTGTAGTGAATGTTTGGAGAAGAGAGTTACTTTTGACATCGTTTGGAATGGAACAAAACGGCCAGCGTTAGGCTTTACCGCGCGCTCTGTGTGAGCACGGTACCGTACCCGTACGGCCGGCCTATTAGAAAATGTGTGAGGGCGCTGTTCATTTGGTGCCCCTTTCGGAAATAGTGATTGAAATTGTGATTTTTTGGAAAAAAATTTGCAACCTGACGCCACTTTTTTCTTCATATTTCATCTCAATCATGGAGGAAGGAACGTCCATGTCTCAATGAAGGTCATTCATGATTCATTGCAAACAAAAAATGATCATGGACTGAGTGAGAAACATTTCCAATTTTACTTAGCATGCTTAGGAAATATGTTAATGACTATAAATGTAGAACATTTTCTTGACCCTAGCTCCGACTTTGTTCACAATCGCGAAAGTGGTGTCAGGTTGCAACATTTTTTCCCAAAGGCCTAGGGCCTACCGGCCCTTCTAAAAAAAATGCAAATGCGTCAGCCCAGCGTCACCATATAAGTTTTATAACTTAGATTTTGAACATCAGAAGTAGCTTGATATCGTAGAAATAACAAATAAGAGCATCTTCACTTCAGCATGTAGGCCCTAAATTAAACTTAAAGTTCAAATTAGTTAAAAGTTTTTTCCAACGCGAAACCTACGACGAGTTTGTCGGTTTAGTGTTGGCCGCCATCTTGTTCACGTGAAGCCGGGATCTAACAAGATGGCGGCCAATACTAAATCTACTAAAATATCAAACATTTTCTTTCAGAAAATACTTCGAAATGCACTTGGGCAAAAAGTCTGTATATGGGGCCTACACACTGCCCAACTCCCTGTGAAAAGACACTGCATGTTGACATTGTAAATGTTGGCCTGTGCAACTTTTAAACTCATTACAAGTGTTCTTTGACATGGTTAAGTTGAATGTTTTTTCCTTTTTACATTAAACAGGATCAAGATCTGGAATCTCTTCGGGTTGCAGTGTTGGCTTCCCTGAAAACGGTAAGTTTTTGACGAAAACCTGCTGTTCAAAACGGACTGATCAAAATATACATAATCTGTTGAGGTTTTTTTTAACCCCAACTCCCTATGCATTTTTGCTAGGATGTAACCTCCATCCTGCAAAATGCTCCAGCTGTCTCCATGTAAAAATTGCATACAGCCTCCATCTTCCAAAATCATCCATTTTTTCTTGAATGTGGTCCTTGGAGGAGTGACCACTGCCTCAATCTTGCAAAATCCTCCAGCAATCACTGTCAATATGTTCAGGCAGAGCCAGTGTCATCCTGGAGCAGTGCAGAGGATTTCAAGTATAATTTAGGCCTAAATTCATGCACGGCTGAACAACACAAGGTCCGGCCTAAACCTTGACACTGCATCCTCCAAAATCAGCCACACATTTTTGCCATGTAGCCTCAATCCTGCAAAATCCTCCATTTTGCAAAGAGGATTATGGAGGATTTGGGAAGGTTAGGGTTTAGAAAAGCACATAGAGACCAACTCTGTACAGCTTTAAAGATATAGTCCATCATTTGTAATTTGTGCATTTTGTTCGTTTGAAGCAACACAAGTGTTCAAAATCTAATGAAGGACACTGAACAACTAACCTGATGTAAGTTTCAGCTCAGCTTCAGCTGTATATTCCGAGAAAAACAGCATTCTAGGATCTCAATTTCAAATCAAAAGTTGCTGAATCATGTTTTGAATTGTTTTGAATTGCAGCTATACGCGATGTCATGCACTGATCCGACAATTACAGCAAGCGCGTGTGCGTCGTGCCAATGCCTTGCGCGCGCTTCGCCGAATAACAAAACAAACTACTGTTTTAAATTTTCCTACGGTGCATCTTAAGATGCACTGTTGGAAAGGCCTTCTTTTGTTGATTACTTCAAAATGACAGCTTGCCAGAAAGAATAATTTCACAGGGAGTTTAGTCCACCTACTATCTTTCAACCAAGTATGTTTTTCCCCTCTAGAAGTCCCAGCAAGCATCGCCTACAAGCAATGATGCCAATTCTCAAAGCCCGAACCCAGCTACTGAACCCTCTGAAGATAAGCAAGAAGAGGAAGAACAAGATGAGGATGCCTTGAGGAGAGCCGCCCTCAAATCAACCAAAGAAATCAGGCTAGAGGTACGTCTTTGTTGTAAAATCAGATTTGAAGCTTTCCATGGTGGAAATGTCGAGTCAAAAGAAAGTGACCTGGATCGATGATTTTTTTTTTTAAAGGCAATCAAATTTGATACGCCAATAAAGTATGTATTAAAAAGACTCATCTGAAAAAAAAAGAATATACTGAAATTGATCCATGCTATCGTAAGTTATGCATGTTTTACCATTTTTGTAGCTGTCCATGGAATGCCATTTGAAGCTAATGAGCTGAGTGAGAATTGCAGATTACACACCGGGCCTCAAATAGAAATAAGATTTTAATCATTTATGGCAAGTCTGAAACATTATTTATACTGTCAGATATTGTGTTTCAAATGCTTTAGATATGAGGAACAAGTGCGATTTTTGTCCGTTTTCCTTTGCAAGTTTTCATTCTTTGTAAATTACATGAAATTTTCACAGTTACTAGTCAATATCATGAACTTTATCCCTATGTTATTTTTATGATGTGGAGCAAGCCCCATATATTTTTAAAAATATTTTTTTTCTAATTCGGTCGCTTTCTTTTTGACACGCCTTGTGAAGTGGAACTGTAAATGTGTAGAACCACCAAGGAATTAATTGACAACATATTTTTACTTGTCAAACTATGCATTCGGGAGTACCTGTCCGGAAAGGTTTTGTACTAGTCTACGGATACTAAGTTGACTAGGAAATGACATGAGGCTAATTACACAGAGATAAAGCGCTATACCAACTTGGGATTGCTAAAAGATGCAGGCAGATGAAACCCTGACAAGAAGGTGGCATAACATCCACAGTGAGCTTTTAGTTCATTCCAGATTTTCAATCCTGCTTTTGAGTTTTTTATTGAATTGGAAATAACTTGTCATTTACTGATCTTTCAATTTTTTTTTAGGATATTCCTACGCCACCGGCACCACAGCCAACATTCCAACTGAAGGGCAACCTCATTGCCATTCAGCCAGTACCTGAGCAGCCGGCACCAGGCCCCCTCAACCCAAATGATAGACCCAAACTACCTCGGAACAACAAGTTTGCTCGCTTTGCCTCCGACGATTCCGAATCCAACAGCGACACAGATGATGATAGCAGTGATGAGGATTCGGATGGGGGATCAGAGAATAACAAAAAGGGAAACAGCAGTGACAGCTCTAAGAGCTCATCTTCGAGTGATGACAGCTCAAGTAGCAGTGAGAGGAGCGATCACTCCTCAAGATCAAGCAGTGACAGTCGTTCAAGCTCTTCCTCATCTGCATCGTCATCATCGTCCTCTAGTTCATCAAGTAGTTCATCATCCTCCGACAGCTCTGACTCAGATTCAGATGATTCCCGTAAAGGCCATAAACATAAGAAAGCTGGCAAACGAGACTCACGGAGGAGAGGCAGCATCAGTAGGCACAAGAGACATGAGAAAGAGAGAGATGCCCGAAGGAGAGACAATAGAAAGGACCGACGCCCGGAGAGGTCTGAGAGAGACAGGGATCGCGAGAGACCAATACTTTCTTCACAGAGGGGAAGAGATGGCCGGCCATCCAGACTCAGAACACCCCCCAGACAAGGGAGCGAGCCACACAGTTTCAAAAACCCCGCCCCTGACAGGTTACGGAGAGACATGGACAGATTAAGAACAAGATCCAGATCCCCGAGAACGAGAAGGGATGGGCGTAGTTTACGGACACGCCCAGATGGAACCCGGGGATTCGGGACCAGTGAGACTAAAGTGCCTTCTGCAAATGAGCCATTAGAGTATCGTTTGCGTAAACTCGCATCCTATGAGAGCAGCGGATCTGATAGAAAAAGAGACACTCGTGAGTTGCTGTCGAGCCGAAGCCACAAGAGTGGGGAAAACAGGACAGAAAGAAGTGATCGTGTACGAAATTCAGACAACTCAAGGAAGTCTGATGAAAAGTCAAATAAAATACAAAGCAGCTCTAAATCGAAACGCACCTCATCTAACTCTGACAGTGATTCAAACTCTCACTCTGACATATCCCTGAGTGACATGGAGAGTGATTCTGACAAGGAAACCTCTCGTTTTAAGCATGCCAAGGGGGAAAAACCTCAGAATGAGCTTGAGGTGCGTCGGAGACAAGTCCCTCGGTCGTACAAGGACAGGTTCAGTCGAGATGACAGACCAGATGAGCGTAGGAGAGAGGAACGTCGGAGGAGAGATGATGATAGACAGAGAGATGACAGACGGAGAAGAGACAGGTCTAGTGGCAGGTCTAGAGACAAGGAAAGGGACAGAGATGATGCACGCAAACGCGACAGTGACAAGCACAGAGATCCCAGCAGGTCCAGCAATGGGCCCATGTCAGTTGTCAAACCAAAGACGGCAGATGAGTCAAGCGCCAAAAATATTCCCTCGCTCCTGGACATAAAAGTAAGAAATCCACACCTCGATCCCGGTCTTAGACCTGACCTCAAAAGTACATCCAGACTTGAACAAAATAAAACAAATCAGAGCAGAAGACATCGTGACAGGTCGTCTTCTGCTGGGGAAAAATTTGCCTCCCCGGACAAATTGAAAAATTTGGAGAGAAAGTTTGAGAGCGAGTCCGGGTCAGATGGGGAAAAAGTCCCAACTGGGCCTCGCAGCATTGTCAAAGTGGACAACAAAACAGAGAAGCGGAGAGACTTGAAATCACGTTTGGGTGTGCGAGCACCTGCGACAGAGCGGGCTAAAAGTCCTGATGCAGCCAGGCAAAAAAGGGACGAAGATGGCAAAAGACAATCTTCTAAAGTTGAGAGGGAGAGGAGGAAAAGGAAGTCTGGAGATTCTAGAGCAAAAGACGGAGTACGAGAGGAAGCCAGAATGAATGTTAAGAAGCCCACAGCAAGAGCAAGTAGTCCTGAAATATGCATCACATTTAATGAAGGTAGGTCTGTGCTATTAACTCATTTAAAAAAGGTCTTTAGCAATCTTTCTGATGGATTGGGAGAGATGGAAAGTGTTACAAAAATAAAGCATCTTGAAAGTTGAAACCTGTTAAAACTACATCTATGTTATAAGACTTGGCCAGTTTAAATGGTGGGTGAATTTTAAGGTTCTTGTTCGAGGTAAATGTACAAAGATCCTATGGATATACAGGGTGGTCAAAAAAAAATCTCAACCCCATTCTTCCAATATCAAGGGACCTAAACCATTGATATGTATGGCTCGGAAATATTGTTATAAGAAAATGATACCAAGAACTCAAAAATTTAGTTCAGTAGTTTTGTTTCCATTTTTGTGAACCAAAGTCCGGGGTTATAAGATAATCCGTTTGTTCACTGTGTGCCATAATCCTAATTACATTGTAGAGCCCTTGACTTTGGTTCACAAAAATGGCGCTGGAATCAAAACTACTGGATCGAATCTGGAGTTCTTGCTATCATTTTCACTCCAACAAAATTTCCTAGCCATATATATCAGTAGTGTAGGTCTCTGAAAAGTGGAAGTATGAAGTTGCGTTTTTTGGTGTGTTTTTTTTAGACCAGTGACCCTGTAAAGATGAAAATAGTTACAATGTAATTTCCCATCTGATCCACAGGTCCGCCAAAAAAGAAGAAACCGATCCATGAGAGACTTGGGATAAAGGGAGAAGCTGGCAGTAAACCACGGCTCTCTGTGAAAGACCGCCTTGGGAAGAAGGTCCCCAACCCCAAGAAGGCAACCAAGGACCTGATACGAGGACCTGCTGCTTATGATGATGATGATCCACTGGAGGGTCAGGTGCCCGTTCAAGTTGCCTCAAAACCAAGGCAGTCAGTGATCGAGCTGAAGACGCGAACAAAACGGGATGCGGAGAGCAAGCGTCAAGCGGAGAAACATAAACGGGATGTAGCCGTAAAGAAGCAGGAGACGGAAAACAGGAAGCAGCTAAACGATGAAAGCAAGCCTTGTGCCAAAGAAGAAAAGCAACAGGAAAATGATGTCAAGATTCGAGAGCCAGAAAATAAACAAGAATACAAAACTAAAGACAGTGCAGAGAGTAACAAGGAGAATCTGGAAGGCATTGAGCATGCTAATGCAGAGACCAGGGCTGTGGACAAAGGTGAAGAGAGTTCCTTGGGTGTTGAAGCTCCAAGTGAGGAGCAGAATCGCAATGAAAACACTCACCTTAAAGATGGCACAAAGAATCAGGAAGAAGTAACAGAGGTGCAAAGGAAGACTAAGATCAAACTCAGGCGAGACTCGACTCAGAGAGCCAAGAAAAGGGAGGGTAAGGTCAGCTTGCAGAAAGAGGACAGTGAGGAAAAGGTATTCCAAGAAGTGCTAGCAAGTCCACAAAGAGAGGAGGAGGCAGATGGGATGGCATCAGAGGATGAGCCTTCTCGAGAAGTAATCCGTTCAGAGTCACCCCACCCAAATGACAGGAAGGTCATCAGTGAGACCCAGAAGCCCAGCAGGAACATAATCCGCACTGAGTCTCCTCGTGCCAGTAGGCAAATCGTCTACTCAGAGTCTGACAGATCTAGCAGAAACGTCATTCCTGCTGATTATGACACATCAAACAGGAAGATTGTCCACGAAGAGCCTGAATTACTGGCAGATTCAGAGGCTTCGCGGCGGAAGATCGTCAAGGATGATTCCAGATACTCTCGACGGAGAGTTTATCAATCAGACTTGGACTTGTCACACAGAAAAATCATCCATGGTGAAGACCCTCCCCGAAGAAAGATTCTCCATGCTGACTCCGACACCTCAAGGAGAAAAGTGTTTCAATCGGACCGAGACCCTCCAAGAAGGACTATTGTCAAGGACTCAGATATGAAGAGGGGGGCATCTCCCTCATCCAGCTACGAGGACATCCGGAGACCCAAGCTAAGCCGGGGAGCAGAGTTGTGGAAGCGAGGAAACATCGAGGAGCAGACGCGGGAGGTGGAAATTCGGATGGAGAATGAAGAAAGGAAGGTGATCGAGGAGACAAGGGAGGCAGAGGCCAAGCGACTTAAGGAGGAGGCACTGAATGCCAGGATCCGGAAGATCAAGGAGAAGAATGCAGCCATCCTGCAACGCCACCAGGAGATTGAAGCCGAGAAGATCATGTTTGGATCTTGAGGACAGAATCCAGCTACAGATTTCTGTGGAGCTGCTAAGCAGATTCCATGTACATTGCTGGCATGAAGATGATAGTTATTTTGTTAATAAGCAATGCTATATTTCGTAGGAAATCTGCCAACATAAAAAAAGTTCAACAAATGTCTTGCTTACAGCAGCTATATGGGAATTTGTAGCTGGAAATTGTACTGCTTCTTCATCCATATGAAATTAAGGCAATTCTGTTTCATCTTTTACAAGACAAAAAGAGAAGTGTGTTTTCAAAAGCAGTGATGATTTTTAACTCTGGCAGTGCTTTAAGCTGATTTTCAGCCCATTTGTTGCAGTGCCTAGTGCCAGGGCAGATTAAGACGTTCCAAACGTTTTAACGTTAAGTTCTTGAAATGTAAAAGTAGAAAAAAATGTAACTTATTGAAGATGACTGCTTGCTTCAGCCAGACTTTACCAGAAGTAAAGGCGGTAGCTGAAACTTCACTTTTTATGTGAATGATGTCAGTTTCCTTTCAAAGTTGTAAAAAAAAAACTTGCACACCACCTGTTTTGTGGCACTGTACTGCTAGAGTTAATTGTCAATATCATCAACAAGGCACTGTGGAATCAAAGTAAATGTATCACAAATTTGTTCTGGTGCCACTTCGTTTTGTATTTTGCTTTTGTAATGACTAATGAGTTGTGTTGAGCCAAGGCTTCTCAAAAGTAAATATATATAGTTTGGTGCATGTATAGAATTCGCAGAAAGGTGTTTACTTTGATTTTAGTCAATGTAGATTAGTTTTGGCTAATACATGTACATGTATTTTTTGTTGTAAATTTGGTGCAGATTATGTTTGATGTACATGTACATAAATTGCTGTTGTGTTCAGATAAGTTTGTCTGCATGCAGGACATACAGATTAATGATTGGTAGTGAATGACCAGCAATTTATTTGACTGCTTTATCTAAATGTTTAGTATTTTGTTTCTTTAGTTTAACCAGTTCACGTCGGATGAGTATACACGCGAAGGTTTTTCGGTATAGGAACGGATGACGGATAAACACGCAAAGAGCGAGACCAGAAATATCTGTCTGCAACCCGCTCGCAGCGAGGGAGGCCAGAAATATCAGGGTGTGCTACCCGCAGCTAACGGCCTTAATCCGTCTGGCATCGAGGTTCCTTTAAAACAATTCCGCACCTTGGTCTGGTCAATTTCAAAATTATCCCGGCGCGAACTGGTTTTTTTTAAAAGGAACAAAACTTAATAATGGTTTTTCTTGATTGCAAAGGGAATGTCCTCAAAGTTACTTCTTTGCGAACAAAAATGAAACCTTTTTTGGTTTTGGAAAGCTCCATTTAGAACTTTTAATTTCCCTGGGGGACAACCAGTTGTGTGCTTGCAAGTAGGACTTGTTTTTGTTTTTTTCAAGTTCGCGTGCACATCGAGACTTCTTCCAGTGGAAAGAACATGCATTCCTAACAAACTAGCAAAAATCCTCGGAGGATAATCAGATTTTACCCAAGTTTGAGATGCTGCATTCAGAATTTGGTTGCTGAAAAAAAATGCACTCTTTTATGCCTATTGCTTCAGGATCTTTCCAAATCTACCAGGATACTCGGTGGATTTGGCAGGATTTTTGGAAGGTAGAACTGTAACTACGTGTATGTAAGAAAGGGATTGATGATGTCTCTCTAAATTAAAGACTGTGTACAGGTGTAAAATGAATGTGCAATTGGTTTACCGCACAGTAGAGTTTTGTTTAAAGGGAATATACAACATTTGCAAACATCAAAAAAAAAAAACTACCAAGTTTGTACGAAATACCTTACTAGGATGTTGGTAAATGACAGTCTAAACCATCCTGTAAAATTATGGCACCTGGTGTGAAGTCATTTTCAAGAAAAGTGGTATTTTTGTATAAATTTCCAACAGTGGTCGGCCGACCACCGTTGGAAAAACCTAACTATTTTTCAACTACTGCTCCAAATTTACCAATTTTTTTCAGTCCAAATTTTGTTTGCTATTGGTTACATATTCATGAACGGGTGCAGGCTATAGACTGGTTCCATTACCTTACAATTTTCCGGCATCTATAAATTGATCCATTTTATCTTTAGTGGAGTCAGGGAACCAGACTACTTGAACATTTTTGTTTTTCTTGGTTTTTCCAGTATTTTCAAACACAAAACTTCAAACATGTCAGTGTAACAATATTTGATCCGTTATACTAACCCCTCAAAATAGTTCATTTCTGAAAATTACAGCAAAAGCCAATGATGTACATTCCCTTTAAGGATTCAAATAGTTGGGAATTTGTAGTTTTGCAGAGATTGACAAGACTGTAGATTTAATTTTTGTATGCAGACCCAATGTACATGTAGTTTATTTCAGTGAATATGCTTTTTGACATTTGTATGACAAATGCTTTGGTTTTTTTTGAAACCATGTCGGAGGTCATCATCTCTGTTTTATAAAGACCTTTTTGAAACTCCCTGTATATTGCAACCATCCCGTGTATATTAATTATGAATCAGATGTATTTTGTGAATTGGCTTTACGTCAATACTTTCTTAAATTAATGGATTTGATTATGCGGGAAGCAGAGCCGTTCTTTAATAATGGTTAAATAATTTTACTTTATTTTGAAATATGTCCATAGAAGGATTTTAATTTGAGAGGAAAACAAAATTGTTTCTCAGCACAGCTTGCATCTTTATCAAGAATTTGTTTGTAAACCTTGTTTGCATTACAGAATTTGATCAACAATGTGAACTTTAACCCTAATTCCTTAGAGTTTTTTTACTAAGTACTGGACCAAGTCCGCCAAAATCCATCACTGACCCTGCATGCTGCTTCTTTTAATGCTTTAAGACCAAATCCGCTGAACTTATCCACCATCGGGGAATGGATTTTGATGGATTTGGGAAGGTTAGGGTTAATATTGCTTTAATTTTTGTTGAGATTGTGTAGGAAGTATTGTTTTTATTGCCCTTTTTAAAAATCTAGATCAAAATTTTGTCTCCGAAGAGCGGCAATCAGTAATTTGTGATTTGTGTTAATTTAATATAATTATTTGTTTAGAAAATTGGTCATTGAATTTCACGAAAGTTGTCAAATTCACATTTCACATGTTCAACAAATGCTTTTTGCCCGCAAGGAATTGCCCACAAAATGTTGTTAAACTCAAAAAGCAGGTTTATACTTCACATAAATGCCAATGTGAAAACTTGCAAATATAAATTGCATTTCAAGTGAACAAAAAGTTTTTCCAATATTTCACGACAAAATTTCAATTGGTATTCATGTGAATTATGAACCGCCCATTATGAGAGACTTGTACATTTACACTGACATATTAAAACTTCAAAAGTGTTTTTGTAAGATTTGTACAGAAATTTGTGGAATAAAGTTTAACTCACTTGTTCACACCACAATCGTAATTTGTTGCAGTGGAAGAATTTTTGGATGTTGGCAGTTAAACGGAATAATAAGATTGAAGAATTGAAACTTTGAATTTTTTCGATTCAAAAGCAACTCCATTATAGAAGATCTGTCCAATTTTTTTGCTACCTCCCCCGGATTTGCATGATTTGTTTTGACATTTAGTGGAAAATGGGAGTGATGGGTTGTGAATTTTGCTTTGGATGTTTAATCTGTTAGAATTCTTGTTTGCAATTTTTTAAGCTAGCCAGGTTTTTCTTGAGACGGGGTGGGGAAGCAGTGGCATAGCCGTGGGGGGGGGGGGGGTGTCAGCCCCCCATGAAACCTTGTCGCCCCCCCCCCCCCCCGCCCACCGTCACCTCCCACTGAGATTTTGAGTTTCTAAAAAAATTATCATTGATCTACAGGACGCCCCCCCCCCATGAAATGTTCCAGCCCCCCCCCCCCCCCCCCCCAGCGCCCCCCCCCCCCCCCCCCCCCCCCGAAAAATTCCTGGCTACGCCACTGTGGGGAAGGCAAGGGCACGTAATAAGTGTCCCGATTTTTAAAAAAAAAAAAAATCTCCCAGTACTTAAACTTCTGGGCATTGATTATGGTTGTTTTTAAGCTGGGGGCGTGGTCACGTAAGTATTGTACAATTATACCAATTTTTCAACCCCTGCAGTTTACTGTTTGATTGGCAATGCAACTTTAGGGGAAATATGAGGCTCGTCTTGTTCTCCAAACAGCACATGTATTTCATTTAAAAATGAATTTTGAAAACTTTGTTCCCCCCCCCCCCCCGCCAATGAACAAAACACCAAGGAGGACTGGTGAAACATCTCTACACCGGGTTCACTCTTCGCTGGTCTCGCGACAATAATGCCGTAAAGTAGGCGTCTGTGCCGGGAACCACCAGGGAAACAAGGTCGGCTATCGTGAGCCACGTATCATTCCCATGCGTGTCTGCGTACACAGATGTCGACGCTGCACCACCGAAAAACCCTTCATTTTGTAAGCTGAGTTGACTGAAATACAGACTTTAGTTGAAAATGAGTTGGTTTAGGTCTGTTCTAGGGTCCGGTGAGACTTCGGCTCAACCAACTGGAGCTGAAACGGTGAGTATTGTGTTTTTTGCCGCTGTCTTTAAATGGAACTTGCCGCATAAATATGTGTGTAGGCACTGACTGTGTCACTTTATCACACTGAGTGTGACTGTGTCAACAGTCATGACTAGCTGTAGATTGTATTTAATTTTGTCATGATTGTGTAGCTGTAGAACACCAATGCATGTTTTGATTTCCCTCTAAAGAAGATCATCTGCAGCTATCCAAAAAGTAATGGACAAAGTTATTGCTGAAAAGCTTACTTGGTTTAGAGAGCCCATAGGCCCTAGATATTTATGCATGGCTGAGCAAAAACAACACAAGGTCCGGCCCAAGACCTTGACAAAGTGCATCCTACGAAATCAGTAACGCACTTTTGCCATGTATGATGTAACCTCAATCCTCCAAATTCCTCCACTTTGGCAAAGAGGATTTTGAAGGATTCAGGGCGGTTAGGGTTAAATAAAGCTGGAACTTAATTAATTGAAATGATTACAAAAGCATCGATTAACATTATGCCTAATCACGTCAATTTAATAATGAATTGTGAAAGTTGTTTTACTAGTATTTGGAACTAGGCCTACTTCCAGTACTGGTTTCGTACTTTTTCCTGTATATTCTTGGTAGTGGATATTTTGCCGGAGGTAATGACGGCAAACTAACGATTACTAAAGGTTTGCCGGCGGCAATCCATATCAACAGAGGGCGCTGTACTCTTTAAAATAGGGCTGAATTATAATATGTATTAAATTCCCACCAAAAGTTGTGTAGCACGTTTGGTGTAGTGGCTAAGCAAAGGCTCTAGTAAGCGGGATGACTCGCGTTCGATTCCGACCGCACCACATTTGTAAGGTTTTTTTTCTCATCCCCAAATAAATAAGAATATTCTTCTTTTATTATTTTAACATGTCTCAAACATTTTTTGCAGAGTATTACATTTTCTTTTTCAAATTTGTGGCTCTGGAGGATTTTTTTTAAAAGGGAAATAAAGTCCGAAATTATAAAATGGTCTGAATCCCATCTTGTGAATACGAGGTAACAACGATAATTTTGGCATGGAGCCAGACTAAAACTTGTCACCGGAGAATTTGTAAGTACAAAAAAACAGTAACTGCGCATGTTCAGTGCATATCCGGCAAACTAACGTTTACTAAAGGTTTGCCGTCTCCGGCAAAATATACACTGCCTATATTCTTTGTTTTTGATATTGCCAGATTGCACGTCTCTGTGACAGAGTTCAGTCTTCAACACTCCTTGATGACAGACGAGACGCTGTACGGGCACTGAAATCACTCTCGAAGGTACTGAAAATAATCTTGCAAATTGTGCATACTTCATACCTTCGTTTTAAACACTATTATTATAAACTGATTGCATTTTTCAGCCATCCATGCCATATTTGTGGGTCTATGCAATGAATTTTTCTTAGGAACACAATTTGTGCAATTTTCAAGTTTCTACTCCTTTTAAATATATGAAAACTATTTGACATCCCTTTTTTGGTTAATTTTATTGAAAAGTGCACTTCTTTAAACGTGTATATAAATGTCCATGCTTTTCCAGACAACTTGGGGCACTGTTGCTGTGATGTCATTTCAGGAAGACACTGTTCAGTTTAGGGGTTTTCTGTTCAAATTGTGAACCGAAAAATTTGCTCATTGAAAATATTTGTGAGAAAGGTTTGCTCATTGGCTTACTGTCGTGTATAAATATTTACAACCACAAAATATCAAATCTTTGTTGTTTTTGGCTAGAAATTCCGCCTGGAGGTTGGGACTCAATGCATGGATGTGCTGTTGGGCGTCTTGCAGACGGATAGGAGCGACTCGGAGATTGCCAGCTATGCAGTGGAGACCCTGCTGAACATCATCTGCCCGACCATGGATGAGGAAGATGGTAAAGGAAAAATATTGTCGATTGTCAAATTTGTCGGAATAATGCCTGTTTCAGAATGGCATGTATAATTATTATTTTTCTTAATTTATATTATCAAACTCTCGCGACCAAAAGGTCGAAGTGCAGTTCAATGTACAATGAGATAGTTTTAAAAAGTTTAAAAGTTATCACAGTAGTTGTTAAAAAAGCCTTAAAATATATGGACTACTTGTATTAGATATAAAAATTACACTAATGGTTTAAGAGCAATTTTATAAAGCAGAAAGACCAACCCCTCGAATATTCTAGCCCAGCTCTAATCCTCAATAAAAATTTTTTTTAAAGCTACCAGATAAAATTATAAGAAAGTGAGCATTGTGCCATAATGCATTGTGCCAAGATCTAGCCGGTAGCTTGTGTTGTCTATGCTTTGCCATGCATACATTTAGGCCTAGATTATACTTGAATCATCCGGAATGCTTCTGAAAATCATCCGCACTGCCTCAACGTAATAACAGTGATTGTTGGAGGATTTTGTAGGATTGAGGCAGTGGTCACCCCTCCAATGAACAAATTCAAGAAATAACCAATGATTCTTGAGGATTGAGGCTGTATCCAATTTTTACTTTGAAGTAGTTGGAGGATTTTACAGAGGCTGTATCCAATTTTTACTTTGAAGTAGTTGGAGGATTTTGCGGGATTGAGGTTGCATCCTCGCAAAAGTTCCCAGTGAAGTGTGAGTGGCGAGGAATTTCATAAAAGTTTGATCAATTTTTAATTATCTCTATTTCGTGTATGCGGTATTCCAGACGACTTTGAGCACATTGATGTGGAGGCAAGAGAGAAGGAGGTCAGACAGCTGAGCGAGCAGTTTGTTGACATCTTCCTCAAGAGCACTGAGAACATCACCCTCATGCTCGGTCTTCTGGAGGTAGGAAAATCCATCTTTGTATTTTTCTAAGGAACTAATGCACAGGAAATCACTAGCACATTCTCTGTACTCGACTTTTACAAGGCATCTAGCTCTATAATTAGTGGCTGGGCTGTACTTCCTCAGTCGTGCAACATCTTCCAAATGGATTGGATAATAAACGATCTGAGATGGATTAGTCATCTGTCGGTAATCCTAATGCTATTTGGTACCCCATAGTGATTCTGTTTCTCGTACAATTTTTTCTTTCTACACAAATTATAAACATAAGCATGCCACATTAACTCCACTCATTAATACGAAGTCATAAAGCTCGACACCAAAATTTAATAGTGGTAGCAAGTACATGTAATATGGCAGTTTGGCGGTGGCTGAATTGCAACATGTTTCAGTTTACAGAGATAACTGAGAGTATATAAACACCACGATTTACCAGAGCTGTTTCATATTGAGGTGCCATGGTGGTTCATGTATTATTCCTGATAGAGGAAGGGTTAAAAACATAATTGCATTGACAACAAACTTGTATCTAAATAGAACATTTTTTAAACATCAAATCCATTTTCAAAATATCTATTTTCAGGAGTATGAGTTCCGTATCCGCTGGCCAGCCATCCGTCTGATGACCGCTCTGATCAATCTACGGTCAAGCCAAGTCCAGCAGATCATTCTGGTCAGTCCCATGGGTGTCTCCAAGCTGATGGACCTGCTGTCCGACAGCCGGGAAGTCATCAGGAACGATGTAAGAAAAGGTTCACTTGATTTAAATTGGTTTGGTAATTTTTTAACTCCTACGGTGTCTGGAAAATCATACATGTATTAAAATTGGGGGGTTCAGGGTTGTTTCACCTGAGGAAATCGTCAGATTACAGTACAGATATTATTGAAGATGGTAGATATTAGTTGTAATGGAAGACTCCAAAACCATCTATCTACCAAACGGGTTAAAATATTGCATTCACATACATGTATGTATGTGCAATAATCTTCTAACGGCAAATTTGTTGCACCGTCCAAGACATGTCCAGAAAGCAATAGTAATCCTTTGATAGCAAATCAGGCCTTCCACTTTCATCTGAAGTATCCTCTAAGTCATCTTCGTCTTAATTTGTAAAAGGGCCTGCTGCTACTGACTGGTCTCACCAAGGGCAACGCCAACATCCAGAAGATCGTTGCCTTTGAGAACGCCTTTGACCTGCTCTTGAGGATCATCATGGAGGAAGGAGCTAGCGATGGCGGCATCGTGGTAGAGGATTGCCTGATGTTGCTGCTGAACCTCCTCAAGAAAAACAGCTCCAATCAGACCTTCTTTAAGGAGGGAAGGTAAGAACAAGACATGGTTTGGCTAGTTGAGCTGTATCCTAACGTCTTGATTCGGGACATTATTATGTATACTTGGTGACTCAGTCAGTCAGATACATTGGTCAGTCATTCAGTCCGTGACTCCGTTTATCAGTCAGAGGACAATCAGCTGGCCCTCTGGGTCTGTCTGAGAGCAACCTAGAGGCGAAAAATGCATAGCTGGTGTATTGACAGAGTCAGTGTGTAGTCACTCTCAGTTGTAACAAGCAAAGAATCAGTTTATGACACTTCAGGCTTAGATTTGGCCTGCCAGCCTAACTCATGCATACGTTTTTACCTTGTTTCACTGCAGTTTTGTTCAGCGTCTGTCTCCGTTCTTTGAACTCCAAACGCTGATTCCCCAAAACCCAGACGGCACGTGGTCGACACAGAAAGTCAAGAATGTCCATTACATGCTGCAGGTGAGAGACTCAATATTGGGATTATTCCTGCAAGACTATTTATGAGGTAAACATGGCATGTCAATATGGAAATAGGGCATCAGAACCTGGTAATAGAGTTCTACAGAAATATCAAACTAATGCAAATATATTTCTTGAATTGTCTGCAACTCTTTAGTTTTGTATTAACACTTAACAGAAAATCTGTAGGCCCAATTTCATGGCGCTGCTAAGCACAAAAATTTGTTAAGCAAGAAAAAAAGGATGGCTTGTAAAAGCAGGTTACCAGCCAAAACTCCATGTGATTTTCATGCTAAGCAAACAACAGTTGAATACTAACTACGAGCAATATACATCACATGGAGTTTTGGCTGGTAACCTGATTTTATAAGCCAGACTTTTTTTGTGCTAAGCAAATTTTTGTGCTTAGCAGTGCCGTGAAATTGGCCCCAGGTCACACACTTTCAGTATTTTAAATTTCGGGCCGATTTTCTTTCTTGCCATCAGGTCATAAGGAGCCTGGTTTCCCCCAACAATCCACAGCAAGCGACAAGCGCTTGCCAGAAGCTGATCCACTCCTGTGGTTTACTGAAGCAGCTGTGCAGTATCCTGATGGCTAGCGGGGTACCAGCCGATATCCTGACTGAGGTAATGAGAAGTTTGAGGCCGTGTCCAAAATGGGCCTTCAGAGCTACTACTATGCCTATTGTCAGCGCGTTCCCGCGTATTTTCAATGGGCGCAGACCTAGACCTAGCTCTAGACAGTTGATTCGGAGGCAGCCTAAGACAGCGTTGTTTGTTGAGGCTGTCACAAGTCTGTCACAAGTCAGGTTGGGGTAGCGGTTCTTCCCTCGCCATTTCTCCGCTGTGACCCGGGTTCCATTCCTGCCTGGGACAATATGTGGATTGGGTTTTCAGTCCCTACCTGATTCCATGGATTTTCCTTAGAATACATTTCTGGGGTTTTCTTCCCACATTGAAAACTGTAACTTCGTCACATTGTCTTCTCTTAACTGGGCCCCATGGGAGACCAGTGAATTCAACTGAATGGGCTACGCAGTTAAAATAAGAAATAAATAAATAATGCCATTTCACTCTTCCTTTTTACTCGTAATGACAGACCATCAACACGGTGTCAGAGGTCATCAGAGGTTGTAAGGTCAACCAGGATTTCTTTGCAGCTGTAAATGCCCCCTCCAGCCCCCCAAGGTAAGATTACTTTCCAGCGGTTAAAAACCAAGAGTTGAAAAACCAAGAGACAGTTCCCCCAACTGACAATAACTTGGAATTTCTACTTTTCAGGCCGGCTATAGTTGTCCTGTTGATGTCCATGGTGAATGAGAAGCAGCCGTTCGTCTTGCGCTGTGCTGTGCTCTACTGCTTCCAGTGCTTCTTGTGCAAGAATGAAGTGGGGCAGGAACAGATCATATCCACGTTACTCCCCGCCACAGCCGATGGTATGTGCCATTTAGGATACTTGATACCTTACCTTAGATGTTACACTTGTTTTCTAGGGTTGTAAAATGCAGGGTTTAAATCAATTGCATTCTTAGCTGTAGTATTTAAGTCTGTATCATAATTATTGGGAATCAATGAGGAAAACCCTATAAAAATTCATGAGATTTTGGAGAAATTTGCCGGATTCAGGAAGATAGAGGCCCGGGCTTCCTGAAAGATGAAGCACGGAGAATGCTAATTGGACTCTAGCACAATGTAAGATTCTGGAGGATTCCGGATTGGTCCTCATGAAAAGGCAAAAGAATCAGGGTTAATGAATCTATAAATTCTAACTGCAATTAATACAGTAACAATACGTACATTAAGTAATTCTTAACTGTATGGCATGGCATTCCATACCTCCTCAATCACAGTATCTGCGGTAACAGCGGGACAGCTCCTGTGTGGAGGTCTGTTCAGCCAGGACCCCTTGTCCAACTGGTGTGCCGCCATCGCCCTCTCTCATGCACTCAAAGACAACAACTCACAAAAGGAGCAACTACTGCGGGTGCAGCTTGCCACGGGGCTGGGACAGCCTCCGGTGTCACTGCTGCAGCAATGTGCGAACATACTGTCACAGGTAAGACTTATCTTGAGTGTGCTTATATAATGCTTAATGGAAGCTAAACAAAGTAGAGGCAACTAGGTGTATCGGGTGTAAACATCTGTGGGACCTTGTTGAATTGTGGGGGATCAGTTAGGGTTGTGATTCATGATCAGATGGCGAGTTTTTTTAATCCAGCTGCTGGCGATGTGCTGTATCCTCGGGCAAGCCACTTCATCCCCACTTGCCTCTCTCCACCCAGGAGTATGAATGGGTACCGGCATTAGTTGGGGAGTAACCTGCGATGGACTAGCATCCCGTCCAGGGGAATAGAAATATTTTCAGTTGTTTCATCATTTTCGTACTTAAATACTTTGTGAACGTTGTTGCCAATCGCCCTGCTGTTTTCGTTCTTTTGTTGACAGCCCACTGTCAGGTTCCAGACCAAGATTGGTCTGCTGATTCTGCTGAGTTCTTGGATGGCCGGATGCCAGCTGGCCGTCACTCACTTCCTTCTCAACCCTGCAAACGTTCCATTCGTATCCTTGAACCCAAGCTTGACATAAACTCAAGACCCAAGTAATGCTTTTGATTTTGCTTAAGCGTGCTGGAGAAATCAAATAGCAAGTTAGATTCGTCCAATACTGGTGGAAAAATAAAAAATTAACGATAAGCCAAAGTTGTAGGGTGCCTGGTGGCATCTGTACTTGAACTCATACTTTTGAAAAAATTACTGGACTCCAACAGCACAACGGTTCTGTATGCGTGCATATTCTTGTAGCACAAGCTGATGGTGCCCAATGCCCTCATCTTTGCTCACTTGAATTTTGTGGCATTTGCTTGCTGCACTGTTTATCACTTGTGCTTGGGGCTTAAATTTTGGTGCGTGTGAAATTTTGTTTGCCATAAAGTGTCCTTCCAGGGCCAAAGACGCTCTTGCCGAAAGGTCGACAGCACCCAAAACAGTTCTCCCACAGCCTGTACTTAGCCTATCATTCTGAAGATCCTTGACCGAGTTCACATCAGCTGACAGCCCAAGTTGCCGAGCACACGGATGAGGATGAGTTGCTGGGCCAGGGCCTCTGCGCGTTCCTGCTGGGCATCTGTGTTCATTTCAACGACAACTCCAATGAAAGCTTCACAAAGTGAGTACTCCTCCCCACCTGAATATTTTTTGAGCTTATGCGCTGGCCACTTTCCTAACAAAGGGCTATAACCTAACCTCTCCAGAGGTGGACACCTGCTGAAAATCCACTTTTCTATCAGCATACACCAGACTTGGGTTAAACATGAGGTAGAGAAACAATTTGGAGTCAAAAATATCTGACAAAGTGAGGTGCAGACGTAAAGTACCTGAAGAGGTTTTCTACCTACAGATGTCGACAGTCATGTGTCCACAGACTTTAAATAATGAACAATTATTTGTGGTATCTGTTCATACTTTGGCTTTAAATCAATTCCATTTTGAAATTCTGGTGATGGTTCAGGTAGATATTACTGGGACGCTTTCATGCCTGAATGCCCATCACACATCAGCTTTGTATAGCTCTGAACACGTCACTAAAGAAGAGTTTATTGTGAGAAATACCACAACAAGTTTTTGAGCGTCCCATTATGGTGGAAAGCCAACCCAGTAATCACAACAAATGGGCAACTCCGAGCGGTCTCTTTTTTGTTTGTTTACACTTTGCTTGAATTTTGGTTCGGTTATGTCCACGCCATTCACGTGTGAAAAATAGCGCATGTGCGTTGGGTCCTTCAATGGCCTTGTGAATATCGCCCTCTACCGTTCCCGCACGGACTCCATAACACTGACCACTATTCGATATGGACCAGGGAGAGCATGAAGCAGCTGATAGTAAAGCGAGTCGGCCTGGAGTCCTTCGTAGAGAAGCTGGACCTGGTTTCCAAGCACGAGCTGTACACCTTGGCTGCCCAGAAACCCCAGCTTAGGTTCCCCTCCCCGGACGTCATGATGCTGGACTATGAATTCACCGCACTCTTCAAACAGCTGGAAGGTAGGTCTGCATGGGCAGAGAAAATTAAGTAGGAGTACGAGACGAATTTGGCAAACAAAATTAGGAGCCCTTTTTGAGGCGGAACTGCATTCGAGCACACGCCTCGCGCGTTTTTGAAGACGCGGTGCATGCGCAGTTTGGTAACCCTGTTGGTCAAAGGCGCCCGGAGTGCGCGAGCGCGACTCACGCGAGCCTGGTGCTACCTCAGAAATGGCTTCTAATTTAGGTCGCCAAATTAGTATACAAGTGCTACAACTTGTGAACATCTGCAGGAATTAGATTTTGGTGTTATATGTCAAATATTTTTGTATGAGTAAGAATTCAGATAATGAAGTACAAGAAGGAGTACTTTAATGACAAATTTGTGTAATTACACAGTGTTTCTTGTCAGAGAATGTAAGACTTTATCTCATTTTGTCCCCGAATTCAAGGCGTGTTGATGAAAGCTGTATCGGACAAGGATGACGTTGAGACCAAGAAAACCATTGAAGACCACGACAGCATTGTGACCCAGTACAAAGAAATCATAAGAGATCAGGTACTGTGTCAAAGGAAGAAGAACCGAGTATAAACACGAATGTTTTCATTTTCGACATATCAAGATTGTTTAAGTCATTACTCTGAAAAATGGTATTCATAAAAAGTGGTGTCCTTCTGTCCTCGCAACTTATTCTATTGGATTGGCTGTCCATCAAAACAGGATATAGAACTTGGAGAACTGAAGACAAAGCACTCAAAGCTTGAGAAGGAATACAAGAAGTCAGATGTACTCCTAGGGGAGCAAGCACAACAGATTCAACAGCTCAAGGACCAGTACGCCCTCATCAAAGCACAACATGGTAAATTCACCTCGGACATTGTTCTTCACAGTTTTAACTACAAACTTAAACGGTTCCATTAAAAACCTGGATTGTTCATGAGATGTTACAGAATCTAATCTTATTTTATTTGATTGAAATGCTTTCTGGTAATTAAATCAAGAGTTCCTCAAAGGGGCTTAAGCTTTGTAGGTCAGAAGCATGAAGAAACATTATGAAGATAATATTAAGAATAATAATAATACCGGAGTCTTATATAGCGCACGTATATCTACCAACAATTAGGTACTCAAGGCGCTGGTAATTATGTCTATTTTCTAAAGACGGGTAAGTGAAGTTTATGAGAAATGCAAGACCCATTATGTAGCACCTTTATGTATGCGGCACATATTGCAGCTACTGTCAGATACACTGGGACAAACCAAAGGGAATACAGCACGGACAGAAAGCTCACATGATAGCCTGGGTGGATACAAACCTTGTCGCAGAGGTAGAAGGCGAGGAAAGAAGCACTGCACCTGCCTAACTCTCACCATCTTCGTCAAACAGGTGCACAATCAGGCCAGGGTGATGTCAACAACTCTGACTCCACGAGTCTTGCTGCTGCTGATAATGGGAGGATAGCTCAGCTTGAAGCAGAGATCTCGGCCCTGAGGGAAGAGAACACGACACTCGGTACACAGGTCCAAGAGAAAAACGCCAGGATAGAAAAATTAGTATGTACATGTATATGTAATTTTGTTTGCAAGAGGAAAAAGCAATTTTAAAAGCTGACAGGATCATTTGCAATTATATGAAAACCGACCTTAGCATAGATAGAAATGATAACAAACACCTTGTGAAGTTATTTCATAATGTTGTCAAGAAGAAACCTAATTCAGACAAATCATTCAGACGTAGTCACTACAAGCCTGATTTTCCTTTTCTCTTCACAGACAAATGATTTGACGATATCTGATGCCAAAGCTGTACTATCTTCGAGCGACATGGAGAATGCATCCTCGGACGAGCTGAGGACACGCATGGAAGAGATGCAAAAGGAAAATGAGAAACTGAGGATGGCATTGGCGGATGCGACCGCTGAATCTGAGGCACAAAGCAGAAAGGTAGACGAACTTTCAGAAAAAGAAGTAAGTCGAAATTTAAGTGTATCAAATTAATATAAACTTAGTTCAACAGCTCTCTATGTATACTGTAAGACCAGCTTATAATTTGTTTGCTTGTATAGATGTTTAAACCTGGTTCTCTTTAGTGTCTTTAAATACCACACTCGAATGCTATCTTTTTTTGCTGTCAACCTGACAAAATCAAAGGCGGTGATAACATATTTAAGAATGATGCATCTTTATTTTCACAGAGGAATTCAAAGGATGTCTGTAACAGACAGAAGAGTGACCTGGAATCGAGACTTGCACAATCGGAATCGAACAGTGCTTCAGTTTCTGCTGAGAATGAGCATCTAAAATCCACCAACCAAACTCTAGAAGCCAAACTCTTAGAAGCTCAGAACTCCCCACAAAGCGGTGGCAGCGGTGACACGGAGGCCATCAACCAACTTAAGGAGGCCATCAACCAGCTTGAGCAAGACAAGAGAGCCCTTGAACAGGAATGTGACTCATTAACAGAGAACCTGGAAGGTGTTAAGAAGGAAATGGAAGACCTCTTGGTGCTTCTGACGGACACTGATGCAAAGAAAGACCACTACAAGGAGAAACTGAAAGAACTTGGCCAAACAGTAAGTGGAAATTGCATTCACAAACTACCCCAGTAGTACAGTTATACACTGATCTTAATAACGAGAACAATGGCTCTGAGGGCCATGCTCAACAGTCGTTCACCACTTAAATAACTATAAGCACTACAGTATTAAAGTATTAATAAGCAATTTCTGACTTATTCATGCTTGCCTTTTTACTTTTTAAAAGTGTGCATGTTGCTCAACCATTGCACTAAAACGTAGCAAACTTAGTAAAATCACGAACATGTAGGCCTACTGATAGAGGTTCACTTGGACCCTTCTGACACCTAGAAAATTACTGATTTTTTCCTTTACTTTTAAAGATCTCTGATGATGAACTAGGTGAGGAAGGTGAAGACTGGGAAGAGGATGATGAAGAAAACAGCTGAGTTGCTATGGAAACCAAGGATGTTTAAATTTTTTATGCAAATTCTGAAAATAATCGAAATTGGGATAAACCTTTATATATTTTGAGAGGGTCTTTGTACGCTGTAATATTTTTGCTCGGTTGCCAAATAGCATAGTTGGGTGGTTGTAGAAAAAACTGCGTGGCATTTTCACAATTTTTTTTTCAAACTCCTGAACAAATTTAAGGATTGAACTTAAAATCCACATAAAATCTCTCTTATGCCGTTTGCCTTTTAAATCTGGTATATGGAATATAGTAAATGTGGGACATTTTCTTCAAATGTGCATCAATATTTCTTAGACGGTATTATAAAGCAAAGTTCAAGCATATTGCTCATAATTTTAACAAGTGAATTTTGGATTGTGCAAGAAAATGTGTTGTACTAAAATCTACAATGACAAGAAGTAAACATCTTACAGTGTATGTTTTTGTTGCGAGAAAATTATTTTTTTTGTTAGGGGTTGCATCATTGTTTGATTTTGTTAATTGTGTAGGGATCGTGAATGTTTTAAACCAATTGTTTCAATTTAATCAGTGGTTACCAACGAGATTGTAAATTAATTTTATGTTCAGAGATTATCTTACGTTCATTTTCTTTTTTTTAGATTTGTTCTCTGTAATTAATGTACATTGTCTTGCCATTGTGTCAATGCCAATTGGTATGAACATCTTAATTTGGAATTTAAAAAAGATGTTAGTTACAAAAATGTATGTTCTAAATTGTAAAAGGCAGATGTTTTACAACGTAGCATAAACCGTCTTCGATCTTTCATGGTAGGAAAACAAAATTCATACCAGTGATTTGATGCAATAAAACAAGTGACCCAGAAATCCCATCAAAATGTTTTCAGTGCGATTTTGATTTGTTGTTTTTTTAATTTACCGGTAGCTTTTTAAATCGTGACTGACATTGGAAAAGTACGAAAGTATTAACTGTCAATAACTGTTCTTTTCGCAATAGGCCTACTTTGTTTTTCATAAATACAGGAGATGACACCGTTATTTACTTGTTTGATTCGGAATAATGTCAAAAATTAAGCCAAATTGTCTACCTTATTGTATTTGATAACCCCGCATCGAAAAGAGACATCTTATCAACGTATTTGTGCAATCACAAGCTACCTGTAGCCTGCGGACACGTGCTGAATTGGTTAACCTGTTAAAAGTGCATAGCGCCCTCTATTGAAATTATAAGTGATGGAGGGGAGGATAAGAGCCCATGAGTGCCTTTGAAAATAAATGCGGGATCTGTTACGACGAATTGTACAACGTAATTGTTAATCACGTCTTGTGGGATTTTATCGGTCGCGAAGATAAATATCAAAATTCGGGCCGGAGTCCTGCTTCATAGGTATAAATGTGTGTTCGACAAATTAATAGAATGGGGAATGCGTAGCCTACTTAAAATTGCTATGGAAAAAAAATTGAAAATTCAAATGCGGATGGTCCCTGATTACTTCATAGGCCTACACGTCATGTTCCCATCCCGTCTTTTGTCAGTAAAGACATACAATTATGCATTTATTATTTTTGGCCCCGTTTTATGTGTCCCACCCCCTAGATCCGCTACTGGATATAGGCTTGTTCGATGGTCTTCCATTATTTCCAGACCCCAGATTTCAGACAGCAGCCATCCCCTCGTACATAATGCTTCCTTAAGACTATAGCACTATATCTATCACGATATGTGAAAGGGAAGGGCCATTGTTTAGTACAATATGCATACATTTTTGTAATAGACTACCACAATTATGGAAAGGCTTGTCTCCAATAGATGAACTGTCCTGCATTTCGGAATGTTGGGTGAAATAATTATATACCCTACATTTTGGGCCGTTGTTGAAATAAAAGTGGTGCATGGCCTGCGTGTAAGAAATCCCCTGAAGAGTTGCGAATTCTTAGACCATGTTTAGACAGAAGATGAGATCACATCCGCTAATGGGAAGATGGCTCCGGGTGCCGGGTGGGGCTACACATTTTGTAACATGTCAGGTAGCATCACCTCCTGCCTGTATAAATGTTTTCTGAAGCTGTGACTTTTACTTGGCTTCTGCGCCAAAAAACGAATGTGGGCCAACAACGGCGGGTGCGAACAGATACGTACTGCAGTCTGCATGTATTGAAAACAGGGGCGGTGTATCTTTCAGGAAACGGGAGGGGGGCGGGATGAGTGCGTTTCTGTTGACGTATTATTCTCGTATAAGCAACACAAACAATGTATAGCAATTCCCCAATTATTGAATTGCATGTTGATACCACCGGCCGGGTATATTTTGAAATAAAATATAATAAATACTTTATTTGTGTACCTTTGCTCGTAAAACAAAATTTATCGTGGACAAACCTGAGAACTGCAAAGAATCCTTAATGCAGTAATTTCTATGGATCTAGCGAAAATACAAATGTACATAAGTATCGATAGTTGCCTGCACGTACGTAGGCCTTCTTGTGTGCCGGTGACCCAGATATGCGAATTTAGGTGCGTCAGCTAAATTTTCGTTCCGTGTCCCTGTCATGAGACTCATGTCATTCAGATCATGCGTCCTTGCTCTAAGTTCAGTGATGACAACTGCAGTACGTGACTTTAGTTTGCCAAGACGGACTTGGAGACGAAGCCGAAACCTTTAAGGGACTCGGTGATCTTGCACTTACACGATATAAACAGTCGAGGTAAGTATAAGCCTAGGCCTAGCTAAAGCAGAGTTGTAGATGTTTGACGTATTCTAATTTATTTATTAGAGGCGTGATTACTTTGCAAATTGTTGACCTTCAGCTTACCGCTGCTTGACTTTACGGTCGATCATAAAACCTTTAATTCTTTATTGTTGGGCAGTGGCAGACGTCTCTTATTTGTGCAAGTACAATTCATATACCCCGTAAAACTAGTACCATCCTGTGTCGAAAAAAAATGGAATTAAAAAGGACTTATAAAGGCAGTTGGGCCAAAATAAGTCAAAAGCTGTACCCTCATTTTTTTAAATCTGCTCTGCAACTTAATATGAAATGTTTAAAAAAACACTCAAGCTCGCTCTGGAACCATTAGATACCGGTACATTGAGATTCTCACCGCAGAATTCTTTTTAGATTATACATGCATTTTCTTTTATTTTTTCAGTGTATTTTTTGGGTCTCGTCTGAACCGTTGTTCAGGAAAGGTCACATACCAAGGTCTAAGGTCAGCTGAGGTCAAGTTGTAAAATAGGCCGAGCACTGGTAAAATTGGTCTCATTTGAAATGTTGAAGTCTAATAATAGTTATTGGAACCAAACTTGGGTCATAGATGCAACATATGGCAACCTTCATATGATAATGTGTTAATGTCACATACCAAGGTCAAAGGTCATCTGAGGGTTCAGTTGTAAAATAGGCTGAAAATGTAAAATTGTTCTATTTGAAAGTTGAAGTCCGATTGGAACCAAACTTGGGTCAAAGATACAACATGCCAACTTTCATGCCGATTACTCTTTAAAGATAATTGCGAAAACAGGCGAGACGCATGATAACCATCTTGTTTAGTGTGAACTTCAATTGCGGAACTAAACTTCTCTGTTGGACCCGGTGTCACGGTCTCACTTCTCCGGCGTGCTAGCTTCTCCGAAAGGGAAATTTCGCTTCAACACGCATGCACAAAATTGCGCAGTGGTGTACATTTTTTGTCAACTTTATTTGTGTGCTGAGTTCTTCGGGGTTGTACTGGTGCACGTAATATCATAGGATATTTGTATGCATGGTTACAGGGTACCAGTCGATTCCAGAATTTTCGTGGCGCGCACAACTCCCAATAACCAAAAAAGACTTGAAATGCACATTTATTTGAGCAACGCATGGTTGCAAAAATAGACAAAATGGACCACGAACGAGCTGCAAGGAGCACGGACCAAGGAGTAATATTCCTCCATGAACACACACACACATGCATGACGCTGGGAACACAAATCAGAATGCTTGAAAGACCATGGAGAAATTTCTCCATGGAAAGACCATGGGGGAAGTGTTACATAACACATTCTTGGATGTCCCTCACTACAGTGTTATTAATAGGCTTGGTAATACAGCCCAAGGAAAAGTAGGCACAGCGGACACATGAGCATGAATCGTGCTAATGTAACGTGCACTGTAACGTGCTCAACTGTCCGCGGAAACAATCCGGAGAAGCTAGCACGCCGGAGAAGTGAGACCGCGACACCGGGACCAAATGTTCAGTCGCATTAACATTTATTTCGCAGCCAGTTAGTCTAGAAAGGAAATTTGTGACTAATAAATGGGACATCAGTTAGGTCTTTTGGACTGAGGTTCACTGTACTTCACAGTTTACAAGAATTCAAACTGTAGTATGACGTGTCAAATCTTCTATACTTATTCGCTTTATATAGTTTATACCTGGAATATTAGGCTGGGATTCACTTAGTGTTTTTCCTGGTATATTAAGGAATAACAATTATTGTGTTATGCAAAAAAACAAAAACAAATGCTTAATCTTTAAACATCAAGCTATTGTGCATAATTAACGGACCAGAAACGTGATTTACCAGCAATCAACATCCGGACCGGGAATTTCAACCCAACCATGACTTCAATTTCTGAATGAAATTCCCAAAACAAGATTTTGAACAAACAAAGAAGCAAGTAAACAAATACATATCCGGTTGAAATTTCAGCTCACTTTACGACATTCACAAATGTAACTCGACAAGAAGACATCAAAGTTGCAGCGTCACTCAAATAATCTTAATTTATTCTTTTTTTCTATTTGAATTATTGGGCCTGGCGTAAACTAGTTATGTCAGACGTGCTGCGGTTCCTGTCATTTGAGGTCTGAGAGCAGGTTTTGGAACATCACTGGAGTCGGGAAATCGATCGTTAAATCCAACGATGCACAGGCATCTATAAGAGACATTAACTTGTATCTTGTCCTTGCTTCAGACACTCTCCGGAGAGCATGACACAAGATCTGTTCACGAGGTAGAAAACAGTTGGACAACTTTTAAAAGTGTCAGTAAAATTGATGCTTCACATTCGATCGCACTCTTGTGCAAATAGATTAATAATTGAATCTCAAATTTGAAAGAGAACCTCAAAGTTGGTAGGACCTTTGAAATTTCTTTGCCATGTGTCAAATGTGCAAAGAAATTGACCCGTCACGCTTTGACCCATCCGCCTCACGGGAAAGCGAGCTGAAATCACGATACGCCCCTGAACGGCGAAACGGCATAATTTGAATACAATCAACCCTGAAAACTGAACCCTTTGTCATGGATATTTTGTTTGCGACAGATGCAACGGTGCGTATTGTTTTATCTCATTGGACATCAGTGATCGGTACAGGTGTACGATATAAAGGGCAACCAGCGAGCCTGACCACAACTGGGTACAGCTGTGCGGGGTTCAGTTGTGAGTTACTGCGAACGGAAGAACTGCATCGAACAAAATCAGCTGGTTTGACGGTAAGCACTGTCTTGTTACCCGATCTGAACATTTACAGGTTTTTTTTTTCTTTTTCAAATATCTGCTATGTTCCAGCCTCGGCCAGCTGCAGGCTCTGGCGGGGGTTAGTCGGACCTTAACGTATGACTGGAACACCGAATGCAGTAATTTTACCAGGCCAAATTTTAGAGTTTTTTCACTGGTTCTGTGAACATTTCAAGGCTTCTGTAATCATATGCTGGTTTTTTTCGGACCATAGTCTCATAGACGAAGCCGGGATTTAGGAAATGTAGCCATTATTTTATAAGGTTTATCTAATATTAATAATTTATGCACTAATAGTTACACGAAAATAGTGCATGTGAATTCACGGTGAAATATGTCCCCTTGAATCCTAATAGGCCTACAATGTGTATATGTTTTTCCTCGATCGGTGGTGTATAGGCTATAATTACCGGCCGCGTCGAAAAGAAACTTAAACAGCTGTATTAATCAAAGGATATTGTGCAATACGTACTTTTGGACTTTGTAGTGGTTCGAGTTAAAAGTAGTTCGTGTCGAGTGAACAAAAACGGTTCGCCGAACTTCAACGTCAGGAGCCGCCGGGGTTCCATTGTGTTGGATATCACAATTGTTCTTGCCTATAAATGCAGATAAGGTAGTAGTTTATCAAGTGAGTTGGCAGAGTTGGCATTGTTCACGTTCAGACGCATTATGTAATGCTCAAATGGTGCCGCCATTATATTGGGTTGTGAATTTGTGCACGACACGTGTCACTGAGTGTACATTGTACGGGTTACTATTGTTCTAGGCAGAGATATAATGATTGCCGGCTAAGCCTACGTCGATTAAATCAAACGTTTTCAGGCTGTCGGTTTATCTCATATCAAGGTTCTCTGACATGTGCACTTGAGGGTTGTTAAAATCTAAAAAGTCCCACCTTTAACAAAACTGAACGCTAGCGTTCTTTTCCCGAGAAATTTCATGGAATTAGAACGAACTTTGGACCAAAATCCAAAAAGTCCCATCTTCGCGATTCTAACCATATTTACGAATGCTGCTTTTTTTCTGAGAAATTTCGTGGAGTTTGGACGGATTTGGACGAAGGCTAAGCCGTTCTATTTTGCAAGTTTGTGGCTGGAGTCATTTGTATTTGCTGGGCTTAATTTCGTGGCTGATCTAGTGCGTACCGTTACTAGCGAAAAATCCCTCCGTGCCTCCACTGCAGTAAGCGTATTTCACGGGTTTATTAACAAGGAATTTTGTAATCTCGTAATGAAGGGTTCTGTTTTATGATACAGCCGGGTTAGCACAGAATTTTCTGTTAACGATGTTACCATAAAATGGTGATGATCGTAAGCACGGATCCGTTTTTTTTAGGCATTCTGTGCCTACAGAGCCATGAAATTGGGCCCCGTTTGGATGAGCGCGCATAATGAGCTATATGTTCGATCGAACTGGAATCTTTCGCTGCCATACGTTAAATACATGTACATAATACACATCATGATTGAGAGAGAAACATCAATCAAAGCGGGTGGAAAACTGTTCAGCGTAAAGTTCACAGTGAGGCATAGGCCCTAACCTCACTGTATTTGCAGAGAAGCTATAAACAGGTGTAATTTGCTGGTACCACGTCCAGTCCTGAAAAGGACTACACCACTGCATGATAATAATCAGCGTATCACTGTGTTCAAACAGACCTCCGCTGGGTAATAAACGTTGATCTATGAGGGCCAGTGTTTCCTGATAATAGAATCGAAACTAATGAGTGTGATTCTTGACATGATGCATCGCTTAAATTTAGGGCTGGTTCATTTCTAATACATTGAATTGAATCCCCGTATTCATCAGTGCTTTATGACGGCCCGGTTCCAAACCTAATCCGGTGACCAGATATTTAGAAGCAATTTTATGGACCGTGTCGATGTCAAACTCGTGTGCATGCTGCACGCGTTCTTAAGGCCGCGCGCGCATTTTGGTATTCCTATTGGTAGAAGGAGCCGGGAGTGCGTGTATATCTGAACGCGACTCGCGCGAGCCTTGCGCCATCGCAGAAAATCGCTGGCGCCGGCTTTTTCTGTACCATTCATCAACAAATCCCTACACTACATCCGATACCTCTTGTTTATTGACTATACCCTCCACATGCATGTATTGCCCCTTATTTCCTCCCCCGCAACGCCCAGAACAAAAATAACGACCAACTTAACACAGTGCTGCACTACTGTCCTCTAGTTGGAATGGTCGATGATTGTCTTTTTTTTTCTTTCTTCTCAGAATCTCTGAATGATTATTCTTCTGGACATCATGCCAGGCGAACCTTAACACAACGATAATCAGAGTTGGCATGCGAGACATAGAAGTACCAGTCACCAAGCAGTGAGGGTAAGGAGTTTACGAGTATTTTTGCTAGGATGTTGACAAGTGGTTAAATATTTAAGAAGAAAATGATTTCCTCATGCTGCTTAGTTTTATATGTTAGGCCCTATACATGTCTAAGACGACCTTGAACATATCATGTTGAATAATTTCGTAATTTAACTCCTGGTTACTGGGGGGGGGGGGGGGAGGAACACAGCCAAGAAAGGCTTGTGCATGCATCCAATTAGATACTCTTGTGGTGCAAGTTTTAAATAAAATAAAATTATTTCCTGTTGTGAAATATGCTGAAATTTCTGTATTCCCATGATCATCTGTTTGACGCATGAAAAGATCATGATCAGTTATACCATTTCACATTAAATTTGTACAAGCTACATTTTCTGTTTTGCTGGAAAATCCTGTACATGGCATACGCAAGTGAATACCGAAGTGACTTTTTACAAAATCAGCAGCAACAAGTTCAGCAGGTTTTATAATACAAATTCCGACGTCCACAACGAATGTATCAGTTTTCAAATGTATCCGTTTTCAGCTGCACATAATGTGTCACACTTCAACGATGGCAGAGGATACTCCACGGGAAAACGATCCGAAGAACCGGGACCCCTGCAGGGGGCGTGGCTGTGGCCAGCTTAGGATCACTCGATGGGGGCGTGTGGTCGTCGTGGCATCGTTCCTGACGTTCCTGCTCCACAATGGTGTCTTGGGCACCTTTGGTGCGTTCATACCGCTCCTCTTAAAGGAATTCCAGCAGGGCTCTGGGCAGCTAGGATGGGTGGTCAGCTCCGGGATCGCTGTGGAGAATTTTGCAGGTGGGTAACGTGTCATTTTTGTTAACCTTCATGTTAAGGTTGGTACATTAGCCAATGCTTTCTACCCGACGGTCAGTATGAAATTAAGTTAAATGCAAGTAGGTTCTTAAATTTGTTGTAGGCAGTATTGTGACCAACATTGGGCAGGAACTTGAGAAACAAATGCCCACTAGCTTGCAGGTCTGTCTCACATTTAATTGGCCCAAAAGAAATGAGCTAATCATCAATCTGATGCTTGCGTCTCTTGATGCACAAGGAAAAGATGTCCAACCTGTAAAAGTTATTCTTTATTTTCATCAGAGCCTCAGAGCCTTTTTAACAAATTACATACAGTTTTGGTATAATGATGCATGTATATAGATCGCAAGAGCAAATTGAACATAGGCCTATATCGAACATCAATCTTGAGATCAATCAGTAATAAGCTATTACCCCCAAAATGGGTAAAACAGAGGTTTAACGTGCGAACTTAATTGGACGCCCTTTTGTGCCTTATTGCTTCACAGGACCGGTGGGAAACATGGTCGCGAGGAGGATCGGTTGTCGCCGAGCTGTCATGCTTGGAGGCGCCCTTCTAGCTTGTGGGACTGCCACAGCATCTTTAGCCACCTCTGTCTACCATTTGTTTGTCTGCCTAGGGCTAATAGCAGGTACACCAGTTTACTATTTAAAAAAAACTTCACTTTTAAATTTCTGTTAAAACTCAAGTCACTCTTCAATTTCTGGTGATGTAAAAATTACCTAGTGAATGTGATTATCTCATCTTGACGTTCAACCCTTTTGGCTGTTCCCTGTAAGGTCCAAGATCTGAATGGAGAACAGTTGCGGAGGAAGTTTAAGTCTTTGAGTGGGGCTACCTAAGAGAATCCAGCAGTAAATATTCAATCCACAGTGTGATCTTGGTAGTAAATCGAACATGGTGAGTTGACTTGTGATGTCTTGTGACCAGAGTTGTGATTTTTCTTTCGATTCTAGGTCTTGGTGGGTCGATTATCCACGTAGCGATCGTGATTGCGGTTGGGCAGTTCTACAGTAGGCATTACACCGTGGCCAACGGTATCGCGTATGCAGGGCCTGGCGCTGGTGTTTTTGTCTTCCCACCACTTATTGAATACTTGAATGAAACTTACGGCTGGAGGGGAAGCCTAGTCATAGAAGCCGCCATCGTGTCTAATGTCATGGTGATGGGGGCGCTCTTCCGACCCGCTGCCTGGTTCAAATCGCGCAGGTCAAGTGTCGTCAGAGATGATGAAGTAAGAAGACAGTTGGATTATGAGCCTCTTGCTACCGGCCAGATGCAGAGTGGCATTAGAGATGGTAGCTATGAGGACGATGGGTCATCTGATAGTGGCATCTCAGAGCTTTCTTTAGAAACTAAAGGTTCTAGGAGAAGCTCAACCATCCAACCACCTGGGAGTGAGAGAGACTTCAGTTCCAAGTCTTCAACCAAGACAACCAAGACGTACCGTCGGAAATCAATACTTACCCAGACCAACACACCAGCCATGCTTGCCATGTGTGTGGCCTGTGTGTTCCACACCGCCGGCTACTCGGGAATCTCCGTTCATCTCGTTAACCAGGCTGTGTCATCTGGTATGACGATCCAGCAAGCTTCACTGTTACTCTCCTGCATTGGTATCGGTAGTCTGGTAGGCAGGCTATCCCACGGCTGGTTCCTGACTCGCAAGTACATCACACCATCGTGGATGTACACCCTGTCATTGTTGGTCTCAGTTGTTGCCACAGCAATGCTTCCCCTAACAACCACTTTTGGAGGGAAGATTGTCTTAGCTACAGCCGCTGGATTTTGCAGCGGTGTTTACTTCTCGTTAGTTGCTGTCATTCTACGAGAACTTGTTGGTATTCTGTACCTCGGAGTTGCCTTCGGAGCGTCTCTGTTCTGTTCAGGCCTCGGGACATTGCTAGGAGGTTACGTTATTGGTAAGTCGGAAGAAGTTGGGATGTGTGTGTTTTTGCTTACTGTCCTCTCACTGACTGAGTCACTGAGTGATGAGTCGCTGAGTATCAACAGTACCCCGAAACTGAGGCTCCAGCTTGACAAATCCTCTTGTTTAATTCGCAGCAGCAGCTCCGCAAAGAAAAGAAGCTCACTAGAGTCAGAGGACAAAATGAGGGGGGGGGGACTTTAGATGAACACTCTAAAACTTTAGATATTTCCCTACATGCTTTTCCTGTTACTCTCTCTCGTATGCAGCGCTGAATCAAATGTCAGGGTCCATGTTTGACAGCCGCAGTGTTGCTTCTTTAACTTTAAGCACTTGCCAAATTGGTTCGTGTAATGTAGTGAGCTTGTCACTGGCACATGGATAATAATTGTTGCTTGGATACTTGCTTGGTTTAATGTGTCTCAGTACTTCACATGAGGTTCTGTGCTTATCAAAGGGCTACAGTACTGTTCTAGGGTGTAATCTAGGGTGTAAGTACGACAATACTCCACTATGGAGGGATTTACTCACTGGAAGAAGAAGAAGAAGAAGAATCTAACCTTATTTGGGGCCTTTTAGTATACATTATTCATTTGGTAAGTTGGGGTTCATGCATTCCAGTATGGATGAGGTAATGTCTGGTTCTTGTGTGTGTGGTTTCAGGGTGCCTAATACATAGCTATCATGCAAGGATACTACAGTTCGTGTTTTGATTACAGGCGTTCTGAAGGACGTGACGGGAAGCTACTGCATACCGTACTACCTGGTTAGTGTCTTCTTTGCCGTGGCTGCAAGCTTCTCTCTTCCACGGCCAGTCATCCAGTGGTACCGTGCACGAAATAAACGCCGCCAAGAACCCAGGCCAACTCCTGTGTGACAGCGTTCTAGAACACCTACCACATGTAGAACGTTCCTTGTATAGGGCTCGTTCAGCGACGGCCATCTCTGTAGGAGAACTGCAACTGCGTATTTTACGCAATCAAGCACGCATTGCGCAGTGTTGAAAATGTTCCAAACACGCGCGCTTGTTGCTCGAAGTGTGTTCCAAATACGACGCAGCCGATGCGCGTTATGCAAGTTGACACTCAAAATGCCGATGCAGGTGGCCACGTGTGGATGGTCTGTAGGAAATGACGTCATTTGAACGAGCCCTATAGAGGAACACGAGGCTATTCTAGAAGGAGTACAGACGAGGTCACTGATCAGGGAACACTGCGGATTCCCTGCATACTGTCCTACCAAAAGTGGTATCGAAACTCCACACCATCATGCAGCTGTGTTTGTTGCCAGACCTGTATCCAATGAAATAATATTGTACCTCATTTTTGGTTGATCAGATTTAACAAAAATCTTGATTTGAAAATTGTTTATTTAGAGGTGTTTTGTGCATTATATCATGCGAGTATTAATCTATTCTATGAGGAAGTGTTGGTTTTGAGAGAGGTTATCATATATAATGTAACAAATAATTTAATATTACATTTGATTAAAAAGGGAATGTTGGTGAGGACAAATCATGAACAGTCATTGTCATGCAGTTAAAAAAGTGCTCTTTTAAAAAACAAATTGTTTATTATATTATTTTTTTTACAATTGATGCCTAAGCCTAAGGATTTTCAAACAATCCTTTAATAGTGTCTGACAATGGTTGCCCATGGTGTTTAATCAACGTTGTTTGAAAGGATTGATATAAATTCATGTGCTTGTAGAAATGGATTAACTGCATGTGTCGATCTAGCAGGAATTTGTTAAATAATTATTTTGAAGTGAACAGTGGTAAACCTTTACCGCATCTTTCATGACTGCTCAAGTCATCTAAAACAATAAGGCAGAAACTAAGACAATAGGCCTACGTTATGCCTTTTTTTGTCATTCAATGTTATTGTTTAGCTCGATGATATACTCTTGCAACTCTTTCCGTATATAAATGTACAGGTATTTCCGAATAGAGTTTTACAGTACGCGTCTTTTTTTTTGGCATAAAAAGACAACAGCTGCCAGGCAGTGCAGTACGTAAAGACAAGAGTCACAAGATGGCGGTCCGTTTTCATAAAGTTGCCGGGGAACATTAAACGCAACAGCGGAGTTTTAGTTGAATAGTTGCACCACACGTGGGCGTATACTGACAGGTCTTTGTAAGTTTATTGTCGGATGTCGAAGTTGATTGTCATTATTGGGATTATATTTAAGCAGTCCTTCACTCGTGGTCTTCAACTTCCGTAATACTTTCCGCTTGTCTGTTTTGGTTTTTCAATGCGAAAGCCGTGGTCAAGGCGTGTACTAAACTATCCTGATTTATTTATTCCTAATCTATTTAACACAGACCTCAGTCCATTTGGAGATAGTACTGTTTGCTGCCACAGCTGCGTGACCAGGCGCGACCCCTATCGTTTGACACGTCCGAATTTTGTCCAAGGACAAAACAAACTATTTGTTTACATAACATCTCTGCATAAGCTGATTACAAATACCAGGACAAGGCCAGACAGACAAAATACACAAACCACAATGCAAATATTCCGAGTATCGGAGCTCATGATGGAGCTCATAAATGGTCCGTGAGCTCATGCTGCAGCTCAGCTCGGGCTGTCTTCGGTGTTCCCCGAGGCCTTCTCGGGGAATCTCGGGGAATCTCGGGGGAATCTCGGGACAACGCTGGGAGGGTATGTGATCGGTAAGTTGTGATTGTTTGCTCTGGTTGCCGCATTTTCCACTGAACTTTGTTGATTATTTTTGCTTCCACGAGGAAATTTATAAACCCGCAACTTGTTCCAGGAAATCTCCAATTAAAAAAAAAGTCATTGAAAAAATATAAGACACAGGCAAGCTTTATTTCATCGGTCAGCAACTTTCACAAACTGTCAGAAATTGCACTTTGATCTTCCCAGGGCTTCATTGTGTTAACGGCGCATTGTAATTCCATCAAATTCACCTGCCTGACAATGGACCGATCTATTAAGCACCGCCCCATGGTATTTATGCTGCGCGCGGCAGGAAAATGCAGTTTGGCATTGGAGAGGAGCACGTGTTATTTTGCCCAGTGGGCGGGGCTTACTGGATCAGTCCATTACAAAGCTGGTATATGGTAAGAGAGTTCTGTCAAGTTTGAGGGTACTGTACATATGTATCTACTTTGTACTTAAAACGTCTTTTGACTGGATTTCAGGTATTTTGAGAGATGTAACTGATGGGAGTTACCGCAGTACCTGATCAGTGTCTTCTTTTTGTCGTGGCATCAATCTTCTCTGTACCTCGGCCAGCAGTGGTAGCGTGCGCGGAGCAATCTTCACACAGTCTCCGACCCAACTACCGTAAGAATCCCTAAAGGGGCCAAAAGATGAATTTTCCTTAAGATTAAGAACACAATTTGTGCAACATTCTACTCCTCTTGAAATGTATGAAAACTATATTTGACATAAATGCTTGAATGTTTCCCTGCTAAATGTGACTGTTTAGGACATGTTATTGCTTTCTGGTGGCTGGGTTACTGCAGGGAAATATTACTGATGGCCATGTAGGGAATTCTTCCCTATGGACGATTTCAACGATCAGTCAAATCGTTGAAAATATAGCGTTATGTAAAAATATTGTTTTTCTTGATCAAAAGTTTGTGAATGTTTTTCTCCTCACTGTTTTCTCGAAGTGTAATATCCATAGAGCTGAAAATTCAACAGATTAGATTTTAACACACTGTTTTGGATTTCGAGTGCATTTTGAACACAACATTTAAGAAGTCGACTGATAATAATTATAGCAATCTGATAAAATGTATATCTATGCCAAAATTCCCATATTTTCTTTTCTTCCGTTTCTATTAACTCTTTAGAACCATTATCACAATACTATATATACCAACAACACTCATTTTCGACCGTCCATATTAACCCGCATGCACTTCCCCCAAAGATGTATGCCCCTCCCCCATCCTGGTTGGACGATCCAGATAATCTACTTATTACTCTACGTAATCCTCTTAGTCAGACGGCCGAGCGGTCTAAGACACGTAGCGGTATTCGAACCCGTGCCCGGGCGCTCCAAAGGCTACGCCTTTGGAGCGCCCGGGCACGGGTTCGAATACCGCCCATGTTTTGACTTTAAAGAAAATAGGTTAAAAAATACCTTACAATTTTTATTTTGGAGTTCGAAACCCTTCATCATCCAGGAGAAAGAGCAAATATCATAACCAGAATTCAAAATTAATAAATTAAACAGTGTTTAAAAGCCAATTTTGTTGAATTGCAAGTATAGGAGTGAGATTTGATGAGGAATAAGAAATGTAGCATTCTTCAAACGTTTTGTTCGAATTATTAAGGCCTTAATATTGGTGTCAGTATTAGAAAATAATAAGAACGATCGAGATTGACATAATGGAGATTGGTTATTCTTTTATTTTATTGTTTAATAGGAGACCGAGAAAGAATATAGAACGTCCATCGGTTGTTAAGGAAACTTTCACACATATATTTCGAAATTGGAAATGCGATAAAAGATTGTTATCTAGTGTTTGTCATTTTCAGAGCCGCATGGAATAATAAATTAGGAACTAGCAAAGGTATAGAGAGATGACTGTAATAATTTCCATTTTATATAAAATGCACGAGGGGAAAACTGAATATTGTTATTCGTGCATAAACCGTTTTTCTTTGTGAATGTTGATCGAATCTGGTTTAATAATTGCTGTTTTTATAACTTTACTTGACAAAAGGGCCAAAACACGGTTGGCTGCCCCCTAAAAAATAATTATAAAAAAAGGATAGAAAAGACAGTAAAAATGTATATATTAAAAGGAAGTTTATTAGCTGTAGTGTTGCACGTGCATGGAAAAACACGACACGTGTTCAGAGACGATACTGTTTAAATGTGTAAATGTTTTGAGTATGTTTTTTATGTACAATTGCTGAAAACGAGCTCACCTTTTTATTTTTTTGTTTCTGACAGTTGTATATATCATTACATTCATTGTGCTTTTAATTTTCCACTATAAATCATGTGATTCGTGTCTATATTTTGTAAATTCACAGTGCTCGATACATCTCTATGTACATACATGTACATTGTATATAATGTGTTTTTAGTTTGTTTTTATAATACCAACATATATATATATTTTATAATGATTCTTTTTTTAACATATTTGTTTTTTATATATATATTTTAATTTTTTTCCTGTAATTGGCGTTTTTTTTCTTCTGCTGTTGGATGTGGATAATAAATAAATAAATATATAAATAGAATGTACCTGTACAGTTATAAACACCACAAAATATCAATTGCTTGTATTTCTTGTCTCCGTTTGCCTTTCTTTGTCTTAGTTTAGTCTTAATGACAGATTGGACATGTTTGGTTTCTTTGAAATTGTTCAATATAGAAGGAAAAGTTGTATAAATGAGTTTTCTAAAAACCAACAGAAAGAAAAAGAATATTGAGCGCCCTCTATTGACATGTACAAATTCAATTACTATACCCGTACCGTGGTGTAAAACAAAACTTGCCGTTTTAGATTGGAATATTTGGCGCCCTCTACTGACGGATGGATTTTACGGGAAATTCAGCCCCTAGGCCTCGTCATAGACATAAAGAACCTATGGGCGTAGACCATTTACAGTGTTTAGCGCCCTCTGTTGACGACATGTACAGTTTTATGGCCTAAATATTAGGTATAGGGCGCCCTCTATTGACATGTACAAATTCGAATTTGCCGTTTTGAAAGGAATATTTGGCGCCCTCTATTGACGGGCTATTTTACGTGAAATTAGCTCTTGTACAAATCATGTAGACCGCATCAAGTGTTTAGCGCCCTCTGTTGACAATATGTTCAGTTTAAAAGCCTAAACGCCGAGAACAGAGCGCCCTCTATTGACAGTATATACAAATTCAATGGCTATACCGTGGTGTAAAACAAAACTTGACGTTTTTAATGGGAATATTTGGCGCCCTCTATTGACTGGTGAATTTACGCGAAATTCAGCCCTTGTAGGCGGTGCCAAGTATTTAGCGCCCTTTTATAATGTAATTTCAATACATGGTGGAAGAACTACAGAAAGTACACAAGTTAGAACATAAGATGTACAAATGATATCAAAATTTTTATTTATAGCTTCAACAAACAAAGTTTCAAAGGAAACAAATTATAATACATGTAGTCTGCTCGCCTAGCTTCTTTCTAAATTCTCTTATATAATCTTATAATTTGCTAAGTTCGAAATTCTTAAGTATAAATAGATTTATTCAAACCAGATACAGTCTGTCATTACATGTTGGTCTTCGTATATATTTAAAAGAGATAAATTTTGAGAAATAGAATCATATAAAATATTCATTTCCTAGATATAAATTTTTGCGATTGAATGTGCAAAATTCTACATATTATGTTTGAAACTATTCAATGCGTGAAAATGTGCCCATGAAATGCACTCCATACTTTGCCTTTAGTATATACATGACATCCATAGTGGAAAGATATTAATAAAAGGCCTTGGAATTGCATCGAAAATTCGGCCAGGTAATTAGAAAAATAAGAAAATATGAAATTTAACAATTTACAAAATGGCACCAAGCTTGCGGTTAAGTTTGCCACAAAATTGAAATCATGTACCTTATAGTTATAACCATAGATCTAATTCTATCCCCATGTTAAAACAATACAAGAATCAAGGCATACCAATACTTTTGCGTTCAAAACAATGCAAACGACATATCTTATATACCGGTACTAGTCGAATTGTGCAGTTCCTATGTGCATTACAAATACATGCACCAATTAATTTTGTACTTTTAGTGTTGTGCGCATGAATATTTTAATGAAAAGGCTTCGTACATGTAACATGAACAATAGGCATTGACAAGCCAAATGCCCATGTTATAGGCACTGTTGGATTTGACTGGTTCACACTCATTGTTATTTTTAATTTCATTTCATACATATGTTCTTTTGTTTTAATATCAAATTTTATGTATTTATTGTAATCAGGTGTATATATGTAAATTTGCCGAATAAAATATTATTATCACCCAACAGCGCAAGCGCCAAAGACGTATGGATAAATTGATTAATCTACTGTAAAAAAAAAAAAAAAAAATTAGCACATTTTCATACGAATCAAGGCATCAAAACATGTTGTTCTTATGCATTTAGGATTGAACACATTCCAACGAGGGTGAAGCCTTAAGCACAATTTGTCTGTGTTTTCAACAAAAGGGATGGAACCATTCTACCTCTGTACTTCAGTCACTCGATCGTTCTATCCAGTTCAAATTATGACGCTGAACATTCTAGGCCTACCTTGAAAAATTGCATACTGCCACTCACATAAATCCTACATGACATAGGATCAGGAGCCCGTATAAAAAACCTCTGAAACACAACACATTTTCCTGTATCTAAATCTGGGAACATTCAAAACATTCATCAAAAAGGAACAACACCTCAGCTTTTTGTTAGAAATATAAGGCATGTACTATTGCCTGAATTGTCATGGGACAATAAGTCCACCCAAAAAGTATCAATACACAATACAAGTTTGAACAAATCTGCTAATTTCATACAGGTGTCGCCTTTTCAAAATTGTCGGTGATTGGTTGTTTCTTAGCATCAATGGAGTATGCCATCCAATCACGGCGGTCCTTACCCAGGCACAAGCCACGCTTTTCGAAGTAGCGATCCACAGCCAAGACGCATGCCCCCAAGACCATGACCATGCCCAGGAAGTAGAAGGACACCTCATATGAGTCGTACACATCTCGAATGGAACCTGACAATTCGGGGGGGGGGGGGGGGAAATGACACCAAAAATATAAATTCGGGAAAAAGAGTGAACTTTTTGCATTAAGTGTAACAGTGCTGTCTGTATATAGTCATGTGGTCCATGGCGTTTTGAAACTCCAAGGGAGTAACTGACATTGATGGTGAACTTTTTCTTTGATAATAGTCACATCTTTTGCGCTACATCATCAGTTCATATATTGTTGGAAGCTCATAAAGTAGTGTGCATGTATCCATGCACTGTGTACATGCTGTACATAGGCCTAAACCGCCTCTGTATTTCCATCAAAAGGATAATCACATAATCGGTGTGTGTAAAAGACTCAAACAATCTGGACGCCATTTTGTTTTACTTTATGACCTCAATGGTCAGTCATTACAAATTGTAATGTACAATTGATTTTACAATTGAAAAGGAAAGATTCCCATATCTGGCCATCACTCATGTTTTCCTTCAGTTACCTTTTAGCCATCAGAAAGTGATAATTTGCCTTAAAAAGTAAAATTTAGCTGGGGAAATATTGAAGTTTTAACTAAGTAAACACCATAGGGTTTGTGCAAAGGGTGCAAGAGATGGCCAGATATGGGAATCTTTCCAAAAAGTCATTTGTACACTTGTTTACAAAAAATGTATTTTGTTGTCAGGTGACACAGACTGTCACTTGGGAAAACATAATTGTTTACATATTATCCAGTCAAGTACGTGCGACTGCAGGTTTTAAAACATTGACATCACTGAGTAAAAATAACTGAGAACGACGCTTGGGTCACCACCATGTTACCTATAAGCCTTTTCGGAGTTCCAACTGCGCGCATTCGTAACCTGTGACAACGCACATTGTTTGTCTCAAGTGCCCTTCGACAGTACCCACAATGCACAAACAGCCTTTTTGTAAAGTCAGTGGCGCGATCAGTTGTCAAAGGCCATTTGAGACAAACAATGCGCGTTGTCACAGGTTATGAATGCGCAGTTGGAACTCCGAAAGGGCTTATTGAATTAAGGATCCATCCAAAAGCCTTCCAAGGATGATTTTCTTACCTATGACAAATCCACCTGCCAGTGATCCAGCTCCCTCGAACAACAACCCGTACCCGTAGGCCAAATGGAGCCTGGCCTGCCCCACGATGTCCCTCAGCAGCACCTGCTGGAGGGGCAGGTACCATCCGCTCCCGAGGCCCGAGAAGAAAGCTGCGGTGAACAGTCCCCCTTGGCTGACTACCGCTGATGTTAGAGCAGACGCCACGCCGGCCGTGACCAGGGCCAAAGCGTTCAGCCCCTTCCCAGTAAGGTGCCCGTGATGGAGAATGAAGCCGTTCGTGATCCGCCCAACAAGACTGCCAATTCCTGCAAACAGAACAAGCTGTTGCTGAAAACAATATTTCCTTATTTCCCTTCGCGAGTTATTTTGATCAAGTCATATTCTGATCAAGTCGCACATGGAGGTAGAATTGCCTCCGTGGTCGCACACACAACACGGAGGTACGTGCATGTATTATGCACGCAGGGGAACAGCAGACAAACAATAAGCTAGCTAGGAATGCTTTTGTCGCAAGCATTTGAAAAAACTTAACGATAGACATGAGACTAGTTTGTAGATCTTTGCACAAACCACCCTCAGCGAGGACAGGCTGGGTTTTTAAATTTTAAATTCAGTAAAATTTAGAGTACACAGTTTCTTCATGTACCGGTACAGTCGGTACTAGACACCTGTGCGTACCACAGAGGAAAAAAACCTTTTGACTTGCGTTGATTACTTTGATGTTGTCACCATCATGAAAAGGTCAAGACCAAGGACAAAGTTGACTGTGAACACTAACTGTATATGGCTGAAGTGAATTTCCACAAAAGTCTTAAATTTAAGTTCTAATTAGCCTAAAAGGATGTTCTGGCGATGTACAGGGTAAATAAAAAAAACGAATCCCAAATGTCAGGACCAAAATGAAGTTCTGCAATATGTAGCACTTTTTACAATATTACTTTGGTACGTAGATAATTAGAATATGTCTATATGGGATCTGTACATAAAGTGTACAAACTTAGTGTTGCTTGAACCCAGCGTGTCATGATCTCGCCCAAAATTGACTGTAAAGCCACCGGACTGTTACGCTAGATTGGAACTTTTTAGTGAGAGTTTACCAGTACATCACACTTGCGTTGAACCACAACTCTCTGTTTTTCCCCATTATAGAAGAAGACTCCATTGAAGATCTGTAATGCAGCTGCCATTACCCAATATCTAAGATAAACAGCAAATAACTGATCAATTTGCATGCGCTACTTACAAACTTTCAGCAACACATCAGCTCTGTACCAGAAATGAGGAGGATTTTGTTATTATTCGTTAGAACAGATTTACACCCCTCCCTTGTCTGGTCAGAGAGGCCTCATCTTCCTTCTCCAAAAGCAGGAAAGAAGACACCAACACTGGGAGTATGTAGTGTCTCTGAAGAAAAGAAACCCTGCCCCGTTACCAAGCAACCCAGAGCCGAGGGTTAAGAAAGTGTTTCAAGCTGGCGCCATAACTGCACACTGCCAAAGGTGAGGAACAGTATACCATGCAGCGACGATCCCTCATCGTCATGGGAACCTTGAAAGAAAGACCCATTCTATGTGCAAGAATGCTGAAAGGGATAAAAAAAAAAAAAAAAAAAAAAAGCTCTTTACTGATTGTTCTTTCGGGACCATATACCTGTTTTCATTAAAAAAAAAAAAAATATGCATTGAATTCGGCAACAGGTCAGGTTTACTTTTACTCGTTTGTTTGTGAGGTGCGTTTGTTTTCGGGATGTTTTGTGGCAACTTTGACTGGCGTGTGCGCCGTTAAAGCTCAGAAACACTTAAAGGGCGTCGTGAAAGGGATGTTCCATAGTACCATGCTTCGAGCAACCCCTTGCACCGTGTCCATCAAACACTACTGTACACACTTGCACCACTTACTTGGACTTTATTATGGGCACCATGACACGACAAACCGAAATTCAGATTCTATTACCAAAGACGGACAGGGCGAAGGTTGCCGGCCCTTCTTCGATTCCCGTCTCCCGTGCCTTGGCGACCACGTGGGAGAAGAACCCTCCATAGCCGAAGGTCTCGAAGAGAAAGATGAGGAACACGAAGCAGATGGAGGGATGATTGCGAACCATCCGCCAAACGACCAGACACTTGTGCCGACTGTTACCCCTCGCTCCAGCTCCCAGAACCCCAAATTCTCCATCTTCCTCCAAAGCACTCTCGCATTCGTCACTTTTAGTGACGACAGTTTGGATGCCGGAAGACGCCAGGCTAACAGTGGAAACATTCCTGAGAGAGGCATTAGAGGAGGTGAGGTGAGCTGAAAGACACATCTGAGGCTTCACTTCGAATTCGGTCAAAAAATGTGTGTCTTCTTGTGGCTCCGGTTGAAAATGCTCCCTGTGTTCTTCAAGGTTATCCATGTGGAACTTTGAACCGACAAATTCCATACCTTTGATTGAATCAGTGGGAAATGAATCGGGGTCGGATGTGCAAACAATCGTCGGAATCTCCATTCGACTCTCGGAAAATGTGGGACGTATTTCGGTGTCCAGTCTTTCGGTGATAAGAATCATGGGCGTCTCCAGTCCAACATTTTCTAGGCTGTTCGTAGAGTTGCCGGGAACGGAGGGTTTGGACGAGTCAAGTTCGGATGCAGAAACAGCCGTGGAATCCGTTTTGTTGTCCGATTCCTCGCTTGCTGCGGACCACGAGACGGAGTCGCCGCCGTTATTTTGATTCTCGTTTGGGCAGTGAATGCACACCCCTTCCCGACTGTCCTCCGAGGCACTTTTAATGGGATCGGCCGACGGCTGTTTCACGGGCCTGTACAGGGCGGCAGCGACCGATATGTGTAGCGAGAGGGCGCCCTGCACCAGCATACAGCCGCGCCAGCCGTACGTGTTGATCAGGGCCTGCAGAATGGGCGGGAACATAAAGATGCCCACGCCCTGTCCCGTGTAGGCAAATCCGTTGGCCAGTGCGTAACGTTTGTTGAAATATTGTCCGATCACCACTGTACCTGAAATGTGGCACATGGATGCTCCAATGCCTGTAACGGAATCAGATGAGAAAAGTAATAGTCTAAGAAAACCCCAGAAATCGAATCGCCATAGGGCGTTGAAAGTTACATACATGTAATTGTGTATTTTAAAGGACTCTTGAAAAGAAAAAATGACATATTTGTTGTGAGAGTTTGGCAGTGCATTTCGGAATCCATTTTGTTCAAGGAAGGCCTTTTGGATGATTTTTTTTTACCTCCAATGACGTCAGCAAATACAAACAATTGGACAACGGAGTTGGCAAACGTTCCGCAGACGAAGCCAGTGCACATAATAGCGCCCCCTAGCATCGCAGTGGGTCGGCAGCCCAGTCGTTTCATCACGTGACTTGCGAGAGGGGCTGTTGGAAAGAAAACAGCGAAAAACAGAATGAAGACAAGAAATCGTCCAGTTGGATGAGGACACCCCAACCTCGTCCCCAGTGCTTACTTTATTTCCAACCTCGTTTCCAATAGTAACTTAGCCCTGGATAGGAAACTTTCTTCCTGTATCCTGATTCGATACCGCAATTGGCTAGTAATGGATTTTTATCGTGTACTTGGTGTTGTTATTCACAACGTGCAGTACGTGTTTTCGCGATCATTCGTCCACGCCTTCTCGAAAATACTCATTTCCTTTCCAATTGTGTTCATATTAATATGAAATATGATACTGCTTGCTGTCTCGATAAGATCGTAACGGTTTAATTAAATAAATCGTGTTTTCGTAACTCACGCCATGCTCATGCTGCGACGAACTGACTCTATTTTTACCCCGGACATCGCATATAAAAAGCGTCTCTAATGTAACGCACATGCAGGCACCAGACTATTCCTCATTTGCATACGTGTTCAAAAATCTGGCACATGCAAATGATCCCATACCAGGGTGAGAGAGCAGGTAGTAATGGGCGCGTACTGCTCGACACCCTGGGGACGAGGTTGGAGGATACCCCTTTTGTACCGCGAGTCATCACAAAAATCAACCACAAAGGGAAACCCCGTCCGACCATGGTTCACCTCTTGGGGTTACCAATAGTTCAGCACGATATGACGTCATTGCAATTGCACGTTTACGGTAAGTGGTACTTTAGATGGTCATCGACACACGCACAGCCCAGTCTTCCTCAAGGGGCAACCATTAGGCACTTTTAACACGAACACGTGCATAGACAAACACGAATTCTTTTGTAATGCAGCCCCACCTTTTTGAACTTGTTGAGGACAGTCTGCAATTTTGAACAAAGCAGGTTGACAGGTCGTTCAAACACGATTATATTCAATTTGAGAATGTAAAGAAAGATGCCCGTTCCGTGGTCACGCACATTGACCTCCTGAACCAACTTCCACCGACCTACATTATGGTTCGTCGACTTCGGTGGCTTGGGATATTCGTGTTACATAAAGCAGGACGGTTGGTATTTAAAGATACTTCAGTTCGAAAATGTACAGTAGAATGCATGTTACCATGTTGCCTTGATCTATGATGTCACTATACAGGGTGAGTCAAAAAAGTGAAACCCAAATGTCGGGACCAAAAGTTAATGAACTTTTGCATGTAGCACTTTCAAAATCTAGGATATGAAAGCCCAATCCATAAACACAAACACAGTTTTAAATTTCTGTCCACGGATCACAAGAAGGTAAGTGTTCTTTCAGCAAAACGAAAACAAATCACATAGGGATGTGGGTGATTAATTGTTTTCGTTGTGCTGAAAGAACGCACACCCTTTTTTGTGATCCGTGGACAGAGCATTAAAACGGCGGTTGCGTTTAAAATTCCGTAACTTGAAAAGTACAACATAGAAGGATACCAAACATGATGTTGTGATGCATGAGCTGATGTCAGGCAGTGCATAACACATTATATAATACATGTACATGTATATGTATTGGTGTCTCTCCAATCCGGAAATGTTTGTTGTTTGCCTTTAACTTTAAGACACGTTCTCTCTCTCACTGTCTGATGACCCTAGAGTTCATAGGTAATATAATATTCCTGGTCAGAAAGTTTCATCATTATCATTGAAAAAGGATATATGGTCTGACTCCTTTTCAAATTAAAGTCCAAAATCAACTTATATATATATTTTTTTATTAACTTCAAGGTTTCAACATGTTGTGACTTTTAGGTACGGCGTCCTGAGAACAAGCGTAAGATCAAGAATAAAAAAAAGATCCTTGATAAAAAATTGAATTTCGACCTTGAATTCGGCCAGGTCTCATCATTACACAGCGACAATTTTGGAGAATTATTTTGGCTAAAGTCCGGAGTGGGTCAAGTTGACAAGATCTGGGATTTTGTTTGCATTTCTTTTTTCGCATTACGGCCACAATGGTCTGGCGGAAAATTGTTTGACCATTTGCTCAGCCTGGGTCAAGCCGAAACGACACTTGAACAATGAAATTCGTGAAGAATAAATTCACTCAAGCTGGCCGCACCTCTGACTAAGCTGAAAACAGCTTAATTATATATGAAGAGTTTATTTCTAAAACGCGATATACGCCATTTCGTTCTCTCTGAAACCTGCTCTATATCCTAGCTGACCAAAGGCAATTTCGACGGCTTTTTGTGTAATACTTAAACACAACTTAAGAATACGATAAACCAAAAAAAAATGAAGTTAAGAACCAGCTGTTCTACTGTTTTTTAAGTTCCAACATCGTACTTTTTTTCTCAATTGGTTTACGCGTTGTGAAAATAAACCCTTCATATATACAGGGTGATTAAAAAAACACGAAACCCAAATGTCGGGACCATTGTTTCAGTGAAGTTCTGCGTGTAGCACTTCAAAGTCTAGGATATGAAAGCCCAACCCAAAAGCTTTCTTTTAGTACCAGAATTATTCAAATCACTCGTGTAATGTTCAAGTTACGGAATTATAAACACAACCACCGTTTTAAAGTTCTGTCCACGTATCACAAAAAAGTAAGTGCTTTCAGCAAAACTGAAACAATTCACATACATACCTAACCTATGGGAATTGCAAATTCTATATGGTCATGCCACCGGATTAGTACTGAGGTTCAATCTTTTCAAAAAGTTGGACATGTACCAATCTAGTCTAAGGCTTCAAATTGAAATCACTTCTTTTCTCTCTCAGACCTGAAAAAGTCTCCTTTAAAAATTGAATTGAGACCTCAAACTTGGCCGGTGAAATACTGAGAACCTTGTCTTTGCCCCATGAACATTTTGGAGAACTTTGTCAGCTTAGGAGAGAGTAAAGTTGGTCTGATTTTGTTTTACTTGTTTTTCAGCTCGGCATTCAACGGCCCATGTCTGTGAATGCCCCTGAATCTTCTCCTCTGTTGAATTTCTAGCTTTAGTTGAATGCACATGAATGGTCATTGATTTTAATCAAGTGAAAAGATGGAAGCAAAAACATGGGCGTGTACTCACACACGAAGGCGAGGACGGCAAAACAGCCACTCGAGATCCAGCCACTCAGCCCGGCACCCAACTCGAACTCCCTCTCGATGTGCTCTAGGTACACTCCCATGGACACGATGAGGCCCATCTGTATCATCAGTGCCGTGAAAGCGGCAAGCACCACCACGTAACCCCAGCCACCCTCCGGGTAGAACGGCGCGTCTGCCCGGTGTCTCTGCCTCTCGGCGCGCTGTTCCGGGAGAGCGGAGAAACCGTCTTGGCCGTGCTTGCCCCTCATCGTGTCTGTAAAGCAAAGACTTGAGGGTTGGAAACACTAGAGTTAACCGTTAACCACTGAGCTAGCTGTCGCCGTAGCGTCAGGGTCGCGATGGGTAGGCTGAAAAGACGTTAGCACAACGGTCTGATGTAATTGTGCACGCATGCGCACCCACACAGAAAGAGATGAAATGAACGCGGACTGTACTGTTGCGTGCAATGAAGTGCATATGGACAAACATCGACACTGTCCTTCGATTGTTTGTGTAACCGAACTTCAAGTAGACTTATGGATAAGTCTTTAGACAGTCGTTTTCTGGCCGTCAGGGCCCCCGATATTTATCACTTTCAATTCAGTATGGCCGACTCGTGAATGCCTATATGGTACGCGTTATACTTCTAGAATTAGAGGCACCCATGTGCACTCGGGGTGCTTTCTTACTCTAGAAGGATGTATGTATGTACGCGGACTAAACCCGACCAATTAACGAATTGATATCAAGTCTACTAAATTCAAGCAAGTGGAAGTGGCAAAGCTAAAGCCTTGAGGCAACCAGCATAATGAGGCAACACAAAATTCGTTGCGTAATACATTTTCATCGATTGAAGGCTAAGTATTATGGTATACATGTACATGTACATCAATGGCGGTACATGCATACACTCATGATCGACCACAGCTGCAAAATAGAACGTATATGGGTGCAGTGAACTAATTCAAGTGAGAATTTCTACGCGAGCTGATTAGCATAAAAAGTGACCCCACAGTTTCTGTTGCAAAAGGAGACCGTTTGGCTTAAAAAACGGTGGAATTGTGTAAATGTAGCCGAGGATCAACTCCCTGGTTTTTGGGCTTCCATCTGAGGCAGGCTTGATAAAATTACGGTTGAAAAATGGGTCCTATTTACCTGAGAAAGTGAAAGCATGCCACTTGTAAAACGGCTACATGCAGGCTTGGGAACTATATTGTTAATAATACGACTGTTAATAATATTGACATTCTATTTTTTTTACGGTTTCAATTTAGTGGACTTAATTAAGTTAAGTAAGGCTGAATATTTTCTTTGATATCATTTTAAATGTTGCTTTGACTCCTGGATATGCCGCTAAACAAATGCTCACATATAGTATTATTTACTTAGAGTATATACTATCAACAAAGCTGATTGTATTATTGTGTACACAACATTGAACCTGCATGGAGCAGTGTATGGTATTATTTGCTTTTGCCGTGACACTTGTGGGCCACCGTAGTGTATACCCAACTGTACGACCTTGTCCTTGACATGTCCGCTCCCGTCGCTATTTTTCGCACACGGCTATTTTTGTGCATGCATCAGAGGTAGAATATAATGCTCCAACCATAGGGTTGCAGGCCAGTAAATCGGTACAAAATCGCCTACGCCGGCCAAATCACGAAATTCTTCGTTATCTGAGCATATTGTGGACCATGAACTTGAGGGTTTGTAAAAACAAATATGAGGGTTTGTAAAAAAAAATATGGGTGGAAGCCGTGCACAGGACTGTGAGCTTGTAGTTCTGTGCAATTTGGATGAAATTGGAGCCCTAAAAGCGCTCTATTTTGCAATGGAGTGTAGGCGTCGTTTTTCAAAATGGCGATGGGCTCCTATAGGACCATTTTATAAGGGGTTATCATCTTCAGATGGACATTACTCCTAAAAGTCATCAGTTAGCCCCCCGAAAATTGGAAAGAAAATGAAAGATGATGAAATTAGCTTTATTTGATGTGTGTCTGGAATAACTTGGAGACTGAGTTGTGAGTATTTTTCCTGAATTTTTGAAGTGGGGGCATTTATCAATGAGGTCTATGGCAGTTTATTTACTGGTCTGCAACCATAGGCTCCAACACTATCTGAATGACGCATTCCTGAGACAGATCAACTTGTAGCACGATCTCACTGACCCTGGCCAAAGCAAACACGATGATTTGCATTGAGCATGGAGAAAGGAAGGCATCGAGTTTACAAAGGTCTTCGATTTATTGTGCAAATTTTACAGCTATATGCAAGATTTGCAAAAACCAGGCGGGATCACTTCACCCTTTGACACTTTTATTCATGGTGTACAAAGTTCATTAATTCGGCTGCTATACATTGCCATTTTCCTTTATTACTTTTTTTGCCATAAAGCATCGCACACTCGTGAATTGTTCTGTCTGGTCCGAACTTTGATGGAAAAACCTGGAGATGAAACTGGAGTGCATCCATTATTTACAGTTGTTGACAATAATAAAGCTCTCTCAAAGTGACACAAAAAAACATAAGTTAATAGGACAATGCAAAATTGCAAACATTTCCCAACCCCGTCACAAGTGCTCGAAAGTGTATTTTGAAAAAGAAAAAAAAGATTATAACTTCAAATACGATTTTCTCGTGATGACCTTTTGATTTTGTAACTTGTTGATAACATTGACGATCATGGTCTACGTGACTACGAGAACCATCTTCATTATATGCAAATCAAGTCATACTGTTTGCTGCGCATAATAATAGATTGATGATAAGGTTGACGGTCATTATGAACTTGAGACGGGGTTGTGTACACACACACACAGGCATCGACGTGAACGCAGGTCAAAGACTTTTCGATAGTCGCGGCACATTCTGCTTAGCCTACATAATAGATGCCACACATGATGTTTTTCATGCATGAGTGCATGAATATTAATTGTTGCAGTGGGCATATCAAAAGCAGCTATTTGGAGAAGCAGTATATTCTTTGCGAACTTGTAAAAATATCTTGAATATTCGGATATCTTGAACTGTCATCCTGCAGAACATAATACAATCCTCTTAGGAAATCTAAATTAAGTAAAACGGTTGCAATAATTGTACCACGGAGCTAGTCATGAAGTGTTCACCCCAGGTCATTATGAATACAGCATCTGACACGGGGGGGGGGGGGGGGGGGGGACAGAGCCACGTTTGAACGTCTGTCGTCTGCTATCGTAGCATGTAAAATGTTATACATCCCCGCGCGCCAGCCAATCGGAGTGGTCTTTAGAAACTGTGACGTCATTTCGATTAGAAATGTGGACTAAGCTGTAGATTGGCCAATTTGGCTGCCATGTTTTTGTAATACAACAACTGGTAACGGAAGACCCGATACAGAAGGCGCCCGCTGAATGATCAGAATCTCAAGGTCAAGATGCAGTCTTGTTTTGCATAATTAATCGCCGAATCTGCTCACATAATAGACTCTAACTGTGGATTCCACATACTACAGGTCACTGGCTGTATAAAAAAGCTAGGCCTATATCCAATGAGGGCTCATCTGTAGAAGTAAGAGGTCATAGGGCCCCGCGGCAGACACTTGTACGAACGAAAAACAAAACGCGTTATTACAAAACGTACCTGAAAACCCACATTGAACCCCAAACCGTGAGTGAGACGTTGCAAAAGTTAAGACGTAGCTATGCCCCCCCCCAAAAAAGTCTCCGGTTTCTGGTATGGAGCTTGCCCAAAAAGTGGTGCGGCGACGCGGCTTTTTTTTTTTTTTACCCGACTTTTTTGCTTCAAATGTCGGCTGATGACTGCAAATGGTGGCCGACTAAAATAGTGCAAAATGTACGGGAGTCCAGAGAGTCCACATAAAGCTTATTCTCGATCATACCCCCATCTAAAAACACGTTAAAATTGTGCTGCAGCAGAATTCCAGTCGAACCAGTGAGTTTGGCGGTTTTGAGACATCATCTTTTATTGAAAAAAAACCTTTTTCATTTTGCCGACGCGCATGGCTACGGCGACGCGCGCGCATACCAGAAACCGGAGACTTTTTTTTTTGGCCTATAGGTCCCTACCTTATTTTGAAGTCGTTTGGCCTAGTGTCCACTTCTGTGCTACATCCATGCTGACTCTAAGTTCAAGGGCAACGGCCAGACGTTGGCTATCCAACAGCTGTGCAAGTCGTGGCGCCGGACCCCTACCAGGCACCAGTGCAACACACACGGGCAAACTCCGAATTCAACCCTGGTTGACCCGTACATGATTATGCTGAACTATACGTAATTTTGCTCGAGACTTGATCTTTGCTCAGCGTACAAAGTATGCAACACAATTATAGCGATTACATTGATAGACAATGCTTCCAAATTCTCAACTTATACCGCCAGACAGGTTTTGAACAATGACGCCGAATCACGTGCGTTCTTCCTTGTTGTTTGTAAGACGTGTACGCAGAATGACTGCAGTGATATACCCCCTATTTACTAACAAGTAAATAGTTGTGATAAACCTAGTGCGCATACATTTGGTCGGGGCTAAAGGGATGGTAAAGCGCCCGATCGGGATTCAAAATGCGTTTTAAACAAAATTATATTAAGTAAGAGCATTTAAAAGTAGAATATAAACGTCCACACAATTACCCATTGAAAATTCGCCATTTTTGTGTTTTTCTTGCGAGAACGAATTTCGGGGCCAAAATTCTGACTCTCTAGCTGTATATAGGGTGCTTGTCGTGAATCCTGTCGTCGCACGTACGGTTCCACAAGTGCATCACAATGCTGCGGACGTACGGGAAACAACGTGTGTTATGTGTTAAACACACACACACGTACCCACACACGACGTGTACTGTACATTGAATCGTCTGACAACGTAACTACTGTATGTCCAAGAAGGAGACCTATTATTTACGGCTGAAATACGCAAGCGTATGCCACAAAAATAAAGTTCGCCGCGTCAGAAGTCTTTAGACGCATCGTTGGAAAGACCTTCTTTCATTGATTTCTTCAAAACGACAGCTTGTCAGAAAGAATAATTTCACAGAGAGTTTAGCCCCCTTACTATCTTCAAACCAAGTACGTATGCTTTTCAACAATAATTACGTCAGTTACTAAGCTTTGTGGCTTTAAAAAAAAAAGTGTTGTGTATATATTGCTTTATTATTGTAATAGTTCTGAAGTACTTGTATTTGTAAATTTTAATGTTCGTCGTCTGTTTCACCAATGCACTTTTTCCTTATGAGTTTTCGCGTGCTCTCGTAAAGATGAAATGAATTTTCATCAATATCAAATTCAATGTATTTCCTTGCTATTATTAAAAAATTTCTACATAACATGGGAATTAACACAATGATGTGACCTACCACCCGTGCACTTGTATGTGTCGACAAAGCCCTAAGAATGTCTAACATTGTTTTTATGTGAAACGTAATACATGTAGTGTACGACTTTTTTGCGGTACGAAAAACAGGTTTCAAGACAAGTCAAAAACAAGAAGATTATTTAAACGAAAAAGACTAATTTGTGGTATGATTCAATATTTTATTTTGAGTGCCTGATAAACCACTAGACCCATTTTCATTATATGCAAATCAGGGTTTGCTTCTTGTTGCGCATAATTATATTGATGAACAGTGAGACATTGAAACAGTCAGACATTGCAAGATTTATAAGACGTAGTCCCTACCTTTAATATTTTGAAGACGTTTTGCAAGGTGTCCATGCACTTGTGTGTGCACATTAATGACAAGTTCAAGGGCAACGGGACGGGCCGTCTGCTATCCAGCATCCGTCCGTGACGCACCCCTGACAGCGCTCCACAGGTGCACTTTGCGACTCATCCTTGGGAGACCCGTACCTGAACTACAACAATATGTAATCTCTCGGGACTTGACCTTTGCTCAGAGTATGTTGCGACACAATGTTGTAAACCATTGCTCGGAGTGGCAATGCTTCTGTCCAAGCTCTCAACTTGACCCACCAATTAACAGGCATGTTTCCCGGCAACATTTACGACGAATCACGTGTGTTCCTTCCATCGCTGTTTGTAAAATTCGAAAATAACGCCAACATTATTTAGAATGATGTACGGCCAATTACCAGAACTAACAAGTAGTAACAGCACGTGGCCTTTTTGCATGTTGTGTGGTAAATTAACCCGGTGCACATTTTTGTACCAATTTGTTTGGTTGCAAGTGGCTAAAGCAACCTCGTTCCCATGGTGTTGGGCAATACGCTCCCACCACTACCTGCTCTCTCTCTCTCTCTAACCCTGGTATTGGGTCATTTGCATATCGAAAACTTTTGGATACATTTTCAAAATTGTTATCCATAAATGAGCCAAAAATCGCAGGGAAATCTACGAATGAAGATTGACAACGGAGGAAATAGGGGCAGACAAGATGAAGCCTGAGTTATGCTATACACCAAACTGCACATCATAATGTGGCACTTCCTATGATGCACACCACTAATAACATACCCGACAGCTGTTTCACAGAACAAGGCCCTTGCTTTATGGTTTTATGAGTTTGGCGACATCATTGTGTGAACATTCTCACGATATGATAGGCAAGCAAAGCCAGCGGATGAACTATACATGAACCGGGGCACCTGGTGTGCAAACATTCTTCAAGGGGGCCCCTGAAGACAAATGATTACATTTTTGTTCAATTCAAGGTTTTAAATGAGGCACCCACGGTGAGGGGTGAGGGGGTGAGGGGGACCACTGGCATCCCTCGTAGGGTGGCTTACATCCCCCTCGTATATCGTTACTGCAACGGATCTGTGACGGATGTTATCCCAGGGTTGCAGTCTACTTGTCCTTATTATTGACAACGAATATTTCCATACATCCTGAAATCTGTATCCTTATGGAGTCATTTCTTTGTTCTCGTGTACTAAAGTTTTCGAGTTCGGTGCACTTTCAAAACGCTCCTATTTCAACCAGAATCAATTCCCTGGGCTGAAATTCGGACTTAATATCCCTTACATAAAATACTTCAATTTGCGACGGATCAACACACCTTGGAAATTCCTAATTTTTGAGTAAACTCCATATATCTATTTCGTGATAACCCTGTGGAGACGTATTCACCTATAGAAATTGCTCTGTGGAGACGTATTCAGTCTTTTGTTCCCTTATACTCATGTCTCCACAGGGCACCGTGTAACACACCACTCACACACGAAGTCGTGTTTTACTATACTCATGAGGACCTGCCCCTTTCCTTCTTGTGTTCCCTTTTTTTTCGTACTTTAACTTTTATCGACAGCTCCCATAAAGTTTGTACGCGAAATTCTCCAGAGTACTAGTGCTCAGGTCCTCGGGCAGCGTCAGGCCTATTGCTATCGCGCACACCCCATTGTTCCAAGTCCTCAAGATATACATCAAGTCATAGTTCAATCACCTGTGACAAATACCCCGGATTCCAAGAAATTATGGCTTATGCTCCCAACTCCAATTGAGTCATTATGTCATGTATTTCAAGCTTAAAGGAGCGTTCCCGTGCTATTTTCGAGTTTCACTTCGAAAAACAGATTTTGTTTTCCAATTTCTATTTTCCTAGCAATATAAATGTTATTCACTTTTGAATGAGACCCTGACCAAAAAAAAAAAAAAAAAAAAAAAAACCCAGACGTTTGGTTATTGAATTATTTCTTCACAAAATTCGAATTATTGGCCACCAGACAATAAATCGGTTCTCGCAGAGGGAGTTCATTTGTGCGCAACAAAATCGGAATTAGCATTTTTTTTGTTAAAACAAAACCTAAAAATGTAACATTCGTTATGATAGACAAAAAAACAACATTTTTGCAGAGCACAATGTATGCAACTGTTCAGTTAATCTAAAAAAAAATCAGAAAAAGGGAAAAAACAAACAACCCCCACTACATTACAAAAAAAGAAGAATTAAGGCAAAAAAAAAAAAGTCTCCGGTTTCTGGTATGGAGCTTGCCCAAAAAGTGGTGCGGCGACGCGGCTTTTTTTTTTTTTTTTACTCGACTTTTTTGCTTCAAATGTCGGCTGATGACTGCAAATGGTGCCCGACTAAACTTAGTACAAATAGGCCTGTATGGGATTGGGAGTCCAGAGAGGCCACATAAAGCTTATTCTCGACCATAACTCATCTAAAAACACATTAAAAATGTGCAGCAGCAGGATTCCAGTCAAACCAGTGAGTTTGGCGGTTTTGAGACATCATCTTTCATTGAAAAAAAAACTTTTTCATTTTGCCGACGCGCATGGCTACAGCAACGCGCGCGCATACCAGAAACCGGAGACTTTTTTTTTGGCCTAACGTTAGGGTTCAAGTTTATCCAAAGGCATCAAGTTTTACATTTTTCATATATCAATTTTATTTTATTCAGTGAACTCTTTTAAATTGACAATGATAGGTAATACACATTAAAACAATATCATGCTAAAGTTATCTCAATCAACCAAAAAGCTGCCTGGGTCATGAAAAAAAAAGAAGACCTGCTAAAATGACCACGAATATATGCTGCTTCAAATTCTGACTTCACACTGAACCACGGCGTTCTAAAGATTGCGGTAAAACTGCGTTCAGCAAACTACGGACCTTAGGCGAAGAGTTTCAGTCCGCGTACGTTGAGAGTACAAAATAAGCAACTTTTAAACTCATTTATTAATGTGTTTCATTTTACCGCGTTATTTGTGTCAAACTAATATCGTAAATACAGTGCTTTAGAGTTTATGCTTAATAAATAATCTGCTTGAGCTTTATAACGGTTGATTGATACACACGTATTCTGAGTTTTTCATAAGGAAATCTTTAATTTTACTGACCACAGTTAATTTTAGTTTTCAAACCTGGCACCAAAAATGATAGTGAAATTAATTTCTTTTCTATTCCCACTGAACTTATAAAGTGCATCCCCATTTTATATATTTTTCGCACTGTATCCACCATTCTTTAAAAGTCCCTGTTGCTACGCATTATTTTAGTGATGGGGGTCCAATCACACATTTTAAATCATTCTTAATTGGTGCAAGAACTGCACACAAACTTGAACAATTCAGGACAAATTGCACATGTACATCATCAGAAAAGTTAACATTGAGTTGAAAAAGAAGGAAATAAAGATTAATAACATGTTCGCCAAATTAGAAAATATCATTGTAAACACGAAAGCAAGAGGACATTTAAATTCCCACAAAACAATTTGACAGCTGAACCATTACGATGCTCAGGTTTAATATTATGTTTGCAAAGTCGTGGTGGCAGCTGTTTGAATATTACACACTGTACATGTTATTAAACATACCAAGTTTAAAGTCAAAGTATGGGTGCAATGCGAGCCAAGTGAACTTCAAGTAAAAAAAATCCACCGTTTTATCTGTAAGGATATCAATCTGTAGCAGGGAAATGGGGACCGGAAGAAATATCTTTGAGAAAACAAACATAAATTTAAACGTAATTAAAGAAAACTAAATGGCAGGAACAGGTTTCTGGGGAAGTTTCTTGGTGTAAGTTTTCCTTTTGCCATTTTATGTGAAAATCCTAAAGCAGTCAAAATGCCCAATGAAATGGATAAGGCTTTTTACCAAAATGTAAAAAATGGGATATTTACGGTTTTGAATAAGTGCCAAAAGGGTACTAGGGGCATGTGGGGGCTTTTAATCCAATTTCCTCCTCAGTAAATGTTGTAAGGACACTAGTATCGTAACATGCAATAATATCTAACAGGCAATAAAATGTAGAACGGGTTCAAGGCGACTGATTGAAAGAGAGATCCATTCTTCCAACTCAAATCTTTAAATCCACGTTTTTAAATTCTTTTAGGATATTTTTATGTGCATGGACTGATTTCTGAGCTTCTGTCATTAGAAGTTGTCAGAAAATTAACAGTTGAAATCTTTTCTGGACTAAATGTATGTTTTGACCTTAGCTCTACTTTGACCAATTTTGCATGCTCCAAAGAACTTTTGTTCGAAAAAAATAATAGTAATATTCTGAGGTACGGGCATACTGGCACTTGATATATTTTCAGGATACAGATGCCTAGATCGGCTCATGTTGTAATGATTTCAAGTGCAAAGACAACTGGATAGGAACGTGTCACAAACGCCCTCCTTGTTTTTTAAATGCAGGAAAAAGGAACAGAATATAAACACATACCAGGCTTGAGTGGATATTTTTGAAATGTTTCTCGTGTGTGAACAGGGTCAACATCTAAAGGGTTTGATTAAGGACTGCAAGCGTGTAGCATGAAAGGTCCTGAAGACTTTGTCTTTTTACCCCTCCCCTAACCCCATACGTACCCCAACCCCCACCCCTTCTATATCATCACCCCCTGCAGGGTCATCACACTTGCTCATCTCAATATCCTTAGATAAGTGAAGTCTTAACACTTGGTCAGACTTCTTAATCACCATGGGAAGTAACAAGAGTGCCGACAGATCTTTCCCGTAACATCATGTTGGGCACCGCAGGCTTAACTGTTACTGCCGAGAGGGAAACGTCAATGAAACCCTTGTGATTACATACTTCCTCCCCCCCTTTTATCCGAGGTCATCTGGAGACACTCAAGAACATTAATAGATAACAAATGCAAATCACAAGGCAGTTAAAGGGAGACCTGCGGATGGAAAAGTGCTTACTCAAAGTCCTCTGTTTTGTTTTGCTTTCTCTACTTGATCTCTTTCTGGAGATGCTGAAGGAACTCAAAGTACGACATCGATGATTCCGTCCGGTCCTGCACCAGATTTCTCAAGAAGAGCACTCGCTTTTTACTGTCCTCTCTGATAAAAGGTGAAGAAATAAAAAAGCCGTGAAAAGTTAGTTTAATAGTTTACTGAAAAAAATACCGAGGCCATCCCTGCTACAGGCTGTCCCATAAAATTTATATATAAAATGTCTAAACCTACACACCCAAAAGGAAACACAAAGAAGGTACCAATATTTTATGACTACTTTTCAAATACTTTCATTTTCTTCACAAACAGCAAGTCTAAATCAGAATCACCTTTGAGGGCTCCACACCTGAAGGTGCCAGATCGGATTTAAAATTATCTTTAATTTTCCGGCGTTGCCAGTGAACAAGGCAAAGAAATGCTAGCATCTGCCATCCTGTTCTGGCTGATTAAATGTTAACCATGCATGCCTGTTGATCAGCACACTGAGATAGCACATGACTGACAACTGATTAAATGACTAAGCCTGTGCAAGATTTGGTGGCGCCTTTTTCCCTCACGCCCCGTCTCATCGCAAATGACCTTAAAAATCAACTCTATATGCCCTTCTTAGAAAAGAAATGACACTTAGGCCAAAAAAAAAAGTCTTCGGGTTTCTGGTATGGTGGTGCGGAGACGCGGCTTTTTTTTTTTTTTTTACTTTTTTTCCTTCAAATGTCGGCCAATGACTGCAAATGGTGCCCGACTAAATTTAGTGTAAAATATATGGGAGCCCAGAGAGGCCACATAAAGCTTATACTCGATCGTAACCCAATCAAAAATCACATTAAAATTGTGCAGCAGCAGGATTACAGTCAAACCAGTGAGTTTGGCGGCTTTGAGACATCATCTTACATTAAAAAAAAAAGTTTCAATTTTGCCGAGGCGCATGGCTTCGGCGACGCAAGCCCATACCAGAAACCGAAGCTTTTTTTGGGGGTGCCTTATAAGTTTAAGTGACCCTGTCTTAGTTTCCCGTTTCGGCAGGCTGGCACCTGACTAATTGTCAAGTACTGTTAGGGATCCAAGATTGACACGCTTCATTAATGTACCGACTGTACGAACCTAACCACTTTTGCCTAGACCAATTTAGGGATGCGCCGAATATACAGAATATTGTAACATTCTATCACCAAACGACTTTCCCAATAACAGGCATGAGAATGAATTTCAATGAAAAAACACACACAGGAAACTTGTGCAAAAACAGGAAAAAAGTTGTGAAATCAGGCCAAAAGGCCCTAAAATGGGCTCAATAGAAATACAAATGTGGAAATTTGGGCCAAAAAAAATCAGGAATTCCTGTTTTAACAGGAAGATTCTCAGGCCTGCAATAACATTTTTTGTATACAAATATTTGATAGTGAAAATCTTGGCTAAATAAAGTGAATTTTAAAAAACGTTGGGAAATGTTTTAGGCTGTAGTGATTTCCACATAACTGCAAAGTATTCATCGAAAAAAAAAAAAAATTGAAAAAAAATTTGAAACAAAAACCCCCAACTAGAGATGAAATCCCACCTTATGATTTGTAGGGGTGCAGCAAAGGCTCGCTTGTCTAGTAACCACATGATGAATGTCCGCAGTCGTTCTGAGGCAGGGTTTGCTAGTTCCGGCAACTCCGTCTGAGGGGTGAAAGAACCAGAACAAAGTCAGGAAACTGGAATACTGAGCCACAAAATGCACAAATATGATGCGATCAAGCTAAATGAGTCGTTTGTCGCCAATGTTTATTTGGAGATTCAGGCCAAAATAGGGCCACTTCATCACATCACTTCATCACATCACTTCATCACATCTCTTGGTGTTATGACTTCCAAAATTTTAAACTAAAGATGGTACCAGCATGCTGTTTTCACAGCAGTAATGCTGAGATTGTGCTCTTTTCAAATCAGTAATAATTTTTTTTTTACCAGGGTTGACAAACGACTCATTTAGTTTGATCACATCACAAATGTTGGTGAGATTTTGACTTCTATATCAAACGACCCCAAAAAAGTAGTTCCCGTTCAACTTAAAAGTGTCAAGAAAAAAAACGAGGAAATTCAAATTTTTCCAAGACTTTGTGCAGTGTTTTCTATTTTTAATGGCACACATGGGAAGTACAAAAAGAGGAGATCAGCTGTTCCGAGGAAAAGTTGCACAATTTGGTTTTTTTGAAAGGAGAGACTCACCATGCCCTCGGGAATCGACCGAAAGTTGGGCGTGTCTAGAATCTCCAAACAGAAGGCAATGGAGACCTCCCGATTGACAAACAGATACATGGCGTCGCCGCAGTCCATCAGATAGGCGCCGTTGCGATTGATGTACTCCGAGGATAGGCCTATCAGGGGAGGCTGGGGGATGGACTGGTCGTTGACAAGGATGGCACCCTGTGTAGAGAAGTCAGGGTAACAGACTTGTAAAGATGTAGGACTTGTAATTCTTACTCATTCTTACTAATAAGTGTCGTTAAGAATCACATCAAACAATTTTTATTCGTTGGGTCGGTAGTTTCCTGTTGATAGTCATCAATCTTGGAGGACGACTGCATTAAGGAGTGCATCAGAATTATATAATCATAGTTGTCAAATGTAACAGGGACAGAGGGAAAAAAAATTGACCTCAAATTTATTGAATGACTCATACAGTCCTTAGGAAACTTGGGCAAAAAATGTCAAAATAATGACATTTTAAACAAAGATATTAGGGAAAAGCAGCCTGACATTTTGGATGGATGGAGGTATCTGGTGCATGAACAGTTCTTGACTGCATGGATATTTTACGGTGACAGGTTGCAACAACTTGACCCACCTCATCTGACATGTTGTGCACAGGGTACAGGTTGGGGTGCAACTTGAGAATGATGTACTGCAGAGGCTGGCACTTAAACATCTCCATAGAGTACACTCTCTCATCTAGCCTGGTGCTGGTTCCCAGACGAAAGGCATTCTGTCAAATGAGCAAGCAGCAATTTGATTGGGTGAATACAAAGAGTTGAGTGTGATTAAACCAATCGGAACGACCCTTATTGTCTGAGACACTCTAGGTTGTAGTATGGAACCCACAACGAAGGCAATCTGATGAGATTGGCCGAATACAAGAGTTGTATGCAGTAAACACCAATCGGAACAACTGTCAGAGTCTGAAAACCCTGATATCTAATCTAGCTCTGTGGAGTTAGCAGTTATGCGATTGGGTGAATACAAGAGTTGTATGCGGTAAAAACCAATCAAAACATCTGTATGAGTCTGAAAATCCTGATATCTAATCTAGAGATGTGGAGTTAGCAGTGATGTGATTGGGTGAATACAACAAGATGAGGTGAAAAGCCCCAATCAGATCATCTGTATTATACCCTTGTGTTTCAGTTTGGTGTCACACACTAAGTACATGTAATAATAAGAATAATAAGAATAATTTAAAAAGTTATCATGCGTCAATGATCAAAAGCGCATTACAGTGTGTACGGTGAAAGTGACTGTGTTTAGAGTAAAAAAAAACAAACAAACACTGCGCCACTTCTGAAAATATTGTAAATTGGGGGCAGTTTTTGAGAAAAAAAAGGCCAGTTTTTTCCAACGATGGTTGGCTGACCAGCGTTGGAAAGTGACATAAAAATACAACTTTTCTTGAAAATGACAACACACCAGGTGCTTCATGTATCAATATCAGAAGAAGTACCCTAGAATATACTACAGGACAAAAATTCTATTTGTCAGAAAAAAAATCAGCTAATTATGATTAAATACTGGCACAGCCTTGGTTGTGCTCACAGTTCGTTGTCAGCATGACACAAACAACCTTTTATTTAATTGATATAATAATGGGACAGGAAACAAACTTTCATGCTGGACAAACAACCTTGTTTACAGAAAATTGTGGGTCAGAAAAGCCAAAAAAAGTTTGCCTGAAGGACGATTCACAATTGTTTGACCACCATGTTTGAGTGCACTTGATACAAGCTAATCCGTGGTTTTGTAATCTAAGGTTACGACTGACCGCATGCTTGAACACCACCGCTTGCCTACCTTTGCAGCCTTTGTGAACTGTAAAATTTAACTAGGGCTAAGTTCATGTATTGTCTGTTGATTTTTTGTTTTGTCAACAAGTATTGTGCATCAGTTTGTCTCCCGGAACGTATTTTGACCGTGGCTGGTGATAGATTTTACACTCAGATAGTATGTCCGCCCACACTATTTTAAAAAGGATCCCCCTTTGTTCTGAATTTTTTTTTTGAGTGGGTGGGGGGTACTAAGCTACCCGGCACACTTTTAGCAAGCTGTAAACACCCTTTTGTTCAGTGTGCGCAGGCGTCCTGCATGTAAGTGGTACCACTGAATAAATATCTTCTAATTTGTGGTCACAAAATTAGTCAAAGTGCCTTTACTACTACTCGATTACTGGACTAGAGAGTAGTTTATGCTACTTGTTGTTCTACTCGTGGTTTTTCATCTACTCGAGTACTCGTCCAAGCGCGAGTAGAAGCAGGTACTCGCGAGAAGCAATTTAAGGTTTAGGGTTCATGACTTAATACGTCCCCTGTGAACAAGGAATCACTCCCTCCACCTCTCTCTACCAAGGATATTCCATTCGTCAAAAAAACCAAAAAAAACCACCCCGATTTTACAGACTTATCAGGGAATAAATACAATGTGCTACAGTGTGATACAAGTAATGACCTCTCTCACTGACACATTCAGCTCTGCCATCACAGCAGTCAAAATCAATCAAGTAACTGTTTTTTAACAGTTACGAATTCCCTTGTTAATTTGATATAGCCATGCTTTGACTGGAGGTGATTGATATGCCAGCTGAACATACCAGTTACCTCTTTTGCCTGTTGATGGATTTTGACTAGTCACAGTGTTAACATGAATGTAATCTCTCTACAGTTTTCTTAAGGCTTGCGAGCTACAGTGCCTAGGGTGCTTTTGAGGAATCCTTGGTTTCATTACCAGAAATAAATAAAAATAATAATAATAAAAAATCAGTCTTACATTTTTCAGAGCAGCTAGTGTGTAGAGCGGCAGCATGCGTAGTGACTTGGGACACATCAACGTACCGACCGTCTGCCCGCTAGGTAACGTGCCTTTGTAACATGATAAGGAGTCTACACTCACGTTGACTAGCGCATCACGAGCGTCAGACATTGTGGAGGTGAGCGACTTGTCTACAGCTGAAACAAAACCAAACCAAATCCAAATCTATTTAAAGGGAAAATACAACATTTGCAAACATCAAAAAATAAAACTACCAAGTTTTTACGAAATACCTTACTAGGATGTTGGTAAATGACTGTCTAAAGCATCCTGTAAAATTATGGCACCTGCTATGAAGCCATTTTCAAGAAAATGGTATTTTTGTATACATTTCCAACGGTGGTCGGCCGACCACCGTTGGAAAAACCCAACTATTTTTCAACTACTGCTCCAAATTTACCATTTGTTTCAGTCCAAATTGTGTTTGCTATTGGTTACATGTTCATGAACGGGTGCTGGCCAGCTAGACTTGTTCCCTTACCTTACAATTTTCCGGCATCTATAAATTGATCCATTTCATTTTTAGTGGAGTCAGGGAACCAGACTACTTGAAAATGTTTTGTTTTTCTTGGTTTTTCCAGCATTTTCGGACACAAAACTTCTAACATGTCAGTGTAACAATATTTTGTTCTATTATACTAACCCCTCAACTAGTTCATTTCTGAGAATTACAGCGAAAGCCAATGATGTACATTCCCTTTAATCAAAATCCAGAACTTCACTTCAAAACTTGCGAGGAACACAAACCATTTGCTGAGCAAAAACAGGGTACCAGTCAAACTGTATAAAAGAATCTGGAAACGACTGGTGTTTCTGTAGATCCAGCTTTCAACCCTTGATGTATAGTTGTATTCATAGCGTATGTAAAACAGAAATACTCATTTAAATTTTTTTGTGTGTATCTTTGGAATCCATATTTTTTTCAAAATTTTCACTCTTACCCATTCTTGTGAGTAATGCCACGATGCCCTGTTGATCCGCCCCTGCCATGATCTCCGTCAGCTGATTGGTCACTGGCAGGCACATGGTGTGGACACGGATCCGCCTTTCTCCTGAATAATTCATGAGAAAATTAAAACGTTATTGTGATCTGTGATGTGGCAAATCTTTCAAAGCCCCTGAACACAAGTTTCTGTTTGAAATGGAATGAAGGATTAGGAGGATGTGATATAAAAGGATTAAAAAATAAAACCACAAGCTCAGTTAAGATCAACTAATTAAACCTGTGGAATTTTTAAAAACATTTTCCCCTTTGTTCAAAAATAAATTTTGCAAGAATGCTAGATGCCAATTTTACAAAAAATATAACATGAAAGTATGTGTTAACAAAAAAAAAAAAAGCAGCAAATAAAGGCTGCCCCCAAACATGGGGGGGGGGGGGGTGTATACAGCTCAAAGTATCCATTAACCTTAACTCCCTAGCATAATTTACTAGGAATCGTACCCATCCTGGCAAATTCCAACACCTACATGGGAAATCGTACACACACACTGTTGGACTTAGTTTCTGGAGGTATGCCAAACCCAGTGTAAAAGACCATCAGTTAAGGGATACTGTACCTATCCCAACAGATTTAAACAAAACCTGCTGTTGGGCTTTGATGGGTTGAGTTCGGTTAGGGTTAATCCCTAAATCATACACAATAATCAACTCTGTCATCACTGGTACCCTTTTTTTCAGATACATACATTTATTTCGATGCTGCATAAACGACGATACATAATGTTATATATTCAAATTGGCAATACATGTACATATATATATATATTTACAATAGTGAACATTAACTAAATGGCAGCATCTAGGTCCGGGGTGTAGCATAAGCTTTTGTTCCCCAGCCTATGGACAGACAGACAAGTGACACCTTAGTGGGGAGAACAAATTAGTGACAAGAGCGCTTAGCCCAAGGACACAAGCATCCAGGCTCACAATCTGTAAATTACCAAAACAATCTTGGGCTTGATGCAAAAGACCACGGGTTAAAAAAAATTCTGTTACCTTTGCTGCTGGTGTAGAGCAGTGCTGCTTGTAGCGAAGCCACTGGGGAGTCATGTAGGCTCTCCTCTATGCTGACCTGCATGGCAAAGCCAGCGTCTGGGTTGATGTTGGGTAAGGACAGCAGGTCTGTCGACCGCACAAAGAAGTTGCCGTGGAATGTGTGAATACTCAGGCCTGGGGGATCAGAAAAATCACTCAATCACTGATGGGTTACAAGGATCAGGATGCTGTGTTGTAATTTAAACCAACCCTACCAGACACGACAAGGTGCAGCAGTTTTATAGTCTGTGGAATCTTGTCGATTGGACAGGAAGCATCAGTCCAGTCCCTTTAGCATCACCCTAACCCCCTTGAGTGATTACTAGAAACCTTCCTCACTCCTGCAAACACCATATGGTAAACTCTACACCCAAACTGTTGGACTCAGATTATGGTGGTATGCCTGACCCCTTGTAAAGGATAATCAGTTTACTAGTACAGTACTCACTCCAACAGATTCCAACAAAACATGCAGTTGGATTTTGAAGGGTTTGGGGTGGTTAGGGTTAAACAATGCAACTGTTGGATCCTAGGAGCCTAGAAGACAAAATAACAATTTGCGGGCGCTTTACCTCGGAAAAACATTTGCCTTTGTGTAGATTTCTTTCTTTCTTTTTCCTTTCCTTACAAATTAACTTAGACTTTGTAAAAGATTCTGTTTGGAACTTAAGTCACTTCTAATTTCATATCCCAATCAAACTTGGCCAAATCTAGGACCTTACAGGAAAGACCAAAGACATTTTAGGGTACATGCTACTTACCTTTGGTGCAGCGTACTCTCATGACTGCTTCAAACCCAATCTTCCTGGTGAGGTACCGACGGAGGTCGTTACTAAACCGCTCCACTTCCACCAGATTCTGAGTGCTGTGGAATCCTGGGTAATAGTAGACGCTGCCGCCTGAATATTTAGCCACACCCGCTACGAGGCAAATATAAAGGTGACACGGTCAGTAATTAATAACAGCTGTATGGTCCAAATATACGCTCCTGTACAAAATATTAAATTTGCGAGGTATGATTTATTATTTCTTTTTGGAGACAACATTTTCCAAAGAGAATTTTCTAAAATTACAATATCTCTTAGAATTCATGGATGTAATATCACTCAACCAAAAGCAGATTTGTATCCTATAAGGATAAAGATATGTTTCTGTTTAAGAATAAAATCTCAGCAATGGAATTAATTACAATTCAAAATTGAAAAATGTGTAATCAAATTCGATACTTGGAATCTAAATACACAGCGAGCAGAAACGTACCAAGGGTAGCCACGTCCGTGTACTGGCTGCTGAAGAGGAAGATGTCACACGCTATCTGCTGGGCTGAGAAATCCAAGGACAGCTTCTTGTAGAAGTCAACCGCCGGTCCAAGATTTGCAACACTCTACACAGAAAATGAATAACAGTTTAGCATGAGGAGTAATTGAAGGCATAATCTTTTATAACCTAAACCATTTTAAAGAATTTATGAAGGGTGCTCATGGAATACTATTTGTTTTTCACCGACGTATTTTTATTAACACTGTACACTCAAGTGTTGTTCCGATTGTCAGAAATATCACTAGCACTCAGGTGGGACTCGAACCCCCGAACTCCTGCTTTAATGCAGACGTCTTACCACTCGACCACCAAGCTTGCCGGGGGCTGATTCGAATCTTCTGTATTCTTGTGCGATATTTAGTATAGAAGCCATCTTCATTCATTATTTAGAATTGAGAATTAAGCAAACTCTCACCTTATAATATACAAAGAAAACAATTGAGCAAGATGTAAGACTTCCTCCCTAGGATGTGTAAAAAAATCACGTTGAAATTGGAGGATTCAGGACTAAATGGGTAGCTTTTTCGCTTAGCCAGAGTTGAAAACAGATTTCATCAACACAATGGCAGGTCTTGGCCTCTCTACTTGAAGAAAAGATGACAAGCTTTTTGCCAAATGCCACCCACCACTATGGTGAGATACATCCACTTGTCCGAGACTTACTTTGGATGACGCTCTTTGGTTTGGATCCTCCCTGGACTTGAGAGCTCCCTGGCCCAGGGAAGGTAGACCGGACTGGAAAACAGTCACACGCCCTCCAGTTGGGCTCTGCAGAGGAACAAATCAAAACAGTTACAAAAATTGAGGAGCTGAGGAACTAAAATGTAAATATATAATTGTTACCTGGCAGAAACTGTACACAGTGCTGCGTGGCTTACTGCTAAATTTGAGAATATGTGCAATTATCTCAATACTTATCTTTCTATTTGAAGCAAGTTTTTAGTTTTTTAGCTTCCGTCTTCTATCCCTTCTTTGTGTAGCCCTCACCTGGAGTGGCCCTTGACCCTAACCCCTGCAGTGATTTACTACAAACCTTCCTCACTCTTGCAAAATCCAACACCATATGGTAAACTCAACACCCAAACTGCTGGACTCTGATTATGGTGGTATGCCTGACCCCATGTAAAGCATGATCAGTTTACTAAGTGCAGTACTCACTCCAACAGATTCCAACAAAACATGCAGTTGGATTTTGAAGGGTAGGGGTAGTTATGGTTAAATAGGGTATTGTGATTGTAGACTCTCATAAAACAATCTAACAGCAGCATTCAGAAGGAGTAGGAATATTCCAGGTATAGAGAGCTTTCTTATACAGGGGTGTGAGTGACCTCTGATAAAAATAGCTGAAAACAGCTGAAAAAGGTGTAAAAAAGCTGAACTTTGGAAATCTCCTATACTTTTGTACACGGCAAGTGAGGAAAAAAAAAGTTGAAATCCAAAAAAAAAAAAAAAAAAAAAAGCTGAAATTAGCTTTAAATCTGAGATTTCACACCCCTTGCTTATATCAGAGACTGAGTTCTCACCATGAGTTTGAGTGCTGCCTGCAGTGCAGGTCCCAGGGCCGTCTGTGTGTTCTTGTTGCCGGAGAACATGGATGGGATCTGGTTCAGCAGCTCTTGTATCAACTACGGGGAAAACATTTACAGAAGAGAAAATTTAGTAAATATCTAAGATATCGGAGATGATTTTTAATGTGTACCTGCGACTTTTTCCCCGAAAAGAATATGGATGTCACAATTAACAGAGGAAGTTTTCTTTTAAAATATTAATTTCCTTTGTGGTCCATCTGAAAATTCAAAATATTCAAAAATATTTCAACACTAAAACGTTGAAGTAGGGAAGCCACTCAATCATTGTGTTCATGATCTCAAAACGTGTTCTGAGTTTTGACAATCCATTCAGTTTGGATCTTTATCAAAGACCAGGCATCTAACTAGTTTCCAAACAAACTTTTATAACAACTCCATTATATTTTTACTGCATTTATTGAATTTACCTCTTTGTTTTCGTGAACGTTGACCAGCAAATCATTGGGGCAAGGAAGAAATATGTCTGCAAGAAAAACAAAACCAACAAGTCGAAAATGATCTTGAAAGTGCTGAAGTCAAAAAAGAAAGAAACAACAAGGAAATTTCAAACCATTTGAGAGTTTCTACAGTATTTTGGGAAATTATAAACAAGGAAATGTAGGAACTCACCGTCAATGTCGGATACCACCAGCATCTGTGGCCTTGTCATCCCTTCTTGCAGGTTGTAGAAGTGCAAGGTGCTGTCAAACGTGATGAAGCCAATCAGGGTCCTGGCGTCGCCAGGCATGCGGTCCAGGCAGTCTAGGAGATGCTGGCAGGCGATGGAGAGATAGCCAGACTCCACAGCGCTGAAGGAGACATCGATGACGAAGAGGTAGACGGCCGGCTGCGGCGGCCTCAACTACAATCAAAGTGGATGATTGTGGGGAGACTTAAAGGCGTACAGGATCGTTTGCTTTCATGCATTTTTGTTAGTTTCCAATAACACCACCACGCGAAAACCTAAGAATGTTCAAAACCTAGCCTGTTGAAGTTTCAGCTCAGTGGATATTACAATTTTTGAGAAAACAGTGAAAAACCATGCACCACCTTTTGATCACGAAACACAATTTCGTCCATAGGACTCTGTATTTCCAAGGATCAGTCGATTGATAGATCATTAGAAATCGCCAACATTTTTTTTATTTCGACTAAATGTCAGACAGCCAGATGGAATATTTTCACTGGCTGTTTAGTACCAGTACAATATTTAACCCAAGCAAGCTTTTTGATAATAATTTGTTATGTTACTTTTGGGATAAATGCAAATTATCCTATACGCCTTCAATAAGCGAGTGCTTACTTAAACATGTTCATTTTGTGAGGAGAAATCATGTCAGGGCACTACTTGAGCGCTGGTTCGAATGTTGACTCGACTTAAAATTTCTTTTAGAATCACATCCAGACTCAAATCTAGACTCTCTAGTTGCAGATGAGTTCAAGGAGAACTTCAGAACAGGACCATTACGACATTAACTTGCTAAAAGGCAAGAAGGCTATAAGATGAAAATAGGTAGAGCTTTCCGATGACAACACTTATAAGGAATTTTGTCGATTGTTTACAAAAACTTTTCTCCTGGGCTCACCATGTACTCTGAGGGTGCAATGAACTCAATAGTAGCGGACTTGACTTCTGGCCTTCTCTCTGGAGAACCGTAACTCTTGGTGACAGGGTCATACGTGAACTCTTCAGGTACTGGATAATGAAAATAAATAAATAAATAAATATATAAATAAACATTGAAATTTTAACAAAAGAAGAAATTCTGTGCAACTAATTAAGTGTACTTCACAAGTTAGCAAGGAATTCTGGCTTTTGGGAATAGGTACATGTCCGAATTTAAGATTCAGTGCTTACAAGGTAAGCACAGAGTTTTATGCTAGTCAATACACACAGGACTGTGATCGTAAGTGCATAATTCCTTAGTCCGTGATATGAACTTGATGAAGTAGGGCCCTGGTTTGGGTCCATGTCTGACTTACATTCGTTTATCCTATAGCAGAGGTTGCACTTCCAACGCCGTTGCTCGATGATCGTTACAAAGGGGTTGATGTAGGTGCGGCATGAGCGGCACCTTACGATGACACTCGACTGGATCACAGGCAAATGCTGCCAAAATAAAGAAAGTCAGTCCAAATTATTCATATGATTTGAGAGCATATGGAGAACTCCGTTACCAATTTGAGCACATTTCTTCTTCGAGGTTAGTGTGCCTTGCTTACAACTTACAGTCTCTCCGTGAAAATTAGACGGAGGATCTGCTGGCAGTGCCGTGAAAAGGGGCTTTGGGTTTTGCTTTGGACTCACCGAGAGATCCCTGAATGGATGTATGATGAGTCCCAACGGCAGACGAGACTTCTGCAGCAAGGTCTGGGTCTGAGGAAGAGCGTTCAGCGTACAACGGAAGATGCTGCAAATCAAAGACAGACCATTGGGTGAATAATGGCACTGTCATATTCAAAGTATAACTACAGATAAATATTCAATTATATATTCAATCATATAACCGCAGAAAATGGACCAATAATGTACTGGAGTCTGTCAAATCTTGGGGTGGAAATCATGAAGCTATAGCCTTAAGCAGAAGCAGGAGAGGAAGCCTGTTTTAAAGTTGTACAAAGAAATTGACTGGAGTGGGGTTTAAACCTGCGACCTCCGGATTACCGTTCCTGTGCTTTACCAACTGAGCTACCCGGCCCTGGTCAGTTTCCTTTTGTGGTTAATTTGAAAATTACAATAAATGCTCAATAACAATTTAGGATCTCAGTACCGAGCCAGATTTCTACTTACTCTGGGTCAACCTGCAGCTTGCTGTATTCAGGGTTCAATCTGGACTTCGGCGGCTCCACCGGCATGGGTTCCACGATGTGCCTCTCCTGCAGCAGGTTGATGGGTCTGGTCTCGGCCTGCTGCACCCGTAGGTTGTTCATGGAGGCGTTGAGGCTGTTCATGCTGGGCTGCCCTCCCTGCAACGTGAATAACATTAATGTTGTCAGCTGAAGCTGGCAGCGAATAATGGGCAAAGAAAACAGGTTTGACTGTCCAAAGTACCCTGCGCCAATTTAACCGTGAAATACAAGACACCAAGGCTACTCACCGGTTGCTGCATGACGTTGTTCACGGCCATCCGCGCTTGACCCCCGTTGGGCTGTGGCATTCCCCCCATTTGCGGCATGGATTTGCCCATCCCCTGTTGGGGCTGGCCCATTTTGGCCATACCACCTTGAACGGCAGGGGCGGGCGGCTGCTGGTACTGGCCCGGCTGGGGCTGGCTCATGTAGCCCTGTTGTGGATACTGACGCCTGCCGCTGATACCCGAAGAAACAGGGGGTCCTGTTGCTGGTTGCCCACCCATGGGAGGTCCACTCATTGGGGGAGCACTAGTTGGAGGTGCGCCCATTGGAGGTGCGCCCATTGGAGGAGCGCCCATAGGGGGTGCGCCCATTTGGGCACCACTAGTTGGGGGACCACTAGTTGGAGTACCACTCCTTGGGGTACCACCCATTGGGGTACCACCCATTGGGGGCCCACCCACTTGGGTACCTCCCATGGGTGGACCACTATTTCGGGTACCACTAGTTTGGGGCCCACCCATTTGGGGCCCACCCATTGGGGGTCCACCTATTGGGGGTCCACCCATTGGGGGTCCACCCATTGGGGGCCCACCCATGGGTGGCCCAGCTAAGGGATGCCCCCCAGATGGCGTTCCGACCCTTTGAGGATTAGCCAAGGGAGAAACGGGCAGCTGCGACCCTCCAGGTGTTGGAGGACCTAGGGAAACAAAGACAAGAAAATAAACATTAATCCTGACCCCCTGGGCATTTTTTTTTACTTTGGAAAAGGAACTGAAATCTATACAGTATACAACATACGTGAAACCTTATCAACTTCCAATGAGAATTCAGCCCATCTCTAGCAGGGATATATTTCAACAAAGCAGGAATTTGACCACGATCAAGTTTCTTCAAACAGGCCATTTTGCAACTATCCCATTACATGTATTATGCTTTGACCACAACAGCATCCTCGCTCCCTCGTAAAAAATATACTGGGGATATGTAAGTTGATATGTATTTTCCAATAATTTCAGTCTGTTACACTTTGTATTCATATCAAATGCCAGTCATGATAATTACTTTTACAGACACAAAGTATCATCTGTTTCTGTTATGCTTAATTTCTAGTGCAAATTTGTACCCACTTTATGAAATTCAAATGGATTAACCACATGTTACAACACGGCATGATTACTGGTGAAGGTATAGAGAACAAGCAATGCAATTCCTACATAAAGGAAAATAACTTTGTGTGAACTTTTAAAAATTAACCCTAACCCCTTGGCTCTTTTGGCTAGGAATCATTCTCAATTCTGCAAAACCCTCCAATTGTCACCATTTAAAAATTGGATTCAGCTTAATCCAAAATCAACCATTATTTCTTGAATTTGTTCAGTGCAAAGGTGACCATTGCCCCAATCCTTAAAATTCCTCCAACAATCACTGTAAAGGGATGAGGCAGTGCTGGTGACATTCAGAAGCAGTACAGATGATATTACGCATAATGCAGGGCTCAATTATGCATGACTGAACATAAACAATGCTGGGTACAGCCTACAAACTCGACACAATGCATCCTCCAAACTGAACCAACACTTTTTGCCATTCAGCCTTAATCCTCCAAAATCCTCCAACACTGCCTGGAGGATTTTGGAGGATTGAGGAGGGTTAGGGTTTAAGTAAGTGGTGCTAACCTTGATGATAATTGGGAGAATAGGGTGTCCCTCCTTCCAGGGCATCATATCTCTGAGAGGGAACAGGTGAGGGTGCCGCAGAGGACCTTGCGGAGGGCGGACCTGGGCATTGGTAAAATGTGAAAAAATAAGGAACATTCAAGACAAAATGCAAGATACCCCCGTTACTTTATTTCATTGCTGTTCTCTGACTCTGTAGCCAAGACTTCCTTTGCAGAAGCCAGTGAACGAAATTCTAAACTAGGGTCCTGAACAAAGTTTTGAGAATCACTTCTGAAGAACAGCTGTCAGGGAAAAAAATGGGTTTACTATCGTGAATGATGTTCCTATGCCTATCTTCCCCACACAAGTGTAGCCCTCATGTTCCATCGGTGCACTGGCCATGTGGTGATTCAATATCACTACCACAAAAATGGGCACGCAAATGATGGGTACATTACAACTTTTAGGATATGAATTTTCTTATCTAATGTTTACTTCATCCTAATAATAAACAACCTGTGGGTCCAATTGATGTAATTGATACAGGAAACTTGTACTATTTATCTAACAGATGGTGAATTACGGATGGGTAGATATCCAGTAAGGTAGGGGTAAAGTTCAGAAATGTAGGCATAAAAGTCAGTAGAAGCCATAGCAGCTATCAAGGGAAATATTGCAAAGGTGCAGAGTCATTACATGTACATTGTGGAGCACTGTGTTCCAATGGTGTTCGACTCATGTGTCATGACATGTTGGTTCAAACCCTGACATAGTGCTGGTGGCCTTGGGCAAGCCACTTTACTACAATTGCCTCTCTCCACTCAGGAGTGTAAATGGGTACCTGTGAAGGTAGAGACCAGAATGCGCAGCCGTTGCAACAACTGGTCTCATTGTGTGATGAACAGGGGTAATAATTGTGAAGCGCTTTGAGACCTTTGGTTTATATAAAGCCCTATATAAGAACCACATCATGATAACCTAGGTTAAATATAAACTTCAAAAAAATAAATGGTTCACAATAAATGCTCAGTTAATGTATGCAACCTTGTACTCACAGGTTGCAAAAACAGGAGGGTGAATTTAAGTTATACACTGTATTATATTCCCTGGCTTATAGGATCTCACTTTATCTTGACATACACGTATCACAATGTTTAACCTCAGCTTGAAAAAACAAACTGTCAACCAGCAACACTAAAGGCACACCGAAAATGACGCCAAGTGTTTTTAAGGCTTGTTCCCTTTCGTGCTTCAAACATGTGCAGAACACATGTCATGTGACTAATCAAACTGGCAGAGGCCATACTAGTAAGGCAGAGTCAAAAACACACCAGTTTCTCACCCGGCCCGCTTCTTTTTTTAATATATTTTTATGTTCATACATTTGCAATATGTTTTGCATGTTTATTGTCACCATATTGTCTTTGTATAAATTTGTTTCCAACAAATTTGTAGCTATAGGCCTATAGAAAGGGTAATGGCTCCTTTGGACACAATTTCTTTATCAGCAAAATCGTCGAGAAAATTGAAAAATCCATCTGCCATCTTGGGGAAAAAAGAAGAAAAAAAAACCGCCCGCCTCCTTAATTTTTTTAACAAGGCTGGACGAGATACTACTTAATTTTATTTACTCGGCCTAAATTTCATAGTGTAATTTGATGGATATTTTCTTTCACTACCCAAGGGTATATTTATATGTGTTTTTTTTCAGTCACAAGAATGGCCGACAACTTTCAGACAATGGTACACTTTTGCTATTCTGACGTCAGAATGATGAAATGTTCAAACCAACATGTACACCTACACGGCTATTTACGATCTGCATCGAATATTTTTTACATTTTTAATAAATTCACATTAGAATTTTCACAAATAAATTTAATTAATGGACAACTAGAACAGGACGTTTTGGTCATAATGAATTATTCAGTACTTTATAAATGAGTTAGTACGATTAGTTAGAAATTTGACCCCTTTCATAAACTTTACTATTCAAACTCTCCAGAAAATCAGCACAAATGAAAATAAAATGGAGAAATATGCCATTCTTTGTACTTCAAAGTTCAAAGAATGGCATATCACAACAAAGGTTTTAGATTAATGGTACTGAATGTCAGGCTGTTATTTTGTATTTATTACATACAGATGCAGTTATGCATGTACATCAAGTATCGATGTAAAACTACACACATTTCGAAAGAATTTATAACGCAAGCTACCTCTACATATTTTCCATGAACCTCTGAAGGAGGTTTGGAGGAAAGAAACAGAAAACCCCGAGAGCAATAAGCCACTGACCTGCTCACAACAACTTCGGCCACCAGCATGAAAAAGAAAACCAGAATACAAGCAAGCCATGCAATCATGTACAACAAATGATGTAACAATGGTAGGATGTTAGAATCAGGAGGACTAACACGAAGAAGAAAGGCCTTTAGCAGTGTCACTGGAATTGGATATATGGGCAGCATGCTTTGTGCGTGAAAACATACTTTGAAGCTACTGAAATGTGTTGATCAACAATGTAAGGAAACTGTCACATATTGCGAGACATAAAATGCTGGAAAATTCTCATGGTCATGTAATGTTATGTTAAAAACACTTGGGCAAGAGACTGCTGAAAGATGTACATGTAACAGCAAAAGAGTGACACTATATTACATATGAAGTTGGTAATTCAGAACCATGACATTAAGCCCAGTTCGACAGTCTCAAACCCTGTGGCCCACCCTGCTATTTGAGCAGAGTGGTAAACTGCTATTGGGAGGCAGGAAATTTTACCAGGGCAATCTGCTCTCCATATACACCTTGTGGAGAACACTATGCTCGATAGATTACACATGAGGCAGAACCATGACATTGAGGCCAGTAAAACGGTCTCAGACCCCATGGCCCACAGGGTCTACCCTGCTATTTGAGCAGAGTGGTAAACTGCTATTGGGTGGCAGGAAATTTTACCAGGGCAATCTGCTCTCCATATACACCTTGTGGAGAACACTGTGCTCTATATCTAATATTGCCAAGATACCATGACTTTAGGATAGAATAGGACAGGATAGGAGAAAGACCCAAGAAAGTCAGCAGCATGCAGAAACATTCATTCAGCCAGCTAACAAAGCTAATCGGAATTGTTAACAAATACCTGAATCCCCCGGTGAATAGTTGGCCAGGTCCGCAGTCGGGGAGGAGGACTGCAGGTTGAATTTGGGCATCGGTAACGAGCCCAGCGATCCCGTAGAGGGCGACCGAATCATGGAGGGGTACTTGGGTACCTGCAGGCCCTCTCCTTTTGTTTTATAACCCAAACGGGTGCGTCGAAGGGGGAGGGGCACGGGTAGAAAGGGCAGGGCAATTTGCCGTGCAGCCATACACGAGAGTTACAAACAGTCCAAAACAAAGAAGGGGAAGGGGAATCGGATGCATGTGAGTAAATAGGGGAAAATGTGAAGAAAAAAAAATGGTTAATGATTTGCAGGTGAAAATTACTTGGAGTGCGCAGGCAAATAAAATGCAGCACCCAAACATTACAAGTAATGTATAGGTTAACATTAAACATTGATGAGTTGCGTTGCTGTGCATCACATGGTACAAATGACTGAGCTTACAATGTACATGTGGAATTGTACACGATCAATTTTGCCGAGTTGAAAGTTACTATTATGGCTATCAGTATCAAACTTTAAAAATTGAACCTTGAAATCACAAAGGTACATTACTTTGAACTTGTACATGAATGTTGCAACATGAAGTACTTCAGTTTGTTTGCTTACACTTTATTTACCAATCATTAAATGTTAGTTTGATGAATGATACAAATGTAAACATCCATTGAGGGTTATAAGTTTGGAGAGTTGCAAAAGATTAGATTGGAAAAATCAAAGGTTTACTTTGGTTACATGAAGCTATTTTCATGCTTTCAATCATGCAGAGCAAACTAAAAATAAAGGCAACGCACATTTGGGGGATACAATGTCCTGAAAATAAATTTTGCACTTTTTTTTCTTTCAAATGGCACTTTCTTGCCCGTTCTGGTGTTTATTTCCAACTTTTATTTTTGTTGATTTAACCCTAACCCTCCAGGGTATTTTGGCTAGAAACCCTGCCAAACGCAGCAACATGCAACACTTGTCTAAGTGACAAGCCTGCCCAGTGTAGCAAGATCCATCAGGTCAAAAGTCTCGAGGCCAAACTGCCTTAGAGTCTGTGGTCACCCAACGCAGCAGGATACAACTCGGGCATTGTTCTATGGGACTAGCTCTCAGTGTCTCAGAAGTGGCCGGTTTATGCACTGGTGTTGGTAGCATTTTCCATCAAAGTGCACCAGACTTTTCCACCTGATGCACTGTGCTGCGTCTGGCAGGGTTAGGGATTATGAGAATGTCAAACATGCACAACCCTATCCAATGGTACTGGGACAGCGTATTTCTTTAACCATTGTACTTTTGGTGTAGTTTATTGCAATTGGAGGATTCTTTGACTCACCAGCCAAGTGATTTTACCAAAGACGCGACAGACTTGTTTACTTTGGTCTCATCGTTTAGAACTTTGGTCTCATTGTTTATTGCTGACCAAAGAGTTTCCTCACAGCATGGCCAAGCTTTCTGACAATACAGTCGAATCTCGTTAGTACAAACTCTGTTAATACAAAATTCTGGTTATAACAAACATAAAGCCTTGGCCCCGACTGTGCATTTATGTGCACAATGAATGGGACTGATGTTCCTCTTAATACAAAATTCTGATATAACAAACAATTTGGCTAGGTCCGAACGAGTTTGTATTAACGAGACTCGACTGTACCTGCTTGGCAGTTCTTGGAGTGTACTGTGGTTTCACCCACAAAGTACAGTAGCAGATATTGGAGGGCTGTGCAAAAAACGTGGGCGAGTCAATTTTTCCCAAATACTGAAGTGATTTGGAGGATCAGGTAGAGCAAAGGTTAACTTAGCTCTGGATAGTGTTTATTTGACCATGGGGAGTCAACACTCATGCGCACTCAATACACCCAAGTTGATAAATGCAATAAACTACCCACAATCCGTTGTTTCCTTCACAATGCTGAAAGACATAAGCCATCACCAGTGCTGTTGGAAAAGATGGAGGGTTGTGTGGGCCACCAAAAAAAAAAATTTCAACCTCAGTCAACTAGAATACCGCATCAACCACACTTGGCAAGCTACCCTGGAAATTAAGTTTTACCTTTCTTGGCACATTTCGACTCACCTGAGGAATTTAAATTTCTGTCTATCCCTGGCATATCAGGAGTTGAAGGAGAATCCATTGAACCGGGAGTTGCTCCTTGAAGTGGCTGTCGGCCGTAGGTTCCAGGGCCACTAGGCGAGGGTCCAGGGAGGGGCATCCCAGATGCAGATCCTTGTGGAGGACCAGCGACGTTGGTCCTTGTAGGGGGACCTGATTGTCTGGGGAATGAGTTCACTTGCTGGCTGCCAGAGTACTGGTTTTGAAGAGGGAGTGACGAGGGTGGGTTGCCCATGCCATGCATAGGAGGGGGTCCCCCTGGTTTGGAATATGGACTGTTCAATGCTGGGTGGGTGGAGAAGTCACTCGGGGGTGCTCCCCTTGACATAGGATGGGGGCCAGCTTGGTTAGAGTTTGGCATTGTTGAGGAACCTGGTGGTCTCTGACCGTAGGCCCCACCCATTTGGGGAGGCGGGGGACCAGTTGGGTAACCATCCTGGGTCCTAGGGTTATTGCCGGTTGGCCCTCCATAGCCAGATGGTTTGCCTGGGTGAGCACCGTTGGCAGTGGGGGGAGGGCCTTGGTTGTACCCCATGGGTGGGTTCATTCCCGGTTGATAGTTAGGGTTGTAACCCCCTGGAGGTGGTGGTCCTGGCTGCTGCATTGGAGGCCCTGTTAAAAAAAAATAGAAAAAAAAAACAATCTTTTTCTTGTACTTTGTATGCGTAGGTCGGTTGGAGGGTCTTCAGTTGATTTGGAATCAAAATCTACATTATCCCATCTCTAATCACCTTTCATGATATTTCACTTCGGAACATGAGTCATATTCCCATGTCATGCATGTGCACCAATTCATCATGTGTTGATGAAATGACATAATTTTGAAATCCGGTTTTGTCGTGCATCTTAACTTTGGGAACACCAAGCACATACGTTAGTTCGACTTCGCCAATCAAAGTTAGATCCACTTTGATTCCCTGAAGAAGTTGGTTTAGGCCTACTCGTTAAGCCCCCCCCCCCCCCCCAGCAAGTCAATGCAGAGAAAAGACAATTTGACATGCATGACATGTTTGATTTTGAAAGAGTTTCATGACCATGATTCTTTTTTTAACAAATGAATGGAGAAAGATCAGGATTTAAGAATACAGTGTGACTCACTTGAAGATGGCGGTCCCATACCGCTGGCGAAATTCTGCGGTGGGGCAGCGCCGGGCATTTTCATTGCCTGGCCATGGGCGTGTGGTGGTTGCGAACTCGCCATTTTGGATTGATGATGATGATGAAACAACGTGATTTGTAAATGACAATCAATGCACAGATCGTCAAAACCGTTCACAAGAAGGATATAAATGTACAGTTTTCATTTATATTTTGTTACATTCATGGTACTAAATGAAAGTTAAAATATCGTAGAAGTCACTATTTTAGTCATGAACTGAAAATGCCCATGAAAAGGTACCTAACTAACGGAGAAAACATTGCGTAAAATTTACTTTTCCTGTCGTTAATTCGGTGAACGTGACAGTCGCCATTGAAGGAAAGCACTTCGTCATCGCCCAGTCTTGAGCTCGAGCATGCGCATTGTGCCGGTATTTTCAACGTGGCACTTCTAAAAATAGAAAAAAAGTTCGTCTTCTCGGGGGAGCTCGTCATATGTATACATTACCGAGATCTATCTGTGCACTTTAATAAAAAAAAAAAGAGACGTGGAAAATGTTACCTAATTTTGATTGCTGTGTTTTCATTTTAATGACCATCACCCAAGTGAAATAACTTTCACAAAAGTCGACGATTTTCAAATGTTTTGTGTTTGTTTCCGCGTGATACCGATATGGGTCAACTTGTTGACACATGAGCAGTGGGCGCGGCGGCGCCAGACTCTAGGGGGGGGGGGGGGGGGGGGGCAAGGAATTAATTTTTTTTTTGGGGGGGGGCAGTCAAAACAAATCTTAAGCCTGTTTGCGCGCGCGTGCCCATTGTCAGTGGTCCGGAAATAAGCCACTAGCATAATTTTTTTATGAATGAGAAATGTACAAACCGCAGAATGGTGTATATTCAAATATATAACAAATGTACAAAGACGTAGGGCTGCACACTATCTACGGCTGATAAATGCACGTGTGGCGTGTTTTGTCCACCAAAGTACCAATGTTTACAATGCTTTCCCTGGCCCAATATGCATTGTGTTCACATTTTATTAATCTTAACATGGCGTAGAAAATAAACTTATCAGTAATAAATCTATTTGTTGATAAAGTGTTGGGAGAAAACGGTGGGGGGGGGGGGGGAATTGGGGGGGGGGGCAAGCCAATTGGCTAGAGACTAAGTCATTACGTGACCCCACTATAAGAACAAAAACCATAAGTTAATTTGGCTCTCAAGAGTCATGACATACACATGGTTCCAAAAGTATGATTCGTTTGCACTAATTTACGAATTTTAAATTAAATATAAGTTAGCCCATGGAGGAATGGTTAGCATGATGTTCGCTAGAGATGTATATGAGTATCCTGTAATGTTCGCTCGACAAAAGCTAAACTTCGGGACATAACAATTAACATGACCACTAATTTACGCCCGAATCAGGCGGACTTGATTAATTCGGAGCCGAGTGACAACTGCAGTGTGCACAGACTCACCATCATGCACAATTCAAGACTATGTTACTTTTGAAGGGCCTTCTTCTCCAATCTGATGTTTAGATTAGTTACTTTTTTATCATTCCGTGATCACATATTTGTTTATTGAAGACGAGCTAAAATGTTTGTGCTTTTAATATTTCCATAATATATAACTGCGCCAATAAATTGTGCGTGGTTGACATTACCCATTTTTTCTACACCGTGGCTTCCCGTTCTATGCCCTGATCGTTCGTCCGAATTCGACGCAACGATTCTAATGATTGGCTAATCTCCACATCGGTATAATTCTCATAAAACACAAAATTAGTATTTTTTATTTGAAATATTCGTTTATTTTTATGTCGTATTTGTATATAACATTTTTGATGTGCTCTTAAAAAAAAATTAAGGATTTGAAGTGATTAAAAGAGAAATAGACAAGCTCGATGTAAAATATAAAAAGCCAATGGCACCATTTCTTGCATAAAAGGTCAGGTGGCACTACATATGACGTAAATTTCGCAGACTCCATTTTCGTGGTTTTTGGGTTGTCTTCGCGATCGCTGAACATTCGATACTTTTACTCGTAATTAGTGTTTTTAGTGTTCGTTTGTAAATCATTTAGTTGAAAGTGGTAAGTATAGTTCTCACTACCATAAATGTACGATCTAATGTGGAACCAATCGGAGAAAAATGGTTATATGCCGGGTTGGCAGACTGGCAGTGTCATGACGTGTCGTATGGCCCATACGTTTGCGTACAACAACGTCCCCCGTCCACAACTGTGTGGCAAAGCATGGGAGCATTGCGGGGCCTTCCATGACCATGTTTACGCAACTAACTACATGTACAATCTGTTATCTCCGCGCGGTATACTGTCATTTTTGTCCACGTCAATGAAGCCACGTCTGAGTTGCATCGTCATTTTGAAATTGTCATTTCTGTTGTTTTGTACTAGGCCTACATATTTATAACACGATCAAAAATTAAAAACAACACTAATCAACTTCAACTTTCAAGTTCAAACATGTCAAGTTTAGATTAAGAATCAGACTAGCATTGCAGTAGTACAACTTGTTCCACGTGTTCAGAATCAGACTGCTATAAAATATTTTCTAATTTGGCCTAACAATCATATCAGGCCTCGTACTGTTCATCAACCATCATAAGCTGCATTCCCGGCCTGTCGTTGAGTTACTGTCTGCACTACAGTCATGACTAGTGGCGCTAGTGGTGCTTTTTGGCATGCTTGGAGGGATCTAAAGCAGTAAATGCTAAAGCAAGATATGTAACACTGTGAAACTAACAGCTGTCAAATGAAAATGAAGTGGCATTTTCATAAACAGATTTTTATTTCAGCATGTAGGCCTAAAATATGTGAAATAAAAGTCAATTATAATTTCAAGTATTCACCGAAAGAGTTATTAATATGTCTTTTAAACGTTCTTTTTTTTTTCAGATCAGAGGCTATAAAGACACCAACCATCATGTTCCTCGTAAGTTGGTTTACAGATATGCTGGCATATCTGGGTAAGTATGGCAAACCTGTGTGAGAAATTACTACTAAGCTAGGTAACTTGCAATTGACTAGAGAAATTCCTAAAAATAAAATACATTGTTGTATTCAGGACATTGAGGTGGATTCTGAAAACTTCTCATCTCTTTGGATTTGGAATATTACCTTGAGTGCCTTTTGGAATATACATGTTTCCAAGTTGTACCGTTATATAGCTGTCTGTAAAAAAATTGAAGGTACCAGCAGAAAAATGAACACAAAATCTATTTATTTTAGTGTTGGAATGAAAGACTATTTTGAAGTTTATTTGTGTGTGTTATTTGTGTGTCACCATTGCATTTAAATTTGATTTCTCTCTTAGGTCTATGGAAGAAGAGTGGGAAGTTGGTGTTTCTTGGTCTAGACAATGCTGGGAAGACGACGTTACTACACATGCTGAAGGATGGGAGAATGGCGCAGCATGTTCCAACATTACACCCCAGTAAGTTGTTATCCACTTAACCCTATCCCCTAGGACCTTTTCGGTAGGAATCATCCCCAATCCTGCCTAATCCTCCTTTTGCTACCATGTCAAATATTGGATTCAGCCTCCGTCCTCCAAAATAATCTGTTATTTCTCGAATGTGTTCAGTAGAGAGATGACCATTGCCTCAATCTTTCAAAACTTCCAACAATCACCGTTAATGGGTTGAGGCAGTGCTGATGACATTCAGAAGCAGTGCGGATAATATCTAGCTTAATGCAGATCAGTTATGCATGACTGAACATAAACAATTCTGGGTACAGCCTACGAACTCTACACAATGCATCCTCCAAAATCAACCGACTTTTTTTGCCATTTGGCCTCAGTCCTCCACAATCCTCCAAAACCGCCTGGAGGATTTTGAAGGATTGAGGAGGGTTCCAGGTTAAACCTTTCCTAGGAGCTTGCCTGAATCCACCAACTTCCAACACTTCTTTAACCAATTGCCTCATGTTAAATAACACTGAATTTGAATCTTGAAACCATCTAAATACTTTAAGTTTGATGAACTCAGGATAGCAAGGACTAAATCTTGTAACTATCACATCAGTAACTATAGTATAAAATTGCACTTAGGATTTTTGGCTTGAACTTATTAAAAGCACTTTTTGTATTTTCTTTGGTAACTGGTGATTTCAGTATAATATGTTTAATATAATATTGATTTTCTTTTTCATTTTACAGCATCAGAAACATTAAGCATGGGGTCCTTATCCTTCACGACCTTTGACCTGGGAGGTCACGAGCAGGCGCGGCGGGTCTGGAAGGACTACCTACCGGCCATCAACGGTATTGTGTTCCTCATAGATGCTGCAGACCCAAGCAGATTCGCCGAAGCAAAGGCAGAGCTTGATGTAAGCTAACACTGAGGGATTGTTTCCCTCATAGAGACTGGGGATCATGATTTGAAGTCAATTATTGATCAGACCCACTTTTATTTTGAGACAAAAATGTTGATCACAATAACCTGCAGTAATCATGCTTACAAATTGTGTAGTTGAAGAGCCATATTGTAGAATGGAAGTATTGTACATATCACCGACTGTTGTCAACATATTGTCCATATCGCACTTGTTTACAAACGTATTGTAGTCAGAGCATTGCTATACTGAATGCAGTGGGTTCATAAAAAGATTGCTCAGTATAGTGATCGTTTAATTTTGGCCACCAGTGCTTGGTATATTCATACAAAAACTTTGGAGCCTAAGGGATTACTTTTTACTGCACATGTGTATCTCTTGAACTATGGATTGACTTAACTTGAGATGGTGTTGTGACAGCATGCTGTATTGAGAGAAATATGCGAAAGAATTCTATCATTTCTTCTGTCGTTCATCTAGATGTGAAGTCTTTTAAAGATTTGGCAGCAGATAACTCACTAGTCTTTTGCATTTGTTTGTAGGGTCTGATGACAGACGAGGCAGTGGCCAATGCCCCAGTACTGATCCTGGGCAATAAGATTGACGTCCCCACAGCTTGCAGTGAAGATCACATCAGGAATTGCTTTGGCCTCATTCAGCAGACGACAGGAAAGGTTAGTGCCAGGAACCACATTCAAATGTTTTGAATGTTTGCCTTCAGACGTTCTCTTTGCCTTGTTTGTTTATTTCTGAGTCGGGATCAATTTCATGAAGATTCTAAGCCTAACATGTTGTTAGTGATTTTAAGTAAAAAAGAATTAAAATTTCAATTAAGAACTGCTCAAAAGAAGTATACATCATGTGCATTTTGCCATGAGGAATCCCAGATATTCAAAATCTATTTTCCCTTTTTGTTAGTTGGGATCATGTGTCTAAAGAAAACAGGTTATATTGCTTGAAACGAGCTTGGAACTCAAATGTGTTAAGTACTATTTTGCTGCTTAGCACTGTTCAGTCTTTCGGAAAATACAATTATGTATTTACTGTCTGTCTACCTTTTCCCCTTCAGGGAAACATACCTCAAAAAGACTTGCCAGGACGTCCCGTGGAGCTGTTCATGTGCAGTGTTCTCAAGAAACAAGGCTACGGTGAGGGTTTCAAATGGATGGCACAGTACATATAGCACAGTCGTCTATCCTAGCATAACTCAAAGAACCTTTTTTTGTAAGTTAAAGAAAAAAACAAAACAAACGAATGAACTTGTTATATGCGATTGAACTTCCGGAACGACCACAAGCCGAGATTGCTTCCTGACAAAATTTCAGACGAGTCTTGAAGCTCCGACTGAGAAACCGACGTAGGTGAAGTGTATGCAGCTTGTGTCTTCTGGTCCAGTGGTTCAGCGTTTTTTTTCCAAAGACTGAATGAATATTTTAAAGAAGCATCGAGGAGTGGGAAATTAACAAAAGCATTGTAAATTCTGCAACTGGAGATAATGGCTGATTATGTTCCACATACGTGTATGGTGTACCCATCGAGCAGGCAACGCTAGCTTTTCAAGCCTCATCATGGGATTGGAATTAAGATTTGGAGACCGCAGTTGGAGTTGGATGCCGCAGTGCCATTGCCACACTGGAAATGGCAGACAGCAACTACACGTTCTGTAGACTTGCTTGGCCTAGTTTGACTGGCAGCTCAACCCCATGTCATTCAAGAAGTGAGCAGTGTTCTTCTACTCATCTTTACATAGATTTGCCACATGATAAGGCTTCCTTGGACTTTTTATTTTGATGGGGTGGGTTTGAAGAAATTAGAAGACTTGGCACTTCTCAAATCTATGCCATATGATTGTGATTACACCATTCCCAATTTTCTTGCTAAGCACACTATTTGCTAAAAAAAAGGAAAGAAAATGTGCTAAACAGACATGTTTGCTGAGCAAAGAAAATAATTGCTGCAAAATTGTATACAGATAATGAATGTTTATAAGTGCAATGCTAAGAATAATTTCATGAGGTGACAGATTGAATGTTCCATGCCACAAGGCGAAGCCAAGTGTAATGGAACATTCATTCCATCTGTCACCGAATGAAACTATTCTTTCCATTGCACGAATGTGAAACATTCATTACTTGTTTTACACAAAACCTGAATACATCCTCTTCATCTGATTGGTCGGAGCCAGCAACGAGTGTGACCGTGTAATGGAACTTCTATTTACCGTGGAATACAACTTCTATTTTTGCGGTAGGGACAAATAATTCAATGACGTGTGAGCAACGACCCACCAATCAGATGACAGGGACTTATTCAGGCGTTGTATTAAAGAGAACATCTCACATTATCCAAATTTGTTATTTGTGGATGCAGGAGTCTGTAAAGTAAAATGTCACCCACCATTTCATTTTCATACAAAAAAACATGATTCTGCTGTTTTCAAAAAAAAAAAATCTACTTTGAATATGGGATCTCAAATCGCCTTTTTGTCAGAAACTGCTTTGTATTTGGTGGGCTAAAGGGAACCCTTAGTTTCTTAAAACATTTGATTCCCAATTCCAGATGACCCAAATTTTAACTGTAATATTTATGTGCTAACATGTACTCCTGTAGTTTATGAAATGTTCAGAAAAGGGATATAAAGTGTGAAAACATGTGCATGTGTTTAAGTACTCACTGCATAAATAAATTTTACTGCAGCAAACTCGGTACAACAAATACGTATCTGCTTCACTAAGTTTCAAAACTCTAATCCAAAACACAGGATTATGATGCATACTTGCTCTTTTGGGGGTCAATGAGAGATCATTTTGCGACTTTAAAATGAAAGTTTGTAATTTGGTCGCCAGAAATGAGACCAAATTGGCCAAATTCTTTTGAGTTCCCGCTAAACATATGCAGTGCCTGAATGATTTTCAACTCTTAAAAAATACTTTTGAAGTCCTGCAAGACGTAAACGATGAAGTGGCTTGTGATTCTGCAATCGCTGCAAGGATCTGTAACGCTTTTTTTTATGTGGTTGTTGTGTATGCAAATAGTCCTGTTTATTTATATTTGTCAGTGATTAACGTTACTTGCATATGCACTCAAGCTATTAAATCTTAAATCCTTCTGTTTGTGTGCATTTTAACTTGTTTTAATTTGGTTGTTTTACTTACCATTTCTCGTACTTTTTCCAATTCCCATGTAGGTGCTTTAAATTATATTGACCCCATACATAGCAGCATGTGATTCTCAAAGTAAGTTTATCGGAGATAAGAACAGATCAATGTGCAACAGTATACAATGTATATGGGTGGCAGTTCACAAACAGTAAACATCAATCACATTTTTCAAAGGCGAACTTTTTGGGACACAGGACTGACAGATTCTTTGGGAATGATAAATTAGTGGTCAAAGTCCGAGGGATGACACTTCAGCAAGTCTTTAACCGGAAGTCTTTGCCCTTTTCTGTTTGTGTTTGTTCACGGTTGCTCAACTTTGTATCCTAATAAATACATGTACAGTGTTGGAACAATTGATGTGCCTCACAAGCGAATGATTGTACATTATTACAATTGCTAATTTGACTGCCAAACAAAATCAGTTAAATACATGTTTTTTTTTATACATGTACTAGTAAAGTGTGCTTGCAGGTCTTGGAAGCTCAGATTAGCGTTGTTGCACCTTAAAAACAAAACAGACAAAATAGACTCAAACTGCTAGCCTACGCATAGTGTACTTCCATTAGAATCATGTTATGCAATTTGTTCAGGTTTTATTCGATCCAGTTGATAATATCCGCTGTTAGTTACATTTGATAAATTTAATGTGTGTTTATGGTTTTCAAACCTGCATTTGAATTTCGTTTTTCCAAGCCAAATTGTTCAGGTAATGTTTTGTACTGTGCACAAATCCAGCAATTATTCTGAACTCTTCATTCTGAGCAAAAATTCTCGTCAACCTTTCCGGACTATCAAATTTTCCTTTGACAAAATTCATCCAGATTTTATTTTATCTTATGTTTATTCCTTAATATTGTACAACATGTATTTTTCCAAATTATTATTTTATCAGTAAATTTATTGTATGTTTATATGCTTACGGTTTAGGTCTAAAATGCCTTGATTGAATAAAGTGTAATCCTTCACATCTTTAGAAAGTAGGTATAGACTGTCGTTTTGTTTTCGGTTTTTATTTTTCTTAAAATGGGAATGCAGATTGCAATCCACACCAAGCCCAAATTCAGAGACCATTTTGCAGATGTGCCCACCTCAATTGGAGAAATAGTATTCCCAATGCTTGCCTGTGTTCATTTTAGGCCAATTGTATGTTCCGAAAAATGTGCGCTGAGATCAGAAATTTAAATTTAACCATTGTAATCCATACTCACTTGCAGTAATTGACATAGTGTACAATACTTGAGCAGGGAACTTCTCATTTTAAAAGGTCTAGTAAAACCTTTTTCATTATTTTTTTTTTGGGGGGGAAATCATTTTTTTCTTAAAAATATGTATGTATGTAAATTAAAAAAACCAATAATGGCAAATGTGCCAGTTGGAATTGGAATAAAATGTCAGTAATATTGCAACCTTATTGTAGCAAAAGGGTGTGATTGTCTGTTGGTCTGTTTTATGTATATGGCACGAAGGTCCTCGGCAAGTTAGTGTCCTATAGAAAGTGAAGCCCCTGAATATTATTTAGGATACGCATTTCAAAAGGCCAATATTGCGGGAAAAAATAAACAAAGCGTCCCGGTCCCGTACTTGAACTCCGACATTGTACGAGGTCGCATAAAAGGTATACATGACGTGTGTACAGTACATCCGCCGTACGTCTGCGCGGACTGGTACTCACCCCTAGCCCTTTACTTTTGATTGGGTGTTTAGAAGAGAACCAGTCTATCGTCTGCAATTTTATTTTGCAGACGGCAAACGTTCACTACCTTTGTTCGGCTGCGCGCGTTGAAGTTTTTTTTCTTCAAATTTAAACAAGTGACTACTGCTGGTGACTTTTTGAGAAGCACAATGAGTAAACGCAAAGCCCCGCAGAATGAAAACCCAAACAAGGAACTGGTAGATGTTCTTTCAGGTGAGAAAATTATGTGACAAAGTACTGGGGGCCTAGTCCGCATTGAAAAATACGTATTACCAGTTTCGTGAAAAAAATATCGTGTGTGAAGAAGCGTCTATAATAAAAAAAAAAAATTGGCATTTTTTGGGGGTGTACTTTGATGTGCAGTCATTGGGATAGAAATTTTGAAACTTGGCTTGGTCTTGTCAAGGTCAACAACAGGTTCAGTAATTTTTTAATTCGCAGTGGCTATCGTTATACGGCAGCCGTAATGCATTTCCCATTTTCTATCGTTACGGTAGTAGGCAACTTTTATAAAAACATGAGAAGAAAATATAAAATTAGAAGGAAAAAAGCGAATTTGAACGTTATGAAATTCGGACTTTATTTCCCTTTTAAAGGGAATATACATCATTTGCTTTGGCTGTAATTTTCAGAAATGGATGGAATTGGGGGGTTGGAAATATAAAGCAAATATAGTTACACTGACTTTTTGGAGGTTTTGGGTTCGAAAATGCTATAAAAACCAAGAAAAACGATCATTTTCCTGTAGTCTGGTTCCTTGACTCCATATAAGAAGAAACAGAGCAGTTTACATACATTGGGGAATTGTAAGGTCAGGGAACCAGTCTAGCTGGCTCGTACCCGTTCATAGGTTTGTAATCGATTGCAAACAAGTGCAATGGTCCATTGGGGCCAGTATTTGAAAAAAAGCCAGTTGTTTCCAACGCTGATCGGCCGATCAGCGTTGGAAATTGATACAAAAATACCACTTTTCTTGAAAATGACAGTATACCAGGTGCCATAATTTTACAGGATGCTTTAGACTGTCATTTACCAACATCCTATTAAGGTATTTCGCAAAAACTTGGTAGTTTTATTTTTCGATGTTTGCAAATGTTGTATATTCCCTTTAAAAAAAATCCTCCAAAGCCTCAGGTTAGAAAAGGAAAAAAAATTGAGTGCAAAACTGGGATGCGAACCCGCAACCTCGCGGTGCAAAATCCTACCCTCTATCGACTGAGCTGTTGCACTGCTCGCTAAAACGTGGGGAAACAAATAATTATATACCTGCGTGCGTATAAAAAAGTATCGTAGAGGGCGCTAAACAACGACTGCCGTAACGATAGCCACTTCGTTTTAAATTTTATTCAAAAAGTTTTACTTTTAGTTTTAGCTAGACTATTATTAAAAAAAAGTATTATGTTATCATGGTTATGGATAGGCCTAACGTTAATTGTAATGAATTGAATATTTTGTTTGTTTTGTGACAGAGTTGGCCAACTATGAGAAGAACGTGACCAGACAGATGCACAAGTACAATGCCTACCGCAAAGCTGCGAGCACCATTGCCAAACATCCCGACAAAATCTCCAGTGGCAAGGAAGCCAAGAAACTGGTGTGGATTGAGTTTGATAACTTTTTTTCAGGAACAATACTCAAAATCTAGGTAGGGCCAAGGCCCTAGCAGAAAAATACAAAAAATCAAACAACCCAACAAAACAAAACAAAAACTCCCTTTCCCCCGGCTAAAGAAAGCCCCCCCCCCCAAAAAAAAACCCACCAAAAAACAAACAAACAAACAACACTAAAATAAACAAAAACAAAACTTGCTGTTGGATGCTTTTGGATTATCAGGCCTCACACTTTGTTGTCGACTGATTCTGTTTCATTTACTCATCTTTTTTTATGGTTGACAGGATGGAGTGGGAGAGAAAATTGCCAAAAAGATTGACGAGATCCTGGCGACAGGAAAGCTACAAAAACTGGAGAAAATCCGAGCCGACGACACAAGCGTTGCCATCAACCTGATGACAAGAGTGACAGGCATAGGGTAAGTGGAAAACGTAAACAGAATGCCGTAAATATCCACAATGTCCAATATGGCTGTGGTATTAATGTGTGGAACATTTTTCAGAAGTTGGACACGGATTTTTATTTCCACATTTCAGCCCGGCAGCTGCAAGAAAACTGGTTGAAGAAGGCATCACAACAATTGAAGGTAACGTGCTCTGTTTGATTTAACATGCTTTATTTGGAAATATATTATAGGTGTGGCAATTGTAAAACTGACATTGGACAATTAATGCAGTTGTACCAGTGAGGAACCAACTGTGAAAATGTTTTTCATTTTCATCCTTGTTTTTGACAGAGCTGAAAAAACATGAGGACAAGCTCAACCACCATCAGAAAATTGGACTCAAGTACGTAAGAAATCAAGCTTGAAAACCTACATCAGAATATTGATTGTCAATAAGTGAAAATCCTTTACACTAACGCTCCATCAGTGTTGAAAAATTGACACCACCCTCTGCCTTAAACGATGTCCTTCTTTTTTAGTAAATGTAAACTGGCCATGATTTGAACAGAAGCAGTGTTTTGTCAATCTCTCTCAGGCATTTTGAGGACTTTGAGAAGCGTATCCCCCGCCCGGAGATGGCGAAACTGGAAACATTCGTCAAGGAGCAGATAGAAGACCTGGATCCGGACTACATTGCTACAATCTGTGGTAGCTATAGACGAGGAGCAGCATCCAGTGGCGACATTGACATCTTACTGACGCATCCAGATTACACCTCCAAGGATGAAAAACAGGTAGCGTAACCAAAGTCAGCGGCAGATGTGTGGGAGTGGGGTGTAAGGGGCATTAACCCTTACTCTTCGTTAGCTTTGTGCTAGTACATCAGATTTGCCAATACCCACTACATGGAGTGAATGGGAGGATGCAGATCCCAAGCAACAGAGACATCAAGTGGACAGCTTTGGAGGCTGCTTATTTGCTCAGTTCAAACATAACTGTTAAGTCTGGAGAAATTTGTTAAAAACTGTCTATTAAAAAAAGTTGGCGGCTGTAATGTAATTATTGGTGACTGTTGTGAAATTGGAACTAGAGAATCATTGGTTAATATTCTTGTTTCTTTTTCTTTTTTTCTGGACAGCCGGAATTGCTTCTGTCCGTCGTGAAACAGTTGGAGAAGTCTTCCCTGGTAACGGACACTATCTCACTAGGCGAAAGCAAATTCATGGTAATCACATTTCATTTCTACTCGTGGATGATTTTTGAATGAAAGCTACGATCCCTCCGAGTGATTCCAATTATGGGAATTGTCATAAACCTGTATAAACCGTGTGGCAAAAGGATCAAGCCCTGAACAAAATAACAATAGCATACTCCAGTTTATTTCTATGAATGAAGTGAATTTTCCAAGTGTGATTCATGTCTTGAGGATGGAGTTTTTTTCTTTGACCTTTTAGGGGGTGTGTCAATTGCCAAGAGGGGAGGAGGATACGGAGGACCATCTGTTCCGCCGCATCGATATCCGCATCATTCCTAAAGACCAGTACTTCTGTGGCACGCTCTACTTCACCGGTAGTGATATGTTCAACAAAAACATGAGGGCTAAGGCTATCGAAGCCGGTTTCACGCTCAATGAATACACAATCAGGCCAATGGGAAGCACAGGTGGGTACCAGGCAAACAGTGTTATATTTCTGCTGGACCCAAGGGCCAGCCTATTGTCCTCTGACTGACCGACTGCACTGACTGACTGCACTGCCTGACTGACTTACCGACTGCACTGACTGACGGACTCCCCGACTGCACTGACTGCTTTGACTGACTGACTGACTGCACTGACCGACTGCACTGACCGACTGCACTGACTGACTGCACTGACCTACTGCACTGACCGACTGCACTGACCGACTGCACTGACTGCACCGACTATAAGTAATGTTCTAAACCGAGACCGTCAGGTCCAGCTGATTTAGGCAAACCTAGTCTTGTTTTTGCAAGTGCGAGCTTTGCCAAAAAACAAAAAAAAAGTACTTGCAGTGCAAGTATGACAAAATGGTAAACCGTTTCTTTTCACGTCTTCCTTGTCCAGGTATCACTGGAGAACCACTCCCAGTTAGTAGTGAGAAAGATGTATTTGATGTCATCGGCATGGCTTACAAGAAACCATCGGAGCGGAACATGTAGACTTTGTGCAGCAGAAAGATTTACCAGTAAAAAAACAAAACACCAAAGGTTTCCAGTAGGAAGCACAAGGATGCCACAATTTTTGTAGCTCCTATTTCCCCCAGTCTTTTTCTACCGAGTTGGCAAAACTCAGTACTGATCTAATGCTTTGTTAAATGACTTTAAAATTTTTTTTTTTTTGTATTACTGTTTTGAGGAGATTAATGTTAGTTGAAACTCTTCAATTGTTTAAATTTATCTACAACTACAAGTACTGCAACATAGTTACTTTGTTAAAAAAATTGCCAGTTTATTAAATAACATTGTATTCAATTTCAATGCTTTTGTACTTAATGTTACATATCTGTTTTAACAGAAACTCAACCAAGACCTTGGGTTTGAAAATGAGGCTTGTTAAAAACGACTCGCATTTTGAAATCTCAAATAAGCCAAAGTCGACACCATTCTAAGAGAAATAAAAGTGTTTATTTTATTTCAGAGATTCTGGTTTGTTACTTCATTTCATATGTCCACACCAGAATGTAGTTTAATCCACAGAAAAACCAGAAAAGTGTATATTAAAAAATTTAATGGCACATTTCAAGTGCACTTTTGCTTCCTGAGCAAATTAAAATATTCAGTGCAAAAATGGGTGGCAATTTGATAACATTACCTGGAAAGATTTCCATATACGAAGTTCACTAATTTTCCTCTGTATTGACTAACAAGCCCCCAGATAGCAATTTCATGTCATCAAAGTCAATTTGAGCAGTGAGAAAATACAAGCATTTTCTTAGAAAACACTTAGAATTTTTCAGTCCAATCTCATAGGGTTTGTACACGGGGTGTTGAGTGAACTTCGTATATGGAAATCTTTCCCATTACCTTAGCAGGCAGTCGTGTACACAATTTGACAATAAAATTTGTGTCTCTCCTAATATTTAATTAATTGTTCAACGTTGTGCGTGATATCCGAACCCTAAAACATGAAAACTCTAATCAGCTGATACATATAAATTTTTCAGACAGGTACTGGAAGAGTCGTACATGTAACATACATTTCAGCAAAAAAATCCAACAAAAAAACTTCAAATGCTGAATTAGGGAAAGAAACTCCCCCAAGTATCCCCCAATATGAATAAAACCAAATTCGGAACTTGCAATGATCATGATCAACAAAATCCTCATCAGAGACCTCTAAATAAAAACAAATTCCAAACGGTTTCAAGGTTTAGAAGAGAGAATACAATATTTGCCAAATGTAATGCATGCAATGCATACAATCAAAAGCTAAAGAAAAAAAAGAAGAAAGGATATAAGAAAAGAAGTAAAAGAAAATCTGAATACAGAAAACATCTTTTCAAGATTTCAGAAAAAAAAAATTCCTGAGGGGATTTTCTAGATAGTAATTTCTCCCTGCAGAACAACAGTTGCTTTGCCGAGTAGTTCGACACGCCCATCATCCCGCACTTTCATTTGAATATCCCCCCCTCTTGCAGAACACTGACGAGCTGTTAAAAAAAAAAATTCAAAAAGAGAAACTAAGACAAAATTTCTAATCAATGTTCAAGGTAACCTGTTTTAGCTCAGCAGATATTTTATCTGCTTCCTGTCCGCAGCATCTCGATAAAACTAGTTCCTTAACTCAAAATGTATTGATATACAAAATGTGCTTTTGTGGCTATCTCATTTTAACAGAGGCTTACCGTATAGTTCCTTCTTTCCAAGCTGCTCTGACCAATAGCCTGCCAGGACAGTGTGTGCAGAACCTGTTAGGAGAAGGGAAAGTTCAATAAGGGAATAAATGTGTGCTTGGGAGGTTTTAATCACCCTGTCTTAGTCCGCTTGGAGTCTGGGTGCTGATAATTCCCAGAGCCGAAGGAATTTAGGACTATGAAATACTGACTCACTGGTAGTATTGCGCATACCTACGTGAGGATTGTGAACATTCAACCAAAAAATACGGTAAAAGGCACTGGATTTTTAGGAGTCCCAAATTTCATGTGACACTGGAAAAGTGTTTAAGACCAGCTAGCCATGTCTTCATCATCCGTTTAAGACCAGCCATGTGACGGGCTCTCGACCAATAGTAATGGGTAAACGGTCTCAGGTATTTATGAATGTATTATATGAATGAGTTTAACAGGTTTTCTGCATTTCAGGTATCAGGTCCAGGACATTTCACGATGTGACTCACCGGTTACTGGATCCTCGGGTATACCGTTCCATGGGGCGAAATACCTGGAGATGAAGTCATACTGCTTGCCGTCTGCATCCACGGCTCCGTTGTCAGGGTTACCCTTCAGGGTGACGACGACGCCTTTGACGCGGTTGTCAGCGTTGGGGGCAGCCATCATGGCCCCGATGTCTGGTTTCAGACTCTCCAGGGTTGCCCTGGGTAAATGATACAACATAATCATTTACTACACGGCTTGTTTCTTTGGTACCAGACAAGTAGAAGTAATTAGTTTGACTTTTTCAGTGGAAAAAGCACCTATGAAAGACCTTTATCATTCTGTGCACTGTGGAAAATGTTGAGCTTTTGGCCTTAAAATTGAGTTCAGCTGACTTCAGCCAACATATGTGCAGGCTTGAGCAGAACTTTTGAAGGATTTGTGTGTGGAGGGGTGAGCTACTTTAAGTACAGTCAGCAATGGCAAAACAAACACATTTTTACAGTTAGGCCTCAGATGCAACATATTTTGAGTACAAACTTTGCAAAGTTACAATCTATTCAATTTTGGGGTCATGCTTTTTGTTGGAGTAAATAAATCAACAACCATACATGTAAGCAGGCCCGTCGTTAAGGGGGGGGGGGGGGCCTGGTGGGGCCGGGCCCCCCTTGGCGAGCAGTTGGGCCCCCCTTGGCGAGCAATTAGCCCCCCCCCACGGCAAAAGCCATACATGTGTATTTTTGTTTTTTTAAGGTGTGCCCCCCCCCCCCCCCCCCCCCCCGACGTTAAGGGCTGGCGACGGGCCTGCACGTAAGCTTGTCTTAAAATGAAATCCAGCGACCAGAATTAGAAGCCGTTACTGTGGTGGTACCACGCCCACGCGAATGCTGCACGCGTTCCTAAAGACGAGGCGCGTGCGCATTTTGGAACCCGGAGTGCATCTTACTACCTCAGCGCGACTCGTGTGAGCCTGGTGTGCCACCACAGAAAATGGCTGAAAATAGTCTACAGGAAATTCTCTACCTATTTTCAGAGTCAGGCAAGCGGAGCAGTAGTTCCTGGTTTGCCATCATAGTAAACCGAACATCGGCAGGAACGATAGTACCAAGGCAAGCCTGGGATATATACAATTTTTCAAGAATTCTGTTAAGATCAGGGATGGGTAAAGATGATGCTTCATTAGGCCAAACAAAATAGTTCTGCTTCCAATTACGTGGCATTTGAAAATAGGGTAGGTAGGTAGGGAATTATTTGTTTGTGTATGAATTTATGGAGGCGCTTGCGCGTAGTCAAGGGTAAAAGGTAGAAATTGATGGTTTTGGGTGTTTTTTTTCTCATTTTTCTCATAAAAAAATTAGGGTTGGGGCTGTCAGAATAGGGTAGGTAGGGAAACCAGAAGCAGAACTATTTTTTTGGGGGGGGGGGGGGGCTTTAGTTTTTCTGCTTTCGGGCGGCGGAAAAACTTGTGGAGTTTTCTGGTCGAGTTTCTGACAGTACCTCCTTTCTGTATCTTTCAGTCTCAGCAGTAACTTTCGAGTCCGTTCTGAGTAATATACTTCTTGTGGCACATGTTCACCAATAGTTACCTGTGGACGGTATGAGTTGGGTTGATTTGAGGTGAAAAAAAAAATCGACATGGTTTACATTGAACAATATTCAACAGAGGATACTTTATGGTAAACAAATTATGAATAATTAAAAATGGTCAAAATGAGGGTAAATTTATACCATCAAAGATTATACTTCAAGCAAATAAAAATGTCATTGCTGAGATATTGATTATATAAAATATGAACTTTGGACAATCTTACCTGAATAAGTTCTGCCAAAGGGGCCCTCTCCTAAACACAAAATAAAAAAAAAGAAGCAATACTATTATCACTATTAATTATTTCTGGTGATGAAACTAGGCACTCCTCAAAAAGAGGAATTTCCAATCTGATTCTGATTTTGAAATCAAATCTATGGTAGTGGCATGGAATCACCGAACCTCGATCACCTACCTCTGGTGCTGGTGGGTTGAGAGGGAAGTCCAGCCCGATGAAATCCCCTTCTCTCTTCGCTATCACCTCGCCGCTCAGACTTTCAAATCGAATGACGTCATTCCGATTGCCCACGACGTAGAAGAGCGCAGCAGCTGAGGCCACTGTAGCATGGCCACACAGGTTCACTTCATTGGTGGGTGTGAACCAACGGATCCTCATGCGACTTGCTGCATTTTGGAGAGAATAAAAAAACGAGCCGGTTTTATTTGGTGATTGAAAAACTATCACACACAAATTCCGATTTCAATATGCTACTGCAGTTCATGCACTGGCGAGACCCCTTTTGTTTATCATTCAAATATTCAAGTTTGGGGTTTCAAACATGAAGTAGGTACTGTAAGGCCCAAAAAAAAGTCTCCGGTTTCTGGTATGCGCGCGCGCGTCGCCGTAGCCATGCGCGTCGGCAAAATGAAAATTTTTTTTTTCAATGAAAGATGATGTCTCAAAATCGCCAAACTCACTGGTTTGACTGGAATCCTGCTGCCATGGCTGCTGCACAATTTTAACGTGTTTTTAGATGGGGTTATGATGGAGAATAAGCTTTATGTGGCCTCTCTGGTCTCCCATAATATTTGCACTAAGTTTAGTCGGGCACCATTTGCAGTCATCAGCCGACATTTGAAGCAAAAAAAAACAGGTAAAAAAAAAAAAAAAGCCGCGTCGCCACACCACTTTTTGGGCAAGCTCCATACCAGAAACCGGAGACTTTTTTTTTGGCCTAAAGTGCTCTTGCGTGGTGCATTCTCACTGAGAACAGCTTATTTTGTCATTTAAAAATAAAATTCAATAACATTGTTAGTACAATCATGGAGCTGTTTAATAGCTCCATGGTACAATGCATCCCAGGGGAACATGCATATCACCTGATCACAGAGGAATACCGATCTGCCCTCAGATGTGACATCACATGCAAGGGGTCTATTGGGATTTCTGTGGATATTGATAATTGTTCAGCATTGCAAGTTACCCGTCTGGAACGTGTCTCCAGGTACAAGAGTCTGTAGGTAGGCAGTTTCAGATAAATTCAGCTCAGCTGCAACTTTCATCTTTGTTTCGTCTGGAATATCCTGAAAATCAATTTGACAATATAAAATGAGCGAGGAAAATCACTGCTTACTTTTGTGATATCTGCTTAATACTTAGAGTACTAATTCATGTATACATGTGTCAACAATGACCATGTCAACTGCCATGTGGATTGAGAATTTGCCTAGTTAGTATTATCTATCTTGCCAGATAGGCACTGAACATGTGTTTTTTTGGGACTTGGAAATTGTTATCGTGCCGGAGCACTGAACATGTGGTTTATTGGGGGCTTGGAAATTGTTTTCGTGACAAATTCCTCCATGGTTAGTCTGGTTCCGCACCATTGCCAATATTGTGGTTGTAACTTTGTATTCAGGAGATGGAAATCAGACCATTTTAAATTTTCAGATTTTACTTCCCTTAAAAAATATCCTCCAGAGCTACGAATCAGTACACGAAAATGTAGGAAATTTTATAGTCATGGTAGTGTAGTTACATTTTAAAATCAATGTAAAGACATGAAAGAAGAACATTGTTAATTTTTTGAGACGCAAAAAAAATATATTATTTTGATACTTTATTATGTATATAATAATGAGGCTAACATGTTAGTAAGATTTTTTTTTCTTTTATTTCTTTTTTCTTTTATCAGCAGGCTGAAATAAAATGCTTCAATATTTTCCATGCTAAATTCGATGTTTATTAGCTTTAGGACATGTTTCGCTCTCTGCTACATCTACATCCACTTCTGGATGTTAATGCTGAGGTGAAGCTTAACATGCTTAAGGTGCGTGTGAAGCAGGGGGAAGCTTGTAGCCCCCGCCCCCCCCCCCCCAAAAAAAAAAACCGGGTTGGGGGGGGGGGGTACTGCCCCCCCCCCAACCCAGGCCCTCAGAAAAGTGATACATGAGTCATGACTGATGACGAGCATGACGAGTAACGTCAATAGTTTGTCTCCACTTCTTCACCTCACTGAGACAACAAACGGCGGCTGGATTGCCAGTAAAAGGTTTGTCAGTGAACGCATCCACAGTTATAATTGGCAGTTTTCGCCCGCGTCCGGAAAAGGCAGAGTTTTCAGAGGCCATTTTGATGGCTAAGTTAACTCGTCCTGCTGATCCTTCATACCAGTTACTTCATCTAATCAATTCCGCAACTTGCTTCATGCCTTTATTAGTTCTTTGAAAATTGGACCGTTGCAACAACAGCAACTGAGACAATTTGACTCTCTTATCTGGGCCATTTTACTCCGAATTTTATTCCACGAAGCATTTATAACTCTTGCACAAGGAAATTTGCAAGTTATTTGCCTAAAATAGACAAATCAGTTCGATAATGAAAACTGATTGTATTACGAGACTGGTACAAGTTTAGTACACCATGTCTTTCACCTCCCAGTTGCCCTTTGACCCTTGAGTGTTTATTTGGCTTGCTATGCTCGCCGCACGCACTCACAGTACAGCAAGAATGTAGAGAGTGCCGCGCGTCCAAAAAGCTCTTCTTTCGTGGACTTTGAACCAACTACAGGAACGGGAAAATGGCGAAATTCACGGCAGTGCTGGAGGGTGGCACTCCGTGGGGATTTAGGCTGAAAGGAGGGAGAGGGACTGGTTTACCTCTGGTTGTTTCCAAGGTAAGTTGGGCCATGGTTGGCTTTCATTGATTTTTGTCGTCCATTCATTTCAGTGCAATATACAGTGAGGGCGCTCTTTTCCCAAAGCCTTACAGGAAAAAGTACGGTAATTTGGTGCGTTCTTCAAATTCCCCATAACATGTTGTGTTGTAATTATGTATAAGAATAGTACTAAGCAGATGCTAAATTACAGTAATTAATTGTTAAACGTCTGTTGTTGCTTTAGTTTCGATAAAATGGTGAATTGTATCCTCGCCCCTCCATAATCTGCGCAGGTAACGCTTGCATTAATGCGCACGCGTTGTCACACACAAATTGAAGGTTAGTTAAGGGGGTCTGACGATATAAAAAAAATATTTATTTCAAAACAACATGGCCCAGGCCATGGCATGGGCATGAATTTTTGACTTTAATTTGTAATTTTGGAACAAAAAAATTCATAATGTCACTAAAAAACCTTGCCCTTAGGGCATTCATAACATGTTTTCAAAAATCAAAACTCTGGTGCCTTTTGGCATTGCAAGTCATTGTTGATTGTTTGGTTAAGCAGGTGTTTTTTGAGTGCTAGCATGTTGTGACCTGAGTTTTAATTCCCTTGAATATTTTGTAAAGAGTTGTTGAAAATGTAATTGCTGTTTGTTTTGAAAAGGCCCCCAAAAAAAGGCTCTGATTTCTGGTCTGCGCGCGCGTCGCTGTAGCCATGCGTGTCGGCAAATAAAAGGTTTTTTTCAATGTAAGATGATGTCTCAAAACCGCCAAACTCACTGGTTTGACTGAAATATCCTGCTGCTGCACAATTTTAATGTGTTTTTAGATGGGCTTACGATCGAGTATAAGCTTTATATGGCCTCTCTGGGCTCCCATACATTTTGCACTAAAGTAGTCGGGCACCATTTGCAGTCATCAGCCGACATTTGAAGAAAAAAACAAGTAAAAAAACCCAAAAAGCCGCGTCGCCGCACCACTTTTTGGGCAAGCTCCATACCAGAATCAAATCTTACTTTTCACTGAAGTGGATCTTGACTTCACTATGCTGATATCGGAAATTAAATAGAAGTGTAGGTGGGGGCAAGCTGACATCATCCGATGAAAACATAGATTCATTTGCACACCAGTTTTTTATCGGTTGCTACCGGTACATGTGAAAACTGTTACCATTCAGCACTCCAAACTCAAGAACCATTGAGTTTCAAGAACATAGGTCTGGGAGCTAAACAATTACAGGATGTCCGTGCCCACCCATTGGTCAATGAAAAGCACTAAACTTTATGTAAAGAGCTTTTTAATATGTGTGCACATTTGTTGCAGGTGTTTTAATTAATAAAAAGGATAGGGTCTACTTTAGGTTCAGCATTCACAACATGGGACAATAATACAAGTACATACTGTACATTTGTACCTGGGGTACCTTTCAAAAACTACCAATTTTGCACATGTGTACCGCTATACATGTGGTACATTTCACCAAAGATTACCGTCATGTATTAATTTTAATTCTCCAGGTTAATACACTACAAATGTTTGCAGTTGGTGTGAATCATCAAACTTGGTGTTGGTTTATTGACATTAACCTGTTGGATTTATTGAGAGAAAACACTATACATTGTGCCTTGCAAACATTTCGTGCTACACTTCAACAAATTGAGTTGTGTAGGCGTGGCGTGCGTATGTTCAGTTGGTTTATTTTGGGCTGTGTCCGCATATATAACCACTTTTTCATGTTCCGTTCATTGATGCCCTTCAAGCTTTTCTTGTTCTAGGAAACACTTTCAGTAAAATCAATACTGTAGAAATATTACATTAAAAAATCAAACATCAAAAATAAGGGTGGTTTGATAAGTCGGATGTGTGCCAGAACCCTGTTCTAGGATGTTTAAATTTATCTCTTTTTTTGCTTGAACGCAAGAAATTAAACTGTTATAAATGTATCATTTCTCTGGCAATAGTCAGTTGACATTCTGTGCATATTATGACAATTTTGTATTCCTCTTGGTTGAAACAAAATTTTAAGAAATAAAACTTTAAAAAATAATTTCTCTAGCAATAATCAGTTGAAATTCTGTGCATACTACGGTACATGTGTATGTGATGAAATTTTTATTCAAACTATCTTCGTGGTTGACACAGAATTTTCTTACAAAAAAAATGAAATTTGTCTTCATTGGTATTTTGGAGAAAAAAAATCACTACATTTGTAGATCATTCAAGCATGAGTAGATTGTGCCTGCTTCATCAATCCTCTTGTGAGCTTGGCACAAACTGTCGCCCAGAATTTTGCGATCACTTGAGGCGTTTCAAATGATAAATTATATCCTATTTGCAGTATAAAAGCCCATGCAGAATCACTTGAGTGTAGCCAACAAAATAGGATCAATTAAGTAACACACAACCAGACCACAACGGTTCGATTTCAATGCAAACGTGTCTATGAAAGAGCACTTTGACCTTGCTTATTGTTCGGAAGCCTTGCTGTTGTGCCCGTGTAACAAAAGCGTACACTACAATTTACAAACGTGTGTACTGTGGGCTGACAAATTTGATATTGTGGAAAGCATTCCACCATTAATCATTGTGCCTTGCTTGTATTTCATTTCACATTTTGGTTGCAAAAGTAAGGGGAATGTAAGCCGATTTGAATGGCTCAATGACCAATATCTATAGGTTCTTTTCATGCCAAAAAAGTACACAATATGTGTACCATTACAAAACTTTATTCTTTCAGTTTTGTTGCTACATGTACTTCCAAATCACTATATAAAATTGATGGATCACCATAACTTTATGGCACATGAGGAAGCTTGTATTAGAGCATGTACACAATTTGTTTTTTCAATAGTAGGATTACGTCTTTCTTTCTTGTAAAACAAGTGAATCTGATTCATCAAAAAGTCACTTAGCATTTGTGAAATGAAATGTAATGAGTGAAAAATCAGTGTTCCATACATGTAAATCCAAATGCTTTATAATCTTAGGAAAAAAAACCCCCAATATCGGTACTCCACTTTTTTGAATTTTGACTTTCTTTAGTCGATTTCCTTCCCTCAGGATTCTATTCAAAACAAATCATCACTTCCTAACCCTATTCCCTACCAACTCCATCAAAATACATCCCCCTCCCCCATTTGGGGGGATTTGGGCAGATGTACATGTATACTATGTAAGCCATGTGTACTGTCCATCAGCACCAGTGGTGGATTTCAATGGATTTTGTCCTGAAGCCTTATGTGAAGCAGAATTATGGATTTTGATGGATATGGTCTAAGTAAAAGCAACTACATGTAGGGAGTTATGATTCACGACTACAAGAACAGTTTGAAACATAAGCGATCTAGACTTTTAGACCTTTTCTTGGTAAATTAAAAAGTTGGCTCTGAACAGAACGACTACTGTATACCGGATTGGAAAAGGGTTGAGCTGCCTGAAACTCCAGTTTTTAACTGTTCCCACGGCAGAAAGAAATCCCGCAGTATTTCATACCCATGTTTATCATACATTCTGTGATTACTAATTGACTACTGGTACTTTCGTTTTCTCAAACTCAAAGCATGCACACGTGTTCACATATTTATTGCATAAAACAAACAAACTGAACAATGAATAAACACATAGCACATGCATGTCACATTTACTGTTTGCGTTTTTGTCAAATTTATGTCAACTGCCCAGACCTTGAGGACAGAGCTTTTGAAATAACCTTGAAATTTCCAGTCACAGAGCATTAACATTCACACCCTGTGCTGTCCTGACAGCATTATGATTAATGACGGCATCCAAGTTTAATATCCCTTCCAAGTTTTTTCTTTTTCCAATGGATGGTGGCTATCTGTTTTCCGTCCCCCGTGACTGCAGCGTAACCCTAACCGTACCAGATGTGCTGGAATGCTTGTAGAGTAGTGCCGGCAGCATTTCTTGTCCCCAGCAACTGCCTAACATTCTTGGCAAGTTTGGGGACATATTGGTTTGAAGAACTCTCGCTTCTTCTTCGAGCTCATGTAGGTGAAGTTGTGAGCAAGGAAATTAAGCAGACTTTTCCTTTGGTTAGAGGAAGAGGGAAAGTTTGTAAAACAAAAAATTATAAGGACTGAGGATCACAAAATAAACTTTATTTTTTTATATTTGGTAATACTTTCAAATTACCTGAATGTTAAAATAAAAGTTTATGAAATTTTAACATAAATACAGCAGAATTATTAAAAATTTTGTGTACTTAGTACATTTTGTATTATGTTAACGGCTCATTTTATCTGTCAAGTTTGTTTTTGACGGGTGAAACAAATTTTTTTTTTTTTACGGATAAATATTTATTCAACTTGATCTTCTTTTTCTTTAAAGTTTAATGACCTTCAGAGGCAGGTATTTTTAGTTCCAAAAATTGTGAATCTCTGAAAAACGTACTACATGTAAACCATTTTTGTTTGGATGAAATATGTTGCCATTGCAGAATTCAAAATTTCAGTGAAAAACAATCAAGCATTAAATTTGATCCTGTCTGTAAAGACACAAAATATGGCATACAATATGGGCAGTATGATTTTAGTCTCAGAATCTTTGCTGGGTATCTGTTCTGAGTTTCACATCTTCCCAACTTCCCAAGTGACCTTTTCTGAAGTGATGACTGGCGAATCCAAACTGATCCCTCAATTCCAGAATGATCCCAATTTATGGGAGGTGGATCAGACCGAAAATAAAACTGACGGATTAAATTGTCAGTAGACTCCTTCGGGACATTTAACTCAAGAAAGTGTGGCTTGGATCCAGCTTTTCACGAAGAGGCGGTACTGTCTGGAATCCAGACACTAAAATGTGACATTTAAGGGATATACAGGACTGCCTTCCTGTAGATGCTGGATCATACAGATGACTTTGTTCTTTTGTGTATTTGAGAGCTCTGTGCTTGGCCCTAGAGAGGTTGTAGACTCTAACAAAGTTGGCTTCACCTTGGTTTCACTTTCAGTTCTGTGCATGGATAGCCATTAGCTGGATGCATCATACGCTTGGGGTGTATGGTGTCTCCAAAACAAATTTTTGTGGATTGGGTTACGTGAAAAACTAGGACTGAACTTAATAAAATCATCATTGGATAGAACTGATTTTGTTTTAAGGAATCATAAGGTCCTCCCCTGCCTTCTCCTAACCTCTCACCCTCCCCACCCCAAAAAAAAATTACTTCAACTCTGATGTGATGTGGGTAGCCATTTTGTCAGAGTATAACGATCCAGATCCAGAGTATTCATGGGCATCAAGTATTCCTTAGTTGGTACTTAACTGGGCTTTAATTACATTGTACCTTCCTCAATATTGCAAAATCCTTCCTTCCAAACCCTGCTGGTGACTTCTTGTAGGAATTGGGAGGGTTGGGGATTAAGAATTCTATAGCGTAGATGCCATCTAATGATGGTTTAAATGAACCTTCATCCGCCTCCTTCAGTTTCCAATTGAAGAGCCAACAATGTCTACCAATTAAAACGGCTTGTAGTCCTGCCCTATGGAGACCTTCTGTTGTGATACATCCAATACATCAAGAAACGCAATTGATTCTCGTTTATTTCCTGTTCGCCCACTCTTACACCAGGCACAGTAATGGATAGATCCTGGCTTACTACCCAACATTCCGGTGGCTGTTTTTGTATTCAACGACTTGAATGCTCCGTAAATCAAACCTTTTGTTGATCTACTAGTCCACTGAATGACAGAATAAACGTTGGCTTGACTTACATTGTAAAGAACCATATTGCGTTGGAAAACGACTTCGACTGAACTCTAGTTTGATCTTTGATCAGAACAACATTGGTTTATTGAATTTCCGTGGGGTGGGTGGTATGCAAAAGCATGTCGTTGTCGTGTCCACATATGGAAGTACCGGTACGTGTATTTGGCCTTGATGGTGAAAGAAATCAAGTTGTTTTGTTTGCTTGTAAGTTTATGAATTAGAGTTGAACTGTGTTTTCCATTCTTACTAGAAATCACAAGATTGAACGATAACGAAGTTGTTCACATTTTTTTCATGGGGGAATGAGGTGTAAATATTGGGAGGGAGTTAAAAAACCAAAAAAGTTGTTTGTGCTGTCAGCGTCCCCAAAATATGTCTTAAAATTTAATCAATAGGCCGGCTACTTTGTATAAAACCACAAAGTTTTTATTTATGATTAAATTATATGTAGAACAGGCTTTGGAGGTTCAACTTATAAAGTAATAATGTCCAAATTTATGAGGCTGAGATAAATTTAAGAAAAACAAGTTTTTAGGCCTGACCATAGGGGAATGAATGAACATGGCCGTCACCTTAAAACTTGCCGCCGGCCCCTTTACCACAACAGTTTCTTGTGTCCTAATGCCCTCTCAGTTACCACCTGGAGCACACCTTGCACAGTTTACAGTTCAGTCACAAAATGTAGTCCCCATGTCACTCATTATCACAGGGTAGACCTCAGGCCACAGAAGGTTGGTTGACCTTGTCCCCAAAATCTCATTCAGGTGGTCATAAAAAGGTGTTAACTATGGTCTCATTCCCAGCCTGCTGGGAATATAACTGTCAGCACCAACCATTCACCTACACAAACAACATAACTCACACTGCAATTTACACCTGAAATCCATTTTTATCTTTCCAAAAGAGTCTCATGCTATTGCTACCGGTTGTGTAAACTGTGCCACTGTTGACATTTCTGGTTGAAATAGTTTCCGTGGTATGCATCATTGATTCAAACTGTAAATTTTAAGAGCTGAGTCAAATTGAGGCAAACACGGTATGTACATGTGCTTGAGCCTTACTGAGCCAGAACAACAGAGGGCGCTATAGCAGTTGCCTGATTGTGAATGGAAATTTTGTTCAAGACATCTTCCAGGTTAAACCTGAAGATTTATATCACTTAAACAAAACACTTAAACGTACCGGTACATGTTGTTTCAAGTGTCCGGAATGATTAGTATTCCATAAAAGCATTACTCGAGACTTTTTTTTTTTTTTTTTTACAGTATTATATTAATTATAAATTGTAAAATAATTTAATAGAAAAATCAGCTGTGCCCACCAAATTGCATACTACACAATAAAAGAAAATATCAAGTGCATTTGTACACGTATGCACCGTGGTGTCATATTTTGTTTTCAGGCTCAACCCTGCATGCACATATCTTTCAAGTGAGTGTCTTACATCAATTCAAGTCCGACATGAGTCATATTTTGTTTTACTTTGCACATATTGTAGCTTGACTTGGGAAACAAAATGATTCGTTACTTGAGCCATTATGACTTGTAACTGTGTGATGTTAAAATACTGTTGGGTAAGCATGTACGTATAATTTTGCAAATTTTAAAAGTAATTAGTCATTTAAAATTGGAGGAAAACAACCAACACCGTTTCCTTTGAAAACTGTTAGAAAATGTAAGTCACTTGCATTTGGAGAATTGTAGAACAAGAACTACTACCCTTTGACAACTACTCATCTATTCCCCACCAAGGACAAAACGTTCAAAGCCTTTCAACCGAAAATTCTTCAGAGCAAAACCCCGCATGCCAAGCATACCACAGCTCCTTCCAGGGGCACATTGAATTGTGCATGAGACACGCGCCACACGTGCAACGCTCAGGCCGCCCTCATGAAAACGGAATTTGCAGTTTTAAGCTGATAACCTAATTCCAAGTTACTTTCTCATGACTTACAAAACCCTGGAGTGCTGTGTGATGCTCAAGTTTCCACTCATTCACCGGGTGTTTTTATTTAGCATCCTGAAATTTTCCTCAGGGCCATTCTGGGTATTTATAATAAACCTTTACAAGGCGAGTGTGTGTGTGGGTGAGTAGGCCTACACTTACACAAAATGGGACCAGGGCACAGTTTAAGCCGGAGTCTATAAGCGGATCATCAACAATACATTACCCATTTTGTTGTTGACGGAGCCACACTGCTTCATTGATGCGGATCCACTCCCAATTCAGCTCCGGAATCACTGCTCCGTAAAGAGCCTAGCTGCCTTTTGGTCTCGTGTGATTCGAAACTGGCTTCACTGTTAACATCCCGCCTTTTCTTGTGTAAATCGCTGTGGCATTATTACTCAGTCGCTCGGTGTACATAACAGTATACTATTGTTGAAGTGTGCATGCATTCATGTAGTAGACCATTCTTGAGGTAGGACAACTTCGCTTCATCTGCCTGGCTGTAGAACTGGGAGTGGTGATTTTTTTCTGCTGCCTCTGGGACAACAGGTAAACACGTCGCAGTACCAGTACGGCATCTCTGCTTAGAGTAATTAGAGTTACTCGTACGTGTAGGAGGTCAACACTGCACTTGTCAGCAACACACGATTGCCTACTCTCTGGAAGAGCAACTACAGATGGTTTACATGTATCATCAGCTCTGTTGCATATCACCTACTTTGTACATCTCCAGTACTACCTTGGACCCTTCAAGATCTTGACTTACTGGGACAATTTTGGGATTCAAAGCTCCGGTCAATCTGCAGTTTTGGAATTTTAACTACTGATACGTCTGGTCAGTGTCATCAATATCTATCAGACGTTGTCAAGAGGACTCCAGTGCACAAATTGGTACCAGCAGAAATTTTTCTGTGGTTGTTCGGTTGTGTGGCTGTGCAGGATCGGAATTTTTTTTAATCGCAACGTCATTATTGATTGCCATTGGATTGTACGGCGTCGATCAAACTTGGTGAAAGGTAAGTGTGATAACCAGAGACTTGCAGTTGCAAGGAAATTTTTTATTCATCTATGCCCAGAAATGCCTACCTCCATGGTGTGAGTTATGTTTGTCATGTACTGGTACGGTACAGGTAGTAAGCATACATACTGTACATGTAAATGTACCCTTACTTTGTGAGCAATCATTTGTACAGTATTTTATTTTTCATCTTCATTTTCATGTGTGCGTGTGTACTGTGCTGAACTGTGTGTGTCGTTTACGTCAGAAATTTTATGAGTTAATGAAAAAGTACCGTATGATAACGTAATGAATTGTTGTGGACTTGGGGAGGAGTTTACTGTGTTGTACTGTACATGTAAGTACGGTATTGCAAAGTAATGAGCCGTTTTGTATGCCATGATAATGCTTTAAACATGTGAATCAAACAGCATTAGCATACCGGTGCAATCCACTCTCATTAAATACAAACTCAACCGGACCTAGCCATTATCAGAATATACCGGTAAGTGGAGTGCCCGTCCCATTCTTTGTGTACATTTATTTGTATAGTCGGGACCAAGGCTTTATGTTTGCTATGTTTGCTATAACCAGAATTGGCATTAATTAACAGTGCTTGTATTAAGAGTCGGCTGTGTACTTGTAGATTATTGCATGTATGTACTTTGAATAGCCCATTTATGGGCAAAAATATTTATGTAACCTGTGGTTTTATGGCATTTTAATGAACAAAAGTTTGTATCGTACCGGTACAACAAACAATGTTGCAGTCATGCACAAGTCCAGTCATAAGACCTTTCGTAAGACCAGTCACAAAAACTGGGATGAGCAATGACAAAGGAATGCTTTTGTAACAGTTTATTTGAATAGCTAGTTACTTGACTCGAGACTGAACGACTTGTGATGGACTTGTGATGGACTTGTGATGGACTTGTGATGGACTTGTGATGGACTTGTGAGGGACTTGTGACGGACTTGTGATGGACTTGTGATGGACTTGTGATGGACTTGTGATGGACTTGTGACGGACTTGTGACGGACTTGTGACGGACTTGTGACGGACTTGTGACGGACTTGTGACGGACTTGTGACGGACTTGTGACGGACTTGTGATGGACTTGTGTTGGACTTGTGATGAACACTTGCAGGGACTTGTGATGGACTCAACTAGAAGTAGAACACTGCAACATGCATCTAAAAAAAAGTTTGATCTTCAGCACCAAACAATTTGTGGCAATGAATAAGTCCATACTGACACAGACAACATTTACTTCAGGTGAATACATGTTCCTGATTCCCCTCTAAGAAACCGATTTACAAAAAAATATTAAGCATTGATTTGCTTCACGACTGGGTGCACAAGTCAAAGGCAATGGCTCTGAAAACTATCACAGCGTATGGTGTGTGTTTACTGAAAAAGCACTGAGGCGTGTACGCGTTTCACACATTGCATGAGCCATTGTCAAATGCTTGGTTCACATCAGAGTTGCAAAATGTCAAGTGTGACAATTGATACTCAGTTGGAGATATAAAAAAAATAAGGTGATTGATTTTTACTTAACATTACAATGTACCAGTACACGTGCAGAAAATGTTCTCCTTTATAATATCTTGTGCATGTGTAGGGTATCCCATCTTTAAGGATTCTCAAACTGTCTTCATTAATTACATATTACACGGATGCAATACTTGTGACAAACCCTAGGCCTGTCTAACATTTTTGACCCTGAAAATACGAGCATCCACTAATAGGTTTTGAATATTTACAGGTACCGGTAGAGCCCACCCACTGTCACTGTACATTGAGCACCACAAATTAAATGAAGAATTTTAAGTCACAAATTCAATTTCATCGGCATTGGGTCCTTGAGGCAGGATTTTCCACTTGATTAGCTGGAGCGTTACAATCCTTGCCATCGTGTTGCATTCTCACTATTTCATCATGTGAAGCTCTATCTTTATGTCATCTACAGCTGAAAAATCTGACATGTCACATCTCTTTTTACAAAAAATAATCTATGGACTTCTCCCTGTTATTTTTGATACCGTTGTACCACAACAACATTTTATTTACTGTCAAGCTTTGATAGTATTTCAGCCCATGTTTTGCTTACATGTACATGTATTTTGACACCAAATTATATAATTTGTTTGACAATTTGTAAAATGTCACATTTTCAAACATGGTAATTATATTTTCAATCAATCTGTCACTGCTTGGTAGAAAAAAATTGATGGGGGGGGGGGGGGGACACAGACATTATCCCTGCTCTATTAAACACTGAGAAAACATACATGTAGGGTTGGATGGTTCAGTTGGTAGAGCACCGGTCCCATGGGAACGGTAACCCGGAGGTTGCAGGTTCAAAACCTGCTCCGGTCAATCTCTTTGTGATCAATTTAAAAAATAAATGTAATAAGTTATTTATTTTAAAAGTTACAAAGTTCTCACGAATTTTTTTTTTTCACTCTATAGGCCTACATGTAGACGGTCACTACATAAAATGCTGTGCTTTCATTTTTTTCGAACTGCAAAGTGCTCAGACAGAGCTGTCACATAAAGTTTGGATGCTGCATGTTGCAATTCCTTGGTGAATCGTTGAAAAATGAATGTTTTGACCAAAAATGTCAAAAGGGTCCCTTGGGCCTCGCTTCTGTCAATGTTTGCTGGAAATATTGAACACCCAGTGAGACGTTGATTCATGTACAGTGCGCACAGTGAGAAAAAAAATGTAGATTATTTTCAAATTAAATAGAAACAAACATGTACCCTTCAATCAAATGTCATTTCTTTGTAAATTATTTATACGTAGAGATACCGGTAACTGTCATTCAGTCTGGCTGTTTTAAGAATCAAATTTAATTTACAACCCATTTTCTGACAAATTGTTTCTTATCTCGTGATCATTAACACAATATCAGAGTCCCAAGTTACTCCAGGTAAACAGAGCATGACACATCAGCTCACAACAAATTATTCATGTGTACACAACTTCACGCAATATATCCATTCCCCCTGCAATTTTTGTCGTCCTAGTCAAACAATTCCGCTGTCACTTAACATCCCTATATCATATCCATATAAAGCAAGAGTCCCATACCATACAGATTGCACACACACACACACACGTAGTCCCATTGACACACGGCCAAAGCATGCACCCTTTGCAGGTTTTAATGGGCAGATCCTTTTCAATGGAGCCGTGTGGTTGTATTTTTAACCTTCGCTGCGCCGTTCTTTTAGTCGGGACAAATTTATCTGATGAGTGTATTTTTTGTGCGTGTGTGTGATGCAGCTGATTCAGCTTGGGGGAATTTATAAGTATTGACGTAGATTATGCGCGTATCAATTGAATGAGTGATACTGCCATTATATGTGTTGCTTTGGGAGGAGGGGGGGGGGGGAGTGAAAAACATGTTATTTGTTAAATTCATTCAAAAATGGAATTTTGATTCAGCGAACATGTGCAAGTACAATACTTACCGGTAATTGTATACAAATATGTAGGGAGATGCAGTTCTTTCACTTGTATATTTTTTACCCATTTAAAGGTAATAACATTTTACAAACATAAAAAAAACCCAAAACTACCAAAATTATTATGAAATACCGTACTTGTCTGTAGTGAGTATTACATGTTCATGTACCGGCAGTCTCAAGCATCCTGTGAAATGCACATCTGAAGTACTATAATTTTCATTTAAACTGAAATTTCTGGATTTAACTCCAACAATGATCGGCCAATTTACCAAATTAAATTAGTCCACAGTTTGTTTGCAATCCGTTAAACACATCCGTGAACGGGTGCTAAACAGCTTCATGTAGTCTGGTACTCTGGTTCCGTGACCTGACAATTTCCAACATCTATACATGTATTGTGTTCTATTATTACACGAACACAAACCTTAATCTGGTCGGTGTCTAAAAAATATTTGCTATAAAATACTAGCCCCCGAATCCATCCATTTCTGAAAATAACAGCAAAAGCAAATGCTGTAGGCCTATACATGGGTAAGCATTACATTCACTGTGTGGACTTCCAAACAAAAGATGTCCACATAATGCAGGTTGTGTTGACGTAACGTTTCTTCCTCTCTGGAAAACAGGTTTAGAGGCATTTTGGGGTTAGGTTTATCAAAATGAAGAGAAACACTAAAGGGAATCTGAAAGAGTTTTCACAGTTAAAGTAAAGTTATTTTTTGTACCGAGTTTTCTTAACTACATGAAAACAAAGGAATGTCCACATAGTGTATGTAAAACAAACACGTGTGTACCTGTACATGTAAGTTTAAATATTCATGTACTGTACATAAATTAAACCAGTATTTAGTACAGGATGTAAGAAATATACTGTACATGTACTTTAAGGGGGTATGCCCAACTCTGATCCATGTATTTTTGTTTCTTTGATGCCGTTTTAAAAAGAAAAGAAAAAGAGCATAGGTTAAACTAAAAACACTGTTCATTCCTAGATGGTTTACAAATTTGAATTTCTTTTCCAGAAAACCGGTAGCAAAGGTTGAATTCAGGTAATGCCACTATCTCATTAACTTTAATTTACTGAAATTAAGGGGGAAAAAATGCTCAAAAAAGTGCAATAAAACAGCAGACAAAAAGTCTCCTTATACATGCTTTTTTTCATTTGCATATGTCTTTTGAAATGAAAGGCATCTGAGTTGAGCTAATTTTATTATATACTGACCATGAATCAGCTACATGTAGAATTTATACACAAAAGTGGCCCCTGGATAAAAATGATACAGTCACAGCAATTATATTCATATTAATAAGTGGCAAAGCAGGTCAGCCTACTTTATCGTGATTAATTCCATATGGAAAGGGAGCGATATGCTGGGAATTAATTAAGCATGATCCGTCCCATCATCCTGAGGTTGAAGTATACTTGGAGTCTTGGACTCATTCCCACGAGGCATTCAGCCGGCTCCGATATGATAATTGCCATCTTCCAACCTGTGACATTTGAGATTGAAGCCTACGTGTATCTTTCCCTACCAGCAGATTAGTAACTGCACATTAATCATGGAGTTTTCATAAGATCAAGATTTGAGATTGAAGCCTATATTTCCCTACCAGCATATTAGTAACTGCACATTAATCATGGAGTTTTCGTAAGATCAAGACTTGATAAATTGATCAAATGATCGGACCCTCACCTGCTGCCAATGTATTAACCCACATGCACTAAAGATAAATTGAGATAAAAAGTGAAATCTGATAATTCTTCATAATGTTCAGACTGACATTACATTTCTTGGATGTAAAAATTAAAAAAAACAAGCAAAATTTTAAAAAGCAGCGAACAAAACAATCTTGACGAATGTTTTTCATATTTCCAATTGACAAGAACGTATGCTGTGCCTGCTAGTGCTGACATTTTTAAAAGAAATTTAATCATTTTGAAATCTTATCCAGTTATTTTCATTCCAAAGTTGGAATGGAAACACCCCGAAAGAAAACATCCCAAAAAGAAATCCGAAGAGAGGACTTGGAGTAGAATTTCAAGGTCATTGACCCCTTGACCTCCAGCCTGAAGGCCCTGGACCAGAATTCCAGGGATTTCATTCATGCCAAGCAAGCAGCCCTTAGGCATGCTGCTTGGGATGTCCGTGTGTTGTTTATGTACTTGTAGTACTATGATCAGGCAGAAAAATTTGCAAAGCCTCCAAGAGCAAAATATTTTTCTGAAGGGATTATTTTTAAAAGCAAAAGAATTTGGTTCTACATGTACTTCTAAGGCATACCTTTTTTTTGGTAATCAAATTTTTCAATGATTTTTATTTATAAAAAATAATGTGTTGTTGAGTGTTCACACACATGTTTATAGTGTAAATTGAGGACACACATGTCAAGCATCCTTGTGTAATTGAGGACATACTCGATTAGAAAACGTGTACAAAATTAATGGGAGCTGTTGTGAAAAAAAGTATGTATGAACAAAAGAGTATGAACAAAAGAGTATGAACAAAAGAGGAACAATAATCCTTGATTTCTACCATATTTAACAAAACTGGGTCCACATGTACAAATGTACATTTATCAAATCAAATTTCCATTTTCTTTTGACATTTGAACAAGATTTTCTGAGCACAAATTGAGTGAAACTGAGCAGTCAATTTCTTGTACAGTTTCCGTTCTGAAGTTAGAAGCACTGAAGATGTAAATTCTTTTCTCTGTTATTGAGTTTTTTTGTTGTTTTGGAATTTGAGAGCATTCAATTTCATGTTTGTTGCATCCAGAAAACCAGCTTTGTTTTTCAAGATTTAAATTTATTTTATTTTTCATCTTGCAGATCAACCCGGGCAGCAAGGCGTCAGTTGCACAGATCAGCGTTGGTGACACAGTGGAGAGCATAAATGGCCAACCAACAAACAAGCTAGACCAGAATGATGCTCAGAACCTCATACGCAGTGCAGCCTCACGACTTGAATTAGCTCTTTCAAGGTGAGTTGGTTCGTCAAGCTGTGCCCAACTTCATGGGTCTGCTCACCACAGGATTTCACGCTTATGATCACCATTCTGTGCTGACCCTGCTAGCAGAAAAATTCTGCGCTAACCCTGTACGCACAGAATCCTAGTTCCAACATTTGCAAACATAAAAAGAAACTACATGTACCACTGGACTGTTAGTGAATGACAGTCTAAAGCATCCTTTGAAATGGCACCTGGTGTGCTGTCATTTTCAAGAAAAGTGGTTTTTTTGTATCAATTTCCAATGCTGGTCGGCCGACCTGCATTGAAAAAAACTTTTTTTTTTCAAATACTGCCCCCAATTTACCATATTTAGTTAGTCCGCATTTTGTTTGCAATTGATTACACACCTATGAACGGTTACAAGCCGGCTAGACTGGTTCCCTGTCCTTACAATTCCCTGACGTCTATAAATTGCTCCGTTTCATCTTAAGTGCGGTCAGGGAACCAGACTACAGGAACACAATTGTTTTTCTTGGTTTTTTCTAGCATCTACGACCACAAAACTTCAAACAAGTCAGTGTAACAATATTTGCTATAAAATACTAACCCCCCAAATCCATCCATTTCTGAAAATTACAGCAAAAGCAAATGTTGTATATTCCCTTTAATATTGTATAGGCTTTAAACTAAAGCACAGACTATAGAAATGAATCATTAGGGTCCTACATGTATATTTGAACAACTAAAAAGACAAAAATAACAACGTGACAAACATCATATATGTACAGTATATGTACGTAGGATGAATAAAGTAAAGCTGTGAACAATGCAATAATGAATCAATTAACCTTCAATTAATCATTCAATCAATCTTCCAGCTAATCAATATTGTGAAACATGCGACTAATTGTTTTACGTTCTGATTTGTTTACAGACCACCTCCGTTAAATGGTCCAGTAATCAACAATAACAACAACAACATGTCAGCGCAGACTAGTTCCAGTGTTTCAGGTGAGATGCAGGAAGATGACTGTATGTCATCCTGAAAACATATATTGATACAGATATGTTTTTATTCTGTAGAGTTTCCGTCCTCTAATGACTTGTTTTTTTAAGTTCGTCCATAATTCTGCATAAATATGTTTTCCTGTTATTTTATAGAAGGCCATTCAGGGAACCCAAGTTAGTAACATTGTTCTCTTTATGTTGTCATGTTGTTTCACTTCATTTTTACACACTTGTATGTATTTTAATGTATTCCATATATTCTTAGTAAAATTCTGACAAATAAAACTCTGTTTACATACTTATGTACATGTACATAAAAGTTTATTCAAAAAATTTGGCCATAATTTAGTAGAAATATTCAGAACCACAAGTGTATTGTTCATTGTGTTTGTTCTTTATTTCATACTAATGAAACCATTTGAGTTTTTATTTGCAGATCAAACCAGATTATCCAGTCTGTTTCAGGTGACTTTCTTTTTGTGGAACCCTTTCTCGCATGAATAGAAAGCTAGGTGCAAAGCAGGAATTGGGAAATGTTTTTTTTTTTTAACTCCAAAGCTACTTGTAGGCACTAACTTAATAGTTTCCAAACAGGCCAGCAGAACGTTAGCAACTTTGCGGTCGATGACGAGACCGTGTCGGTGGATGGTGTCACCTTCCACGGCTTCTCCCCTAGCAACGTGTCGGTAACCCGCACCACTACGACAAAGGTCACAAAGACCACGCGCAGCCGGTCCCCGTCTCCCGTCCGTGGACGGAGTAGCTCATCCGAGAATCTTACGGTGTATCCCGGCAAGCAGGTTACGATGCGCTACGACTCGGAGCCCGAGGGCGACGCTCCGCCGGTGAAGTTCATGTCAGGGGTCATTTGGACACCACCGGGGAGCAAAGGTCAGTCGGCATGACCTCTGCATGACCTTGGACTTTTTGAATTGGCATAATGCCAAAATTATTGCCCCAAAAACAGCAGCTGTTGTAAAGTCAAATCAGATTATATCTTTTTATCAACTATATTTGTATTTTAACTCAAATTTGAAATAAAACTAGAATGAAAATTTTCTAGAATGTATGCATTCATGTTAGTTTATTAATCATAAAGTCCATTATTTCAAACATTTTTTTTTTCAAACTAATTGGATGTTTCAATTACATGTCCGAGTTTTTTCTATGCTCAAAATAAGCTAAGCCATTTTAATCTTGAATGAAGTGGCTATTAATATTCAAATTGTATTCAAATTAATTCATTGCATTCATTTGTCATCTCTCATCCTTCCCCTCATTTGCATATATTACAGGGATGCTTCATCCTCATTCTATTGTGATCCCTGCCCGCTCAAATGGTACGGTCCAGGGCAAAAAAGCATGACATGGACATTCTGTGTTAGATCAAGTGAAATATTTACAAGTTTTGCACAATTTGGCTGGTTTGCAAGCCATAAATTTTGACATGAATTGGCATGATTTGCTGAATTGTTTTCATTTTTTTCTCTTGGTTTTAACTTTGACCTATGATTCTGTTTTCTTTCATAACATTTTTCCCTTTTTTGTTTGCCTTTTTTGTTCCCACCATCCAAAACCATCATGATTCTTTCCCAAACATAATCCCTTTCTAACTTTTCCTTTCAACTACCGATATTTTGCCTGGATCCGCCTTTTCACTTCATCCTTGATCTTAACCTTTGTTTCCATTCTGCTCACTCTCGATCCGACCTATACTGACTATGACCCTTGAACTATGACCTCTGAACCTCCTGTAGTGAGGAACACTGATTCCGATTACTGCACTTGCGATGAAACTGCCCCTTCCCCCATCCCGACCCGCACTACCCCTGGTCACTCCACCAAAGAGTGCTCGCATATCACGTCGCGTCCGCCGCGGCCACGGGAACCAGCGACACAGCGACGGGAACCAGGCAAACCAAAGCGGCACCGAAGCAGCTTTTTCATACGACCCAGGTCACGAAGCAGTGACGGTATTTTCATTTGTCTATTTATTTTTGAAATATTTTTTGGGTGGAACTCTCTTGAAATCCTTTACAATAAATAAGGATTTTTCTTCCCAAAAAAGTCTAAAAGTCTTTGAGATTGACGTGCAACTCAAACGAAAAGCTTGATAAAAGTAATGAACATGAACGTATAGTACATGTATTTTATAAACATATTCCGTACATGGACAGTATTGAAAAACAACATTAGCCAAACTATCAAGGGACATTTTTCGCCCCACTCAGTAAGTGCTTGAGGATTCCATTGGGAGACATGGGAAGAACTTTGATTGAACACGGATCAATTTTCAGCAAGATGGAAGAGTCCCTGGTGGGTCCGCCCTGGGTTACATGAATGCGACCTTTGACCTTTATCAAATCCAAGAAACAACCGTAGAAACGCAAGGATTTATCCCCTAATGTGTGCCAGTAGGCCATGTGTGGCAGACTGGCACAGTTTCTGTTATTGATGCATGCTGTTTGGGTTTTATGTTTCACGGCCATGAGCATGCTGCTGTTGTCATGGTAACCCGTGTTCCAATTTTATTTTTGGATCGGATTTTGTTTGCCACCCTTGATTTTTCACCATTCCTGAATAATTTTTATAATGAAACATTCAGTTCCTGTTTTTAATGAAATAATTGTTTTGTCAAATATGAAAGGTAATCTTTTCTTGGTAAAAACTGTAGACTTCAAATGTGAGTTTGTTGTTAAGAAATACAAAAAAAGATTTAGCAAATGTTCTGTTGGAGCAAAACTTGTTTACCCATGTGTGTGTGAATTCGTTAAAAAAATGGGACACATTTTTTTTCTTTTTCAAGCAATGAGATAATTGTTATTTATACATGAAACTCAATCACACAGCATTTTTTTTTTTAGATCTACATGTACGATCATGACCATAGTACATGTACATGTACATGTACATGTAAAACCCCGTCTGCATTCATGGAATTCATAACATGACTTCTGGGTGTGTAAACGCATTATGGGAAGAATATTTTTATATTTATATCACAGGAAAATGAAAGACAAAAACAAGCTGTCAAATTTTTCTTTTCTTTCCATTTGAACTACCAGAGAGTAATTAAAAAAGGTATTAAAATTATTTAGCATAAATTTCTGTTATCTTGGATTGCTAGGAATACCATAGGCTAAAACGTGTACATTTGTTTTTAGCAAAATTCTGAATATTGACAAAGTATTTTGATGCTTTTTCTTTCTTTGCTGTGATTCTGTCCGTTTGAGGATTAACATTTTTCCCCAGGTGCTCATTTATTTAATGATTATTCGTTCACAGCTTCCAGAAAAGCAGCAACGCCATGGAAACCAGTGAATTTCCAGCCCCGGTCCAAGGACGACACGGCCAAATATGCCTTTTCTTCGCCCCCTGTCCCTCCCCCTCCCCCTGAGTCAGATACTGAGGATGTGCCCCCTGTGGTTCCCCCAAAGCCCAAGGTGGTCAAACGCAAGCTGTATCTGTCGGCCAATCAACCCCGCCCATCACCTGGTAATTTGCATAATTGTGAATGGGACTCTCAGATTAACCTCTAATTTGCATGTTTCAGGTCCTGGCAGCCAATGAGTGACTTGACTTTATACCCATGAGGTCTCATTTGCATATGTTTTTTTCAATGGGACTTTAAAGTCCAGATTAAATTCTAATTTGCATGTTTCAGGTCTAGGTGGCCAATGAGAGAGCCTGTCTTGAGGATTCATTTGCATGGATACTGTGCCCTGCTTGATGATTGGACACAAGTTTATATGATTGTCCAATCAGTGGCAAGCATGATGACAAGTTTCTTTGCATGGTGCTTGTTTGAATGTCCTGCAACTTTCGATTGCACCTTGTGCTGATTGTATCACCTTTTGTATTTTGCAGTATTTTACATTTTACTATTTGAAAGTTTATTGCAATGTGCATGTATGTGTTACTTAATTTGTTTCCTCCACAGTTCTGTTTGTTTATGTACATGTATGTACATCCATAATCCCTACGATTTTTGTTCTCCAGAGACTTTTAATACATGTACATGTACGGTAGTTCTTGTAAATATATGCAACATTTCTAAATTGGATTTGGACATGCACCAAATATTGTCCCTTGTACTGTACATGCAAATGAAAAACATACAAAGTAATTTACTAATATTGACAGTGATTTAGTATCATAAATTTTATAGCAAGTTGCACTTTCTCAAACCCGCTTATAAGTTATATTACGACACTGTAGGCCATGGTACGTGTACTTCTACATTACTATAATGTACATATCTTTCATATGTAACCATATTGAACTCGATCATAATTTATGAGCGCAAATAATTTGTAAGCCTTTTAGAATTCGTCCCTCCCAAAATGTTTAAGTGCTTTTGAAAGCATTGGTCGGGACTGATTTAGGACACGTATATACATTTTCCCCATCTGAACAAGCAGCAATTTCGTCCTTGGGCATTCGTTCTAATTAAATTTCTCTTCCTCTTATTGACAGACGCACGCATGCCAAACATTTTCCTGACTTGTAAACCTTTTTGGCATGTACCAGTGCGAAGGATAATTCTATGATTTTTACATGTTACATGTACATTCCAAGTGTGTAATTTATTGCATTTGGAGTGTCTTTTATTTACGTCTTTTATTTACACCTACCAATGGCCTTTGCTAAGAAGGCATTGGCGACCAGTAACCTATGGCCTTCATATGGTTATGTAGTATTTCACTGGTAGTCGTCAACTGTTAGTAGTCTGTGTACATTTCATGCACTTTGAATTCAGGGAACAAATTTCATTCATCTATTGATGGAACAGGCCTGATTAGCTTCATATTGTAAATGAGATTAACAGCTGTTAATTTTGGAGATCATATTTTCAAATGTCAAGAAGATGCCCATCTGCATCAAGTGGAAGGAAAACAAGAAGGCACTGCAATTTACCACAAAGCTTGAAACGTTCATGCTTAGTGTCAAAGCTGTTTATTACAAATTGCCTTTTTCATCACCTGCTGCTGAAAAATGATGGTTCACACAGAGGGGGAAAAACGTACATTTAAAGTGAAGTTACAATATTGTTATATTGTATAATTATTCATGTAGATAGCACATGCTATTTACTGCCGAGGAACATTTTGGAAATGTCTGATTTTGAGAATTGTTTTCTTGTTTCACTTGCAACTCTCTACAAAATGTCTCCCAGAAAAATTGAAACAAACGTATTTTCCTATTTTAGGAAATATATACAAATTTTGGCAGCGACATTATTTTCACTAGCCATCTGAGCAACCTAAAAGGATTTGTTACATGCACAGTTCAACCTTTTATAAAATTTAATGGTGTTTGAGTTACCATGGTTACTGTTGATGAGCCCTTACACATACTGCACTTTTGAACAATTATTCATATTCTTTATTTGCAAGTTGTGAACACAGTGACATGTGTATGTTTGTTTGTTTGTTTGTTTGCATCATGTTGAATGTTGTTCCATGTTTTCCCCCTGATTATGCAGTCTGTTATTTTTTTTCCCTCTTTTTGCCTGCCTCTTGTCCACTGCATGCAGAAATCCTTATAAAGCCTGTGACCAATGGTCGTGTGCGTAAGACGTCGCGAGGGGCTGAGATGTTCCATAAGCGGCAGACCCAGCAGGGTTTAGCCAAAGACACAGGTATTAATCGTACACACCACACCGTCTTGTGCATGTCAGCACTTGCAATTAACACAGATTAACACATCTAACCAGTTAGGAGGAGAAGTAGATCTCAGATGTAACAAGTTCATACTGTCGCTACTGCGTTACATTTTAAATAGGGGACAAATTTTCTTCTTCATTGTCGACTTGAACATTTCACTCATATTGCATGTACCTCATGGTACAAGATCTTTCTGGAGATATCTTGTAGGAATCTGTATATTTATAAAGTTAAGAAGTATATCAAGTATGTTAAAAGCATTCTGAAGCCCTGCAAATAAAACCAAATACATGTATTACCCAGAATTTCCATCAAGGAAAGCTTGTTTTATCTGCCAAATAATTGCTGCCTTTTTGGTTTGGGCCACTTGATACGTTTTTGGCAAAGTTCGTGGTAGAATATTGACTTTTTCCCCCTTTTTGTGAGTGAATAGGATTTGCAGCACCAATAACCTGTTAATACTGATTGAAACAAAAAAGGTTTAAATTATATGTTTCACTTGTGTACATGTACTCACTTTTTGTCTGTTTTTTATTCCACCAGGTCACATTTCAATTAACCATGGACCATTTACACATTAACCTTTAAGTAGATGTATCAAGCTAACCAGTTTGAATTAAAGTTGTACAAGGTTGCCTTTTTACTGTAAAATTGCATTTTCTTCCTTTTTGTCATTTGTATTGTCTGTCTACATGTATCTTGTAAACAGCTGCATTTAGCAAGTAGTTGACTCGTTGGTATTTGGGTCTCCTGTACACAGTTTCAGATCCTCAAACATTACTCATGAAAACAGATTTTCCTGTCTGAAAAATCCAAAGTTACTTGTACAGTGTACACCTGTTTCAACCTCACCAAACATCAGTGCAGTCCAGTGCTTTGTGTACATACTTGTGCATTTGTTTACTAATAGTATTATATGATATAATGTTTGTGGTCTGAATTAATAACCCATTTTGTAGTACATGTGCCTTTAATCCTTTCTCACAAAGCAGATGCTGTTGTCATAGCAACACTGAAACCATCATTCTCATGTAACCATAACAACCATAGTTTCACCATATGTGCAGTATCTTGTGATACTTTATGATGAGTAGATTATACTTCCGAGTAACGGAGTGCATGTCCACAAAGTATTAATGAGATTGGAACACGCTTTGGTTGTTCATTTGTTTGCATTTGACATGTTTTCCTCAAAACTAATAACTGAAGTTAACAAACATCTGTAGTTTTGACTTAACCCCTGCATGTGTTAAAGGTACTATTACAACATTTGCTTTTACTGTAAATTTCAGCAATGGATGAATTAGGCGGTTAGTATTTTATATGTCGGCTGACCATTGTTGGAAATTGATACAAAAAGTCAATTTTTCTTGAAAATGACAGCACACCAGGTGCCATGATTTCACAGGATGCTTGAGACTATTATTCACTTACAGTCAAGTAAGGTATTTCATAAAAGTTTGTGAATTTTTTTTTTTATGATGTTTGCAAATGTTGTATATTACCTTTAAGCTACTACAGGGTTTTGTTTCTGTTCCCATTTTCCTAACTCAAATGGGCATTGTTAGACAGCTAGTTTTACCATAAAATAGATCTGTTGTTGCGTGCCTCTAATTAACTAAATATCATGTGAAACTATTCAAGAATCTCATGTTTTAAAACCATAACTATGTCCATAACATGTAAATATATGTATTGAAATATTTCAGGCATTCTGGCAAAATGCGATGGGCAGAGATCGAAATGAAGATTTGCCAGGATTAGGAAAGAGAGCATAATTCTCCTTACAATGCTATTTGCTGAAATTCAATCTGACATTCCCTTGACAAGTTATGGTTGTTTTAAGTTCCCATTTATCAACATGTCATATGCTCGGGGAAAAAAAGGCTTCTACAGTTTCGACTTTTGTAGTTGTGTAAATGAAAGGCCAATTGTTTTTTCGTAACACTTTTATTGCACAGTTTTATACCATTTCTTTATAATATGTGTAGTAGACATATTTTAATCTTTAAAAAGATTACAAATATCAATAAATCTTGAAATTGAAAAAAAATCACCCCAATTTTTTTTTTTTAAAACATATTTTCTACTACGGCCTGTGCCCAATTCCGTCTCATTTTGCCTGAATGCCTCACATAAACTATGGCATCATTAGGTTTAACTGCACATGGCGTTTGACTCATCATTGCATCTGGCAGTGTGTCAAGTATGTCCTATGCCATGTGTCCTTACTTGAGGAGATTGCTATGTCTTCTGATAATGTTGGAGGAAACTGTCAGGAACCCTAATTCACCTTCTGCCAGGACAAGATTTGAACCTAGGTGTCATCTCAACTTCCAGAAACTCGTTTCATATACGAGTTCCTGTGAAGTTTTCTAAATTCATTGAATAACTTTCTTCTTTTTTTCTTACAGATTCTCCAGAGGAGCCTCCACCGCCTCGGATGTTGGCCACCAACAACAACGATTACCCATCTTCCCAGTACCCTACCTCTCCCGAGCAAAGCTACAACCCAATCCAGTTCTCAATGTCGCCCAGTACCCAATCAGCACCTTACGCCCAGTCGCCCCCGAAACAGGATGGGTACCACCAGCCAGTCCGGCCTCAAAGAGCCGACTCGAGCCCTAGTCACAACCCGCATTATGTGTATGATTCGTCGGGCGACTCTTGGCCTGCGCCACCTCCGCCCGTTGCGTCTCCCACTTCCAGCCAGCCGCTGCACGTCGAAGTGAGCCCGGGGCCTGGGATGTCACCGCCTAAACCAGGTACTGTGAATACATTGAACACAATATTCATGTTGTTGAAGGGGAGAGTTGGGTTTCGGAAAATGGTAATTACCCCATCTTCCGCATAAGTGACCGTTGTCCAACCCACCTGTGCATATACATGTATGTGGCTTTGGTATTCACTTCCTGCCTGATTCTATGGGGTTCATCTCAAAAATAAGTAGATGCAAGTTTTTGACTTCTCACTGGCACTCCATGAATCTAGCCAGTCAATAAAAAGATAACTCAGTTAGTAGCGCTGGTCTGATGTTTGGACATCTCGGGTACAAATCCTGCTCTAATCAATTTCCTTTTCAACCTTTTATTGGCAAAATGACCCTTGAAATCACCACTTCTCAAGCCCGGTTCATACTTTATGCGAATGCGAAGCAAATTTGACGTCATGAAATGTTCGCTGCGAAATTCGCCCGAGTTGAAATATGTTCAACTTTTACGAATTCGCAGCACGAATACTTGCCATGACGTCACAAATTCACTTTCGCTTTCGCGCAGAGTATGAACCGGGCTTTAGGTGACACCTCACTCTGAAGCCTTTAAATGCCTTTCTTAATTTGGAAGTGGATGCATAATTTGAAAATCCGATTGGTAGACGAAGCACTGAGAACTACCTGCACCACAGTTACTTGTAATGGCTTCTAATTATGGATGTTGGATCCATTTATAGACCAATCCAAGCACGCTATCACGAAGGCCCCCTTCAATGGCGAACGCATTGTGCTAGCTATTGTTCAGATATTCCGTCAAGGGCAGTTGCTATTATCTTGAGTGTACGGTGATTTGTGCTAGGATTAGTTTATACCTTACTGTTATTATCATCTTAGCTGCCTGGTCACCTCGGCAGTCCAACCCCTCATCGTACCAGCCCATTGACAACAAGAGTCCAGCTGCCTGGAGCCCTGCTTCAGCCGCTCCAGTCAAAGGTTTCAAGCCAGTCAAGCTGGACCTCAACCCAAAGCCTAAACCCTGGAAGCCTCCTGGTGCATCACAGCCAGAGAAAGTCAATGTAAGTCAGCCAGTGCTCTTCACGGGCAGTGAATAGAGAGGATTTAAAAGTGTCGACGGAGCTGACGTTGCATTAGTAAAAGATTTAGTTTAAACCATTTTGAAAAAGATTATAAAGGATAAAACTTAAATCACAGCACGAAATAGGCTCATTTAAGATTTTCTGATCAAAAGCAAAACACATACTTTTTTCCAGGGATCACAACTGTCAGGAAACAGTCATGCAGCAATCTATCTGCAATTGCTGCATTTGGGAACATAACTTGGTTTACTGTCATCCAAACGAGAGCCAATTAGTTGAATTTTTCTGTATTTTGCATATTTCTCTTCAAATTTGGCTCCAGGAGCCAGCCCCGACCTCATCAAGCCAGCACCCAACCTGGCATCCACCGCCTCCCGCATCACAAGCACCCCCTCAACAACCGGTCCCGAACGGCGACCTCCACAGCCCTTACCGACCTCCTGAGAGACAGCCCTCCAGCGAGGGCCCGAGCAGCCCCTACCGGCCGGCTGATCACGATCAGGACCGACAGAGGTACAACCCTGCATACCAGCAGCAACCACGGCAGCAGGGTTGGCCCAGCGAACCCCGTAGTCCTCAAGAAACTCGGAAGCCGGAGTTCCGACAAGTTCCTGACGGTTATAGCAGTGGTCTTCCTCGTCCAGTCAGTCCAACAGTGACACTACTGAGAAATCAGAGAGGTAGGGTCTGCTTTCATGCAACGATTGCCAATTTGTTTCTTCTTGTCACTTGTGTGAAATTGCATCCAGCACATTGTGTGGCAAAAATGAGAATTTCATTACATGAGCTTGCTGCTTTTTGAATTGTTTATTTTGAACTGTCATGTTCGAGTAAGAATTAGAAAACACAAACTGCAGATGCTATGGCTGCAAAAGTTGCTTGCGTGTGACACTTTATGTTGCAAAATTTGTTCATCGGGCGAATTCACATCTGAACTTGAGGTTGTTATGCATTTGTTGAAAGTTATTTGTGTGGATGAAAGCTACAACATAAAGAGTACAGTAACTCATTCATTAAAGAATGACCTTGTGAACTTTAACTCTTAATTTTCATTCGTGTTCTCTGTCCTCTTTTTCTGTATTTCCCCCACAATTCTTGCATCTTTCTGTTATAGGAGTAGGTACACAAACAAGAAGAGATTGAATTTGCTAGGAATAATTTTACATGCTAACCCATCTTTTTAAAAAAACAATGTAGCCCTTTGTAGACCATTTTTCCTGTTCAGACATCTTTCCCCTGTTCAGAAATCTCTTCCAATCTAAAAGCCCACTTCCTTTTTGGTTGTTCTTGAATAGCTTAAAACATTTTTCCATTGGTTTTTTACCCATTTGATTGTACAGACTTCCCACTAAAAATGTGTATCTACGCTTAAGTGTATAATTTAGACCAGAAGTTTGTCACATTTTTTGACTCGGGTCTCAATGGATCAGGGAAAAACATGCAGGGAAGTTGAGCTGCCACCATTAAAACTGCCGTAAAGCTGAAATCATAAATACCAACCCTTTCCCTTCTCCATCAATCACCATTTATGGCCGATGAAATGGAAAATTGGACTTTGAACAGCACTCCCAATGACTGTTAATGGAGGCCTTTGCACTGTATCATGACCCTGTCACATATGGTTTGAATCAGATAGGGGACATAATTGTGTAGACAGATGTACCAATATTAACGTACAATGTAGGGCGCTTAATATAGAAAGGGGAATGTTGTTGTTCGAATATTTTAAGTGTTTGACCTGAAATAGGATCAGAAACACAGATGCATATATTTTATCATATGTGTACATACATGTATTTTACATGTATACACCCAGAGGACAGACAAACAAAGGGAGAACAACAGATTCTTTGTTGTCCTTAAGAGTTCATCTTTTGTTAAAAACAATCCTGGATTGTGAGTTTGTGTGCTTAGTCCATGGGATAGTAAAGGGAAACACAAAGCCTTGTCCTCGAGAGTTATGCAACGCAAATTAAAGAAAAGAGTAACTAAACACACTTGTACTAGTTGTAGAATTTACTGTTTCATATTGGTTAGTATTGACAGGTCCATGTAGATAAACATCGGTGATCATTCCTGTTTGTTTCAGTCTCACACCCAGCTGTAGTTTGCTCGTAGGGGAATTCCCACTTTTAGATTTGTTTGCATATTGGGAAATCAACATCTGTACCAGCTGCCTCTGCACACATACCAGGGAATCTATTTGTATGTTTGTTCAATTGAATAAATACATACTATAGAGGCCATTTAAACTCACGCGTAGGTTGGAAACGAAATCTGCTGAAAAAGTGAATCCCCCCCTCCCCCCCGATTCATTTAATTGTTGGCAAGAATTGTCGACCCAAATCTCCTTTTGACTGATGGAATACTACTAATTTTGGTTTTTGAAATTTGTTGAAAGGAATTTGAAATTGGAAAGCTCTAAATTGCCCACATGTATTTCTAAGCATCACAATATGTTGATGAGAAAGTTCAACTACTTTCAAGATTCCAACTATTTCTCAGTCCCTTATAGTAGGGGCTCTCTCATTGGCCAATCATAGAGTGTGCTCTTTTTAACTCATTTTATCCACCAATCATGGCTGCTCATAGAAAGGGAGAAGGACCACCGGAGCCACGCCGATTACCTCCCGCCAGATAGCTCACTCATGCCGCCATCTTTAGTGGCCAAAGCGCCCTCTGGTGTGGCAAAACAGCCAGTCGCTGTGGCCAAACCTTTGCATGCTGGCACGTATATGCCAGTCATTACTGGTGAGCAGAAATCACAAACTAACGCATTGTTCACCTTTCAACCTTTCTGTTTCCACCCCATTTTGAATTATTTTTGTTGCAATGTTGCTTTGCATTCTCCAATATGCTTTTCAGTTGGCATGCAATGTTCACCCTTTGTTTGTGAATTGCTTATTGTTGCTACAGAAATTCATTTGGCATGCATATTTTTGCATAATTTTTATTTCTTTTAATTTTTTTGGCATAATTTTAATGATATGCACAGAAACATAACATATTCATTTGTTCATTGTTTTAAATTGAGAAGATTTGACTCAACTCGAGTCACAATTTTTTGGCTACTCGACTCCACTCCCAATGGGTAACTGACTCGACTCGATGTGAGTCACTGCAAGCAAATGACTCGACTCAAGTCGAAGGCGATTAACACTCAAGTCCCAAAAATGTGCGAAAATGTATTTGCATTGACTTACTGCAGTTAGGTTCGCGTACATCACGTTGCTGTCAAGTTGTGGCTGGTTATCACGTACAAATATACAAGTATTACGGGCTACCACCTCGTGGTTTAATAATGTAGCGCAAAACCTACTATTCTGGAACCAGACTTTTAATGCATTTCACAATTCTTGGTTTCATCATCGGCTTCAGGTGATTTCTTATTGCCCTTGATGGAACTCCAGCTAAATTTATGTCCTGCTTTAAAAAAAATAATAAGATAGATTTTGATATAATCAGAAAAGTTTCGTATGTTGCAATTGGTTTTGACGTTAGCGTAAAAATTACTCCAGACCTGAAGCCAACCAGAGATGAAATCGCAAAGTCGCACATCTTGTTAACTGTTACATAGATCTTTGGTAGAAACCTCCAGCAGAAGCTGTCTATAGGGTACCAGGCAGCATATTTTAAGTCTTTGGATCTGCATAATAAAGTGGTGCCTTGTGTTCTTTCTTGCATTCTGTAATTTATTAGGTGGTGTTCAAATAGAAGTGACTCGAATTGACTCGATTCAACTCAACTTGACTCGACTCGACTACACACTATGACTCGACTCGACCTTTTTGACCTAGAGTCACTTCCTTAAAGTGACTAAACTCAATTTGAGTCACAAAATTCAGTGAATCGTTTTAACTTGGGGGGATTCTTTATCACTTCATTGCTACTAAAAATGTCATCATTTTATTTGCTTTTATGCGTATGCACAATTCACACATTTTTATTTTAGCTGAGCTTCGTTTGATTGTGATCATTTATTGACCGCTTTTTCTTCAGGATACAAAAGCCCTGCATTCATTGAGATCAATTTGTGAATTCAGTTTCTTGTGTAGTCCGCTTCTGTTAAAGATGTCATCGTGTGTATTAAAGTGATGTGCAATCAGTCTGCTAAAAGATCACTGTTCAGGTGCAGTTTAATGAACTAATTGTAAAATAAAAAGCTGAAGAGGAAAGCAGCACATGCACTAAACGTTAAATCGGTCGGTGTCTAAACCTGCAATAGCTTTGCAAAGTATAAAACGAGTTTCCTGATGCATTTCCTCAGTAATAAATATATAGAGAAGGTCTTGTCACTAAAATCAGAGTGCTTTTGGTGGTTTAATTCCCTTCCTCCTTAATCCTTGTGCTCATTTTGCATCTCAAAATATTTTTTCTTAATACCTAATCGCCGAATCTGCTCGCATATCATAGACCCTTGTTGTGCAAGGGGATATTGCATAGACTAGTCAAATATTGGCATTTACCAAAAAAAGTGTACTGCATTGGTCTTTACCTGTGCGACCTTTTAGGAAAGTATGATGGGTGAAGGGGTTTTTGCTCTGCTACCCTGTGGCTGTGTCTGATTTTTCCTTCCAACGTCTTGTGACCTTTGACCCAGGCAACACCTTGTGACCCTTGACCCAGGCAACACCTTGCGAATCAGCCGTGCAGCCACCTCCTCTCCATGAAGCAACCTTTCTACAACCTTTGTGCAAAATTTGCGTTCAATCTAAAATAACTCCTAAAAACACATAATTTATAAGGATTTTGTGTTCACAAAATTAATTTTCAGTTTCTCACAAGGCAGTTGTATTTTAACAAGTTACAAGACTGGATTCACATTTATGATAATCTTCACATGCTTAAGTTTTAAAAAGGTCTCATTTGAAAATTGACTCACCTTCTGACTTCCTCTTCATTTGTTTCTTGTGAACACAACCTCACAAGCTTCACTTTTGCAAATTCAGGAACATGTTCTGTTATTCATGTGCATTTCACAAAATCAGTGTACATGTACATGCACTTTATTAACTTTGTTTAAAGAAACATTACTGTGATAAACTCTCAGCAAATACTTGAATGTCACCCTGTGTACAGATCTGTTTCCTCATTTATATGACACAAAACAGGATGAAAGGCCAGTGACATTACCAATATTTTTATATGGTGGTTATATTTTGTTTGCCATTACTTAGTGTCTTACGGTGATAACCAAAAAAATGAGACCATTTTTGTTTCATTTACGTTGCTTGAATTCCACAGATCCCAATGATCTCCCGGAAGGCGCAGTTTTCCAGAAGCAGACAATAGATGGCGACGTCATCCACACGGACACGTACTACCCAGTCAAGACGAGGGAAGTGACCAAGAAGACAGTGCACAAGGAGGCACCTCAATACGAGGGCATCGGTCCCCAGGATGAGACGGGTCTGCCCATTGGATTGAGAGCGGTAGGGTCAGCAGAAAAACAATCCATCAATAGACCCCTTTGCATAGAGTGTGCCCAATGAGGACAGGCCTTTGTTCCTCTTTGCCTTCTGTGAGGGCGCTCTGTGCACAGGGTCTATTAGAATTCTTTTAGTTTACAAATACAACATATTTTAAGAGGACAATGTGCAAATTTACTGCTCCTTAGGTGTTGATGATTTGACTAACTCTTTGACTACGTGTAACTTCTTCCAAAGGCAATGGTGCATGAAAGCACAAGATGAAGTTTGGATTGAGCTTGTTCAAAACAGTAACATCTGGCATAAGAAAAATGTGGCTTCCAGGCACCAAATACACTTTTCTCTCGAGTATTATTATTATTATTATTATTAATCATTTCTGGTAATGAAACCAAGGATTCCTCAAAAGCGCCCTAGGCACTGTAGCTCGCAAGCCTGAAGAAACCTGTGGAGAGAAGACAATGAGAAGAAGTTACAGTTTTAGAGGTGGGAGGAAAAGCCCAGAAGAATTATTCTGGGGAAAACCCACGGAATCAGGCAGGGACTGAAAACCCAATCCACATATTGGCCCAGGCGGGATTCGAACCCGGGTCACAGCGGTGGAAGGCGAGGAAAGTACCGCTAGGCCAACCTGACTCCCCTATACTCCCCTATTATGTATATGTACCCGCATTTTCATCATTGAGCTTCTTGTTAAGCACGGAATCCATCGATCAATCATTCTTTCATTCTAAGTGCTGCAAGGAATATCTTGCTGTTTCGGAAGACATCGGTTTTAGCCTTAGCTTGGTCAATTTTATTGCTGCCTTTGTAACATGTATACATACTGGTATTTGTCTTTGCAGAATGTCAAAGAAGAGAACAGACACGACTGGTACAAGGAGATGTTCAAGACCATCCACAAGCAGGATAGGCCAGAGGGTAAGGTCAGATGTCAAAGGTCATTGAAGCAAAGGTCACAACAGGGGTCCTGCAATATCTTACCTGTAGAACTGAAAAATGTTCGGCAGTGAAGCTCTGTTTAAAAGCCTGGCTGTTGTAGCAGATTTCAAGGTCTTTATAGATTTGGTTTTTGTTCAGAGAATTTGTTTTCACTAGAATGGGTTGTGGTGTCTGCTTTTCAAGTGTATGTGTATTGTATATTTATTTTTTGTATATTTCTGTTATCACATTGAAAGAAGTATTTTGCTAATAATTTGAAAGACAAATAGATATACCGCTCATATAACTGATTGCTGTTCAACACGAATGTAACCATGAATAAACTAACACCATTTGGATGATAAGAGCCTTGTTCACTCCTAGAAAGTAGAATAATCTTGATGATTCATGTCGAGTGCAACTTTATTTTGAAAAGTACCATTTCCCAATTTTTAGACAGTTTGCATTTTTGAATAACAAGCATTTTGCTAAAGATAATAAGTCGACTCTCGTTAATACAAACTCTTGTTAATACATGCCGTGTTAATACAAATGCTGGCCATAGTGAGCATAAAGCCTGGATCCCAACTGTGCATTTATGTGCACAATGAATCGGACCAGCACTCCTCTTAATAGGGCTTGCTCAATGACGGCCATCTCTGTAGGAGAACCGCAACTGCGTATTTTACGCAATCAAGCACGCATTGCACAGTGTTGAAAATGTTCCAAACACGCGGGCTTGTTGCTCGAAATATGACGCAGCCGATGCGCGTTATGCAAGTTGACGCTCAAAATACCGATGCACGTGGATGGTCTGTAGGAAATGACCTCATTTGAACGAGACCTATACAAAATTCAGTTATGACAAAAATTTTGGCTTTTGAGTTTGTATCAACGTGAGTCGACGTACTTTACAATGCATGTGCTTATTTTCATTAACACTCTTCAAACGATGCACTGTACACAGTATTAACGCTTTACTAACCCGCCATTTCTCCCCGTTGTACTTTTCTCTCCCCCAGATGAAATTGACCAAACGTACTTGGATGCCTTAATACAAGGTTACCAGCTTAGTTCTTTTGCTTTACTGGTTCCCATGCCCAATGTTATATATATCCCATTAATGGTGGTTACCAGTTACTGGTGTCCGGTGTACTAAGTGTGCACTTGATGTGGCATACATTAATTCCTTGTGAGGGTTACCAGTTTTTAGTGTGGTGCTGGCTGTTGGTGATAACAGTTTTGGACCTTGGACTGTCGTGGTATCAGACCTGTTGCAGTACCTTGGGTATAACAAATCTGGGTAGTGATGACCCCCCATTTGAATGCATGGTTTGTGAACAATATTCAAGTAATGTTCACTATAACTGTTCATTTCTGACAGTTGTTGCTTGTACGTGACACCTCATTGCAGTGCATATGACTCATTTCAAATCCCAAGATGACAAGGGAAACTTCAACACAAGAACCATTGAAGCCACAAGGGTCATATTAGTCATGGGTGGAGAGAAACAATTGAGCAAAGCTTAAAAAGCACTTTCAAATACCGAAAATTAAAAAAACAAATACTAAAATCTACAACACATCAACCAAATATTGGTTGAAATACTGCTCGTTCTAACATGGCACTCCGTGACCTTTCCTAACAACTTAACCCTACTCTCCTAACTCCAATTAACAACAAACAAAACAACATTAGACAGACTACCTTCACAGAACTAACAACTGTCCCTACCTACAAAAAACCAGGGGGCTTAGGTTCCATACTAGAACTTCAAAATCCTGATTTCATTTTCCTCTTCCCTTACTAACCCAAACCATTAACCATTTCTCTCCGCTGATGCAGAAGCTAACACGTATGAACCCAGCTACGGTTTCCCGGATGCTGTGGATGTGAAGGACAATGGTAAATAGCGTCTTAGGAACTTTCTGTTGGTGGCCTGATTGTGTACACGATTTTAGTATCATTAGTAGTCCACATAGCTTGCTATTTAGTGGCCACTCCCTTCTAATTATGGCCTGCTATTTAGTGGTCTTATAGCTAGTGGCATGATATTTAGTGGCCTTGGCCTGCTATCTCCAGTAGCCGTAATTAACCTGATACTTCAGTAGCCTTGTCTTGCCATCTATAGTGGCTTGGCCGGTTATCTATAGTGGCTTGGCCTGCTATACATTTGTACATTGTGGCCTGCTATCATGGCTTTGTCCTGCAATATCTAGTGGCCATTTTCTGATATCTCTAAATGCCTGCTATTAAGTGCCTTGTCCCACTATCTATAGTGGCCTGCTATTTGTGGCCTTGGCCTGCTTTCTCTTGTGTCTGGTTAATAGTGGTGTTAGCCTGCCATCTCTACTGGCCTCCTAATTTCTTGCTATCTCTAGTGGCTTTTTACCTCTTATATAATGGCCCTGGCCTGCTATCTCTAGTGGCCTGCTCTTTAGTGGTCTTGGTCTGTTTCATGTTATCTAATGGCTTGCTAAATATATTTAGTGGCTTTGGCCTATTAATTGTGGCCTTTAAGGCATTGGCCTGATAGTGGCTTGGGTGTATCATGACCATTTGACATTTATTCACTAATATCTGGTCAGTCATGATTCGTCCATCATTTTAACAATCAGCATTCATTAACACCTCTCATCTGATTCTAAAATTAGTTTATAATTGTTCAATGTTGAAAAATACTAGAAATCCTCATTTCTCCTGAATTGTATTTGTACTATGTATGGTGTTCAGTATCATGTTTTAACTTAATGTTGAATTTATACTAATAAACAACAAACATAAATGATAACTTGAAATGAGTTCTTGTAAATGTGAATGGAACAAAACAGTGTTCATTTCTAAGCATGTTATGTTGATTGTGATTTACAGTATGGACAGGTGTGATATGGTTTTATATTTTTTGCATTGTTTTGTCTTTTTATTTCCGGTTTTATATTGTTGCATTCTTTTTCCTTTTTGTTTTCTGCATTTGCACGATTCCCTCGGCACGTTTTCTTTTGACCTTTGTTTTCTGCCTGCCCACCACTTGGTTCTTCGGGAACGCCAATCGTCATGTACACCTGTGTTTGTTTGCACACACACTGGCTCCCCAAACTGAATGGCACCCCTCTCAAAACTTTGCACGAGTAGATGACAGTGTGTTTGAGGAGGAAGCGCCCTCAGTTGTCCAAACTTATCCAGTCAGGAAACCAGGTGAGAGATGGGCTTATGGGTAATTTACTCAGAGCCTGTCGGATGAAAAGTTGATTATAACCAAAAACTTCATCAAAACAGGGGTGACATTTGTCGGGACTTTACCTGTTTTCAGGATTTTTTGTCAACATTTTTCCTGATTTCATGATTTTTAAAGAATCACTTTTGAATCTTGAATTCCTGAGATTTTACCTTAACGATCATTGAATAAGTTCATCTGGATTGTTTGTCACAATATTTCTGAAGGTTCTTTTTGACAAACCCAATAAAAAAATTGTGAAGATGTTACTTCACAAATTTGTTATTGGATTTGTCAAAAAGAACCTTAAAAAAAAATTACCTTAAAGATGTTTTTAACTTAAAGGTGTTTTTACCTATAGATGTTTATAGATCCCAAACCCCCAATCTCACCCCTCTAAAAAGCTGAATCTGACTCGAAACTTCCTCAGTGGTTCATTTTATGAACAGTTATCACACCCTTCCAGTCTGAACCATTCAATACCCAATTCATATGACCAGAGTGGCAAGCATGTGTATGTATTGTTTTCTTTTTATCACTTACGGCCAAACGGGTGTGAGATATGTGAGCATGCTTTTAGTTTTTATATTTTGATTTTTAGTTTCTTTTGTGTTCACCTTCACTTTGTCTATTATTTTGCACCAGTGCTACAAATCGTCACTCAAAGAATTGGGTGATTACGTTGCACATGGAGCACACTTTGTTAATTGGATAACGTGCTAGCGCTATGGACTGAGAGAAGCTGCATCGTTCATTGTGAATTACAGGTGTTATATTTTCCTAAGATTGTCATCCATTTTTTTGGTTTCCCATTGCAGACCAATGGGGTCATGATCCTACACTAGATGTGTCGCCCCCAAGATCACCGCCGCACAGGTGCAGTATTATTGAATCTCATTCATGAATGGCACAGACTCCTAAAATGATGTAATTAACTTTAACTGCTATAAACATCATAATTCACACCAAGCCTCTGTTACTTCACTTGAATGTATGTGCTGTAGGGTTTTTGCCCAGTGTTGTTTTCGGGGCTTTAGATCAGATCTCGGCAGAAAATGTTCAAGGAGTTAGGGTTCAAGAATTTAACTAGGATCTGTCGGTAGTTGTTTTAAGACTTCTGGACTACAGTGGTCATTCACTCATGAAAGCTGCAATTCATACTCAGACTAGATGGCAGATCTGGCGTTGATAGCTTAGAGCTTTCGGAACCCCTTATCAGCTTTTTGCTAATTCAAAAGTCAAAGATTAAAAGAGTTCCTAACCCTGCTTTTTATTCACCATTTTCAGGCATCATTCGCCAAACACCAGTGCCCGTAACACCATTGATCGCTACCACCAGCAGCCTCGCAGTATCATTGACTACGAGCCTGGAAGATCCTCGCTGGCTGAGAGAGAAAAATCGGTCAGTTCTTATCTAGGCTGCTCTTGTAGACTTTTGTTTTATCGACCGAAGTTGTGTGATATGTTACTCAAAATTTGGACCCAGGTTAATTTCTTTAGCTACTGCTAGAGACTTCACTCCATTAGCTCCAACGCCTGAGTTGTAATTGAGTCAGAAGTGAAACAAGCCAACACGAGTCAATCACGAGTCATCTAGTCTCATTTCAAGTCTTATTCAAACCAGCTGTGACGACGACGTTCCGCTGTTATTTGTGACCTGACGTGTGAATGACTCGCTTACAACCCCTTTTCAATGGAAGTCATTTGTCGGATTTATAATATCTTGCCCCTGGTAATAAACAAGGTAATTTCTTCTTTTTTAAATGCAGCCGACAGCTCAGTTGTACAATCCACCCATTGAACCCATATCTGCAGTGTGAGTATCTTTATATTTTTCATCCACTGAACCTTCATAACCTTGTACACATTTTTTCCTAGAGTAAATAGTCATTTTTTTATTGAAATATAACCTCTAATGACTATCAGCCAATGAAATTGTACAGAGATATAGGAGAGCTGTTATATATGTTTTGATTGACAATACCTTTCGATTTTCCTTTCCTTCGCCATTTTGTTTTTCTAGGCAAAACACAAAAAGGAGCACAACCCTGCCAAGGGATTTTGCTCAGTTCAGCCAAGTCCCGACTGAATCACCATCAGCAAGACATCTGTCCCCTAAACAAGGTAAGTCCCAAGACCCATTGCTTGGCCAAGTTACGGTTGATAATGTAACGTAGCAGTTACAGTCTACGGAAAACACAGTACACCAACCTGTGTCATCCAATTCTGTCAAAAACTAACAATTTTGAAACAAGCAGGTACATGCTACAGTTCTGCAACATCTTGAACGGTTCAAGAAATCTAACTGCGAATGAGGTACTGTTGGTCTAGCCTGGTTCTGTCTGTTGTTTGCCAGATTCCCATTTCAGTCGCTTTATACCAACAGGTACAGGCTAAGCTAGTCGTACATCTGTGACAAGAAGAAAGCCAGTAGCTTTTAACAGGTGGCAGATGTGCTCAGTGTCTTGACAAACCAGCAGACAAATGTAGATCAATATTGTCCAATGCTAATGTTGCACTTTTGTTCCAGTATACGTGGAGTGAGTCTGTACATTGGAAGAAGCTGACGATTAGAGATCAGCACAGAAACTAAAATTGTAGAGGGTGTATTCATTTTCTTTAAATATAATAATGGTGTTCCTAGCTTTTAATTTATTATGCACATTAAGAATTATACATGAAGGAAAGTAATGAGCAAAAGGCTGTGTATAAAACACTTAAGAGATATCTTTGTAATACGCACAACTCTAACACACTCCACCCATGTATTTCCAATACTTCTGGAATCAAAGGTAGATTATTCCTCAGTATGGTGAGATCTGAACACTTCAAACTAAGGGTTTGAGATTAATGGAAAAAAAAGTATTTTTGAAAAACAAAGCAAAGTTTTGTAAATAATGTTCCACAGGACGAAGTACATGCATTGTTTGTCACTGATAACATCAGCAGAGTGAAGCATAAATCATGCACGTCAGACTGCTAACGCTAACAGTTCATGTAATTCTAGTTTGAATTGTTCCATCTGAGTTCAATCTTGTTACTGCTGTGCCGTTTGTGTGATTGCAGTTTACATCTTAACGTAGTAAATAGCTTGCAGTTTGTGCATCAGTAAATTTTAATAAATTAATTGAATGACATCACTTCTCTGGTTAGAAAGCTATATTGATGATTACAAGATAGAGAAGATTAAGTTTGTTGGTTCAGCACTTGCATCCCAAAAGAATGACCTCTTTAATGTAAACCTCATGTTTTGATTAAACCTCAAACAGTAGGCTTTTGAATTAAATTTCATTGTCTGTTTAGAAGCCTCAGAATTTTCACTAACTTTGTTTTCATTTTCCATCTTTCCTTTGTTCTTTCACAACAGGCACAATCCCAAGCATTTTCTCTACTAATCCTAACCCGAGTAATCAGACTGCATCGGACGATTCCCCTGATTCTGTTAATTTCTCATGTGAAACAGATTGTCTATTAACTCAATGCATGATTCCCCTAGCAACCGTCCGCCATTTGGAATTCCAACCCTTGGATTATGGTGCTGATTATGTCTCTCTCAATGACAAAAAAGACCACATTTTGCAGATGGAAACTGCACAAATTTCCTGTTCCAAAAAGATTTACCATCACAAAATCTCTGACACAGAGGAGCACAGTGCAAAAAGTCCCAACCATTTAACAGAATCACACCGAAATCATGAAGATGTCGTTTCCTTAACATATCTTTGTCACGAATTACCACACAAGATGAATCTTACTGAGTCAAACAAAGTTGAATACTTCCACGGGCCACCACCTGGAGTTTTCCGAAAACCACGTGTGGATTTAGGAGGAGCTCCAACCCCTATCCGGCCAGTTGGTGCAGCCCAGTCTGAGCCAGCCGCACATGGAAACGAATCAGTTTCTCAGGGTCATTCCATTGGAGAGCAGGTAGATAATGCCAGTAATGGAAATGGGGAGCCACCTGTGAGATATGGCCCAAGGGGAATGGCAGATGGATGTTCAGAAGTTGATCAATCTGGAATTGTGTGTCAGTTAAACGCAAATGGTCAAGTCACATGCCTTGATTGTGACACAGGAGAGAACTTTGAACCCCGCCTCCTACCAAGACCAACATCTTTGTTTGAACCATACTCCCTTGAACGGGAACAAGAGCGCAGTGCCTCACGGCCCTCCTCTAGCTCACCTAGAAGGCGTGGAATCCCTCTTGATATTGCATCTGGACCAGCTGGCTCCGATTCAGCCAACATTGGCCTACCAAATCAAGCTCAGAAGAGTCCTATCTCGATGGATACACAAAGTGACAAATCAGGTCCTTCAGTTGATGGTGATCATCATCAGGAAGTCCAAAAGCCAGGATCCTTAAGCCCTGACCAGCTGACTGCTGAAGGAGAGCAGAAGCACAAGAGAAATAGAATAGGTGCCAAGCATCAGAAGCTGAAGCACATAAAGAAACACCGTTCAGAGAAGCATTCCCCAAAAGATGAGGACTCAGATATGGTTCCCTACAGCGAGCGACCTAACGCCAGGAACTTTGCTCCCATGGACAAGAGACGAGCAATGTCAGCTGAGAACTTGTCCCTGGCTGTCAAGTCACCCGCTTTCAACCAAGAGTCTTACCAGAAGTATGCCACAGGGCTCAGGAAGGCAAGTCAACAGTCCAAGACCTATGACGATCTGGTTAAGTTTTACTCGGAGGTGAATCGGCACCTGGAGAAAGAGGAGAAAGAAAAAGCGGAAACGATGAAGGAGAAGTACCTGCCAAAACCTGCCCAGTTGGAGACATTCTACAGGACACTGCAGTATTTCTTGGAGTTAGAGATGGCTGTCCAGTGTGGAGAGGATATGATAGATAGAGGGAAGAAAGACGGCTTCATCTGGCACAAGAACAGAGATGTAGGACTTAAGAAAAAGGAAAAGGACATTTTTGAGCTATACGACTTCTTTGAGAAGTTGGAGCGTGGTGCCATTGGCACACCGACCACAGAACAAAGGTTGGAGCAGATACGGATGCAGACATACCTCCAGAAGGCAAAAGAACTGGAGGCTAGACAGTTACGAGTGGGCCAGTTGTACGAATGGTATGAAAACATAGAATGCAGAGGAAGTACCACACCTTCCATTGCCAACAGTCAAGTAGCATCTCTAGTAGATCTTGATGACCAAGGAGATGGTGTTCCAAATGGATTACCACCAAGTTGTCCACAAAATATTAGACCTGCAAGTGAAAGTAAGAATGCACATCCCAAAGTAGACCTCAGTTTAGAAGAGCTGGAGTCTCTAATACCAAGGGTTCCAATGGTAGACCCACCATTGGAAAGCTTCCCCAACAGGCATAGACCTCTTGGAAATTCCAGCACATTACCCCGTTTGTACACCAAGAGAGATGACCGTGCATGGTCTCCTGTTCCGATGCCCTCAATTGAGCTGAGCAGGGAAGACAAGTCAAAAGCAGAAGATGAGATGGAAGACAAGATGGATGATTTCAAAGCTAGGGAGGAAGTGACACGTGAGACCATATCCAGTCTTGCTCAGCCCCCAGCAAGTATCTTGGATGCAGGCAGAAAGACCCCTCCATTTATGATGACAGGTAGACCCTCACCTGTCACCAGACGGAGGAGCTTTGACAAGGCCATTTCAGGCATAGAGGGTCAGGAGGAGCCTGAGGATGAACCAGACACTGGTAGTTCTAAGAATAATTCATCTATCGTTAGAAAAGGACCAGAGAATTTGATTATCCCAATTGATTCTGACGTTTCTAACAGCCAGAAAGACTCGCAAGTCACTCCACCAGCTTCTCCAAGAGAAGAGGTTGTTAGACCTGGAAGCCCTGAAGCATGTGCCCCTCCGAAGCTTCCGGAGCGATCCATGTCCACTGGGGTCCTGGGAATCAGGCGTGTAATTGGTTCGATGTACAACCCTACACTTGGGAGGCTCCAGCGCTGGAACAGAGCAGACCTGTCTCAGATTGAAGATGAGGACTCCTTGCCAGATGAGGAAATCCCATCACCAGCCGAGTCAAGAACCAGGGCACCTCCCATTGGCCGGGTTGGCAAGATGCAGTCTGATTCATCACTGCCCACAATGGCTAGAGGTGCAGGTAAATCATTGGATAAAAATGGCATGAAGAAATTCACGCAAAGCCAGAATGAATTAGGACAAGAAAGGGGTTGGGGAAACTTCAATGCAAGCCCACAGCCATTCAAACGTGTGAATCAGATAAAGTCACCAATAAAGGAAACAGACCAAGATTCGAGCCTGTCTTCATTTGACCTAGAGCCATTGGAGAGTCTAGTAGCAAATGATCAGATAGATGACCTTCCAGCAACCCTGGACCCTTTTAGTCGAGTCCAGCAGCAAGATGAACCTCAGGCTGCTGTCAAAACGCCACAGTTTCAAGCCTCACTGGACCATCACATTGAATCTGAATCCTTGACTGACTCTTCTTCTGAGCTTGACCACAAGTCCAAAATACAGCTGTTTGAGGAGAAGATTGTTGAGCAGCGAAGCACAGACTTACATCGTCCAGTACCGTTACCACCACCTCAGAAGAAAACCTCAGTGGAACCCATCAGAGTCAAGGAAGAGAACCAGTCTGAGGTCCTACCAGCTATTCATGTCAGGAATGCAAGTGAGGATAAAGATGTCAAGTCATCCAGCTTTGGACACGGTGGTTTAGTCATTGGGATTTTCAGTAAGCCACAGCCAAAGCAAGAGGAAGAGATTCCCAACTGGCCACCTACGCCATCTCCACAGCAAGAGTTCTACACGCCCCCTGGAGATTCTTATCTGACCCAGTCTTTGCCTCACAATTTCCACTTCTCCTTGGATGAAGAAAAACCTGGGATGCTTTCTGCCGGAGTGGTAGATCAACTGAGGAGTACCTCTGCTAGTGCTGATTGCTCAGGAGTTGACTGGGGTAAGAAACTTGATGATGTAAAATCCCAGAAGCTTGACCAGCCAGAGAGAGTTATCAAAAGGTATGCCTTCTCTACTGATGAAGTCTACGAAGAGAGAACTCCTGTTTCATCAAGAAATGTCAGTCCCTTGCCTCCTAGCTTCAGTAGATATGGCTCAGATGCTGATAGACACGGAAAGACGGATGTTGACAGATCCAGAATAACACACGATGATGCACAAGTATTAAGACCATCCCCGTTGTTAGTATCCCCACGCTCTGAGAGCCATGAGGAGCAAACCCCTGTTGCTTCCAGAAATATCACACCTGTGCCTCCGGCTCTGGCAAGGGACATCCAAAAACGTGAAATTAGAGATGATGCCAGGGAAGGTCAAATTGAGAAGCAAGCTGTTAAGTCTTTCCCAATGGGTGAATCTACCCACTATCAAAGTTACCCATTGACCAAGCAGGGTTTGGACAGCTTGAGAAGGCAAAATGACATCCCTGTTGTGAATAGCCACCTTCACAACGATGTCTCCAAAGCGTCTGGATTCCATCTTGATCTAAAGGATCTGGATCTAACAGACGGCAATCCACCTGATTCCCCCAATGATACGTACACCCCATCCTGCTCCTATTCACCAAGCCCGACCCCAAGTCAGGATTTCTTAGAGGACGACTCGTCAAAGAATCGCTGGTACTTGGCAGGTGACACCAGCCAAGGAGTTCCTCGGAAATCCAGACAACGTGGGCCATCCAGCCACTGGCCCGAGCCTGAACTGGAAAACGTCTTCTACTGGGACACCTACGTCCCAAACAAATACATGGGAGATGCTCAGTCTGATGCAACTCCCGAGCAGAGGCCTTACCAAGACAGCAAAAATCTAAATTCCAAGGATCTCACCCCGACAAACGATTGGTCTGAGTCATACAGCACCCTTCAAGCTTTGTCCCCAGAACCTCCCAAATACGAAGCACCATCTACCCAGAACACTCATGCAAATCTGAGTCGTGCAGACTATCAAACTGGTACACGTCCTGAATATCCTAAACAAAAATCAGTCCAAAACCCAAGGCCAAGATTAGATCCTCCCCGAACAAATGTTCCGCAAAACCAAGCGAAGTCCTCCCCACTTCCCCGCGCTGAGACACATTCAGAGCCCCCTCCAAAGTACCCACGAGGACACCCTGTGGACAAATCGGATGGTCCAATCCCTCTTACTGGGTATCAGAGTCCTAGGGCACTTCCATTATTTAAAGGGGATGCCTTGGTCCCACAAAAGTCTTCAACCTTGCCGCAGCAGAGGAAAAGCCCCAGAATGAAAGGTTACTCATCTTGTTTTTTAAAACTTATACTCACCTTTATGTTGTGATTTGTGGACTCACTATCTGTCTGGTACTTGGTGCGCAAAATTGTTTTTTTCTGGTGGAAAAAAAAGGACAAAAATGGCAGTGATTATGTAACCTTTATGTACTTGTTTGTGCTTGTAGTGCATTAGCTTTTGTAGTATTTTATTTTGTTTTTGATTGCATGTTATCATTTGCATGATTCAAAATGCCCGATGCTTTTCCTTGACAGTTTTCTATTCTAGTTTTGTTGCAGTACATCTATGTATGTGGTATTCACTCACTCAAGGTGGTATTTTTTGTTGACTGCAGAAAAGTCAAAAGAAATGATTTATTGCTCAGTTAGTGTTCTAGATAAATAGAAACAATAAACAAACTTGTCGATTTTCAGCATTTTGTTTCACAGCAGTTGTTTCCAAAAATTACGGTATGTTGGTAAAAGTGGATATAAGAACTGTATATTAAGTTTCCTTTTTTTATTTTTTATTTCATGAGAACATCCTTGAATTGAAAGATGATAGATATTTCATATACTTGGTGGGTGTGTTGTCCCCCCCCCCCCCAATTCCCCCCAAGCACTCATAGATTTACGTGTATGTCAATGTCCGCTAATTCAATCAGACATAAATAAGGGTATATACAATGTGAATAATTAATGGAAACAAAGGAAGGTCAATTTTGGGGGGTACAGCAATGAAGTGCTGCTACATTGTAATTTTTACTTTGCTTTTTATTTTAGCCAAGATTTTGTTTAGTGTGATTGCATGCCATCTACAACAGCCAAGTTAACATTCGTACAAAATTACAGAGTTTTTTTTTAAAGTTTTCAACGTTGGGTCTCATTAGAATTGCAAAATGTTCAACACAGCTTAAACGTTTTCAAAACACTGAGGCCTAAAAGGAATAATCTGGATTTTTTTCAAGCGTTCAAGCCTTAAAATTGAGATGCCAGAACCCGTGAAAAGTACTACTGGTTGGACAGTACTAGGGGTGTCAATCTACGGGAAGTACGAGTACCCGGGTACCCCATTGAAGTAAAACAGGGGTGCCCAGGTACCCGTAAAAGAAACTCAACCCCAATTTTCAAATCGCAGAAGTTGATTCCATAATCTGGAACCGGTTCCTGACATCAGCGGTCTGTGTACTCGAGTACCCGGTTCAGATGCACACGCCTCCTGATCCATCGAAATATTGCAAAATTTGGAGGTCTGGCATGGTAAGGTTAAGCTACACATACAAATAATCCCCAGTCTTGAATTGAGAGACAAGTTTCAGACTTGGTTAAGCCAGATGGCATGGAATTCACCAGTAACAATATCATTGGCAGTGCATGTTTTTGTTTTGTATAGCCTAATTGCGATATTTGGAATTGTGGGAACGGCTGCCATTTTGTTTTGATCTCATTTGCATGTGACTGTTTCTTTTACCCCCATACAGTGAGGTTTATTTTGTCTGCTCATGGTATCTTTGCTTGGTGGTGTGATAATGGATGCATGAATTTGTCAGGATGATTCATTTTTATATATTTGATTGCTTGATTCACAAACCATGTGTGTAGACATGACATGTAGAGGCTCGACTGATGTTTGAACAGAAACATCCAACTAAAAATGGCATAAAAACATTCTTGCGAAAAGGTCCCTTTTGGTCCAATTTCTGCCAATTTTGCCATGTGCATTTAAGAAAATAAATAAGAAACACAGACAAAGTGATAATGGGTCGGCCATTCGGGGGAAAAAATTCAATTAAAAAAAAAAAGCGATAGTATAGTTTTATTGACTGGAAACCGGCTTTATGTGCTCATTAAAAGTTGGGTTAATCAAATTTTATGGGTAAAAAGGAAGCAAAATATTTTTTTTTTTTTTTTTAAATAAAATTTGATATCTTGGGGTTCATAAACCATGGTAGCAACATCATTTAGTAAACAGTAGTCACCCTTCCCTTTTGGTGTTCTTTCATTGGTATCTTTTTATTTTTGCATTCTTTCCCGTCTTTTTCTCTTTTGTTTGAGTTTGATTTTTTTTCATAAAAACTGGAAAAATAAATTCGGAAATAAAATAAAATTGAGTTACTGTTATGGGTGCTTTCCTGTGCTGCGCATCAAGTTTCCCCTTTTATGCAAATTGGCAGACTTTGCTTTGATCTGATTGGATATTTTGGTGTAATGGTGTGACTCAAGCCAGCCAATGATGTGGCTCAACCGATATATCCATTTTTCTTTGATTTGATTTGGTGTCTGCCATTTGTCTAAAGCCTTAATTACATGTAAATCAGTCTCTGCCTCCATACACACTACATGTACATGGTTTGTGAATCAAAAATGAAATGAATATTGAATTGTTTTCAAATGTTATCTTGAAGAAAATATTAATTCACACAGATATTAACACCAATACATTAACACATTACCTGTTCTTGACGAACCTGAAGCACATGGACTTTGTTGTAACAGTGGTCACCCTACATGTAGCTGCATGTAGCCAATCATGGCCCACCTCTCATCCACCTCTTCCTATTCTGCATACAACAGAGGAGCCCATTCGTTCACCCAGTAGCAGGCCGCTGTCCTCGACTTTGCCTCGGGCAAAGAGCAAGTCACGATCCCTCGAAAGTAGCGGTCTATCAGCCGCCGAACGTCTTGGTATCAAAACTCCACCCCCTAAAAGGACTCCCTCAACAGGTGCATATTTGCATATTATTTACAGCATTTGCATATTATTTACATACATTTGCACCTTTTAAATTGCTGCATAATATGCTCCTTCAAATTGCAAAAATCCAGTTGCGGTTTTACTCAATCACCTTCAAGCAATATATTTTTTGCTAATGCTGCTTTATTCAGATTTTAAAACCAATTTACCTGACTTTTTCTAAAAAGTTACTGTATTTTAGTTGTTACAAAAACAGCTTAAATTTCTTCAAATGGACTAAATAAAAGTGCAAAGCTAAATAAAACCTATCCTGCCAAAATCAACTTACATTTCAAATGTTTCCTCTTGTAACCTTTGACCTTTCCTAATGACCTCTGACATTTGGTTCCTATGACCCTTGTTCTTTGTAACTCTTGATCCTCTGCTCACAATCTTGATCCTGTAACTCAACATGTTTCTTTCCATCCTAACTTCTGAACCTTTGACCTTCAACATCTTGACCTTTGACCTTCAACCTCAAGCCACTAATTTCCTAATATGGCATTAATTGATGAGCTCAACAGATTAACTACCTAGTTCAACATTTAGTTGTCAGCATCAAGTAACATTAATTTTGTTAGAAAAGACACAGGTTCATAATTGAAGGGAATGAACACAAAAAACACCTGATCATCAGTGATGAAAATGCATTTATTTTTGGTAGAATTGGCATTTTGCTGCATTAGCATGCTGTCATACATGCTAACTTATAACTGTTATTGAAAAAAGTAATGATTTGAACGCAGCTAGTCCTGCAACCTTTAAAACTTTGCTTTAATTTGACATTTAGCTTCCCTCTCCCTATAGCCCTTTAATTTAATCTTTGATGAAATTTTTTTAAAGGTCACATCCTGTATGTTGGCGTAATATTGCAATGTTTTCCTCCCCAACCGACTTCCAGTATTTTCAGGTTGGGTGCTTTAATCTGTTACATATTGCTCCCATCTGAATCTGGTTTTGCATACATGTACGGTATGGATCATAATTCAAAAATGATTTACTGCTTTCCTGCACCGGCAAAAATATTTAATGTTCCACGGACGTGATACGAACTACGTGTAGTTTCAGTTGATTTATACTCTGTTTCACTTGGATAGCTGTGTTTTTTACCTGAAAATATGAGGGGAAAACATTTTCACTTAAGAAATAAACCACTTATTTTTTTGCCTATAAAACCAATGTACACTGAGCAATATTTTATAGTAGCTCTATGAAATTGGGCAAAGTTTTGCTTAAATACATTCTGGCATTATAGTTTGTTTAGTTGCTCAAGTGTTTTTTCTCTGCCACAGCTTACTTGCTATTATCAACCCGCTAAAATTGCTTTGGAATTTTAATTCATTACTGCAATATTGTGTGTTTTCATTGAGTCTTGCTGGTAAGTACTATTCCAATACCTACTGTACCCTGTAATCCATAAACTACTTCTTACATGGTAATTTTTTATTTATTTATGGCTGTGTATTTTTAATTTAGTGTGATTCGTAACTTAAATCATGTTCAGGCAAAAACAATCTATTTTTTTTAAAAATAGTATTCCATTTAATTTATGTACACATGTACATGTATAGGCATACTAAATTAAAGTATGTCATCTCTTTCCGAAGTTTTGATATATTTTTGTTTTAAATCTTTCTTTATTCACTTTTTACTTCCAATGTAAGTGTGATAACCTTTATAACCTGTGAAGTATGCATAGAAAAATGATAATCACTGAAATTTGATGTCGCATTCCAATCTCAGTTGGGCTGTTTTATCTGGATAAGTTATAAAAGGCCAAGTTATTTCAAGCATGTTTCTATCAGGAGAAAGAATAGGCATACGGTTGTGTTTTGTTACGTGCTATTTTGAAAGCAGGGTAGTCAATATTTATTTTTTCTGTGAACGATCTTGTTTTGATAAAATTATTTTCACTGGTTGTGATAGTTGCGGTTAGATGGTGACATGATTTCATTTGGAGTATGTTGGTGTAACTTTCATCTCAAATAGTTGGTATAATTCTCTACTCTTATTTCTGTAAATTATTTTTGTAAAATGTTTTAGCAGTTACAGACATAGGGCAGGTGAAGTGAGAACACTGTTTTAAACATGTTGTTACATCCTTTTTGTAGAAGAGTTTGATTCATTGAGTGCTGAGCCTTGAAAACAGCCACAAAATTAACTGGAGGAAAAGAGGGACAGGGTTTTCAGAAAGGTTAGCTTCAAATTCTGAAGAGAATGTGGTTGCCGATCACATCCCTTTAAAGCACTTAAGTACAGTCAGATGCTGCACATAATGCACAGTGTGCAGAAGAACATGCTGTATTCAATGTTTTCTACATTTGTGACATTCTGGAAAAGACTGGTTATCGTTGACCTGCCTCCAATACGGTCAATGACTTCGATAAACCTGTCAAATCCGTGGAATTTCCCTTATCAGCCCCACCACTTCTACCAGTTCCTATTTGCTTCATCTTAACAAGCTCCAATACTGAAAAAAAAATCAACTTAAGAAATAAAAACAATTTAGAATTATCAGCAAATTTCTTCCCTACCGAGATGCTCAGTCTCTTTCCTTCTTCGCGTCAATAAGACCACCAGCTTTCTCAATTACCGGGTGGCGGCACTCGAGCCCGGCCCGACCCTTGCATTCTTGGCCGCGATAAAGAATCAGAGTCCCCACTGCTTTTTGCTCTTTTTGTCTTATAGAAGAGGGAAGAAGAATTTGTTTCCAGAATCGATGAACTTATTAGTCAGTGACGTGTTTATGATCACAGGTCAGATGTGCTGATGCTGGGGCCTTGTTGCAAAGTTTGATGGGAATGGATACGCTGCGGATAAAAAACACCACCAGCTTTAAGTCATTGACCACGGATTAACCTGAAGTTGGGAGTCCTGTACATATACTTAACACAAGATGTGCACAGCACCAATTTGGCTTACAGCCAGTTATTCCTTGCACAACTGCGTATCAACATATGAAGCATCAGAGAACATAATTTCTGATTCTAGATGTGTCTGGAGCTTTGTCTTGCAGTGTTGGAGACAAATTAACATGGAACTTGGACAATAAGCAGTCTGGATTTGAACCAGCACTCTCTTAAGTTTTGTAACCCTGCAGCCTTCTTATATATGAACTGACAACCGTGCCAAGTTGCCATACACACATTTCTGATGATCTTAAATTTTGCTTTGAAGAGTGATAGATACCTCAGATCTGTTTGGATTTGAACCGTGATGCTTCTGACTGAGAGCCCACATCTTGTTCATTTCCTATCGTACGTCTTCCCGTGTTGTTGCATATTTAGCGCGTCATGGTTCTGTGACTGTCTTCTGAACCAGTTGGCATGCCCCAGAGGGTAAAACACAGTTGGACTTAATTAAGATGTACGAGGTGCTGTTGCAGCAAGTGCTCATCATGGAGTTTTATCCAAGGATGCACTGCACAGTGCTGTGACTAAATCCGTAAAGTACACGGCAGTAAGTCTGAACGATAAAACATCTACATGTGGATATGAATTTATGCGATTCTAGTTTCGCGAGCATTGATGTTTTGAAATGCGGAAACTGCGATGAGGATTTACTACTCTGCCAACACAGGACACAACAGGGCAGCATACTGAACAAAACAGATCATCTGAAATTTGGGTCAGGGGTCTAGACTACTTGCTTGACTTCACACAGGGGAGTACATGTAAATGAGCAGCATGTGTTTGCGTGGGCAGTGGCACCACACTCTCTGCATTCTGTTGGATTCAGTGAGGACTTGTTATTAAAAAACAGTATTCCTTCATAAGTGGCTAGAAACTGTGAAATCACTTACGGACAGGCTGGTTGGAATTCTGAAGATTTTCCGAGTTCCTCGTCTTTAGATGACCACTCTGGAGTCTTACAGGCATGGGAGTAGGAGGATTAGGCTGAATCTGTCAGTGGGATCAAACCGGAGGCTGATTTGAGATGGCTGTCAAAAAGAAGAGATGTATTCCAGCGAGATACTGCGAGGCTGATTGACAGACTTCGGATTTTTGAATAATTGTGTAGTGTCAACTTGGTCATCTGCTCAACAATGGTGGTAACTCTCCCTTCATTTACTTGTGTTTCAATGCATTATACTCATCACATCAGCAAGCCAGCTGGATTTGTTAATGAACTGGAGAAAACAGATGGTGCAGAGATATTGGGTTGAAAGAGGAATTTACCAGAGTAAGATTCGAACCTGTGACCTCTGGAACAACATACCGCTGTACTGAGCCATCCATTCTCTTGTCTGTTTAATGAAAGGAGATTTGAAATAGTAATTCATCTGAAGTACTGATAGACATCAGTTGGAAATTTAAGTTGACAAGCGATATCCTTGTGTGAAATTCTCGTATTAACAACTAATAAAGAGCTTGAAGAACTCACAATTCTGCCAGGCTTTCGTTGTGGCAGAGGTCATGTTATTATACGCGCAGAGACTCTACATCAATTGCTTCGTCTACATCAACACTTTGACTGCTGCAATTGAACTCAACCAGCACAATTACAAGTATAGATCCTCCTGTGAAACTTGTTTCTTTGAAGTTTTACCGATTTCTTCACAACTGACCTGCAACCAGGAACGTTTCTTCATGGTTCAGTGTCACCTTGCTTGTGAAAGAAACACTTACATGTACCTTCAATGACTGTTTTTTTTTCTTTTTCATATCCAAGCACAAATGTATATCACATAGTACTAAGGGAATTTGGCATTTTGGATGCGAGTCTGATTCTCTTGAACGTGTATCTCAACACTTGCAGCTGTTGACAGAAATACTAGTTCAAGTCGCTGTAACATAGACAAACCAATTACAAACACACATGATATCTCCTGTCAGGGAAGTTACCCAGTAGTATTTTGCTGGAAAAAGCTGAGCTGATCATAAATAATGGACTCTAGATTTTATTAATTCAACCAGCAGAGGTAGATCTTGTTTACTTCAGGAGTGAAGTGATTTTAGTATGAAACAATTCCTGTTTTAGCTCATGTACC